TTGAATAAAATTTTCTATTTTTTTGCCGCCATTTTTGAAAAATTATAAAAATAATTTTGAGCTCTTATTTCTTATTTTTGATGCTCTATACCTATGCAATTCTAAAAGTTAAAATTTTTACTTAAAATTTTTTACTTAGGCCGCCATTTTCTCTGTTCCCGATGAGATATCAAAATTTTAATGCATATTTCTTATGCTTGTTTTTGATACTTTATTCAAATCTATACTTTAAAAAAATTTTCTTAAAATTTTCTTTACTTTGGCCGCCATTTTTTCTATGTTCCCGAAGAGATATCAAAATTTTGATGCTACTTTTCCATACATTATTAGTAGTCCTCTAACCGAATCTGAAGTCAGAATTTCAAAATTCGCAAAAAAATTGCTACAGACACACACACAGACTCAAAAAGCCATTATAGATTTCAGTAAACAAAACTTTTCAAGTTTTTTTTTGATAATTTGTACATTGAGTTTTACAAATGAGTTTAACATTAAATTTATTGTTTAATTAGCTAAAAATATTTTCATATATTATTATAAGTTTTAAAAATAGTTGAATAATTAATTTTTATATCTGCAAAAACCCAGAAAACATCTGCTTTTCAAATATCGAATCTATTGTGTATAATGTCTACTCTGTATATACCGGTATATAACACAATAATAACAGTGACAGTCATTTATTGACCAAATTTTTGAACATTTATTACTTTGACAAAACTTATATGACTTATTACAAACTAATACTAATATTTATAGTTTTTTGTTTGACAAACAAGACTATATATATATATAATCTATTGTATATTTGATAATATGATAAAATATAATCTATTTTTGGTTAAAACATTTGGTTTGATATATTGACAAAAAAAATGATTGTCTGATAGGCACGCAATCACTTCTTTTCGTTAATTTGTGTCATTATTTGCAATGTTATGTACTTATAATAAATACACTGAGTTTGCAATAATTTTACACAAAAAAAATCTATTTAATTTTTATTTATTAAATCGATTTTTTTTGTATAATTATAATAATACACATAAATTACATTTTATACAATTTGAATTTTTATTTGTTTAAAATTTTCCATTTATATACATTGTATTTATCAATCGATTATATATATATACATTTATTTATTTAAAATGATTTACTTTATTAAAATTTAGTTTCTACTGACATTTAACCGAATTGTTGTCGATTTAATATCTGTAAAAATAACAATAGTTGCTATGTATCTGAAACGTGTATTTTATATTGAATATCGTTATGCATTTGAATATAATATATATTTTTATAGCATAATAAATAACAAAACATGATTTACAAGTAGTTTAATGTGAAGGCATGCAAACACTGGTCGACTCTTATATAATAAAGTGATGTTTAGCAATGTATTCAAACCAACACTAATATTAATTGCTTTTAGGATTACAATACATGCATTGAATGCACCGGTAGATCACTAGTGAAAGCACTACTGAAATGTTTTGTTATTAATGTTATTATACATACTGTAGTTATTATTGTTATTACACAACACTTAATATTGGTTTCATTTTTTCACAAAAATATATTAAGAAAGGTATTTGCATTCTTTTGCATCACTTTTGACGTTATTTCAAACATTTGTTATTATTTGGTATTTATTTAAACTACAAGTAAATTGTGTGACTATTAATCGATAACTATATATATATACTAAAGATGTTCTCTCTCTCTCTCTCTCTCTCTCTCTCTCTCTCTCTCTCTCTCTCTCTCTCTCTCTCTATTTCTCTATCTTTCTCTTTGTCCTTCTCTATCTTTTTATCTATTTTTAAGTTTATAGCATAACAGACAAAACATACTCATTTGCTCATATATTTATGCACTCAAATGATATTATTTTTTGTGTGCATTAAATTTATTGCTTTGAAATATGTATTATAGCAAGTGATATAATAATAATAGCAGTCATATAATATAAAATATGCATAACATTTAATACTCTGGAATTGCATTGTATTTAATACATTATAATGCAATATAATATGAATACTTATCTATAATGACTAATAAAGTAATATACGATATCTATTATGTATAGCATATTATTTATAATATTAATCAATGAATTTTATACTATTATAGATTATACTATACATTACAGGTTTTAAAAAATGTCTGCAAATATAGTAATATTTCAATGAATCGATTAATGAATTATTATTTCATATAATTTTATTTGTTTTAAAGATATCAAGCGTTAAGTATTTGTTAGTTGCTATTATTAAAGTTTTATAATTCAAAATATTTAATATTATATCAGCTCCTTATTTGTTTATTAATTTTTTTTATTCTCATATTAAGTTTTTTGTTTGATTTTTTTAGTGAAATTTATTATTTAATTGACTTTTTTAATAGTGATTATTTTGACATTATTTTTAGTTAAATATTCAGTAGAGGGTGTAATTTTGACATCGTTATAATAATAATAATAATAATAATAATAATAATAATAATAATAATAATAATGAGATTTGGGAGCAAATAAATGAGTAGTTTATCTCTAAGAGCATAAAACGCTTCATTTCCTATCATTATTCATATAATCTTAGTCTTACAGAAATAAACTCACAATACTATTGGATAAAATACAATATTTTTCACAACTTACCAAACTTTTCTTATATTTTATATTAAAATTTACAATATTTAACATTTATTATATTCTCATTTTATTTAATATATAACTTAATTTTAATCAATTGTCTATGAAATATAAATGCAAAATACATTTATGTAAATTATTATTCTGCAATTTATTTTATTATAAAATGACTTTAAATGTATTTTAATGCATATTAATTAAGTTGAAAATAATAAGTTATATTAACAATGAGTAATTTGATAAAAATTATTGTTAAATCAGTAATTGTACATAATTAACTTTTAGTGTATCTGCTTTAATATCTTATTTATATTTTATGTAATTTAAAATCATATTTTACTTTTGCTCTAATATTAATTAACAGATTAACTTTTAATATAATAAATAACTTACATGTGATTTTTTAAAAATTACATAATATAGACATTAATTTTAATTTTAATAATACATAAATATAAAATGCATGTTAACAAAATTCAGACTTATAGTATTGACAACAAATTTTTAAAATAAATTTTTTAAAATTATTATAAAATTCAAATATTTACAAATACTGTATAACATAAACATAATTTATATTAAAATTGAATCATTTATAATATAATTTAATGTACAGTAAAATATATTTATCACACTGTACTGTATATGATATTATCTGTATTTATTTAATTCAAAAGTTCATATTCTATACATACTATAACAAAATGATTCAAAATATCAGTAGGACTTAGAAGTGTTTCTCTCAATAATACATTATTATAATAATAATAATATTTACAATAACATGTAAACAGTGGTAATAATACTTCAATTATGAATCCTATATATGACTCAATTGGATAAAAGCTTTCAAAGACGATAACACAATACCTAAATGAATGTTGAAATTTGAAATGTTTTATATATTAGTTATATGGATGTTATGTGCCGATCATTGCTTCTCTCTCTCTCTCTCTCTCTCTCTCTCTCTCTCTCTCTCTCTCTCTCTCTCTTTCTGTCCTTTATTTGGTCTCATTTTTCATTGTATTACATTTCATTCACATTAAATTTAATGGTAGACCCTATTCATTGAATATAAGAATAATATTTTGTTTCATTTCACTGAAAAGTTATACTTAAATACTTAAGTAACTTAATATATAATAAAAATATTTTTAGATGATTTTATTTTACATAGTTTATAAGTTACATTGAAGATTTATATGATAAATATACAAATAAATATATATTAATATTCAGTATCATATATTCTAATTAAAAAAAGTTAGCTTAACTTACATTTTTTTTGATAACAATTATATAATGGACACTACTGTAGTGTTTTGTTGACCACTTGAAGCACTTACTGTATATTATACCGATATATCAGTATATACTGTAGTCTAACAGTGTATTTGTGTAGAAAAAACATATAAATGGTCAGCGAAATAATGGACATAATTTAATTGTTGTCAAAATGTGTTAAGCTTTACTAATTTTAATTATAGAAATATATAAAAATATTATAAAAGTTTCACATATAAGCTCTAAAAAAGCAAAAAAATCATTTATTATTTCAAATTCAACACATTTACAGTACTATTAAATATAATATCACTATTTAACTAAACAATAGTAATGAAAATATGTAGTACTGTATGACAATACTCTGAACTCCGATTTATTTTACTTATAATCACTTTTATAATAATTATTTTAGTTAATGTATAATTTATTAATAGATTTCATTGAAAATATTGTTTTTTAATGTTTTGTTTTCACTTAATGTAACTTTATGTATAAATATTGATATTTTCTAGTCTACAAAAACATTCAATATTATTATGTACTGAAATACAGTATATATCTTATATAATAATAATGAATAGCAAAACAATAAACAAAATCTTTGATTTGAACAAACATTGGTAACAATGGCAACAAATCTATGATTATATCTCTGAAGCATTTGAGAGCCGGTATCTGAAGAAAAGTCATAAGAGATGTCTGAAACCAACAAATCTATTATTTCCATATCTAATACATTCCTAAATGTTTGACTAAATTGTTTCCATTGCTTCCTCTCATACTATTTGACTAAACATACTATTAATCAATTGAAATAATGAATTATATGCTTACACGCAATACTTACAGTATATATTAGTAATACATAATGCCATATAATAATATCATTTGCTCGCAAACACGTTAACATCGATCTAATCCCTCATTTGAATTTTGTTTACATATATTATAATTTTGGTGTTACTCAGGAAATAAATTTAATAAAACATTATTAGAGCACAAATTTCTTAATTTAATAAATTTTTCATAAAATATAATTACATTTTGTATTTTACAGACAGATTTGTCACAAAATCTTCATTCGTTGTCTGAGAAGGCAAAGACTGCCACAGAATTTATTCAACGACTCAAAGGAATCACAGAAAAGGCAAATGTGAGTCAAAAATGCATTCATTGTTTGATTTAAATATTTTTTTATTATATAACAACAATATTATTATGTTAATTAATTTTATTATATTTAAATCTAGTTTTATATTATAATTGAAATGTAGAGATGCTATAAATTTATTTATGCAAAATATATAGATTTTGAAGCAATTTGTCTTTGAGTAAAAAAAAAGTTTTAGACTATTTTGCACACAAAACACATAATATAATATTTGATATAAAGACAGATTGTATTTGAAATTTCTATATTCTATTAGCTCTATCTCTTTATTACTTCTATATTTTCCATTGCTTTTTATAGTTATAAATGCAGTCATGTATACATAAACACATTCAATATCTGGCATAAAATCGTTGCCAATATATAAAGATATATTTTGTATATAAACTATATATTGTATGTATAAGTGAGGTAAAGATAGAAAAGCAGTGTTTATTTTCAATGGGAATAATTCCGAATAAACCACTCTTATGTGTCTCAACACTAGTATTATGTGATATTATGTTAGTATTTCTCAGTTTTAAGACTAGTATTGGTTGATCGCATCCTTTATTCATTGATAAGAAATACTAGATTTAAGAAAAAATATAATCCATTCTATCATTACTTTAAAAATATTATACTATATTTTAGTTATTTTTATTATATTTAGTATTTTATTTTATGTTAACTTAATCGACATATTATAATTAATATCAATAATGAAGCTTTTAATGAATTTTAAAAAATCTATTAAAAAGTATTTATACTGTATTTATATTTAAAAACAGGAAAATAGTTTAAACTTTGAAACCGAGATTACTTCTCAATGCGATAATCTGATCGCTACTATTAAAGCAAGAAAACAGCAATTATTACAATTCGGACGCAAAGAGAAAGAATATAAATTAAGGATTTTAAGAGATCAGGTGTTGTCGTGTACCACAAAACTACAGCAAACCACAGGACTCATCCAGTTTTGCATTGAAGCCCTTAAAGACACCGATTGCATGAGTTATTTGCAGGTAAAATATTTTGCTATTATTATAATGACAACAAAAAATGATTAATTATATTTATATACAGATTGGATCTTCACTGATAAGTCGTGTATCCAATGTTGAGATGACGTGGCATAAAGATATGAATACAGCTCCCTGGGTATCACCAGAGTTTGATTTGACACTTGACTGTCAACCGGTCCTCTTAGCCATTGAACAGTTGAATTTCTCTCAAATGAAACGTATGTCAGCTTTCAATTCAATTTTGCTTTCATTTCAATCAATATATAGTAATACTGGTCACTGAGTCAATACAATGTCAACGATGTATTGTACAGTATATATACTCTATGATAGTATTATATCAATAGTTTGGATTAGTTTCCCATTTCATTAAAATTTGATTATTTTATGTAATACTTTTACATAGAGTATATTATATATGGACTCACGTTTCCATAGTATTATTATAATATCTTCAATAATATATTATTTCAATTTCTGATTTGTCATTTTCATTGTTTTATCAAATGTGAATATAATTTAGAGTTAGTAGTAGTGTTGGCAAAAAAGAGAAATTTATAAAATAATAGAGAAATTTCTAGAAAGTTTCTAAAAGAAATTTCTATTTATGGGATCCCCATGGTTAATTTTGTTTTCTCGATATTTGTTATCTTTAACATTGTTTTTATAAGTAATATTTAAATATTATTAATAGTATTTTAATTATTAATTAAAGTAAAAAATTTATTTATTTAATTATATTAAACTATGATATAATAAAATGGTGAATAAAATTTTACAAAACTGATTATTATTAAAGAATTATAATTATTTATATAGGTATCCCATTTGTATAATATAATATTATACAGTAATCTACATTATATAGTATAATATTATATGTATAGTATTATATGTCTCATTAATATATTTATAGTTTTACAATATCTATAGATATGGGGATCCCATAGTATAACAAAAAAGTTAAATTTCTATAGAAATTTATTCCTGAGAAACTTTCTAGAAACTTTCTCAGGGAAATTTATTAGAAACTTTCTATTTGCCCATCTCTAGTTAGTAGTAATAAGTATTATTTTATTATTAATTCAATTTAAACATGATTATGTTAATTTAGTTAGTTGTATAATACTTGTATTTTATTTTATCACTAATAAACAAAAATTTCTAAGATATACAAAGATATACAGTACGGTACATATTATTGTATATTATTTGAGTTTATTTTGATAACTAATATTGAATTGCAATGTTTAAATAGTGACACTTGAATGCATTTAATGAAATTAGCTAATATGTCATTTGAACATCTCATCCAACATCCCATCCAATTAGTTGTAAGGCTTGTAAACTTATAATTAGATGATTTGATACATTCAAGAGTTGATTCAAAATGTCAGTTGAAGTTATTTACTAAATAAAGCCAACTATAATACTGACAAACAATTAATTGAAAGAGAATTTAATAATTATATTAAATTTATTTTATTTGATTGATGTAATTAAATGACTGAATCTGTGTGTCGGCTAAATGAGACACTCCGACCGTTATTTAGGTCATACCCGTTGATAGAGTAATAAATAGTAGTCATATATATTTAGTCATTTTGTTTTTGCTATCGTATTAATAGTAATCCGTTTGGTGTTAGTGTAGGACTCGTCACAAACTTTACGATTGAAGACACGATTAGTTGAGTCAATGCATCCCTTAATCACACATTTATTTGTTGAGATATTTTCACATCAATTACTTTACTATTACTATTGCTTAACTATACCTCATATTACAGTATTATATAGTAGTGACTGTCCTTTACTCGAATGCCACTTCACTGCACAACACTTTCTGCACTTTAATTCTCTATTTGTTTGACAAATATATGACTATTTGAATACAACTGAAAGTAAATGTGTTTTTAGGTATACAAGCAATTGATATATGTTTCCGATAGTGATTATATGTAATCATTTAATCATATGTTTAACTTAAATATAATTATAGAGGTTTTTAAAGTGAAACAAAATAAGAGAAAAACAATAAAATGTTCATTTAATAAATGATATGCAAAGGGGGAGTGTATTAACAATTGGCTGTTCGCTCGTTAATATTTTTTGTTCATTTAGTTTTTATTCATTATAATACAATATAATACAGAATAATATATACTATATTTAACAAATTTGTTAATAATTTTTCGATGGCTAACAAAATATTTATAAACATTAAGTAAACACTTATAAGTTTACTTAGTATAGTTAGTTAGTATTTAATAATATTAGTGCAATAAATTATTTAGTTTCTCATTTATGACTCTCAATATTTTCTAACATTATATTTAATAATAGTAGTTAGATTGTTAATAATTATATCAGTAAATATATGCTACTAATTTTATAACCACAGTGATTAAATTATTTTATTACAATTTGATTTTAATATAGGTTTGAAATATTAAGCCGCATATACTAATGTTTGATAATTTAATATGTCATTACTAATAATGATTATAAGTAATCTAATGAATTTTAATTATTTAATTGACTTTATTTAACAATAATTTTTATTCTTTACTGATGTTTTTGTTTCAAACACTTATAATAAATTAAAATTGATATATTAATGTAATGTATTTAATAAACACAAATAAGCTTGCTTATTATTTAAAAAATATAGTGATTGCAACACATATAATACGGATATAAACTGACACACATAACATATATACATATAATTAAAATCAGATCATTAGCACAGCCTCTGATGAATGACTTGGTTTTATACAATGTTATATTAATACAATTACTAATGGGATTCAATAATAAGTTATATTAGTATTCAACACCATTTGCACTGACCATTACTTTGTAAAAATTAATGATTAAAACAGATTATAAAATAATGGATTCCATTAAATACAGTTTTATTATATTAGATGTGCCTTTCAACAAATAAAACATATATCAAACATTCAATCGATATTAATATTTAATTTTTATGCAATATTAACAATGATTTTATTTGATAAAATCCATAATAATATAAATCTGAAACTATTTATAGTGTTAATGATAAAATTGTTTTGTAATTGTTTATAAATCTTCAATTTGTTAAATTGTTTACTTGACAGCACCTGGACCTCCAATTCTGATACCTGACGAGTGTTTATCAGAAAACAATGGTATAACAGTGTCGTGGCAGCCACACCCGTCCAGTTTTATTGAGGCATTCATACTAGAACTGGATGACGGAAACAATGGTGCCTTTAGAGTAAGTCTTTATTTTAACTGTAAATCTCTTTATAAAAGTTTTGATTACTATAGCCTTGAATTGTAAAAAATATACTAAGATTTCAAGTAATTTAATGCTAGGAATTAGTATTTAAATCTGTATTTGTATTATATTTGAGTGAATTTGACTGAAATGCAACCCAAGTGTTGATGTCTCTCGGGATTCAACCGATGCTAACATTGATTTTGTTTTGCATTTCCAACTAAAGCCATATATTCTACAGACAGTAGTGTTGGAGTAAAATAAACGCAAATACTATAGATTTTAATGTATAGCCAAAAACTACCGACAACTTTCATACATACAACTACTGTAGGCCTACTGTTCCTTCAATATGTTTAATGAAACACAACATCTCTTCACAAAGTGTGACGCATTCATTGAAAGCCATTGAAAATCACCTAATTTTGCATATACTCTATGACTCACCTCCCGGAGCAGTGTTTAGTAATGTTGTTTTTAGTTGAATTGCCATTTCTACTATACATCACATTACAGACAGTACAATGTTGTCCAACATTTATTATTTTTAGGCGCCAACAGTCTCTCTCCTCTCACTCTCTTTACCACCAATTCATAGCTGATATTTCCTGAGTCTGTTATGTCTGTTATAAGAAGCATAAGTGTCTCTCATATACTGATATGATTGTTGTTACAGCCGTTAAACTCATACAGTAGTGATTTCCCTCAAATATAAGGCATAATACATCAAACTATAGCTTATTATGTCTAAAATTTATAGATAAGTTGCCAATAAAATGATAGACTGAATTGGATGCTGTTATTAAAATTAAAATTATATGATATTTAGTTCATTTTATATAATATATTTTGTCTGCCTTTAAGCTGAAATGGTTTGCCATTCATAGAGATGATAGGTTTTGATTGTATACTCGCGGGACGTATTGTCGTTCACCACATACTATCCCTATCAGAGAGTGAGTCTCTATTGAAAGCTGTGTTCATCTATTTTCATATCAATACATTTGCATACATCTCAACATTAAAGCCAACTTTTTAATGTAATAAAAGAAAAAAGTCATTTACTTTTTTTTATTTATTCACACAGTTTGTGCTATTTTAAAAATATCATATTTATTATTAATATATATAAATAACTACAGTATATATATTTAATATAATTTATATATATATATATATATATACTAATTTATATTAAAGGCACAACATTGCCTAATATTTTAATAACTTATTGCATAATGACTCGATTGTATTAAATTAGATTTTTCAGTCACAGTACAGTATATAAAATTTTACGGTATTATATGATATGAAATATACACATATGTATGCATTAGTACTGTATATAAATTAAACTTATAAGCATTTGTTAGTTTTACACTAAATAGAAATTATTGATTTGTATGAATAATAAAATATAATAAAATTATAAAGTTTGTCAAAATATTTTATTTAACATTGATTTTATAATTATTTATGATTAAGTATAGTATATACAGTATATATATATTTATCAATTATATAATTAAGGATATATAAGATATAAACTTATTGATATTATTTATGTATATCATATGAATTATTAACAGTTATTAATATAATAATAGGAAGTATATTGTGGTAAAGAGACCATATGTACAGTCGATGGACTTCATTTCAATTCAATTTATCGGATTCGGGTTAAAGCATATAATACTAGTGGAGAAGGCGTTTATAGTGATGTCATATCACTTCAGACAACAGATGGTAAGTATATTAAAAAATATATAACGTTATCATCAATTGATTGTCGATATGTTTAGTCGCGTGGTTTACATTGGATCCATTGTCAGCTCATTCAGATATTGTCATCTCCAATGAAAACCATACGTTTACGTGTGATAGTTATGAACACAGAGTTGTTTTGGCAAACATTGCATTTTCACGAGGAGTTCATTACTGGGAAATAACTGTTGATAGATATCTGAATAATGCAGACATAGCTTTAGGTATCGCAAGGATTGACGTCTCAAAAGATAAAATGCTTGGTATTTATTGATCATTATTTTTGTTACAATACTTAACTTTTATACTGTATTTTATAACATAAGATGTTTTTATATTTGTGTGATTAGGTTGTGATTGTAAAGGTTGGAGTATGTATATCGACAACAAGAGATCATGGTTTTTACACTCAGACAGACATGACAGCCGATCTGATGGTGGTATTGGTGTCGGCAGTGTTATCGGTATTTTGCTAAACATGGAAACCAATGAATTGTCATTTTATGTCAACGACGAGCTACAGTCGGGAATAGCTTTTTCGGATCTTAAGGGTGTCTTTTACCCGGCTTTTAGTCTCAACAGAAACGTCACAATAACTGTCACGACTGGCATTGAACCGCCAATCAGTAGCGGATCCAACAGTGCCAATGAAAGCGAGTCCAGTGATGCAGAAAATAAGAGAATCAATTGAATCATTCATTCAATTGGTTATAATGTTTTATATAAATAATGCAACAAATATTTCTATTAAATATTGATACTAAAGCTAGTCTTTATTAGATGTATTACTTATATTAATAATGTATAACATTTGTTAAATTATATATGAATTGATGATATATATGAAGTAATTGACAACATATCATATTTATTGCTACAACTATATTATACCAAAATTTAATTATCAATTTACTAAACAAATTTTAATTATAATTTTTTTTAATTTATGTATTCATTTATATAATCATAACTTTTACATTTAGAAGTAAACTTTGATTTTATTTTAACGTGTAAAATGTGAATATAATTCAATGTAAATATATATTTATAATATATCAAATAAATTACTGTATAATATAATAAAATTACATATTTAAGATTAGATGCAGTAAAGTGTAATCTTATATTAAAGGCTATAATTTATATACTGTAGTAAATTATGATACATTAATTTATATAATATTATTATATACAAAATGACATTTTGTAGATAATTATAACAAATTGCTAAGTGTTAATTTACAATTTTGAATTAAATTAAGGTTATTTATTTGTAATTTTCTTTACAATAATTTTAATACAGTTTTAAGGTAATAAGATTATTATTATCAATAACATTTATACTATCATTAATTTACTTTTTTATTATAAATTTTTGAATTATTCATATATTTGTAATATTTATCATTTATAATGACATCTCATATGAATCGATAATCCAAAAGCAAGTGGAGTAAAATGTTGTACATCTTATATCACAAATTATATAAGAAAAATAGCAATTTATTCAAATAACTATTAATACTATAAGTGCAATACATTTTTATAAAATTGTCTTTTGGTTTATTGATAACATATACAATATAAACATTATAAAAATGTATAATTATTTGATGATAAATTATTTATTTACATACTAATTAAAAATCATTGTAATTATTAATTAATTGACATTTTAAAGAAAAATTTGACATTAAAACATTAAATGTTGAAAAATACCGGTAATTATTACCATAATATATTGCTTTTAATAAATATGAAACCAATTACAGTAAGTTAATAGTCGATTGAAATTTTGTATTATTTTTGATTCATATATACCTACATTACATTATATATTAAAATGTTTTATTGATGCCATTAAGATACTGAGTGATACATTAAGAAAATAATTATAATACAAAATAAATTAAAAAAAACAATTTAAACGGCAGAGTTGTCTACATCCATGTTATCAGAGTTATCACATGGATTATCGCATGGATTATCTCCCCAATCAATCTTAAATCGGGTCACTCGTGGATTTGTGGCCAAAATGTTGCGCTGAAGTTTGTTAAATAGTGGAGTCGCCGGCGGGTTCTCCTTGAGTTCGGGATCACTATATTCATTGTTCACATAATAGCCAACTCTAATGAATTCCTTTCCCCGATAAGAACAGGTCAACAGTACGACAGTGACACCAACAGCATCAGCCACAGGAATTACTGAGGGATCGGGAGGATCGGCTTGAAATACAAACATATGTCGTCCCTCGGGCACCGGTCCTACAAACACTGTATCCAATGTCTGGTCATAGTCCTCACTCTCAGCTGATCCTACATATATTATCTTCCATTCCAAGTCTTCTTTCAAGTCTTCAATGCATTCAAATGTGATTTCAAACTGAAACGGATTACAGAACTGCGAGGGATTGTCTGCAAATGGTATCAATATATCAGTCAAATTATATCAACAACTCATGAGTGTCACACACTTACCCAATACCACTATATTAACGATATGTGCCTATTATTGTATCAATTATTTCTTCATAATTAGTAAATCCATTTAAATTAATCAAATAATAGACAAACCTTTGCCATAGTTGTTGTCAATGAATGAAACAATCGAGAAGTGCGACAATCAGTGGTCAGTCAGTCGACTACAAGATGTGTCAAAAGTGCGCTCTTTTGGACACTTAATGCCAACTTATAGTCCAATCACGTGATGGCAACACAAGTCATGGCAGTCATGACAACACTCAACACATCAATACAAACATTGATTGAATGCCATCTTTCGGTTGAATTAATCTATTAATAAATCAATTCCATTGACTCACACATTGCAAGTCAACACTCAATACATAGTTTATTACATACAATATCTTAATAGTGAGTCATATGCTCGATAACTATGACTTTTTAGTAGAGTTCATATACAGTACTGTACTGTAAGTTATGTTACATAACATTGAATCTGTGATAATATGTCTATTAAATGAGTAACCATTGGATTCAATGAACTAATGGTTTAGTCAATCAGTTATATTATATTAATATAAATATATATTATATAACATATCTATCTATAAATCAAAGCATTGTATTATCACTTATCAAGTGTTGAATTGTATGGACACAAGTGGACAACATTTGAAAGCATCGATTGTCCGACGGGTCATCACTTTTGGTACTAATTTATATTCATATGTTTTAATTGCAATTATATTATAATTTATGCCATAATCCTAACCCTAACTCCAAAAACATACATAACTTGAATACTGTTTTCATAATAATAATAATTATTATATCATATGATTGTCTGTTTGTGTTATGTTTTGATTGTCAAACTACATAAACATTTACATTATATGATATACAATATATTATATGTATTATTATTATTACAGTTAAATACAGTATTATATAATTGACTGAATCAGTGATTGCAATAACACTGTCATCTGACCACTGATACAAACATAGCGTATAAACAATGATTGCATTGATATTATATATAATATACGGGTATACAATATATGGATGTATTGTACAATACATTGTTTTATTGTATTTGTGCTGTTATTATGTAAAAACATTAGTTTCGGTAAAAATATAGATTAATACATGAAATTTGATATTTTATAGAAAATTTAAAACAATAGCTAAACTAATTGTAATATTGAAGGCATGAGAGCGTGAATTATCTTTATGTTAGTTATGTTTGGTATTTGAAACAAATTAGTTTGTTTGCCAAACTATAAACCAGTAAAACTAGTGAAACACAGGTGCACTCAACCACTCATACCATTTACTGGTCATATACTGTATTAAAGTTTAAAAACTTGAAAAGTTAGTTATCGTTGCGAGAGATGGTTAGGGATGGCACAGGTGTTGTGTCATTGAATTGTATTGTGGGGTCTATTGTGAGTCAAACCCTATTTTATATTTAATTTGTTGATTGCAATCATTAATGCATTGAACCCACAAAGCCCTCCATTATTACCGGTCATCACTGATCTGAGTCACACATTCATAGCTTTTTGTAATAAGATAGCTCAGGTAGCAAAAGGACAAACAGGTGCAGTCCTATATAACTTATATAATATAACTACAGGAACTACAGGTACACTTAAGACACATTATATTGCCTTTTGTAAAAATAAGTGGAATTTTCAAACAACTTAAGTTTATAATTACTTTTTAAATTTTGTTTTAATATTAACTGTTATTTGGTTTTTTCATCACTTTTTTGCTTAATTTTTTAAAATTGAAAACTAATTTCTGTCAAAAATGATTGCAAACATATGTTAACAACTGTTGTCTATTAAGTGAATGACAAGATATCTGTTTGTTTGTTCAAAAGCTCAGTCCAACTAAAACAACTCAATTGAAATACCTCTCAAATGGAGTGCAGTTTACCAACCAATACATCGACGTTTGCCTCAAAGCGCTCCCCTCACTCTCCATTGCCTAAACCAATGGGCCCTAAGGAGGGCCCCACTAAATCTCAATTTCACGTCAACTTTAACACAGAAAAGAGTGATTTGACGGACAGAAAGAAGAAGTATTTGACGGCAAAGTATGGACAACACCAGATGAATCTCATTAAGAAAAGATTAAGGGTTGAGATGTGGATGTATGAACAGCTACAGGCGCTCTACAATATATCCGTATGTATTAATTAGTTTTGTTGATTAATATGGATTAATAAACAACAATCAATTTAAATCTCATAGAAATATCTATATAATATACAAAAGTAAACTAAGGCATCGTATTATTACAATATATTTATTCCGAAAGATTATTATTTTAAAAAAGATAGTTAACAAAAATTATGCTAAAATTAGATTTATATATTAGTTAAATAAGAAAACTGAATATAAAGTAAAAGATAATTTTATTCATCTTTAGGATGACTCCAATGATGTCGAAATAGATTTGGACGAACTCTTAGATATTGAAGAAGATATCGGAAGAAAGGAATGGCTGAGAGTATGTATTTTGAAATGCAATTTATTAAATATAAATTTAATATATAATTACAATAAAGAATTAATTATTATGAATACAATAATTTAAAATCAGAACAAAATAATAGACGCCAAGCAATCCAAAGACGTTGTCGAGTCGTTTATTGTGGAACTGTTGGAAAAAGCGAAAACTCTCTAATAATGAAGATTTTCTAATTTATTGATATATTTATTGGTTTTACGAACAAATTTTTAGCTTAAATTTAGATTATTTTTATGCAATCATTTCAAAGTCGAAGTCAAACTAAATGATAATCTAAATGAGTTAAACATTGGATACAATGATCTCTTATTTAGAAATACAACATACAAACAACTAGTCATGCATTTGGCACATCACTAACATATTAAGCATATCTAAAGGCAAATGATTTTAATAATCTGATCAAAGAAACCGATTTTTACTCTAAAATAGTGATTAAAAAAGCAAATGTTTCGACTTTGAGTGCCATCGCATCAAAACTTGATTTAAAAGATCATAAATTACTGTAAGAAAACCAAAGAAAGTATAACATTATTCATTACTTAGATATCAATGGTTAAGATAATTATTTATTAGCTCTCTATAGATATTAACAAAATGATTGCCATTTGTAATACTTTGCATGTTTTGCTAAATTATTTTATTTTACTAAATAAGTTTTAATTGTTTTTATGCATTTAATACCCAATTTTAATGTTTTTCTCATTTTTTTCCCTAACACTTGATATATTACTATTTATTTTGAAACAAAGTTTAATTTTTATTGGGCCGAAAACTCAAAGAAGTTTAATTGAAACCAAACGAAACAAATATGTATATAATAATTGCCTTTTTGTGCCAATCAGTTGTTTAATTGAGCAAAGAGTTTACCACTTGTTTTGGTTGCAATCAAAATATGTTTCGACTCAATAAATTAGTTTTGGGAAATGTTATGTCAAATAAAATATTGTTATTGCAATCAATCGTTACATTGTTTTGTGATATTTTATTTTTTGATTTTATTATATCAGCAATTGGTGTACAAACTTAGCGAAGCGTTAATAACTCTTGCGAGTCGAGACATACTTTTGTTTCAAAATGTTTTGTAACTTAACTTTAATTCACAAATAAAATAATTATTAAATTAATATCAATCAATCATTTCCTTGTCTTAATGTTTTAACACTAAAAGATTATGTATTATTTTCAAATGAAAATAAAATTTCATAGATTTTTATTTTTAAAGTTTATTAACTAATGATAATGTGTTAAACAGAGCGAACAATAATATATTGAATTTGACTATAAATTGATTATAATTACTAAGTAATGAAAATTCATTCACAAATGATTGTCTTGATAGTCATTTGCCGACCAATATCTCGGCTCTATTATACTCTTAGGTTTGTCGCGAACACGCGGTGGCCACTCGTAGTATGTGTTGAGCTGATCCCACGGCCCAAAGCTCTGATAGTCAAGAGGTCGAGGCATAAGTTGACATCTCTGAGCTTTATTCACCAAATTATACACCTTTTGATGCATACGCTCACATAAACCGGTCACAGATCGCGGCATTACTTTACCGTCAGATTCAACAAATTGTTGCAAAATCAAGATATCCTTAATAATAGTCATTAAAATTATTATCAAAAAAATGTCAAATCATTTGATGGTCAATATGTTTACCGTATAATTAAGACGTCTTAAGTTGAGTCGACAAAGTGGACAACACTTGCAGCTGACGTTTTCATCAGTGGTCACCAATTTGTCCGTCCGGTCAGACTTGACTTTGACTGCCTCTACGGTTATTGTATCGTCTTTTTCCGTATATTTGACTAAATGACAGACAATTTAATATAAATAATATTTATTAATAAAAATACAAATATATATAAAATTATTGACAAAAATTATACTTTCTTTGAGTCTATTGATTGTCGTTAGACTTATATGTCTTGAAATATATTGCATTTGATTGACATTTGAAACAATCGCTAACTTTTTGGTCAATGATTTCAACAAACAATTCATTGTTTTTTAAACACAATTTATGTTTAATTTATTAATTAATTATTAATTATTAATCATTTGAATCAATGTTTTTATATAATATTATTAATAATATAATGTATTGAAATGACAATATGTTTAAGTTGTTCATAAATTACGTCATTTAATTGATTGAATTGTTTAGTGAACATATCAACAGTGAGTTTGTTTGTTAAGTAGGCGTTCACTCAATCAATGGCTCAGTCTTTGACTATTTGTATAACTTTTGATTCAATCAATGATTGCTTTTATTAATTGATTATAAATTCAACAATTGTTTGATTATTTGATTGAAATCGTTATCATTTGGTTTAATTTGAGACAAATGGTAAGCAATTAATTAACAATAATTTTAATATTAAATACAATTACTGACCAATTGATTGTTGAAATATATATATGATATGATATGTATGAATGTATAGATCCGATTCATACTGATCCAGAACAGGGCCGGTAAGACACGACTGGCCAAGTGGTACATGAACTTTGATGACGACGAAAAACAGAAACTCATCGAAGAAGTTCACGCTGTGGTGACAGTCAGAGACGCCAAACACACTAATTTTGTTGAGGTTTGTCTTCATTGTCTTTATTATACAATATTATCAATAATATGACCATTTGATTGATATTTGTAAGAAATTTGTATTTATTATGTTTTTTTTGTCGATTAGTTTCGTAACTTTAAAATAGTTTATCGTCGTTACGCTGGACTCTACTTCTGTATTTGTGTTGATGTCAATGACAATAATTTGGTATATCTTGAAGCCATTCACAACTTTGTCGAAGTTCTTAATGAATATTTCCATAATGTCTGTGAATTGGATCTCGTCTTTAACTTTTATAAAGTAATTATTATTTGGTTTTATTATTAATAAAAATTACTGATTTGTTGTCATATGTGTGGACAGGTATACAGTGTCGTCGATGAGATGTTCTTAGCCGGAGAAATACGAGAGACGAGTCAGACTAAAGTGTTGAAACAATTATTGGTTTATAATTCACTCGAATAGTTCATTCAAATTGTTTTTTATTATTATATAGTTTTCATTATATTTATAATTTTTGTCTCAATATTTTATTTTGATATTCGGTATATATATTGTATATATACAGTATATTGATCTATTTATAGCTACTGTTTATCTAATTTGTTAAATTAAATATTATTATTAAAATTTCCTAATAAATTAAATTTTATTTTACATTTTGTGTTTTTGTTTTTATCAAATTGTTAGTCTGTAAAAAATGAATGTATAATAAAATACAGTATAATTCAAATTTAATATATTATGTGAATACAGTAATATGACATAATTGTATAGTTTTTAAAGACGATATTTTGTTGATAACTTGTTATAGGAATTGAATTTTCATTTGGATATATTATACACTACTATATAAACTGAAATTATTTATAGATCTATATTACAGTATATCTGTGTGTATGTGAGATATATATATAGATAGATATATGCAGAGAGAGAGAGAGAGAGAGAGAGAGAGAGAGAGAGAGAGAAACTACAATATGATATAAGTGGTATAAAAATCGATAAATTGTAACGAATTGATCGGTTGGAGTGTTATGTGAAGTGAGAGCACCGACACAACCATCACAACCATCACAACCACTAAATGATGAGTTCATAACATACAACGCATACAATATGTCTTAAATTATATAAACATTTGATATATATGTTATTAATTATTAAAAATAAGAAATGAATTGTTTAATTAAGTTTTATTTAAATGCAATTATTTTGTTATTGATTTATATGTCCAGTGGCTATAGTTTGCATTTAATAGAAAAACGATATCAACTAACAGATCCCAAAATTAATAGTCCACAACAACAGAGATCAATACACGATAATATTGTTGACCGCTTCCACATCAATGCCAATACCATTATAAGAACCCATGATTCTAAAGCACTGGGAGCTGTCTATTTGAACGAAACTGAATTGCCTTCTAATGAAGATTGTCTCTATTGGTGTCTTGAGACCAGTCCTTGCAATCTTGCAGTTTATGAACAAAAGGTATATTTTTGTCACATTTTTTAAAATTTAGCGTAAATTGAATGACTTTTTTAAAAAAAATAAAATCATTGTTTTTGTTATATTTATAAATTGAATATATAAGAGAAGCGGTAGTTGTTATCTGTTTGATTGTGGATCAACTGATGACTTTCGTTGTAAATTTACTGCACATAACTTCTATACGAGTTCTATACTTCAAGTCAATAGACATCCCTATGATTTGACTGAATGGCAATCACAAGTCAAACACGAAAAAGAGTTAACAAAATTAAGACCTCAGAGTACAGCTGCTCCTCAATTGAGTAGTACTTCTTCGACACACAATCTAAAGGCGCCATCAATGATACCGACAACGACTATCTCTACAGCTTATCATAAAAGTAAACTCAATACTACCGTATATTATCATAAAATTTGACTGTAATTTAATATTTAATATAATCTTTTAAATTGTTTATTATATAGCATCCCGTTGTTTGCACTATCAGTTTGAGTGCAGAAATAATAGCGAATGTATTGCAATATATAATGTTTGCGATGGTATTCCTCAATGTAGTGATGGAAGTGATGAATCCAATGATCTGGAGTGTCATAAGTCACGATTCAATGTTCCCAATCCTTATCCAAGTCATTCAATTAGTTCATCAGAGAGTCTAAGTCAAAATCCTAACAATAATAAACAAATGGATATGAAAATCCTCCCACAAAAAACAAATGCGATGACAGATCCAATATATGCACGAATTCCCTCAAATAAGGCCTCTCAAGTGATGCCGGCCTATAATTATCCGAAATCAGCCGATTTAGAAAATACTGGTCAACCAAATGATCAGTCATTAACTTCGAAAAAACAGAACTTTGGTTCTTCAGCAGATATGGCAGCTAATGGTTATAATACACAATACAGAGGTCCGTGGAATCAATATTACCAACAAAACGATGGATTAGGTTCTCCAGACAATCGCATGGGTGGCCAATATCAGATGGAACCACAATATATGAATAATTATGGCAATCGTGAAAATCATAATTCTGGCTCTTATTGGTTACCAACAGGAAGACAACAATCCTATGACTTGTCCGATCAAGTGTTGTCACCAGGAAGTCAACCTTATATGAATATTCCCCGATCACAGAACTCTGCCGATGACTGGCTTCAGAGCACATCCAACAGTTATAACTCCAACTATTACGATCATCTCTCTAGAAGTCATACAAATAAAATTGATACAAATCAGAGAAATGGAAACCAAATGACAACATCCAACACTAAATTGAATAGCGATTCCAATGTAAAGAATACAAAGAATTTAATCCCTCATAAATATGAACAACAGCTCAAAACACAGAATAAAGCAAAGGATGAAACAAATAATCCGCAAATTTATACAAAACCGAAACCCAGTTATTCTCATATGTCCTCAAACAAGGGTTATGTTAACAGCGCCAGTATTGTTGCCGTCTCTTATATGCACGACTCCAGCCAACAGAGCGGTCGAGAAACCAATAGTGCAGTCATTGCATTGACACTGGGATTGTGTGTCACTGTTTTGCTGGTCGTACTCGTGGGTTGTCGTATGAAATCATTCAAGAAAAAGATTGCCCGAAGAGGTCGATCATTAGCTCACGACGCAGACTATCTCGTCAATGGTATGTATCTATAAATTCAATTATAATGAATGACATCGAAAATAAATATTTATATATATATACATACAATGAATATATATATATAAATCTATGGCAATCGTTCAAAATGTTAACTTTATTGTATAATTAACATCATATATGAATCTTATAATTCAATTGATTGATTCAATAATAATTATTCTAATTTTTATTTATTTTTACTAATTTAAACATTTAAAAACATACTTATTATTTGTTTCGAAAAGTATATTTTCATGTTTTTAATTATTTCTAAAGTTATTACTAATGATTTAATAGTTAAATATTTATAAATATAAAAATTTAAATATTATAAATTACAATAAGTAATTATAATATTTCGACTAATCATTTTTTATTTAATTTTAATCTTATAATATAATACAACATAAAGAAAAGTTAGATATTTTGTTTTATGTATGAAAAATAAAATTGATTTAAAACTATAATATAATGACTATAATATAGTAAAAAAGATAAATTATCTCAATATGTTATTAAAAATCACAAATAAGATATATTTGTACCATAGGTTAAACATACAATTGGGGACATAGTTGTGGTATATTTCTAATATCAAGTAATTAGAACTAATGTATTATATGATAATTTTAAATGGTATTAAATTATCAGATAAATTGATTACATATGAACTTTATATGTTCATAAATAATATAAATAATTGATATTAAGAGTGAATTTATAATTATGAAATTATATCAATTATTATAGTTCACAAATTTTAATGTTTAATAATTGCAATAGATTTTTCTCAATGATTAAACAAATTGTTTCTAATTTTTATAGGCCTATAAACTTAATTGATTAATATAAATCAATTAAAACTATGAAACTTGTTTTAATTTTAATTTTATTATAACTTTAATTTAGAAATTTTTATAATATTAGAAAATTATGTGAATATTTTTCAACCAACACTATTTATTAAACTATATTGATATGTATTATAATATATTAATTTTTACACTGTTTAATTTATAGTAAAGTACAGTGAATATGAAAATTTTAAATATTCAAAAATTATTTAATTACCTCATGTTTTTTGTTATTATTATTAAATTGTATAATTCAATTGTTAATAATAAATCTTTGTTGTTACTAACAGTATGTTGTATTAACTTTTATATTTTGTAATATATTAATTTGTTTGTATTTAAAAAAAATACTATTATTAATATTATAATTGTATAATAGATTTATAAAGTATAAATTAATGTATAAATAAATATTTAATGACTATAATATAAAAGTAAAATATTGATTTTAACCAATTTGTGTGATAATTAAATGTTAATTTTCTTTTCAATTGACAAATTGTGTTATAAATCTTTAGATTATTGAAAAGTAAGTATAATATGTAAATTTCTATACAATTTTACGACATTTAGTTAAATTGTTTAATTATTAATATATTTATAAAAAGCATTTTTTATTATATAATTTTATTGTTTAGAATACACAAAAAAATTAGTATACAACGGGAAAAATGATTTTATTAAATATCTTAAAAACTAAATATTATAATTAATAATTTGAATTTAATAATTATTAATTCTAAAATACAATCTAATCTAATTCAACAAATTACATAAAAATATACCAAGACACTTTTAATTTATTGCATATTAATATATTACAAATTTGAGATTTATTTTTTTAGTCGAATATAACAAATTTTTAAAAAAATCTGAAACACATGTAGTAGCAAAAAATATGTCAGTTTAACTTTAAAGTTATAGCTAAAAAACTGTGTCAAACACTTTTTTAAAACCAATTTTATGTTTAGAGGATAAAACAAAATATAAATATTTAAAAGATTTTTTTTTTATTAAGAATATGATATTAAATGATATAAATATAATCTAATTACCCATTAATAGTACATTTGTGTATAAGTCAACTGTAAGTAAATTATATGTTATTAATATAAAAAATATGTAATATTAATAACTTTATTAAAATAATTTACTTAAAAAGTAAAAATAAATAATATTTTATATAATTTTACTATTTTAACAATATTTAATAAACTAAATAACAATTTCAAATAATAAATGTTAATAACAGTTAATAAATAATAATTTAATATAAGTTACAAAACTTTAGATTAATAGAAGTCGTTGTAATGAAAACAACGATATTTATGAATAAAACGTGTATTTAATTGATATTTTGGTAAATATAACAACAAAACAACGATTGCATTGTTTATACATTAATTGATCCACAATTTGAATATTGATTTAATCGAGTCTTAAATCTATACAAACCATTGACAAGAATGGCGTCACTTAAAGGAAAGGCAGCGAAGACTAAAGTAAAGAACAAGAGTCCGGCAGAGATACAGATAACAGCGGAACAGTTATTAAGAGAAGCCAAAGAAAGAGATCTCGAGATCGTCGCTCCACCGCCTAAGCAGAAGATATCAGATCCCGAAGAATTAGCTGATTATCAATTGAGAAAACGTAAGGCATTTGAGGATAGTATCCGTAAGAATCGACTGGTGATCAGCAATTGGATCAAATATGCCAAATGGGAGGAAAGCCAACAACAAATACAAAGGGCCCGATCGGTCCTCGAGAGAGCACTCGATGTCGACCACAGAAACGTTACGATTTGGCTCAAGTATTCTGAAATGGAAATGAAAGCCAAACAAGTAAATCACGCGAGAAATGTATTGGACAGAGCAATACTACTTCTGCCACGAGTTAATCAATTGTGGTATAAATACGTATATATGGAGGAAATGTTGGCCAATGTCTCGGCCTGTCGTCAAGTGTTTGAAAGGTGGATGCAATGGGAACCTGAACTCCAGTGTTGGTTGACTTACATTAACTTTGAGTTGAGATATAAAGAAGTGGATCGGGCCAGACATATATACGCCAGATTTGTGACCGTACATCCAGAGGTCAATAATTGGATCAAATTCGCCAAATTTGAAGAACAGAACGGATTTATAGTCAATGCTCGAGAAGTTTATGAAAAATCTATTGAGTTCTTTGGCGACGAGTATTGCGATGAAACTCTGTTTATGGCTTTTGCAAAGTTTGAAGAAAATCACAGAGAATACGATAGAGTTAGAGTTATCTATAAATATGCTTTGGATCAGTTATCAAGTGATAAGACACAGCAACTCTTTCATCAGTACACACTCTTCGAAAAGAAATATGGAGACAGAGCCGGCATTGAAGATATTGTAATGAATAAAAGGAAGTATCAATACGAGGAACAACTTAAGAGTAATTCACATAATTATGATATTTGGTTTGATTACATCCGACTCATGGAAAACGAAGAAGACATTGAGGCCATTCGCAAAATCTTTGAACGCGCCATCGCTAACATTCCGCCAAAGAAAGAGAAACGTTTTTGGAGACGATATATATATTTATGGATCAGTTACGCCATATTTGAAGAGTTAGACGCAAAAGATATAGATAGAGCTCGCGAAGTCTATCAGTTTTGCCTCAAATTATTACCGCATAAGACGTTTACTTTTGCTAAGTTTTGGATTTTGGCCGCAAAGTTTGAAATCAGACACAAGAACTTAACGGCCGCTCGCAAACTGTTGGGAACAGCTATTGGATTGTCTCCTAAAGATAAACTTTTTAGGGAATACATCGAACTTGAAATTCATTTAAGAGAGTTTGACAGATGTCGTGTACTTTATCAGAAATTTCTTGAATTTTCGCCACAAAATTGTACCGTTTGGATGAAATTTGCCGAATTAGAGACTATTTTAGGTGAACTGGACAGAGCCCGAGCTATTTATGAGATAGCAATAGATCAGCCGAGACTTGATATGCCAGAAGTGATTTGGAAGTCATACATAGATTTTGAAGTCGAACAGCAAGAGTATGAAAAGGCGCGCCTTTTGTATGAACGGCTACTCGAACGGACACAACACGTCAAAGTATGGATCAGTTTTGCACGATTTGAGTTCCAGGCTTCTGATGGCAGCGAAAGTGGTATCGCACAGACCAGAACTGTCTTTGAAAGGGCTAATAAAGCTCTCAGAAATTGCGAAGAAAAAGAATCGAGACTTATGTTATTAGAGGCCTGGAATGAGTTCGAACAACAGTATGGAACTGATAACAGTAGACAACATGTATCGCGACTAATGCCTAAAAAGGTTAAGAAAAGAAGAAAAATACAGACTGATGACGGATCAGATGCCGGTTGGGAAGAGTATTACGATTATATCTTCTCTACTGATGAAGAAGCACTACCACATCTCAAATTTTTAGAAATGGCTAAGAAATGGAAACAATTACAACAACAAGAGTGATAATTTGGTAATCATCACAACATTTGAAATCATTCATAATTGTCTACAAATTAAAATCAAATAAAATATTTTATTATTTAAATGTCGACTCGAGTTATTCCAAGTCTTCAGGTCTGACTGGATGTGATAAAGGGATTATAGACTTCTTGTGTTTATCTCGTGGTAAAGCTTTTCTCATATCTGTCATCGAAAAAGTTAAATGTTATTAACAAAAGTAGTGAAATGAGATCAAAACAAAAGTACCGAAAGCGTCTTCATCGGGATCTCCTGAATAATATTCTAAAACTCTTCGATAAACAGTATAACCGAGTCTTTTATACATATCAACCGCTACTTTATTAGATACCCTAACGAAGAGGTCCACAAAAAATGCTTGTTTTCTATCATAAAAATAGTTAGAAAACAATTACAAATCATATAAGATATTACTTTTCGGATATAACTTCCAAAGCGTTCATTAATTTGGCCGCTAAGTTGAGCCTACGGTACTGCGGGGCCACACTTAATGCGGTCACGTGTCCGTGCCATTGGTCGCCCTGTCCTTCAATTTTGCCCATAACTGTGCCATAAGTATATTATAATGAGACAATTAAGATGAGCACATGTTGTCATACATACTGTATCCCATGATATGTCCATTTGGTGTCTCTACCACTTGGAAGCATTCGGGCCAATGCGCTAAGTATTGCACGTAAAATGATAGGCCATATGTCTCAGTCAACGGATCCAAATTTCTGTCAATTCAAAGACAATTACTATTAAATGACAATTTGTGTCAACCATTCAAATCAAAACCAACACATTATTGAAGCGAAACAAATCATCGCAACGAAAGGCACGCATTGTGGCCATCGTTTTGGTGGTCACTCAATGGTCATCACATCAATGGACACACAAATGATAAACAAATGTTATTTGTTTTGATTAGTTGTATATCATATACACTGCATTATACAGTATATGAAATGCAATATTAATATCAATGCTATTAAATGCTAACAGTATTTATAAATTATAATTTAGTAATTTTAAGTAGAAATGACATATAAATATTTAAACTCATTTCTAAAAGTCCCACATTTGGTATACAAATTAAGAAAGTTTTATAGTTTAAGGATTAGTACTATTTTGGATAAGAGTCATGAATTTATATGTGGTTTCTGCATAAAAACACTCAATTATTACTATATTTACTATCACTTACTCAACACATTTAAATCATACAAACATATGGCTATAATCCCCGCGCAAACTATTCACATCAATACAAAATACAGTAACTTTTAGTTCACTAAAAGTACCAAATATTCGAATTTGTAATTTGTTTGACAAGTTTTAAGCAATTTTTATTTGATTTTTAAAATTAACATTTAATTTCAGTTAATTTCATTATAATTGCAAATATTTATCAAATAACTGCATATATATTAAAGCAAATAATTTCTACACATTATTTTTAATGATAATTAGTTTATTATGCATAAAGTTTATAGTACTGTACAATACCTGTACTGTACTTTACTGTACATATTTAAAGCTGTGTTACTGTAAGCCATAGCACAAGTGTCGCCCCTTTAGGTGAAGTCAACATAATTTGTTAATACAATAACTAATTATACAGTAATTAAGTGCTTATATGACAATTAATTTACTTATTTAACAAAACAAAGTTACCATTAAGTGATAAGTTGTGGTTTAATTTGACAAACAAAGAGATAGTAGTGATAACTGAAGACATGTGTTGTTGGTGTCGCCACCAGTCATACCAATGCTGTGTATTATGTATTATATTGTATATGTGTTTGTGTTTTGTGAGTGCATTGAGTGTGTCGTCAATTGAGTCGATCATCAGTTGATTGAATTGGTGTTAATGTTAAGCAAAGTGTATAACACTATTGACTGACTGTTTGATTGAATGCTTAATATTAAAGGTAAGAATTGATTGCATTATTTATGAAACATTCAATGCATTGACTTGTATTGTATCGTCACGTGTGGCCACTGATGACTACACATGAGGTTTAGTGACCAACAAATGCATTATCTCTAAGATATATACATATTTGGCCACAATATTGAATACCTTACTGTATGTCTGTATGCTTGCACTCTCAATCTCCTCCCTATCCATACAATACTACTCTTACTATCCATTCATACAAATATATAAGTCATTGATTTGCAAGATCTGACAGATTTGACACTCCAGTAGACCACAGGAGCACAGGTAGGCCTAACCTAAAGCTGAATAAATAAATTTATATATTATTAGCGTTTGAAAAGTTTATCTATTAGTAAACTTAATGTCAAATTTGAAGAAAATATATATTATATTACGCTATGAAATGACATTTGAATTGATTGTCATTTCAATCACTCATATCATGTGATTATTAATTACTAGAATATAATTGTTAGCATATATTGAATACATTATACAATACAGTATATAATTAATCAAATTCAAAGAAATTAATTGTTAGTTATTTTGTTTTAAAACATTTTAAAAACCAAATTTTAAAAAAAATGTTTAAATTAATTATATTAAAATTTTCTATTAATTTTATTTAATTTTTAGTAATACTTGATTTAAATTTATTTTAAATAACGATATGTGATGTGATTAACAATTTCATTAAAATAATAAGTAAAACTATTAATTTGTGATATTTAATGTATTTATTTTATTATTAAGTTAATATTAATTATTTTACGTTTTTCACGATTATTATTAGTATATTAATAAGTTAATCAATTAATAGATTTAGTTGTATGGGTTATGTTATAAGTTATTTTGCAAAATCAAATTTAATAAGATTTTTAACCACTTTTATTAAATAAAATATTTATTATTATATTTATATATTTTAAATTTATAAACATTATATAATAATAAAATGTAATTAAAATGTAATAATAAGAATAGAGTTAGGAATTAATAGATTGTAAATGTATTTAATATTTACATTATATAATTAATAAAACTAACATTTCGACAATTATTTAATAGATAATTGATCTGAAAATTAATATAAGGATAAATATGAAGTATATTTCAATTTTAGACGTTTTATGAAAAAATCCGATGAATGCAGAAATAAAATTAACAAAAAAAACATTTTACTGATCTTAGTATAAAAAAATAAAAATAATCACATTTTTTTAACTACTAACACATATATATATATAGGGTTAAGCAAGATTTGTTGGTCTAGTGGGTACTGGGGGTCAACACAAAAAATTTTGAAAAAACTTAGGGGTACTGGGTGGGGTGTCAACTTTGCATTTTTAAACGGCAATTTTCAAAATTTTAAAATCAAAGGGGATCATGAGAAAATTCCCATGTAAAAGGGAGGAAAATTCCGAGAAAATAGGAAATATTCCCAATTAATTCCCTTATTTTCGGCAAATTTTCTAAAAATTAGTTAAATTCTTTATTTTAAAAAATTAATTAACATTAAATTTTTAAAATTTTTAGTTTTTTAATCTAAAAACATGAATATTAATAGTATAATATTTTATCAATAATTAACAAATTTTTATTAAAATAATGTTATATTTAGATTAATTAAAATTTAAAAAACTAAATTAACTAAATTTTAACTATTTTATATAATAATTTGATGTAAATAAGTTAGAAAAACATATATACACATAGTAAACAAATATTAATTAAAATTTTTAAAATTTCGGCGCTTATTGAAAAATTTCTAATCGTTTTTAAGCGACAAGGGGGTAAAATCTCCATAATCTTGGTAAGTCTCTGGGGTAAGTCGGCCATACCCTCTACCACTCCTAGCGCTTAACCCTGATATATATTAATACTATGTTAGTAAGCGATTAAAACAATTGCCGGTAAAATGTTGTGAATGTGATAAAGATAATCAATGTATTTATAATATAAGTAATTAACAATCTTTTATATAATACTTGAATGGTATCCTTTAATTACCTAATAAAATGTGTTAATATTTTTTATCATATAAATTGAAAGATAGTATTTCTAAATTAATAATCATATCTATAGAGTATTGTATTCCTATAACTAATATTTTGTAATCTTATTTTAACTCATTTTATAATTATTTTTGATGAAAATTTACATGAAATAATGTTTGTTATATGAGAAACTGTGAAATTTTAAAAATAAAATATAAAAATTAATTTGTAGTATAGGTTTTAGTTCAGCAATCAATTGCTGACTTACAAGTTAGTGATAACCGTTAAGTAATATTTTTTGTAATTATTATACTGTATTATACATTATAGATGTAAATGATTTTAATGTCTGCAAAAAAAATACATCTGTCTTTGTAATAAATTTAAAATATACTAAACCTATAATTTATTAAATATTTATATTTTTTGAAAAAATGAATTTTGCATTCAATGTATAATCATTATTAATAATTGAAATTGAATAAAGTAGTTAAATAGTATTTATAATAATTATTTTTAGTATTACTTAAAAAATCTATATTTTAAAATTTTATCATATAAAACGAAATTTGTCTTAAAATTAGTAAATGTGTTAAATACTTAACAAAATGATTTATGTGATACATTGATAGATAACACAATAAATTGAAATGCATAAACTAATTGGTTTAATTAATTAAATATTTTATGCCACTTATTAACCGTTAAGTAAAGTTAACTGTTGTTGAAAATGAAGTAAATTAGTGTTTAATAGTCTAAAAAAAGTGTTTTTTTGTGGATATTTGTTGGCATTTGTATTATGAATATAATTACAATTAAAATAAATTTTATGTGAATGTCGTCTCAATTGACTGCAAAACAATTAGCGTTAAGGTCTTTGAACTGATAGACATACAGACGGTGTATATCAACGCAACGTTGCATAAGACCAGCAAAACTGGCTTTTATTGTATATCATGTGTTCACATGTTTTGTAGGTTAACCAACACTACCTGTAAATACAGATTACTTTAGATTTTTTATACAATATTTACTTATTTTATATTAAAATAAATAAAAAGGCACATAAAATTATTATTTGTTAATAAACTATTTTCATAATTTAAAATTATCGCAATATTTTATTATAAAACTATATTTATGAAATGTGATCACATAAAATAACACAGAAAAATCCCATAGCTATAAAATCTAAACTATTTAAAAAAATATTTATTTTATATTTAAAAACTATATATTTTATATTAAGTTAGATTGTTATAAATTGTAAATATTAAATGTGTTTATAGTATTTTATCTATTAGTTTAGTATTTAATTGTTAATAATAGCAAATATAAGAGTAGCGTTGATACCTATAAGTAGGGATAGACTGTATTGACTATTAAAAAGTTTGTTGAGTTGATCTTCAACTGGTCCTCAAAAGGACGGCCCAAAAGCAGAGCGCCTGTAGTTTGAGTGCAACGCAATCACTCGGCAATAAATACTCATAATTTTAAGCATTGATTTTCAACTAAATTTATATATTGATTATTTCCTGTAATTATTTTGCTATATACTGTGTTTGCAATATTAATTTAAGCAATTAATTGCATTGATTTGATTGTTTAATTATTTTTTGTGAGTTATAACACTTTCGACATGTATTTTATGGCTTTATTATATTACAGTGTAATTGTAGGCTATTTAGTAGTGCCTGTGATCGGACCAGAAGTGTACCACAAGTGTCGGTACAGCATATCATCAAAATGATCGCAAAAAGTCTTAAGAAAGTCAATGAAGTGAACCTTAAGAAAAAAAAGAGAAAAAAGAAGACTAAAAAACCTATTATTAAAAGTGGAAGAACTTCAAGAAGTGGGACATCATCTTCTGCAACAAAATCTACAAAACTAACAAAAATCGGTACAAAAGGTGATTCAAAAGAGTCGTTTAAAAAGTCAATTAAAAACAAAGTTTTGCCAAAGAGTAAAGGTTTGCATTTTTCTGAAAGTGACAAAAAAGTCCAAAAAAGTAATAATAATAATAATAAATCAAACAAACCATCGAATATCAAGAAGAATATCAAAGAAATTGTGAAAAAAGTAAAAACTAAGACAAACAAGAAGTGCCATCAATTGAAAGATGTGGTCAAACGAGAGTTAAGAAATAATTGTAAAATAAATAGTGAAATACATGAGCTTATTGTTAAAGATATTAAGTATAACAACAATAACAATAAGACTAATAAAACTATTAATAAATTAAAGCAAACTTCACAACCAATTGTGACAAATAAAGACAACGACAGACATCACATCAAGAAATCACCGAAAGTTAATCACAGACCTAATTTGTGTTCAAAATTATTGGCATCATTTAATTGCATCAATTCATCAAATAATAAAAATCATTGTAATAGTAGTCAAACTAATCATACAAATAGTGTAAGTGTTAACAACAAAACTCGTGAAAAACAACTAAAAAGTAGTTTAAGACAAAACCAATTAAAAAACAACATTAAAAGTGAAAACAAAACAACGAAACAACAAAAAGAAAAATTGCCAAAAAAGTCACCAAAAAATAAAGAAATGAAAAATAAAATAAAATCAAATCAAATTGGAAATAAAACAACAAAAATATTAGACAACAAAACTAAATTAAAAGACAAACAAAAAGATAAAAAAATGAAGAAAGAAAAATGTAAAAATAATAACAAATATAAGAAAAATAACAAATCGATTAACAAAATAAATAATAAGAAGATTTCAAAAAGTGATGAAAAAGTTGTTAAAAATACTGAATTTGTTGGAAGAAGTCAGCGATTGGCGAGTCTTAACGCTATCGCAAAAGTGAGGCTTTTATGCGAAAATGAATCGGAAAGAAATGATTCAAACGATTCTAAATATTTACCATCAATTGTATCAATAAAAAAGGATTTATTCAAAGATGAGAAAAATAAAACTAATAAACATAAGAAACGAGAGAATACTTGCAGAGCTATAGTGCCGGTCGACAACTCAAGAAAACAGGTGGCCATCAAAAAACGTAAGGCTATTGATGACAGTATTGAAATAATCGATACCCGATCGTGTAAACGGATGGCCAGTCTTAATGCTTCGGCAATAATGACTGCTAGTTATTCACCCGAAAGGTATAGAAGAGGCAAATCAATTGAATCAAATCATAGCAATGGTTCAGTTGAGATGATTCACCAGACAATTAGTCAAACTGTCTCCCGATTTGAGATCAATCCGGGTGTCAATGGCATCAATGGTCTTCATGTTAATCATGTGTCACAACAAAATAGTGTGATTCTTAAGTCTCAAAAACATGAGACGATTGAAACAATGAAACAATTGAAAGTAAGCAACAAAATCAAAGACAGACTTTTAGGTATTGCAAAACTTGAGAGACAAGAACAGAGAGCACAACAAAAAAGATTAAACAAATCACAAACAATTGGTATAACCGATCAAAATGTTGTTTCGGGAACTGAGTTTCAAGCGACTAAAGTTCAGGTGACAAAAGTAACTCAAATCAACACATCTCAGGGAAGTAAAGACAAGAAATCTGGTCATCAAATTGAATCTATACTTGAAAGAGACTCATCAGTTGTCCACAAATATCAGGTTCAGACAAAATCAACAATTGAAATGCAAACCACATTTAATACAACCAATGGTCCATCGATAACCAATGTCAAGACAATAACAGCACCACAAATGACCACAACTGGTACTGCGACCCGAATGAGTGTTCCGATAAACGGTGCGCCGACGGCACAAACATTTGTTCCATCTTTGTTGTCAACTCCTAGTTTAGGTCCTCCAACTTATTTTAATTTTGCGACCACTACTCCCCTATTACAAGTGCATAACAATCAATATCAAACAATGACATCTCCATCTGCTAACATAAACCCGATGCCAATAATAAACTTATCGGAACCGTTTGCAGCACATTATGGCAGTGCCTTTTCGGTGCCTCACTTCGCTACGCACAGTCATCCACACCCACAACAATTAGCAGCTTTCAACTATTTTAACGGTGGTCTCTATCAACCGGCTGGTCCTTTATTACAGCCCTTTCAAGACCCATGTCTTATCCATAAACCGATACCATTTCACCCACCGGTATCTCAGATGAATCACTTGCATACAAGTCCTCAATTCGCAAACTCTACTCTTTCGGGTCAAAATAGTCAGACATTCCAGAATGAGTTAACCCAAGCATTCCATTCGAGCGGTCAATACTTCCATCCGATACCAACTCCGCTAAGACCTTCTGGTGCTGTCTTTTTTCAAGCAATGCCTCAACTGAGTGGTTCGTTACCACAAAATGCCACTACTTTTACTTTCTTGAATCCAGGCGTTCATTACACTCATCCAACGTTTACTAATAACAGTCAATTGTCAACAAATGACACCTCAAATATGGCAAATGATATGAATTATTTGAATATCAATATGAAGGACACATCAACTCCTTCAGCAACACAGACATTAACTGATGATAACTTTCGACAATTATCTAAAAGTACTGGAATTCAGTGTTCGCCTCAAAGTAGTGACAAATTGGAAAACTCTTGCATTCAAAAGCAAACGTGTGATTCAACCAACACTTCATTACGATCGTCACAAAGCATTACAACTACATCAATGGCTTCTTCTGGAGCTCAGACTTGTTCTAATAAAAGGACCAATAAGTTGGACCATAAAACTGACAAACGAAAGAAGTCTTCTATGCTTTTAAAGCATAATTCCGATCCCAATAGTAATAATAATAATAATAATAACAACAATCAAGTGTCTGTTCGCGACAATAACACACAGACATTATTGTCTGAACCTGAAGAACAAGTGTCTATTATTACAAGTGTAAAGTCAACGAATGTCTCAATTAATAATAATAACCAATTAGATGGACAGCAAAAAAACTTCAAAACAATATGCGTTCAAATAAATACTTCATTGCCATCAGTGTCTATACCATCAGTGCCCTCAAAGTTATCAATGCCTTCCCCATCAAATCGATTGATGCCTTTGAAGAGACCAATAAGGAAGCGATACAGTCATGGCTGGTCGTGGGAGGGAAAGCCTATCGATAAATATGTTTATTTAAACGTATATATTATGATTTATTTGCTGTATATCTATAATAAATTTAATGTCTAATTTATGTCCAAACAGAACGAAGAGCAGTCATATCTTCGAAAGTGTTTTCCAGCTATTCGTCACAATGAGGGCGATATTATCAAAGTCCGTGACTGTGTTTTACTTCGAAGTGGTCCACGAAAGACGGATTTGCCATTTGTAGCCAAAATTGCTGCTCTTTGGGAAACACCAGACGGTAATAATTAATTAGTAAAAGTGTTTACAACATAATGATTGATTAATAAACATATTTTTAGGTGAAATGATGATGAGTTTGTTGTGGTACTATCGTCCGGAGCACACGGATCTCGAATATTACTGCAATCAGCCGGTGTCCGAAATATTTGCATCGAAGCACAGGGATGTCAATAGTGTCGCCTGTATTGATGACAAGTGTTACGTTTTAACATACAATGAATTTTGTCGATATAAACGATTAAAATTTTTGAAACAGTCGTCACTTTCCACATGTCTTACCTCTTCTACTGTTCCTTCAATGGATGACTCCTATCCACGAATGGATCGCTTGCCTCCGAACCGTGTTTTTCAAGAATTAGTGTTTTGCTGTCGAAAAGTCTATGATTACCGACAAAAACGAATCCTTAAAAATCCTATTTAATTACTGAATTTAATTTAGATTTATATACATTTTAATATAAATAAATATATATATATATATATATACACGCATTAATATATATACAGAATATAAATATAATATATTTAAAATATTTAATTAAAATATTAATATACTGTAGTATTAAATATAGATTATTATACACTTAATTTCTTTAAAATAAATTGTAGAGTAGATTCATTTATTTGATAATTTTAGTCTTAATATAAGTTTTGTTAAATAAATAAATATATATATATATACAGTATATACTGAATTTATAATATAAATTAGTTATCAATTTTACACAATATTATTACAGTAATTGTTTTATTGTCTTTGATTTGTTTTTACATAGAAAACTCTGTTTTATAGAAAATATAATTATTCAGTATATAAAAAATAAAATAAAATGATTTAAAAACTTATTGGTAATTATGTATTAAAAACTTTAAATGATTTGTATAGGAATGACAACAGATAATGGTTTTGGAAAACCGGAGTCATATTTGACTAAAATATTTAATTGATTTTCTTTATGAACAAAAGCCATATTATCTGCCATTAACCCAATCGACACCTTTTCTTTCGGTGCAATCATTAGTTGAGATGACGTGAACTTAACAATATCTTCAATAACATTGTTGTTATAAATGCATTCAAATGTTAAACGAATCAAACATTTGTCTGATTTGTTACGAAAATCAATTGTTTTCCATTGGTTTCGTGTGAGACAAACACTTGTTTGTGAGCACTGAAGTATATGTTGAGTCATTGGTTTCTGAAAGCAAATAATAAACATTTTTATTGTAAATATCAAACAATAATTCATATAAAGTCAAACCTTTGGCCAAAAAGTAGCACTCAATTGAAAAATAGCCAAAACATGACTCGAAGATGAATTAGTGGCCACTGTTAGACACGATTTGGTGTTAATAGTATTAGACTCAATAATAATGGGAACATGTATTTCATATAAAGATTTAGTGGCCAAAAGCATTGTAAACGGATCTATACATCGATATGTAATAATAGTACTTTGAGGGTATCGGTAGAGGGGCTCAAACATAAAATCTTTGTTGGGATGTAATAAAAGTTTAAGTGATATTACATCCGATATAGACTTATTGGAAATACACAAATCAATTGTCTGTTTTATTAGAGTATCTTCAAAGAGATTGTAGTGAAGCTTTTGGCAATGCGACGAAAAATACGGTCTCTTAATAACCAATTCCTCTGATCTTATGTGACATATCACTGATAATGGATTTATCGGTAGATTTATGTTATCAATTGACGGATAAAACTGAAAGATTAATTTAAATGATCCACATTTTAATGGTGTTATTACTATATCTTCATTAAGAAGACCCTCGAAGAATGCCGGAATATTAATCATGTTTTTAGGAAATTTTATATCTAAAGCATTCAAAGTGTCAACATTTGCATTAATTTTAACTTCAGCTTTGAATGACGTAATCGACAAATTCTTCACTTTTAAATAATTAAGTTTAAAGTCAACAAAACATCCGACAGTTAAAGACAATACATTGGGTGATATAACCAATAATTGATTAAGACTTAGTGTATTATTATTAGAAAGTACCAGTGATTGACTGTTATCTGGATGTGGTATTGAATAGGTTTGTGCCGTTACTGTAGATAACGTTCCCAATCCAGATGTCTTGTTAGGCATTGGAGGGCTTTTCAAAGTATTATCGTATAAATTAATTGTTGAGTTAACGCTCGGAGCAAATGATTGATTTATAACAGGAATGGAAACAATGCTTGAATTGGATTTACGTTTTCTGGACTTTCGGTCAATAATTTTCTGTACACTTTCTATAGTCGTTTCTGAAGAAGTCATTTCATCATTAATTGAAACAAACGACTCATTAATACTCGACATTTCTTTTTGCAAATTGTTTTGAGTAATCCTTTTCATATTAAACGACTGACCAAACGTTTCAATTGATGAAAGAGGTTCTGAATGTTGCATAAAATATGCTGAAATAGATTTGTCTTTAACTTCATCTTTTGGTGACAACAATGCGATATTCATACCACTATTTGTCTTATCATTACATTTGAGCTCAAGATCTGAACATTTACTGATTGAATAAAAACTTTGGTCACAGAGTTCAGTATTCAATGCGTTTGTTAACGGATTTGATATAAAACTATTGACTTGAAAGCCATCGAAGTTATCATCAATTGGATCATTCGCTTTAATGTCTGAAAACAATGCCTTACTTTCGTCCGAAAAATTCAATGACTTCGCTGAACAACTCTTTGAATTATCTTCTCTAATGAACTCTCTTCTGACTGGAGACAAACCCAACGTATTATTAAAACTAATTTTTGTCTTATTTGTGATAATTTCGTCGTTAAACAAATTCTTGTGATTTTCTATTCCAAACAAATCTTGTCTTTTACTTAAATCTTGTCTTAAGTCAAGACTCGGAGTTATATTTGTAGATAATTCGCGTAAATCATCGGATAATAAATTTGAGCTGACATTGAGTTCTTCAGTCATTTGTTGGTCACCAATAAGTCCTAAAGAAGTTTCATTTATACAAAAGTCTCTTCTAATTTCTTCTCGACTCTTAATATCTTTATTTCCATCACTGATATCATCACTAGATTGTGATCCATGTCTTGAATTCACGCTTTGATCACTAATGCACTGAAAATCGTTGGAACCGTTAAGACTTAAAATGTCATTAAAGAAAGTGCTGTCACTTTGAAGACATAAAGTATGCATTTTATCGACAAAAGTATTCAAACGATTGTTTTGATCCATAATAATGACGACAAATGTGACCACAATTTACATATCAATCAATCAATTGATCCAAAACTCAAATGAAACGCCTTTTAAATTATTTTCAATTTAAATCACTCGCTCTTTGTAGAGGTGTGTGTGTGTTGTGTGTGACAAACAACTTATCAATTTTCATACTTTAGTCGGATATGTATTACAATCTATTGTTTTTCATAATTATTCTATAATTATAATTGTATTAATAAACCAAATATAGAATATATTCTTTTAATTTTTTAAAATTATTTTTGATTAAATAAAAATCAAATTTATTTTATTATTTACTATAATTTATACCAATTTATAACAATCTGTAATAACAAATTCCTGTGAAAACCCCTACTAGTAATCAATTTTTAGCGCTATTTTGTATTAATTTTATTAAAAAAAAGTTTTTTTTTCAGTATTTGACAATTGATTGAAATTAAGTGTTCACTGAATGTAATCATTGATTGTAACCATTGATTGTGACCATCGATGGCAAGAGTACTGAGAATTAGTCGACAGGAAGTTCTTAAAAGAACACAGATATCAGGTCTTCATTTGATGAGTGAAGCCGTGTCTGTCATTCAAAACGAATTGGTGACCGCATTCCCGCCGTTTGCGTCCATCGATGAGTTCATCAAATTATTTATAGATATATTAGTCAAAGATTACAAACTCAACTCAATTCTTGTGGACAAACAAATAGCCCAACAAGTGATTGATGAGATCAGAGAGAGACGCATCACTTCAGGCACTGGCAATGAATTGGTCGTTAAGAATGTAGTCAAAAGTGAGGACAACGTGAAGAAGACATATTTGAAACATTTATCTCTTTTAAGACAACATCTGGAAAAACATCCAATATTTCAGTCGAGAGAGTTCACACTATCACCTATTGATAACTTAATTACTTTAGATAAAGACTTGGAGGTCGAGTGCATTGTTTACGGCTTTCTCTATAAGGATAAGACTAAAATTGATTCCGAGTTTTACATCGAAGACAATACTGGAAAAGTGCCGATTGTTTTCAGCGAAGACACGCAATTCAAAGATGATTTGATTCCTTCAAACAGTTTTGTTTTAGTCGAAGGATCGTATGATTCAGCGAAAGACACACTCTTTGCCGATTCAGTCGGACACACATCCCCTGCAAATCTTCAAGAAAACATCGATTTGTCCAATAGTTTGGAAAGAGTTGGACGAATGGTTGTTGTTGTGAGTGATATTCATTTGGATGACAAACAAACTTTGGATAAATTAAAGACTATGTTAACCGGTTATGACTCAATGGTTCCCATTCCCGATCTTTTTATATTTGTCGGTCCATTTGTGTCCCAAACTTGTCAAGACATCACTATATTTAAAAGTATATCTTATTTTACATTTATTTATTCGTTACTTATAATTATGATATTTAATTCACTTTTTACCCGATAATTGTTTATTATACTGTATTTAGATCACATGAAAAACTTAGTTAAACTAATAGCAAAATTTAACAAAATTAGTCGATTATCTCAATTTATATTTGTTCCCGGATTTCATGATAACGAAGGCAATGATCTCCCGAAGTAAGTATTATTTAAATGTTTTATTTATTTGTATATATCATATAATATATATCCTTAGCTTTCAAATCTTGAAATTAAATTAAAATAAAGTTAATTTATTTTATCTTATGTTTCATAATACTTATATAAAGTATAAAATTTACTGATCAAATCTGTAACAATTAAATTATCCAAACTTATAATGTCTTTATTAGGCCTGCATTTACTGTTGATATGTTTCCCACGTCAACAACAAAGTTAGCAAATTATCATTTGGCCACAAATCCAGTTAACATTTATATTGATAACCGACACATATGTTTGGCAGCATTTCCTTATATGTCACGATTGGAGCAAAATATAATAAATGATAATTGCGATGACACACAACAATTAGGATCATCTATAATCAAATTGATTTCATCCAATGGTCACCTGTCCTCCGGTCTGAGCCGCCATTACGAGAGTTGTCTCTCTGTATTTCATATCCCAGACTTTATCATTTTATTTGATAGTGATATGAATGAAGCAATGGATAGTAAAGCCTATGATTATTCACATTTGTTGGTTTTGCCATCATTTTCCTCACAACAGTTCAAATTCAAAGTGTTTTATACTGAACCCAAACATCACGATTCATCTCAAATACTATCATAAATGCAGTTATTTGTTGTAACACATACTCTAATGTTTATATTGGCTTCAAATACGAGTCTACGATATATTTTTTTTTATTTGAAAACCTTGAATATACAATAGAAAACATTTGACAAAGTATTATATTAGATATAAAATGAATTATTTGTCGTCAATTTATAAAATTAACCCTAAAATAAATTTTAATAATTACCGATATATAAGATATTATTCACAATTAGGACCTCAACTACCAAAATGTAATTTTAATGCAAAAAATAATAAAGTAAGATTGTTATTGAATAAGTTATCAAATTATTTATTGATTGTATATATATTTGTTGTTATTTAAGCCAAAATTATCCGCAACAGACATCGAGAGTATTCATAAATTGAATTTAAATCCATGTCTTAAACCGTGGTATCGGAAACCTGTTGTCATTAAACAGGGATATATGCAATATGTTTGGGATAATGACAACAAAAGATATTTAGGTTTGTAATTCAAACTTTGTATTCAATTGTTATTTGAGTATTAATATTAATAGCACTGTATTTTCATAATGCTATAGACCTATAGTTAGGCCTGAGTTAGGCCTATAGTTATGCTAATGATATAAATTTACATTCTTTAATACTAACGAACCATTTAGTCCATAGTATATATATATACAAAGTTATGAGATATTAAAAGTGTTATTTAATTAAAACATTTATTAATAAATATATTCAATATTATTATATGTTATAAAATTAAAATTTAAGTTTTATCTAATACTATAAATATATATATATAATATATTGTATAATACTTCTAATAATTTGTAATAATCTAAAAACCTGTACTCATGTACTAACTTATTATATTAATAATAAATATATTCAGATATGTTTGGAGGAATAGTGACCACAAGTATCGGTCACTGTCATCCAAAACTAGTAGAGGAAACAACTAAACAGTTGAGCAAATTATGGCACACAAGTAGTATCTATTATAATGAAGAGATTCACGAATACGCCAAAGCATTGGCTGAAAAACTTCCCGATTCTCTCAATAATATATTCTTTTGTAATTCCGGTTCTGAAGCCAATGATATCGCTATTTTGATGGCCAGGTTTGATATGGACTTTGGATACAATAAATATATATAATTTTAATGTTTAAATTTATTTTGATTATTGAATACCACAAAATAGATTATATACAAAATCCTATGATATAATATCATTGCGTAACGCCTATCACGGCGACTCTTTAAGCACTCAACCACTTTGTGGAGTTCAGAGTTGGAAATTCCCGATTCCTTTACATTTTGGTGTCCATCACTCTACTAATGCCGATCCATATAGTGGACGGTATTGTTTTATTGCAATGATTTTTAAATTTATATGTAAATTAAATATAAAATCACAAAATTTTTATCAAAAGATACGGCGGTTCCAATTGTCGGGACTCTATAGTACAGACAACCCGTCACTGTGAATGTGCTCTTAATGAATGTAATGCCTGCGACCGATATATTGAGGACTTCCAACAGTTATTTGACTCGACACTACCGAAGAAGATCTGTGGGTTCATCGCTGAATCAATTCAAGGAGTTGGAGGAGTCGTACAATTCCCAAAAGACTTTCTTAAACGAGCCTATCATTTGGGTTTGTATTCAATTCAAACACTTACCGTACGTTAAATTGTGTTTTATTTTCCATATGGAAATGTCAAAGTCATGGGAAATAATGCGAGTTTTCTCCCATATGAAAAATATAGTTTTTACTTTGTATAATAATTTAGTGCTTAATTATTACCAGGGGTGGTAAAAAATGCGAGTTTTTTACCATATGAAAATGTTATTTTTCATTTTTTGGATTCCATATGGGAAATAAAACACGATTTTACGGTAATAAAACTAAATGAATATATATTTATATAATTAATATTTTTTCAGTCCGTCAACGCCATGGAGTTTGCATTGCTGATGAAGTATTGATATTTAATGACAAATGATTTAATATAAATTTACAACTATTTACTAATGTTTTTATTTTTAAGGTTCAGACAGGATTTGGTCGAACCGGAACTCATTTCTGGGGTTTTGAGGGTCACGGAGTTGTGCCGGATATTGGTATATAAATTAAATATTTTTGTTAATAATGTATATATACTGTATATTTTAAAAATATATATTTCATATGCAAATGATAGTAACGATGGCAAAGAGTATCGGAAATGGTTTTCCATTAGCAGCTGTGGCCACCACTTCAGAAATTGCTAAGACTTTAACTGAAGCGTCATATTTCAATACATTTGGTGGAAATCCTGTCGGTTTAATCAATCAAATATATTGTTTTTTTAAATCTAATTATTAAATTCTGTCTATAGTTAGCCTCGTGTGTTGGACTCAATGTTTTAAAGATAATAGAAGACGAAAATCTTCAGAATAATAGCCATAAAATGGGTACAAAATTGTTAAGAGATTTGCAGAAATTGCGAGACAATTATCCAGATATTGTGGGAGATGTCAGAGGAAAGGGACTAATGATTGGCGTCGAGTTGACCAGTGATACGGTTAGATATTATTTGATATTTAAATTTAATTTTAAAAATATATTTATAACAGAAATTAAGAAAACCAATGATTAAGTCTGATTTTGATGAGATTTTGGAGAACTGTCGAGATATGGGTTTATTAATAGGCAGAGGAGGTATAGTATTATTTTATTATTAGTTTCAGATATTCGGCAATTGTTTGGAGCGCTAAAGTCATCATAATTTTTAAATATATTTTTTATGTATATTTAAACAATAATAGCTTTCCTCTGACAAAATGAATGGTCATTAATTAAGTCTCTTTCGTAATCAAAATTTATAATTTTATATTTGAAGTTAAATTATTTCAATACATGTGATTCATAAAATGATAAATACTTACAGTACTAATCAATTTAGACAAAGTTAGTAAGATTTCTGACACCAAAAATTTGGTGAAAGTTTTTTTTAACAGTTAATGATATTTTGGTCAAATTTATAACATATTCTATGGTATTAGTTTACAATTGGAAATATATTGATAAAATAAACTCAAAGTGTTTAGATTGCTTAACTCTACTGACAATTGTTCAGTATATACGAAATTTTATAAATATATGATTACATTATATTAGGTCCAAACGGTAATGTGTTTCGCGTAAAGCCTCCGATGTGTATCAATGAAGAAGATATCGATTTCACAATCAATGTCTTACAAAAAGCATTTGATTTACATAAAGAAAAAATTGTTAAAAAACAATAAATAAATAAATATAATAATTATTAAATGAGAAAATATTTTTAAAAAATATATGAGCAAAAATTCAATATATACTTATAATTATATAATTGAATGTAAATATCAATAAATTTTATAAGTAATAAATATCGAAATATTATAAAATATTTAAAGTTATAATAATAACAACAAGTATTGGCACAAAATGAGATCATTTAAAATAGTTAAAAGTATAAAATAAATGTTTAAAATAGTAGATAAATAGTTTAGTTTAGTTTAGTTAACCATATGTTGCAATTCGTGTGATTCAATTTGGCACTGAAATGGTTGAGCACTAACTGTGCTCTGAGTCGGACTCGTCGATGAAAAGCTTGTCGATGAAAGGGTTAACCGAATCGACCTTTTTTTCTTAGTCTTTGGCTTTGAATCACTTGATATCGAATCAAACGGTGAATTCATTAACATTGAGTTAACAGTATTTGAAGACTTATTGCATATAAAACAACAATAAACTGTGTCTTCATTTTTATCAGTTTTGTAATTAACACCAAAAATGCTTAATAGACTCTGAAATTTTAATATAATAACTTAGATTATATTAATAATAATAATATCAACTTTGAAAAAACAAACCAAATGAAAAAATGTTGAATATATCCAACTAATAGATGACAAAACAATGAGAAAAGTGCCGATTTGTATGTATGCGAGGATTGTCGAGAAAAGCATTGCTATACCAGCTATACATGTGGTCAGTGCGGCCATCGCTACTGGACTTGCAATACGAGACAATGGGTATTGAATTGTATTTTCCTAAAACATTAAACAACAATAATTAATATTTTAAAAATTAAAATAAGCCATTAATTACCTGTTGTTTTGATAATTTAAAAGCAATGGTATAATGAAGAGTAAAATCAATGGCCAAACCAATGGCTAATAAAATACTAATACTTTCTAAAACATTGAGTTTCCAATCGAGTGCTACTAAGACAGCGATTGTCGTAAAAATAATAGCAAATATAGTTATTATTGATAAAGCACTTAATCTCCAGTCACAGGTTGTTATGATGAGAGACACAAAAGCAAAGAATACGGCAAATGATATCGATTTGAAGATACCATCAGAAAGTGAGAGCTGAAGAGCATAGAAATCCATTTGACTGCTTATAAACCATCCATTTTGTAGACCTTTCGGTGCACTTATTATTTTGTTTGAAACCCAATCATTGATTTCATTCCAGAAGCGATTCATTTCAACAAATGAATGCGAAAATGAATAAACGGAATCGTATTCAATAACTGCGGCCACCATTTGAAGCGATCGTTTGTCATAACGAGGACCGGCCCAGTCATGAGACACAAAATAATTAGGAGTTTTACTCAATAATTCAATCACTTGATTCAAACATAAATTAAAAACAGTTGGTTTGAATGGGAATTGAGAAGTGCGACAACAAGGACTTCGATCCAAACCATTGATGGCATCAATACATTCTCTGTCTTCCATCCATGACTTAAATGTCTCTATAAAACAATTGGAAAGCAATGGACCCATCATTGGCTTATAAAAGCTTTGATTACGAAGCTCTTTACAGAAGTCAATGAGCCATAACTGACTGCTTTGGGAAGTGATATCAAAATTTTGATTAATTTGTAGTAAACCTCTATTTGAAGGATTGAGATAATCACCGGTGTCTTGAGGATCGATACCAAATACAACTCTTATTGGCAATGAATACGACGACGAGTCTTCTCTATTGTTATTTATATATTTAAACCAAAACTTATTCTTCAATTGTAAGTCATATTTCTCAAAGTAATGATTAGAACTAAATATTTGCAATTCTTGAGAATTGGGAAGTTTTAGTCCCGGAGTTATTACCACAACTACCACTGATGTCAGTGTTATCGATGTGACTAACACTACAATTATGTAACGGTATTTCATGATTACGTTTAGCAACATTTTCTCGAAGAATAATTTCGAAATCGAAGATCGAAATCTCCAAAAATTACTAAATGATAAGTATTTTAACGAATACTTCTCCGAAATAATGACAGCCGAAGGAAGTAATAACATCGTCAGCACAAAGTTGGCCGCAATTGCAGTGCTTGCAAATAGGCTGAAAATTATGCAAATTTATAATAATTATTATAACATTTTGGTAAATAATTTCAAATGTATATATCAATACCTAAAACATTTAAGTGATGTAATGTCAGAGAAATATCCGGCAAAAAAGGCTAATCCAGTTGTGGCACTGGCAGCTAATACGGAAACCCAAGTGTGACTTAATGTGTCGTGAATTAACTTTATAAATATAGGACTTGATTTGTCACATTTGGCACTTTGCCATACTTTACAGTAAATCAATGCATTATCGGAACCGATACCTTTAAAAGTATAGACCAATTAATAATAAATTTAATTTAACAAAAATCTCTTACCGACGGCTATAATAAGTGCCAATAAATTCATAAAAGGAAAGAATGGAATCCTAAAGATTGTCGTATAGAAGAAGTAAGCGCTTCCTAATGATGTGATAATTGTCAACAGAGTAACCAATGTTACCATTATTGAAGTCGTGTAAATATATAGCGATAATAGTATAACACAAAATGCAATCATAAGAAATATAGTATCGTAAATAAGATATTCATCAAATAAAGTATATTTAAGACCCAAATCCATTGCAATTACTTCCAGACCATTCATTTGTAACTTTTTAGACATTAAGTGATTATAATATTGTAATAATTGAGTGCTTTTGGCCATCGGTAGGAAAATACTCGTGTATTTAATTTGAGTTTTGTTTGACATCAATGGATTCATAAAGTCTTTGTCGATGATATAATGCAATAGATTGAAGACTGCGTTCTGCCACTGGAAACATCTTTTCGGTGCTTTTCGACACAGTTTAGGCTCATTATAACACTGTTGGCTGAGCTCTAGATTGTGATAATATGGGGAACACGACTCCAGATAGTGCTTAACAGTCATTAAATCAATTTCGCGAATATCATCACATGTCTTACGATTTGCAATGAGTGCCACATAATTATGAAGTGACCAACTCTTACAGCACTGACCCGTACTTCTAGTTTCACATTTATCTTCAAACAAATGCTTTTCACTACTGGATCTCATACGAAGTAATTGTCTATCGATGTGACACAAAGTTTTGATCGATTCGAGAGTAAATAAATCATTTCCATCAACAGATTGTATTATAAACTGGACATAATCCTCATGAATTGGTCCACAAAATGTCTCGTTTGACTTAAGATTGTGAGTTCGTGAAAGAAATGCATTTGAATTAAAGTTTTCAATGTCTTTCAATTCCTCTTCTTCTGAAATAATTTCAGAAGTCTTCAACTTCTTATATGTGGAATCATTCTTCGAGTAAATACTTAATATGATATCTCCGGATGTATTTTCCAAAAGTAATTTCCAAGAATTGATTCGTTTGGATATTTCAGAGCCTCTGACCTCAAAGCCAAGTAAAGGGTCACTAAATGTCGGCAAATCATTGTTCACAATTGAAATGGCAATTAATGACCAATTGATTGCTAAAACAACGACTAATATAAGAATGGGATGTCTTTCAACAAATCTTGACCACCTGTTTGGTCAACAAAACTGAGTTATTCATACAATTTGTCGCAAAAATATAATTTAAATCAAATACAAACCACATGTGTGTCTCTCTCTTAACCACTAAATGGTCTCAATTTATGATCAATTGTTATATCAATTTCAGATAAGATGTCCATCGAGTGGTCACTTCATTTGGTCACCATTTTATAGACAAGTGTTTTGTGACATATCAGACAAACAAATATAAATATTTAATATATTATTATATATTAATTATTATATCATAAATAATATATTTTATAAAATAATTTAATAAAATTAAATGAAAATCAAATGTCAAAGCATTTCATAATTGACTTATTTTTATGTTTTTTTTGTTGACATTTGAGTCAAACGTAAGTTATGTTTTCAAATGAATGCACTTTTGTTTTGATGACAAACGCATTGTTTTCAATGCTTTTACCGATATTTTAGTGACCACTTTATGACCATTTCATTGACTATAAGTTATAGAAATGCCTCGACTGTCGACATCCGAAGTGACGGAACCAATCGATACTGAAGGACCAAAGTTTGTAGGAATCAAGTTCTGTCAGGAATGGTATGTCTTGTAAGTGATGGTCATATATATGATAATTGTTTGATCCGCAGCAACAATATGTTGTATCCGAGAGAAGATAAGGAGAACCGGGTATTACTATATGCTGTAAGTCATCACCAAATTGTATAACAATTGTCTCAATCACTAATCATTTATTACATTTAGTGCCGAAACTGTGATTACAAACAAATAGCAGACAATAACTGTGTTTATGTTAACAAAATCACTCACGAAGTCGAGTAAGTAATCAATGATTCATTTAATTACATAGTATTTACATAATGTCATTGATATGCCATTAAAACAGTGAATTAGCGCGTATTGTCAGTGATGTCATCCACGATCCAACTCTTCCGCGAACTAAAGAGCATCCCTGTCCTCGTAAGTCATATCATTGTTTTTAATGTATTATTAGATGTCTTATTGTATGTTTTGTTTGTGTCAAGAATGTGGTCATAAGGAGGCCGTCTTCTTTCAGGGACAGTCACGTCGGGCTGAAGATGATATGAGACTATACTATGTGTGCACTGATCCCAAATGCACTCATAAGTGGACCGAATGAATGAATCAAATTTTAATCATTTTTATCTCTCTCTACACATCTTTTATCATTTTTAAATTATTTGACACATATTTTTAGTAATAAATAAAATCTTTAATTTTTTGGTCATATCTTTATGTCAATTATAATATTAATTAAAATTTATAAATCGTAATATTTCTCTGAAAAACCCAAAAACTAATAATCCATTTATAGTTAAATATATCAATATATGGTCCATAAGATAAATAATAGTTATTTGACTGATAATGTGATGTCTTCTATAGTTACTTCTTAGCCGAAGCAGCCTATCGTGAAATCGTGAAAATAATTTTATAAAATTATATATAATTATCAAAAAATGATATATAAAAATAGCAAACACTGCAAAACAATACATTTATAAATATAACATAAAAACATTGATAACTAAACCCCAAAGCAAAGCAAAACAAACAAATGATAACAAAATGCACAAAAAGCACACAATAAATGAATTTACCTCTTAATCTAAAGCTTTTGCTTTTAAGATCTGAACCCCTTTTGCTTTGCTTTTACATCCAATCAATAATTTCAATAATCAATTCAAACAGCAATAATCAAAAAAGATTTAGAGAAACAGCAAATCAAAGAAGGATCAGACAGTTAAGGATCAGACAATCGTGTGTTTAGAAATTGAGTTTCAATTTTGTTAATTAATTTTATACTAATTTTGTTTTAATCTTATTCTTACCCTTCGCTTTGATTTATTGTTAGTAATGTTGGAGAGGAAAGGAGTTTGAGTTTGACTTGGATTAGTACCGGTAGTTAACGGATTAGACTATTCATTTGATAACATAATTTAGTAAAATCACAATTTAAATAAATATACAAAACATATATCATCTAAATCTAAATACATATTATCTAATTAATCAAAATTATTAATATTAATTATAATATTACCTCATTATTAACTTCTATGTTGTTGTTAGTGTTACCGGTAGTATCTTTGGATCCGTTTACCGACGAAGAAAGACCACCATTATTAAGATGGAGCTGAGCTTCGAGTTGGCGAACCTTATCGGTCTCCTGTTTGAGTGACTCGTGTCCTATCCTTACTAATGAATTTAATCTAACGTTTTGCTGATTAAGATCTTTTGAAATCTTTTTCTCTTTTTCGAGCAATGTTTTAGTTTCTTCAAACTGTGTCTTCAATAACTCTAATTCTGATCTTTCATTTTCAAATGCAACCAATTCTTGTTTTAAATTGGATGCACTTTTTGACGCCTATTACATGTTTAGTAAGAAAATGATTTAATAATACAAATAAATAAACATAAAATTGAACGAAAAGCATGACATCAAATACTCGAATCAAAAAACGTTTAAAATTAAAACAAATTCATTCAATCGGGTATTACATGAAAATGTTTGTCCATTTAGACCAAACATTAATCGGGTGAATGACATGCTTTTCAGTACCTCTCCCTCAATGCAGACCTCATCGATTCGTTGCTCTAAAATCTTCTTTTCATTTTCTTCTCCACTCAATTTCGATTGTAATTCTTTGAGCTGACTGTCCATCGAAGCAATCGTTTCTTGAAGTTCTTCCATTTGAACACAAGTCAACTCAAGTCTTTTGATTTCATCTCTTAATTTTGAATTTTCATTTGAATGAGACATCAATTTATTTTCAAAATCCGTTTCTTTAGATCTAATATTACTTTCCTGTGCCTCCAATTTAGTTTGCAATTCACTTAAAATTAATTCCTATATTAATATAAAATATAATTATTAATGTTTTGACATTAAAACCATTAAAATATACCGTTTGTGATAAAGTTGATTCATATTCACTACACTTATTTGCAAATTGATTCGACTTTTCTTTTTCTAATTTCAACACAGATTCAAGATCTTCAAGCCTTTGCTGAACATCACTTGAAGACTGCGTTGAATTATGGCTTAATTGTTGATTGATTTCAATTTCAATACTTGAAATCCAATCTTTATTATTAGTGTCAAGACTTGGAATAGATTTAATGAGTGTTTGTTTAATTAAATCCATTTGTTGAAAGCATTCATGTTTTGCTTTTTCTGTTTCATTAAGTTTTACATTTAATGAATTGATTTGTTCTTTCAATACATCCATTTCACTCTTTAATTGATTGTTTTTATCATCAGATATTTTGAGTGCACTTTCAACCGATTGTTTCTTAATTTTATCAAAATTTTCAATCGATTCATTAGCCAAACGGTACTTTCCGTTAAGTTCTTCATAATTTCTTAACTGATTTTCACATATATTCTTCATATTTTTCAATTCCTCTTTCACTAAAACCAGTTCTTCATTAAGTCTGTTAGCTTCTTGTTTGTCATTATTTTGTTCACCATTTTGTTGTTCATGTTTGGCATCTGTTAAAGCTTTTTCCAAAATTTTCTTTTGTTGACTCAATTCAGTAAAATCATTGATTAATCGCTTAATTTCATCGTTTTTTGAATTCTCCAAATCTTTAAATTTTTGGAGAAATTGTATACTTTCCGACTCTAATGAATTGCATTTACTCTTAATGTGATTCAATTCATCTCCGAATGAATTTCTCTGAGTTTCACATTTCTGTAATTCTTGTGAAATGTCTTGAATATGCTTCTGATACGCGGATTCATCCTTTTGTCGCACTTCTGTCATTGATATTATTCTATTGTCCAACTGTTGAGTTTTGCGAATTAGCTCTTCATTAGCTTTTTGTGTGTTGTTTATTCTCATTTCATACTGTTGTCGATCATTCCTTAGCTGATCCAATTCATGTTTCATATGCTGTTCATTAGCCAATAATTGTTGGAATCTTTGATTTTCGTCTTGAATTCGCAATTTATGACTTCTTTCTTCACTATATTTTACCTGAATTTGTTGTAATTGTTTCTGTAGTGAACTAACTTCAGAGCGATGGCTATCATAGCTTTGTTGTAATTTAATGTGCAGTGTTTGCACTTCCAGTTGCATCTGTTGACTCTTATCCCTGTTATTCAATTGTCTTGACTTTTCCACTTCCAACTCATTTCTTAATTCGCGTGTCTTCTGGACGGCTGCCGTCAGATTCTTTGTTGTCTTTTCTAATTCTGTTTCTTTTTCAATCAATTGTTTCTTAAGAACAGCCAACGGATCATTTTTCTTTTAAAGTATTTTTTTATTAAAGTTTATTATTTACTACAATAATAATAATAATAATAATAATAATACACACAAACCTTTCTCCATTCAGTTGATCCATCAGTTTGTTTGTTAAGCAAAATATCTGTTAACAATTGTATTTCTTCATTATTCAAAGTAGTAGTTCTCACCAAATCTATGATTGTATTGGCCGACACTTCTCTCACATTACCTATAGATTTATCACACAATAAATTAATATAAACATAATATACATATATAGTATATATATAAATTACAGTAGTATTAATCAATTAACAAAACTACTTATCAAATAAATACCATTATTATCTGTAATAACATATTATTATAAAGATTATAATATAGACAAACAATTCACAACTTGTGAAGTATAGTGTAATAAATCTTATAGTAACCAATATAATTGAAAATTGTTATTAACTAAATACTGTATATATTTTATTTCATTTTGTTAATACATTTATATCGTTTCTATTATTTTTCTTATTTTATATAAACTTAAGTTTACTAAGCTTAAAATTATCTTAACATAAATCACCACACACATTTTAAGTCTATATTATATTTACTATATACTGTAAATTATTAAAACTATATTTAATTTTTTTTGTATATATGCTAATCTTTTTTTTTAAACTGAATAACTATTAACTGATATAAAAGTATTATAAAATATTTTAAATACAAAAAAATATAAAGTTAGCATAAATTAACATTAACTACAGTAAATGTTTTGATAAAATTTGATACTTTGATTATATTTGTGATTTTATAAGGAAACTCCATTCAATTTCTATAACTATAAATCAATTACTTAACAAATTTATGATTGTATTCTCCAAGTATTAGTAATTTTATTTATGAATTTTTAATATAAATAAACTTAATATTAAATTGACTTTAATAATGATAGCTTTTATATAAGTTATATAAAATATGCCAAACAATCATTTATTTATCAAATAAAAAAATGTAAAATAAGATTATCKTTACCTTCGAGTTGATTCTGTTTAGATTTTCTCGATCTCCGAGCAGGAGATGAGTTATCCAAGTGTTCAGTTCGTACCACTTCTGCTTTGTTTTCGGGTTCAGGTGTCGACTGTTGTTGTGATTCATTGTCTAAATAGTTGGTAGAAGTTTTCTGGTCACTACTATTATCCACAACTGATATAACTTGCGGTTCGGGTTCGGGTAGAGATGGCTTCACATCTAAACCTTTCTTTAAATCCTTCAACAGTTCGAACTCGTCTTTTGGAAGAATGGAATCAAAAGAGTTTCTTCCGTTGACATTCAATTGAAACGACGAGTCATTTAAATCTATATTTTGTTCACATTTGTTCAGTAAAATTGGTTTAATTGGTTTTTCATTTGATGGCTTTCGATGTCTTGAGATATCAACAGTCTGTATATCAGACAAGAGAACAACTTCTGGTTCCGGTTTGAACTCAACCGCGTGATCTACTTTACGGCTCGGCTTGTGGTCAGCAGTTTGTTGTTGAGAGCCATTGACAGTCTTATGTTTTAATAGACTCTCTTTTTTGTTGGTCTTGTCTTTGTCTTTCTTTTTATCCTTCTTTTCCTTCTTAAACTTATCGGTAGTTTTGGTTGTCTTTGTGGTCAACTCTAAGTTATTGCTTTTTCGTTGTTCTTCAATAGCTTCTTCATAAGTCCTTTCTCTGATACCGAACACTGAGCTCAAGTAGACGGCGGCTGAGGTGACGGCCACTACACCCACACATATAATAGGAGTTTGGATATCCATCGGGTCTTCAGACAATCAATTGACACCAATTTGGTTGAGTTGTCAGCGATGTGTCATATGTTGTATAACTAGTTTGTATATAACATCGATATATCAATAGTAGTACTAAAACATCAAATATGTGACAAAACACTAATTGATTGCTTTATTTCATTACTATTACTATTTCATTGATTAATATAAATATAAGTCAATAGTTGTCAACACTTACCGATCAGTCAATCAAATGCAATGTATTGTTAATTATTAGTCAAATCTATTGAATACTCGATAATCATGTGTTGGATGTTATGTTCGAACTCATTGTACAACTCATTGAATCACTCAATGAACCACTCATTCAACCACTCATTCAATACATTCAATGCACTCATAGTCACTATCACTGACATCACAGTCAATATGACTAACCATTAATATCGACCGTTAATATCAACGAATCATCATTTATGACAAACATTTAATACAATATTAATAAATATATTTATATTATTATAAATATTCAAATAACAAAATCAATTATAATTTATAATATCAATAGTATTTATTAAATATTATTTATAATTATTTTAAAACCATTGTATTTATTATAGTATTCATCTCTTTTAATAATTACAATAAAATATTAATACAATAAGTAATAATTAAATGCAATTAATGCAAATAAACAAATATAGATATAAAAAGTACCAAAATTTTATATCAATATAACACTAATAATAAGCCTTTTTAGTAATTGAATAAATGATTTCAATTAAAAAAAAGTTATATCTTTACATTTAAATTGAAAATTCAAACTTAAATTATAATTTATAATACATTAGTTTTAAAAGTTTTTGAGAAACCATATACTGTACCGTATTATACAGTAATAAATTACACAAAATACTGTATAAGCAAATACAATGTATTAAAACAATGTTTTCAATATTGTTTTTACAATTAATATCAACAAAATTAACATTTTTAAATTTGTTTTAATATAATATAATAAATTATAGGTAAAAATATTTATGAGTAATAAATGTTTAATTGATTAGTTCATCAAATGTTTAGATTATGATTAATAACAAACTGACTAACAATTTCATAGAAAGTATAAATGTTTTTCAAATGGCAATTCATTTACTATTAATTGTAGAAAAATTAGAGGATATTTATTGTTATTATGATTAAAATATTATTTAAATTTGTTACCATTTATTAAAACTTTATACATTACAATATAATTGAAATATTCATATCTACATGTATTTTACTAATCTTTAGTTTTATAATAGTATTCAACTAAACGATAATTGCAATAAATTGTCTAATTTTGTCGACTAAAGCTTATTCACACACACACACACACATACACACACACACACACACACACACACACACACACACACACACACACACACACACACACACACACACACACACACACATACACACACATACACACACATACACACACATACACACACATACACACACATACACACACATACACACACATACACACACACACACACACACACACACACWCACACACACACACACACACACACACACATCTATTCATTCACTTCCTCTCTTTGAAAATTTATAAAATTAAATATACGAAAGTTTATATCATTTAATATATTTAATATGTTATACAATACATAAAGATTATTAAATAAAAAGTGATAATCTTTATGATTTACCGGTATATGATATTGTACTGTATTTTATAAAAATAAGTGTCTGTTTGATTGAATCATTGAACTTTACCGATAATCATAATGTATACCTGCATAATAAAACTATTCAAGTGAAATAAAATTTTAATTTTAAGCTATACTACATTTTTGCTATTGTATTGATAATTTAACATTACTTTAACATTACTGTTATTCTACTACTAAATTATTTTATAAACTAATATTGAAAATGCAAGTTTATAGCAATAGACAAATATCTTATTTATAAATTTTATAAGATAAATGTGCAAAATTATGTATATACTGTATATTGTATATTAATATTTAAGTAAAGTTAATTTCAATACATTATACTGTATGAAGATTTTGATAATGTTATTGATTTAGTTATTTGTGACCACTTTTTCAAATAAAATGTGTTTAATTCACACAAACATATCTTGGAAAAAAATTACCTAGGTGGCATTGTTGGAAAAAAATTTCCAACAAACTAGACATTTTTTAGCTATTAATTAGGAATTATTTTTCAATCAAATTTTAGATATAATTTGATGTATTTTTTTATAAATTTAATATAACTTTACTATACGATGGGTTGATTGATAAGAGTAGTTATGCAGTGAAGATAACACAAGTGAGTAATAGTATGATATAATGTAATGCAATGGACATACAGTATCATACATTACACGTAATTATATTAATATTGTATATACAGGTATATACAGGTAATGTATATAAAGTTAGTGTGTGTTTGTGTGATGGGTGTGACAGTAATGTGAATGTTTTGACTTACAGTACAATAACTGTTTTGTTTGTTATTTGTTGTGTTTAATACGTTAAACATACCTATAGGCTATAGGTATACGTTATATCGTTATATATTATACTTACAATTTATACAAACAATTTTTTAAATAATTTGTTAATTGTGTTGAATATGTAATTTCATAGTATTTTTTATAAAACAATGTTATTTTTAACACATTTGCTACAAAAGCAATGTTTCATTTGTTTGAATCAATTATTACTAAAATATATGAATTTCAAATATTTTATATTAGTTTTTATACTTATATTTAGTGAGCATTTAATATGTTTAGTGAATTCACAGACACCGGACATAAGTGTTAATAATGTTTATAATACTATTCATACAACTAATGGATATTACAATACAATTAGGAATATAAGCGCCAGTAATGGTCAGCAACAGGTGTTTTCCGGCGGACAGATCAGTGATCGTCGAGTTCTTACATTACGTGACAGTCCTTACAAAATATATCGGGATATTGTGGTCAACCCGAAAGCACAGTTAGTTATAGAGTCCGGTGTAACCATTCAATTCAATACATCCATTGGTGTGTATGTATTGGGATCACTGATTGCTAAGGTTTGCTAAAATATTTGTCAAATTATTCATCAAAAATATTTATTTTCTATAGCCTTGAAAATATTTGCATCAAATGCTAATTCAATGGTATTTTTGCATTTATAGGGAACGAGAGATAAAAAGATTGTATTGACTCGTATAGGACAGTCCCCATCTCCTAGTGACTGGAATTCCCCGTCCAGACTACCCGAGATAGCAGCTGTCCAGTGGCCGGATGTACGTCTAGTTGATGGAGATTTACCTTTGGAAGGAAGACTTCAAATTAATTATAAAGGAAAGTGGCATTCAGTTTGTACCAACTCTAGGAACTGGACTCAAGAGGACATCAAAGTGGTGTGCAATCAGTTAGGTTTCAGTGATGGTGTTTGGTATAACTGGTTCTACAAATACAACGATTCTCGACAATTCTTATATGAAAATCCTAACTGTTTGGGAAATGAACGATCCATTCAAGACTGTATTAATTGGAATACAAAACGTGTGGGAAGTGGTATATGTGACTATCACACGGATATTGGTATCCGATGCTCAAAAAGATTTCATCAAAAACCATACTATTGGAGAGGCATTGAGTTTGCATTAGACACACCTACACATAAAGAGTCTCTTTTATCAAATAAATGGTTAAAAGAAGTATCAGATTCTGTACTCGAAAATGTTGTCATTACCTATGCCGGTGAAGACCAATACGGTAACACCACTTCTGCTATCAGTGTGAGAGGAGCCGTCCCTTACATGAATGAAATTGAGATAAAATGGTCCGCATTTAATGCTATTAATATCACGGATGCCAAAGATGCCATTAATATTACCAACAGTCGGTTCATTGAAAACAGAGGTTATGGTATATTTGTAAACACCAGTTACGGCAGAGTTTCAATTATCAATAGTATTGTGGAAAACAACGGCGCCGATGGTATTCGTTATGTGTTTCACGACAGACCAACCTTTAGTTCGTTTGGTTTCTGTGATTCACCTAATTTGGGGACTCGACAAGTATTTCCTATACGTCTTACTCAACATCAAAGTGGTCAACAAATGTCTAACAAAGAGTGCTGTCAAGAATTTCACGCCAATGACTGGGAGGGTCAACGACTAACCGCACACTTTCCGTTTATGATGAGTGCTGATGGCGATGAAAGATATCGTGATTTAAGTCAAAACGGATCTATTTATGTGGTCGACGGTTACTCCGAAAGAGTAATCGCCGATTTTATTATTTGGAACAATACTCGACCTCAAAGTGTTTCCTCTATTATGGGTAACGGACCGCTCAAGATATGTTATAGACAGGCAGCTTATCGGGTCATATTATTTACCGTTGAAGTTCATGTAGACTACGGCCGCACATATGATCTTAATATAACTGATACCCGAATTATCAATAATAACGGAAGAGGTGTTTGGGTTCAAAATCAAAGAAGTGGTACAGTTTTGAACCGGACAATTGTCTCCGATCACTCATATGTTGCGGGCATACACTTAATTGAAGGTACAGGTGATGTCATTGTCAACAACAGTTTTATTGAACATAACATCGGCGATGGCCTTAACATATCATTGTCAGGTGGTTTTAAGCACATTGATTGGTCAAACATTAGAAACAATACTCTACGAGGAGTGGCCTCATATATTAATGAGACGACATCGCGGGTAGCCTTTAACTTCTCATCTCATGTCACACATTCACGGATTGAAAACAATGGAGGAATAGGATTATTGTTGTCCAATGTTTGTCTTTCCGATGCTTTTTGGAACATAAGTATGAATACATTTTCCCAGAACTTTGAAGATGCCATTCAAGTGCAGTCGTGTTGGGGAACGGATGTCGATAATATCCGATCGACTCATCTCTTAATAACACACAATAAATTTAGCGCTAATTACAGACGTGCCGTTACTATCGCACCGGTATTTTATATAAAAGGTCACATTGAACACAACATCTTTGAATTACACCGATTGGGTGTTATATACATCAATAATCGGGACATAGTTTGGGATGACTTTCGCTTTGATGACGTGCCCGTCAGTATTCGCATTCAAAACAATAAATTTTTCTCAAATCAGGGCATATATGTGGCCAATATTGGTCTTCACGATGAAAGTCATAAACAAGAACTGATATTTACTAAGAATTTACTTAAAGACAATGTTATAACTGAACCGTTTGCTGGTCTGAACCCACGATCTCGAGTAGCGGCTGTAGTGTGTATTTCATCGAGTAATACAATTGTTATAAGAAATCAGTTTGAAAATAAAGGTTCAGCCTTTCAATTGGGTACACATCTGGAGATACCATCTAAAGTGATAAATGCTTCACTCAATTACTGGGATTCAGTCGTTGCACTTGATATTTACAACAAGATATTTGATCGCAAGAATCGTTACAATTTAGCACAAATTGAGTTTCTCCAGTATCTGACTTTACCCGATGCTCTCGACTCAAACACTGCCGTCTCATTTGACACCGACCGCAATAAACTCATATATTTCCCGACCAATGAAACCGACATCGGAGGAGAAGTCAGAGGTCAAGTGGTTCTTGAAAAACGCGTTTATAATGTCCGCCGAGATATATATGTCAGACCAGAAGGAGAATTAATTATTCCAGAAGGAAGTCAATTACATTTTGATCAATCAATAGGTCTTATGGTTCAGGGAAAGATCAAAGTGATTGGTGGCTCCAATGTTGACAAATACATTAAGTTCACTCTGGCCTCCGATGCTTTTAAATCCAGAGGACCGACAGTTATAAGAAGTCCAGGAATGAAATCTTTATCGCTTCAAAATCCATCACTTATTACACCAAATATTACAAATAATAGTTTTAAAAATAATACAACAAAGAAAACAACATTTGAAAAATCGTCACCAATTGGTATCTCTTATTCACCTAATATAGTGACTGTTCGACTTAGTAATGGCACGAAAGGCCGTCTTGAGGTGAAAATAGGCAGAGARTGGGGAACTGTTTGTTCGTATGGCTTTGATATCTATGACGCGGCTGTTGTTTGTCAACAGTTAGGTTATGTCTTAAATTCAAGGGACTGGTTGCTCGAGAAGTCACAGTTTTTGAATGCGGGAAACTCTAAAAATGTATTATTAAGTAACGTTGAGTGCACTCATTTAGACACTGATATCACCCAATGTAAAGCTCAAAGATTTGTGGACAATGATTTCGAGAATTCATGTCCATCAGAGGTGGGAATGAAATGCTATCCCCCTTCTTGGACTGGACTTAGGATTGGGATGTTAGCGAGTGAAGCAATACTTGAGAATATGACTGTTGAAAGAGCAGGACTTCTCGACTATTCAACTCATATGTTTAAACCGGGTCTTCAAATAGATTTTAATAAGTTTCAAATAAAGAATGTGATCATCAAAGACAATAGTGACTCAGGACTTGGTGTGATGTGGAATGAAGTGTTTACTAATAGAGAAAACATAAATGTATTAAACACTGAAATTTATGGTAATCTAAACCACGGAATTGTCACCCGATCACAAGGTCTTCGGGTAACTAATAGTTATTTACACGACAACAAGGGCTCGGGATTTCATTACGAACCGATGTTTACTAATTATGAACAAAAAGATTTAGTTTCGTGGATAACACCAACAGATTCCTCACAAATCATTACAATACCAGATGTTAGTAATAGAGAACAAAGTGTACGTTTGACTCCTCGAAAGTCATATTATGTATTTGTCAAACGCAAACCCTCTCCCAATGTATTAACGCATAAATTAATTATTGAGACTCATTATGGATGGTCTTTGGGAATCATGATATTGAACCCCATTTTTGAAGACTCAACCGAAACATTAAAACTCTACACAACAGCCAGAAAAGAGGACAAAACTGATAGATCAGAGATTTGGGATTTGAAATGGAATTTAACATCATTTCCATTGCTATATCCCGGCTATAAAATAGCTCTCGAATATACCACCGGTGATAATCCTAAAGGCGGAGTAATACTCTATTTTACCACAAGAGATATATTTAGAGGTAATCCTAATATAAAGCAAGACTTAATCCAATTAAGCGAACAGAAACTAATGACAACAACAACATTGGACTCAAATCGTTTTGAGTTTAATTCGGCGGCAATTTCTAGTAATCACTACAATCGTGATCTTAGTGTTCAAAGGGATTATTATCACAGATATGGTAACGAAACTATTTATGCGAATAGCAATCAAATTATTGGGAATGGTATGTCTGTATTTGTGAACACACCGTTTTACGATCCATTGGATTTTACTTTAGCCGAAATCAATTATACATTTATTAACAACCATTTTGAGCAAAACTTCGGAGGAATAGTTCAGTTAAGTCGTGATATTCGCAGCTCTAATAATCTGTTTCATTGGGTACTAAACAATTCTGTGATGACCAACAACTTCTATGGCGGACTTTATATTAAACTGCCGTACGTTTGGAAATTCAATGAAAACTATACCCATTCTTTCTCCATCAACAACAATACTATTCATAGTAATCGCAACTTTGAGTTCACCATTGATGGCCATTTCGCCCGAATCAATATGTCTTCTAATTTGTTTCGAAACAATTCGTGTTCTCTCGGTTTGGTCCGTATTATGGGAATGGAAAAGGAGATGAATATCTTTGATAACCAATTAGTCGAAAACTTCGTGCAGTTTGTGGTAGAACTAGACATGAGTTCACACGCAGACAAGTTTGGTGTAGTGGACGCAAACTTTCATCGAAATAGTATTAAAAACAATCGCGAGAGTAGTAGTCGACGATTGGTTGATAAATACCATCCCGACACTTATGCTTTTGCATTAAGAGGTGTTCAAGAAGTCAATATCACTAATAATTTATTTGATAATCGAAATCTTCAGTTTGAATTTCTTGCTGGAGTACATACCGGTTCATTGGATACTACAGTAAATATAGCTGAAAATTGGTGGGGAACTACCGATCCCTATATGATAAGAAAACGAATTTTCGATTTTGACGACTGGAACAGCTATGCGGTGACAGAATTCAATCCATTTTTAAGTAATGAATTGTTCGATGCCATGACTACATCGGCTGATATACAGGAAAATATAGATTTGGACAAACCTTTTGGGGGACGTTTGGTTAAGTCAATTGTTTTAAGCGAAAGAAGTAAACCATATGTCATAAACTCAGATCTGACTGTAATGCCAGAAGTGACGCTTACAATAAACGCAGGCGTTGTCATCGAGTTTTTCCCAAGTGTTGGTCTATTGGTATTGGGAGAGATGATGGCCGGGGGTATGGAAGACAAGCCGATTATTATGAGACCCGTTAGACTTAGTAATGAATTTGAATTTGGTCGGCGCCGTCGTCGAGATTTGTTGACTCCGTCACAAAAGTATAGACGTCAGACATCTCCCTACTCTAAAAGCATCGGTGATGTGCGGCTCTGTCTTACCGAAGGATGTGATGAATGGAGTCGAGTTAAGAGAAGAGATGGTTTTGTCGAAGTGTTCAACACAACGACCCTTCAATGGGCGCCCATCTGTGATCAAAGATTTACTGAACGTAACGCACAAGTTATATGTCGACAATTAGGTTATTCAACAATTAATGTTCATCTGAAAAGAGGTAGGCGTCTAGATATGGGACAAACATTAATTTCACGCATCCGTCATTGGCCCGAACCCTTAGAATGTATCGGCAAAGAGACTGCACTGTCTGAGTGTGACATAAGACTAAATGGTTACGGAAACCACTCGTATTCCTGTGCTTTTAATGGAGAARAGTTTATCTATATTTTCTGCGGCGAAGAGAATAAATTGTCTGACGAACAGCACTGGGGAGGCATACGGTTTGCACTTTCAAACTTTGAACGTAAAACTGAATATATGTTCCCAACCCGTGTTTATTACGAACCAACATCTAAACTACAGTTTGTCAACATAAAAGGCGCCGGTATTTTGCACGGCGAGAAAAATGCAGCCATTCAATTGATCCAAAGAGATGTCAGTCTCGAGTTTGTTGAAGTTGATGGAAGCGCTTATCATGGAGTAGAGTCCATTGCACCTCCTGGACAATTGACTTTCAACCATTTGAACATTCACGACAATCTCGGAGCTGCCCTTAACTATGTCTTATTGACGGGATCTTCAAGCGAGGGACAGATTATACCATATAAACCATTGGGCATATCTGGGTTGTCCTACAATGTCTTTGGTATGGTTGACATATGTGAAGCCAGCAAAGAAGTAGTCATCAGTGAGAGGATACTATTGTACTACAAATATGACAACAGACCCGTTGATTGTGTAAAGATATTCTCAACAGACAATCCCATCAAAAGACTTGGCTTTCGGTTACTTCAATACAATTTATTTAATTCAAGCAATTACTCGTCAATACCAGATTCGTTGCGTATATGGGATGGAGATATCTTTAACTATACGGCAACAATCATTGGCGATCTAAGTGTTAAACACAATCAGCTTAATAGTGAAGAGCAACCAGAGTTAAAATTTTATTCATCTTATGAACCATCACTTAGTGTCCAACTTCATGCTAGCGGTGCCAGTGGTGACTACGGTTTCATTGCCGAAGTTGCAGCACTTCCAGTGTCATACTATATCGGTCGCGGATTATTTCATAACATTACATACTCAGAGCTTAATCGCAACACTTTGGGTGCACTGCAGTACAGAAGTGCCGGTGAATCAAATCCAACGATATCGATGCACCACAATGTCATTGATAGCAATTGTCTTGAAATGTACGGCAATTTTACCACTTGTAATGGTTCCGTATATTTAGAGCTCCAGAATTCGCCGTATTTTTATTTTTATAACAATTTGGTTGAACGCAATCAGGGAGGCATTCATCTAAAAGCCAACTCTCACTCAATTATCTCTCACGTGTCAAGTCTTCTCTATAACAACTTATTTGCTGAGAACTATAACAATGAAGTTTTATATTTTGAAGGACCAAAAACAGCTAAAACTGGAAGTGCTTCTCAATCAGTAGACATTACCAGAAACTACATCACTAGAAATCGAGCCAAATATCGATCAAATATAGTCTTATCACAAATAAAGGTGATGTTTGCCCAAAATATAATAGTCAGTAATATAGGTCAGACCCAACTGTCTATCTTTAGCTTTGATTTGGTGTCACCACATGTTCTTTGTCAACGCAATTGGTTTTATAATAACATTGCAAACAAAGATCAAGAGAGGAGTACTATAATAGCGAGTAATGCCGGCCAAGAATATGTCGACAATTATCTGGTGAATCCCGACAACGACTTTGAGATGGCATCAATGAACAGAACAAATATCGATGATTTGCGTCGACCGCATATAAAAGCTGTGAACAACTGGTGGGGATTTAATGAGACGAGTGCTGTGGATGCGAGGGTTAGGGATTTCAAAGATTACTATCATTTGGTTCCCATTGAATATAAACCTTTTTACACCAATAATCGTTCGCTGTTGAGTGGGATATGTTATGGTGGATGGGATAAGATTGGAGAGACTTGTTTTGCATATATCGGCTCTCGTATGACATTTTCTGAGGCAAAGAAGTTCTGTGAAATGGAAAACTCGTCGATTCCTTTCATACGAGTCAATCACGAAGAAGTAACACGTTTTATATACACTCAACAATTGAATTTCGACCGCAGATATCATCGAGTATGGGTTCAGTCATTTGAAGTGGATGTCGAAGATTGCACTGTTTTAATCAATGGTAGGGTCAAAGTTCACGATTGTAATGAAAAATTACCGTTTGTTTGTGAACGCGATCCAGATATCGGTGCATCGATACCGGAGCTCTGGTATCGCGAAACACTAGGCATCGCTGCGCTAACTATTTCCAGCATTACAGCTCTTTTATCACTTATATGCATCTGCTGTTGGCTCTGTAAATCACGGCACAGACATAAAGAAAAGTTGGAAAGACGTAACTCTATTCGCGCATCCATTCGCTCTAACCGTTCTCTGAGTCCATCAATGAGTACTATAACGACTAGTGAAGCCGGTTATCGAAAGCAAATTGAAAGAGCCATTCAATCGGCTCGACAACAACGGCCACTGCCTTCGACCACACAATCCATGTATAGTCAGAAAATGAATGGAAGTGTAGACTCCATGGATAAGAGTCCGTCACAATTTGGTCCCGAGTCCTATGATGGAGAAACACAAAGCTATGAGCCCTCCCAAAGGGCCGATTCGAGGACTTACTCAGATATTGGTGACCGGTTTGCTACAGACCCGCGACTCGAGAATGAAAACATTAATATATTAGTTCGCCCGACCTTTGATCTCACGTATGAAAATCGTGGCTTCAAACCGACGCCATCGATGTCGCGCACATCAGAACCCAGGATTTGGACTCCGGTGACAGACTCGACACTTGACCTAAAAAGATCACAACAGTCTATACAGACACCAATGACACCATATTCTCAGTACACTCCCAGTCATACTCTTAAAGAGTCACGAGAATCGCTCACATCTGCATCTGCTTTACCTTCTGGTCGCACATCACCTTCACCTCCAATACCACATTTAAGACGTCAACTGCCATACACTCCGGTCAGACCAGCACCGGCGGTCCCCCAAAAGCCACAATTTATGTCGACATTTATGCCGTCCCACCCGTCATCGATAGCAGGCGTCAGCACTGATAGTCATCTCAAGTATTTAGAGACCTCTTTGGATGGCGACTCTTATACTGAGAATATTTATGATGACTTCCAACTGAATCGACTTTCGCCGACCGCCTCAACCACCACATCGATAGCCAGCAGTCAAAAGAGTAAACCATTGGAGACATCGATGTGAGACAACAACCGGTGTTAGACTGCCATTGCCTTTCAATTAATTGTTGTTTTTGTTATTACTTTATAAAACTGTTTTTATATATTATTTATTTTTAGATTAATTATTATAAATATTATTATGAGACATATTTAATACAACTATATATTATATACTATATACACATATATTATAAAATATTTATATTAGTTAATATTATAATAATGTATATATTATTCTGTATACAAATACTATTAGCCGTCCAACTCATATGCCGTCCAATGACTTAAAGCCTTAATAAATAACACAAAAACTTAATTATTAACAAAACCAAAGGATAAGCTCATAAAGAAAGGTTTACAATTAATTAGAAAATATTTAAAAATATATGTTTTTATATAATTATATATAAGTTTGTTTATAACCAATTTATTAATTGTTATATAACTATAATATAAGATATAACCTAATATTGACTATTGATATCAAACATGAAAAGTATTTACTTTATATTCATTATTACTGAATAAGTATTATATTAAAGAATTAATTTCATAGCATTTATTTTATACAAAAAGCTCAACATTTTTTATATAATTTAATTTTTTTATAAAATGTCATAAAATTGTCACAAATTTGATTACTAAATGTGTAAATAATTAATATTTGATTATAAATGGGCTGTCAAAACAGCTTCATATATATAAATTTATATATATATATATATATATAATTAAAAAAAATAATATTGATATAATAAAATACTTATTTTAAATGATTTAATTACTTATTATTAGATTATAAAAACCAAGTTCCTATTAATGTGGTTAAGTTTTAAAAAATAACTAAATATTACCTAAAAAGTGATTATATATTTATCAGGGTTAAGCAAGGGTAGGGTGGGGTAAGGCTTTATTTTAGCCCCTTTTGATTTTGAATTTTTTTTATAAAATTGCAGTTTAAAATTGCAATAAAACTACACCCACCTTAGACCCCCTCAGATTTTTTGTAAGTTGATCCCCCCCTAGACTCCCCTAAAATCCAAAACCTTATTTAACCCTGTTTTAAATAATATAAAATTTTAAGCATTAATGTATAATAATTCAAAAAGTTATTAAACTTAAGTATATATGAAATATTGTTTTTTTAATAAAATATTATTTTTATAAAAATTTGAATTCAATTAAATGTTTTAAAGAGATGTCGCTATAAATTCAATATTATTGTCAATAAAACATATGTTTGTGTTTTGAAAATACGTGAAAAAGTTTTTGTAATTAATTTGAATTTTATTTATTAATATTTGATATAATTTTTTGAAATAATTTAATGATTTTTAAGACAATTATTCGTCGTTTTTGTAGTTTTGGATCAAATGAGTTGAGATGTAATGAAAACATTGTATTCATTGATAAACTTTTTAATCGAAATTCAAAACAAATTTCGATATTCAAAGAAACGGTGAAAACACGTGAATTGAAATTTCTTGAGAAGTTGTTTACCACTAATGGATATCAACTGGTATTGTAAGCCATCAATCATTTGGATGTCTAATATCTGGTTGTAATCCAAACAGCGTATGACCGGCGGTGCAGTTCGGGATCTATTGTCAGGTTTGCCACCGAAAGACTTTGATTTGGCCACTAATGCAACGCCGGATCAGATGAATAACATAATTAGGTTTTATAAGAGTTAATACTAATTATAGATTATATTTAATTAATTAAATAAATTATTGATTTAATGTCTTCAAAGAAATGAAGCAAATATATGGGTTTTGAAATTTTCTTCCGGTATTATAAATAGTGTCTAATATATTGTTTTATTGTCTGAGTTTTTAATCAATGTTTTGATAATCTTAAGGTCACCGAAACGGAACAGTTTTTACTCGTGTTTATGACAAACATAACTATGAAATAACTTCTTTACACAAATGGACGGATGAAAGGCCCGGAAAACCAATTTTTCTTAACGACTGGAGATTAGGTTTGACTTTAAGTCATAACTTTAGTTAAGATTTTAATATATCTGTAATTTATGAGATAATATTCATATACAGATGCTTTAGTCAGAGATTTTACTATAAATGCAATGTATTTATCATTTGATGGACAACTATTTGATTATGTCGGCGGTCTTAACGATCTCAACAATAATGTGATCCGTTTTGTTGCCGGCGCTGAGTCTCCTATACGTCAAAACGTTATCACAATATTTAGATACTTTAGATTTCATTGTCTTTACAGTCCTAATGCTGGACATGAATCACAAGTGTTGACAACAATTAGAGACAATTTGCCGGTTTTGAGGCAAACGAGTGGACAAAGAATATGGACTGAAATGAAAAAAATTTTGGTTTTGAAAGACTGCAAACATGTAATAAATATAATGTTTAGTGAATTAGAAATGGGATCTTATTTAGGATTTACATCAGCGCCTAATTTAATTGAATTCAATGAAGTTGTCGATCGACTTGTCAGTGGTGTCCTCTCAAGATATATTACTGATTGGGATCCGTGTACTCTATTCGCTGCATTGATTCATTCAGAGACTGATCTGAAGACTGTTTCCAAACGTTTGGAGATTTCAACACAAGAAAAACGTCTTATTTCTGATATAATAAAAAATCGCAAAATATTTCCACAAAAAGATATAACAGATTTGAGATTACAAATGGTTTTGGCCGCCGAAGACAGACAACATATTCTTAAAAAATCTTTTACAGAATGTTTTAATTATTGCGGACTTTTCATGCAATCATATATTATATCAAATCAAGATTTACCGAAATTTCCATTCACTGGTCATTTGTTTTTCGGAAGAGTAAATAAAAAAACACTTTTAAGTCAAACTTTGATTGATTTGAAAACATTTTGGTTTAAACGTCACTTTAAATGCACTCAAAATGAATTAGAAGTAGAATTGGAAAGACTTTTACAATTAAAAGAACTCAAAAAAGAGTAAAAGATTTTTATTATTATAAATTATTTCAGTAAAATTTTTTTCTATTTATATTTTTAAGTTAAAGATAAGCTGTATTTTAATAAATATATAACTTAATAGAAAATTAATTTTTTATTATATTTAATAAATTATTTTCTAAACAACTTGTTTTCAAATTATTTACTAAAGAATATTATATAAATTTATATTATCGCTATAGGAATTCAAAATAATTTATAATATAAATAATAAAAATGTGACTTAAATTAATTTGAAGTTCTATTATCAAATCGATAACACCTTTATATTACATAATAATGATAACAAATTTAAATTACTTTTAATATAATATTTATTTAAATTCATTATCTTTTGTTAATACTTACGTTGGAATTTTTCGTTCATTTGGATATGTGTTATATATATATATTGCAATTTTTAACATATTTAAGTATTACCGGTATATTAAACTAATGAGAGATATGCACTCATCAATGTATTGACAAATTAATAGATTATACGTTTATAAACGATTCTATGATTTATTTAATAATTATTATAATCATAATTTACATATTTATGTAATTATGCGGTAAATTCTTTACAATAATTATAATTATATCAACAATTTGCATAACTCTCTCTCTCTTTTATAAAATATAGTATTAAAGGGGTGAATACCTTCCCCTTAATCTACGTTCACAGTAATCATCAAATACTGGCTCCGGTATTGAGCGCCTAAATAATTGTTCGGATCTTCGATAAATGTCTGGTGGAAATCTGCGTTCATAAGGTCCAGGAAAGGGATGTCTATTGCGGTTATAGACTTCAATGAAATCGCGGTAATAGTCTAGCCGTTGATAGTGATCGCGTGTATCAAAAGGTCGCTCATAAAGAGCTGAATATACGCGTGGATTGCCATAAGGGTAGTACCGATTATATTGATATATAGACCCGCGAACCCGTTCGGCCAAATTACGCGGACATTCCTTTGACCAGTGACCGATTCGACCGCACCGATAACACTGTGACTTTCCTCCCATACCTTATAATTTTATTAAAGTTTGTAATTTTAATTTTTATATTTAAATTATAAATTAATTTAATAAAACCAAAGAATCAATGACTAGAAACAAATGATTTATTGTATAAATTATTATAATTAATACAAAATTAGTAAACCTTTATGTGATATACAGTTTCAAGTTTGTAAATAATTTTAAAAATAATATTTCATACCTGGTTTAGGTCTTACTTTACTATGGCTTATGGCAACCGATAGCTTACTTCCCATAAATTCATAACCATTTAGCTCTTGTATAGCTGTTTTTGTCTCCACTTCTGATGACATATGCTATCAAAGTAAAACAATATAACTATTGATATACAGTATATATTTATATTAAATAAATTAAATCATTTTAAATAACTTTATTTGTTATATTGAATTGTAAGAAAAATAATTAGTAAATCTGACCACAAATCCATAATTTTTGATAACATCACATTCCTCTACCCGTCCATATTTGGAAAATAATTCACATAATTGATCGACTGTGCAATTTTCAGGTATATTTCCAATATATATCTTAGTTGACTAAAAATTATTTTAATTATTAATTATTATCATTTAATATACAAACTCTTATTATATTTACTTTTGATGAGTTTTTTGTGGGCAAACAGCACGACATCACTTATACAGTATTATAAGATTTTCAGCAAATTTATAGATTTACAGTCTATATCCCAAAATAACTAAATCATAATTAAATCAACAATAATTTTAATATCTCATTAATTTAATCTTAAATATGGAACAAATTATTATAAAAATTAAAAATAGTAAATCTTTAATTTATTACAAAACATATACTTAAAAATATCAAAACATCTCTTATTAACAATAATCTCAATAAATTAAAATAAAAGATTGAAATTTATTGTCAATAATTTATCAAAACTTCTCAATAACTTTTAGTAATACAAGACATGTTTTGTTACCTTTTTGTGAAACTTGTAAAAACATAAAATGAATTTTATTTAAAAAAAAAAAATTGTTTTTCTTGGGCTCAAAAAATATGCTACAAAGTAGTAGTAAATTAAGCCAATAATGTGTTACTAAACTGGGAAAGTCATCTCTTTTTAACGAAAAAATGATTTATATAACTAAACTGTCAGAGAAATTGTAAAATTAAAGTCATCAGAGAGTGTTGTGTATATTTCTCACAAAAGTATGTGACTTATACTATACTTACTGACTTGACTTGAATTTTATGTATACTTTCTCTAAAATAAAAACTTTTTTATCAAATAACTACTCCAAAGAATATATTCTAAAAATAGATTGTGTTTTAAAACTTTTTTTATTATCATTTGACAAAAAGTCAAAAAAGAAACATTTTTATGAAGTGATTATAATGAGTGTAATTTAAGATTATTTCACTCAACATTTTAATGATTTTTTTGTCTTTTATTAACCAAGTTATTTTAAGATTTAGTATTACAGTATTATACTAAATATATTTTAGACAAAATATTGATGTTATCAATATATTATTAAAAATAACTATTAATTTTTTAAATATATTATTAGATAAAAATTACAAATTTATATACATTATTGACAATTTTTTAGGTAAATAAAAATAGACGTTGAGCAACTTATATAATCTTAATATACTTGGAATAAAATTAAACCAATACATTATGTTTTAAAATGTAATAAAGATATCTTTAATATTATTTAATTGGAAATTTGATATCTATTTACTTATAATAAATAATATCATATACTCAATATTATTTATATTACTGGTTTACAAAATACATCATTTTGGCTAATGTCTGACTAATTATATATTTATAATAAAAAATTGATTTATAAAATATTTAAACACATTATAAAAAATATTTTATAAATAATAAAATGTCAAATATATTTTTATGAATGGTATATAAAAAGTGTTAGTTATTAAACTATATAAATTAAATGATTAATCTTTAATTTATTTAAATGCTATAAATCCAAAAATTATTGTAATTTTTGTTACAACACTTGTAGAGTACTATTGGTGTAAGGATTGAGATCAAGAATCTCAATAAGAAGTGGTCCCACGTCTTGAGGATCGACTTCTAGATATATTTTTACGTGTTTTTCATTAAGAATATGTAATTCTTCTAAATTACTCATTAATCGCAAGAATTTCAGTTTCGCTTCACATTTATTCTGATATTTTGATATCAAATAGCGTTGAAGTAAATACATATATGTTTGCTGTTCGAGTCTATAATAAAATATTAAATAAAAATTAATACAATATTCTAAAGATTTAATAATTTAAAATAAACATTATTATATAATTCTTAATATTATAATAAAATATTATACATTAAATATTATATTGCAGATAGTTTGTATAAAATAGCAATTTTATCATTTGCCTCTATTTTTAAGTTGCATATGTAAACAAAATATTTAATATTTTTGACTAATTAAGATTGCAATTAGATAATATTATAATCTGAAAAATGTCATTTATTTATTGTGTTTAAAATATTTACATAATAAGTAAATTATAATAATATTATACTGAATTAAAATAACAAAATACTTACTTAATTATCTCTCTATGCATTATATTTGGTCGTTCCGGTGTAAACAATAATATTGCCGTTAACTATAGATTTATATATAATTTAAAATAGATAGATTGGATTAAAAACATTTGGATAATTAATAATAACAAATTAAAATACCAAATCTAGGACAGTATGATCTTTATCCCATTCCTCTTTAAATGTATGCATAAATTTTCTATGAGCTTCATATAAATTTCCTTTTTGATATTGTTTAAAAACTTCAAGTTTCAATTTAGTTACATTATTCTGGTCCTAAAATAGATTAATTGCAAAATTAATATACTGTTAATATAATATTATTATTAATATACTAATCACTAAAATAAATTTATAATACCATAATAACTGCCCAATAATCGTGTTCATAGTTATAATTTTGAATGGATCTAATGATAAGCATTTCAAAGCACCCGGCTTTCATGAGTGCAATTTGATCATGCTGACATAATGATCCAAATGAATTTATCTTTTTAGACATAACTACTAATTTTCTAATTGCTTGATCACATTTCATAGCCAATAGTTTAGTCACATCAATAACATCATTGACTTCATTAGTAATTTGATAATTATTATTGCATTTTCCATAAACACGATTATTAAGATCAATGATAGCTGTTCTCAATTCATTGATCCTAAAAGACTCAAATCGGTTAAACTCTTCGACTGAGAACTCTTTGAAAGGTATGGACGAGAACTCCATTTCAATAGCCTTTTGATAAACAGAGTCAGAAATTCCATTATATTTGTTGTTATTTTCAATCATTTCAGTCTTCATTTCATTTGGTTTTGAAGCAAAAGCGCCTATACTTTCAATACATATATTTTTAATGGTCTCTATGGAGGCATCGGTGATGACAGAGCACTGATTTGAATTAGTTTGTACTTCAGATGTAATATTTATATAATTGTTATCTAAATTTGTAATGTGTGTGAAATCATCATTTTTTGTATTCAAATTGTTCACACATTTTGTACAATCAGACAATTCAATGTTGAAGGGTTTGAGTGGATTTGAAGTATATGATGGCATAACAGAGCAATTATGACTGGCCTCTGCAAATACCTGTTGCAATTCTGGCATATATTTTGGTTCAACCGTTGAACTTGTGATCATTGAATTGTCAGCGTATTTGATAATTGAATTCATTTCAATGTCTTGTTGTGCGCTTATCTTTACAGGTGATTGTGTTACTACTGGTCCATCACTTGAAGTCATATCATAAGCGCTTGGATTGTGATGAATAAGTTGTACGACATTTGGAAATTGATAGGTAGTGGTCGTAGAGTCGGCAACTTTGGCCACTTTTGAAGAGTTGGTCCGTTTTCGGCGATTCTCTGCGATCTTATTCCTTAAGGTTTGCTTCTCGTCTTCCGAAAGAATCCATTCCTAATATATTTTAAATTAAAAAATAATAAATTATATATTAATATAAAAATAATTGATATAAAAATAGACAAACTTTTTTCATTCCAATATCGAAACATTTTTTTAATCGACATTTTTTACAGAATTTTCGGGTCACAGAATCTATTTTACAATTGCCTTCAAATGGACACTTAAATTCCTAAAATATGTATTAATTAAAAAATCATTTTAAATATAGTAATAATATAATTTATTTAAAATTTATTAAATTAATACTTTTTTTCTCAATGCATTTCTTCGAAAAAATGCTTTACATGACTCACATGTAACGGCATTGAAATTGTAACCTTTAAAATAACAAAACAAACAATATTAATAACAAATTAAAATTGCACCTAAAATAAGTCAACTGTACCCAGTTAAGGGCACGGGGGCATTGCAAATAAAATTAATTAATTAAAATTTTGATAAAATATTGGACACATACCATGCGCTTTATCACCACATATACCACATAATTTTGTTACCTCTTTATCCGACATATCATCAATAATATAATAAAAAGTAGTAAATTTTATTTTTTGTTGAATAATATTTTCTAAATAAATATTTATTAATAAAACAATGAAAATTATTATTTGTCGCTTATATTATGGTAATTAACAGGTATATCAATATATAATAAATATGGATTTTTTCATTAATTACAATAAAAGTAATCTACTAGTTATAAGTTTCCATATTTTTTTAAACAACAAAATAAATTTCTAGATAATATTACTGATAAATTAGTACATTCATAGTGAAGCACTTTTGCATTTAATAACATTTTATTCAATAATAGCGTCAATAGTAATATCTACAGTATATAGAAATTATTGCGATAAGCAATAGGAAAACATTTGATTCATTTCACTCGTTATTATTAAATATCATATATTGATAAATTGCTTAAATTAATTTTTTAAATAATATAATATATAAATAATAAAAAATAACTATGTTGATTTTAAAATACAAAAAAGTCGCAAAAACAAATTTAAAAAATATTTTATGTAAATTTCAATTTTGAATACATAATTCTTAACTTTAAAAATAATTATAATATACAGTAAAATAAAAATTGTTTTATTTGAGCACAAATTATATTACTATTAAATTAAAAAATTAAGATAAAAAAAAAATTATTTATGATTGCTTATAATAAAAATGTTTATTATAAAAATAAAATATTATTTATAATGTTGTATAATATCACTTCAGTACAATATAAAACATTATTATTATTATTATAAATTGATTAATGTCACATGAACAAACAAACAAAAATGTATCATCAAGTACACTTACTTACATATACACTGACATTAATTTTTCATATAAAATTGTTTATTCAGATTAAAATATTAATGATTGTTTAATAAGATATTGTTATTTTGGAGGTAGTAATGTTGAAAATTATAAAATACAAAATAAAAATGACAAAAATGTGTATATATTTAATAGAAAACTAGTATACTTTTTCTTTTTTAAGATATTAACAACAATTTACTGTATGTTTTTATATTTAGCACTTAAATGTACTTTCAATGTATAGTGTTTAAGTACAGAAATATTCAAGTATGAAATGTACAAATTTTATAATTATTATTACTGTATATACATTGCAAACACAATTTATATAACCTGTTATCAGATATAATTTGTCAGGCACACTTTTAAATTCATAAAATGAGTACAAAATAAAATTAATAAATTTAATACTTTTTTAAAAATTTATAAATTAATTTTCTTATTGAAAAACGACAAATTGTATATACTTTATAGAATCTATAATATAGATTAATTAATTTTTATAAGAACGGAACATTATAACTATTCGATTACTAAACTGTATGTGCCGAGTTCAAATCCCAATTAAATCATTTTTTAATTTTTAATGAGTATAAGGCATGTCCTTCTGCACGTTGGACCATAACTTATAAAGACAGGTCACACACACACACACATATATATATATACAATTTTGATGTTTTATATCGCAAATAAATGGCTACGTTATAATTGTTATTAATAAAATCGTTAATTCAATTTACTTTTAATTCATTGTCGACCTTACGTTAAATAAATGTATTTTTATATTAAGATTTTCTCAATGTTAAATTTTTTATGTATAAGTAATATCAACAGCAAAAAATTGTAAGGAAATTATATTAATATGCAATTAATATATTCTATCTTTTAATTTATTTTTAATCGGATAAATATTATCATTAGTTACCACATGAAACTATCAATAGTTTAAAATTTTAATTATCCAAACACACTAAAATTCATCTTAAAATCATTTTCTGCATAATTATGTGTAATAACCGCAAATAACTATTTAAATCATTAATTTTACTGTATAAATGATATTTATATATAATAGGAAATATATTGCAACTATTAGAATTTTTGTATAAAATGGTGACATAAATATTAAAAAAAATTAGCAGTTTAATTTATTATTAGATATTTACAGTATTAATTGTTTAATAAATAGTATTTGAATTATCTAATTTATTTTAATATTCATTAATATAAGTTGTACATCAGTTTTAATAAATAAAATATACAACCAATTTATTTAATTTAATAATATTATTAATTTAATTCAAGTATATTTATAACACTAATATATTTGCGTTTAAATAACTACCTTCAATTGATACCTTAATTAGTTATAGTGAAATGTTTTGCTGTATATTAATATAATATAACTGCTATTGTATTATTCATTACTACATTATAGTAATATTAAGTTAGAATCTATAATATATAACTACTATATAAGCCATCTATTTTTGTTATATTAATGCACTAATGTTTAGTGCAATTGTGCGTAACCTTGGGTTTTGCAAAATTCCCGCTATTAAAGTAAAAATAAAATTGCTGTATTTTCAATCACTTAAATTTAATAATTTTAATATGTATTAGTGTGACTATTAAAATGTAAATAATTAACTTGTATAATTTTTATTTTTAAAAATATGATTATTGTTTACTAAATTAATGCTTTTTCTCTATAACTATGAGCTCATAAAAAATATTATTAGGATTGTCTGCTTTTATATACATTTAACACGCATTCACACAATTTATTATGATATGCACTGAACATCCAAATGTTTTTTAAAATTCATCAAATAATCGATGCGTTACTAATGCTTGAAACAAATGACATTTTATATTTTAAAATTATTAATATATAAACTTAATTATAAAAATTGATAAAATAATAGTATTGAAATTTTAAAATTAAAAATGAATAAATTATGTCTAATACAATTTTGTTATATTCTACAAATAATATTTATTTTATTTAATCATTATTTTTTATAATTAAATATCGCAAATTTAATATATTATATTTTGTTTCACTAAAGTGAAATAAATATAAATTATTATTAAATTAATTAAAAATTGATTAATAAAGATAATTTTTATAAATATTTAATAACAATGATTATTATTATCATTATGATTATGATTACTAATAATACAGTAAATATATATTTTTATGAATACTTAACGGCACAGATCTCATAAAGTAGTGGTAAAGAAATACGTTTTATAATAAAATCATTTACATAATGGTTTGCATGACTTTTGCTCAATTCATGAATTATCTTAAAGTTATTCATTAAAGTCAATAATCGGATCTTAACTTCACAATCGGACTGGTATTTCAAAAATAAATAGCGTTTAAGTAGATGTAAATAAATGTATCGTTGAAGTCTATTCAGATTTAATAAAAAAAATATTTTCTATAATTAATAAATGATTACAATAGTCACTCACTTAACAGCCTCTTTGTGTTTAAGATGAAGTCGGTTTGGATTAAATAACATTATTGTAGTCAACTAATATATATATATATATTTATATATAAATTAGCATTTTTGTGATATAAATTAAAGTAAAATTAAATAATATTTATAATATACCAAATCAAGAATCACGGGATCATTATCGATGGTGTCGTGTATTTCTTGCAAATATTTGCTGTGTTTATAATAAAGTGATTCTCCATCTGATCTGGTTTTCCAAAGCTCCAGTTTTATTCGCGTTGACTTATTTTGGTCCTAAATCACAATTTTTAAATTTATTAAATTAATTTTATATAACTATATAAATAGCACTTATATTTAACTGTATATTATTAGTACAGGTATTATATATTAATACAATAACCTTTATAAAAATTATAGTTATATATAAAAAATATGTTTACTGTATAGTGTATTAGACAAAAATGCTTCAATGAATCGTAACTACAAATTATTATTCCGTATATTAGTATAATATGATATATTATATAAAAAATTAATTTTTCTTGGATATAATAATAACAAATACAATAACAAATGAATTAAATATTAACCTCATATACTATCCAACTGTTTTGATTTTTGTCAAAAGTACAGACACTCCTTAAGAGTATTATTTCAAGTATTCCTAACTTAAGGAGTGATATTTTGTCCGATTCACAGATATGACTGAATGCACGCAAACTTTTGCACATTTTAACCAACTCTGGTATATCTTTTTCGCATTTATTTACCAAACATATGATTGCTGTATCAAAATCATAACTTTCTTCAGTTACAATTGATATGTGTTGACGCTGTAAGTGATTGGTGGCACTCAACAACTCATTCAATCGATTCAATTCATTGCTATTCAAACTATTATTGTAATCAAACAATTGTCTTGCAATCGATAGTTCAAAATCAACATTTATATCAAAATCAATTTGCTGTGATTTATAAGGTATAATAGCTTGAATTGTTTCGTCCATTGTTTTTGATATTGTTTTTGATATTGTTTTAAATGATAAAATGTCAGATTCTATGAGTGATGTCTTATCATTGTGTGATTCTATGGCCAGTATTTTATCTGTTACTGACATATCGTCATTAATATTAATTATTGAATCCAACTTTTCTGGTATATAATCAATGATCATGTGTTGTGTAGTATTGATATCGTTGTCAATTAAATTAGTAGTAATATTACAAACAACTTGTGATGAATTACTTGTCTCTTCACTGAAGATCCCATCTTGTGATGAATTACTAGAGATATCCATATATTTGTTATATTTTTTATTTTGTTTTTTCTTTGCTCTTTTGATCTCAATTTTGATGCGACGGACTTCCCGTTCCTGATCTGTTAATATCCAATCCTTAAAACATAAATATTGTTTATTAATTTAATATTAAACTATGTATTGATAACAGTTTTATTTTGTTGTCATACCTGTCTCATCCCAACATTGAAACACTTTTTCAATCGACAAGTCCTACAAAATCTCCTTGTTACTTTATTTATTTTACAATTATCGTTAAAATAACATATATATTCCTGAAAAATTAGATTTACAAAAAAACTATTATAAAAATTATAAAAATTGTTAATTTGTTTACAGAATATTTGTTGGCATTTCTCCTAAAAAATGCTTTACACGATTCACATGTAACGGCACCAAAATTTTTACCTAAATATTTATTATACAAATTATTATTTACTGCATAAACATATCATAGAAATTGAATTTATTTAAAAAATATACCAATGGCCTTATCATCACATATGAGACATAGTTTGTTTTTATTAACCGGCATTATATTCATCTATAATTAATAAATATTAGATATATTGAGTCTTGAATATATTAAATACTAGAAAATATGACAATTTATACTATTTAATAGTATATAATTTATATTTAGTTAAACTACAGAATATTAGTTTATATTATTTATCTAATAAAATACAATACATTAATTATATTAAGCAACAAACAGTTAAAACTAAAATTACTCAAATAAAATAATATCGTTTAATCTGGCTTTATCATCAATTATAATTTATATAATTAATTAAATCAATGCTTTAGTGCATCAAGTACATTTTCATAAGTAGCATAATTAATACATATTACATGGTATACATAGTCACATACATCAAGTATATATAAATATTACAAAACAATTTACCTTGGTACATATGTACAAAATAGTATATCTTAGTATAAAATAAATATACATTAAACAAAGTACTATATAGAAAATTATTGATTTATTTGAATATTCACTTTTAATTGATTTTTAAGTATAAACGTAGAAATACATTGAAGCAATATATGCAATATACAGGTTTACACACATTGTGTATTACACAACTGTTTATTATATACTGTACAGTACTATACTATGTACACAAATGTATTGAAGTAAACACTTGTAGTAATACTTTGCTAAATATAAACTTTTTATTTAGTTTTATTAAGCGTTAGCCTAAATACTGTTTATTTAAGCATTTAATCTTTAACTAATATTTAAAATGTTATAATTAAATACTGTATAAGAATTTATTTATTATGAAATTTCTTAAAACAGTGTTATATCAAAAATCTTTTAAACTTATCTTAACTAAAAACAAATAGTTTTATTATTTAATTAAAATTTTTCCATCGTGTTTTACATATATAAATAATTTATTTATAAATATTTGCAATAAAATTATTTGCTCATTATTTTGAATGAAATAAATAATGAAAAATTTTCGTTTTAAAGTCTTGAATGCATTTAATATTTTAATTGTTTCTATATACTGTGGTCTATACAAGTTTTCTTATTTAATATAATTTTAATATGTAATTATCAATAGTAAAGATCAATATAATTGTAGTATTTTATGTTATTTTATGCTTTATATTTTGACAATTTAAATTATAGTAACACTTGAACATAATATTAAAAAAAAACAATRTTATTATAGATAAAATGTTAATTAAATGATTGATTGCACACTTCATAAAGTAATGGATAATTTCTATATCCATGAATCCATTTGGTGACAATCCTTTTGGCTTCAAAATTACAAATTTCTTTAATTGGTTTAAATGTCTTCACTAGTAGTGTAAGCCGTCTCTTAGCCTCAGATTTTGATTGATATTTGATTTGTAAATAACGTTCGAGTAATTGAATGTATATTTTGTGTTCCAAACTATTAATTATAAAAAATATTAAAAGTATTTATTATTTTCAATAATTGACATTAGATTATAACAAATACCTAACAAATTCTCTGTGTTTTAGATTATAACGGTTTGGATTAAATAGTATTATAACAGTTAACTAAAAACAAAATTATACGATGAGTTAAAAAGATTAATTGATTAAAAATTATTTTTAAAATATATGAAATTATAAATAATACCAAATCAATAATAATAGGATCGTTATCCCATAAATCTTTAATTTTATCCAAATAAGATTTATTCAATTTGTAGACATCAACATTAACTGGAGCTAAGTTCCAAAAATTTAGATATAATTTTATTGATTTATTTTCCTATAAAAATGTATGAATATTAAATAATATATACAATTTTTATTGCTAAATAAATATTAATAAATTGTTATAAAATGTTATAAAACTGTACCTCATTTATAGCATAGTATTCGTGAATAAAATCATAATAAAAGATTCCTCTGAGTTTAATCATTTCAATTGCACCAAATTTAATCAGTGATAATTGATCCCTTTCACAGAGCAACTTAAATGAGTTCAAATTTTTACACATTTTTATCAATTTTTTAATATGTGATTCAGCTATGAATTTAAGAAAATCAATAGCTTTGCGAAAATCGGTGGTCTCGGAGACCGACACCGGTATGAACTGTCTCTGCATATGATTAGTAGCGCTCAACAATTCATTCAATTTTTTGGTTTCAATTTCATTAAAACTATTGTTAGTATAAGAAATGAATTTATTTATAGCAATTATCTGTTGATTGCATTCATTATCATTATCTTTGGTTATAATATTTGAAATATCAATATCTGTAAAATTTCTATCACTTAATTGCAAGTCTTCTGTTATTTGATCATAATTTGAATTACTATTTGATATAATTAAGTCAACACATGAGGTATTTTCAAAAATACTAATATTTGATTCATCATTTGTATAACTCAATGATCCATTTAAGTGTAAAATATCACTATTTATAATATCATTTTGAGAATTTGTATCAAAAATTTTGTCGATATCCAAGACATTAGTATTGCATTCAATAATTGCTTTATTGGTTTCGCTGTTAATATTGTTTTTCACATTTTGTAATCTCTTTTGTCTTTTGGTTTTAATTTTATTTCTTCGCGTCTCTCTTTCGGTGTCATTAAGAATCCATTCCTAAAAAAAAATCAGATTAAGTATAACTATTGCCTTAAAAACTAAATCATTGGTCACAAACCTCTTTCATACCGATAATAAAACATTTTTTCAGTCGACACGTCCTACAGAATCTTCGTGTGGATAAATTTATACGACATTCCCCTTTAAAATGGCACTCATATTCCTATAGCAATTTTGAATTATTATTTAAATTTTTATTAATTAGAAATTTTATATGTATTACCTTTAATTTATGTGCATTTCGCCTAAAAAATGCTTTACACGATTCACAAGTGAGAGCTCCAAAATTACGACCTAAATCAATGTTAATTAATATTTTTAATTAAAAAATAATAACTAATTTTAAATACCGATTGATTTATCGCCACAAACTAAACACACTTTTGTCTTCGCAATACCAGAATTTGAAAGCATTTTTGCTATAAAATTAACTTTTTAAAAACATTTGCCAATTATTTAGTTTAATCAAATTCTCTCAACATTTTTACAATTAAATAATATAAACAATTGAGAAAAATATCACAAAATATCTATAAAAAACAATTGATTATTAATTATATTTTGAATTTTTATAGTCATTAGGCATGAAATAAACACTAAACAGCGATTTATTTATAGTCTATAGTAAATTATGAATAAATATATATAATATATTCATATAGAGTGTAATTATCAATAAAAATATATCATTAAATTGTATATTAATAGTATTCTGTATATAAGTTAAATAAAAACACTATAATTACCATTCAATGTCATTCTAATATTATTTGGTATTAAATTAGTCAAACTGGATATTCTTAATAATTTAACATTAATTTTTAAAAATAATAATTGTTTATAACTTTAAAATTTCTTTAAATATAACTGTATTACATTATTTTAATAAATACTAAAAATTAAAACATATATAAATAAATAATTATTTTATTATATTATAATTTATTTTAAATAAAAAATATATTAAGTAAATAAAGAAATAAAATTTTTCATTAATTAATTAATATTATTGTATTAAGTATTATATGGTATGATATTTAAATAGAAAAACCATATTTTTAATATACAGTAAAATATCACATAAAAGTGTTTATTAAATCAAGCGATTTTCACGATATACTATGAGTACATATCCTTTAAAGTACTGTACACTGTGTTTACAATACTATAAAATAGCCTTGATTAGTTCAAATAAAACAATTTTAGCTTTATAGTGTACAATAATTTATAATATGAACTAATCCAGAAAAATATATTAACTTAAAATTTAATTGTATAGATGTCTCTATATTTTTAAAAGTTATGTTAATTCTAAATTTATCATAAAATAAATTTAATTGTCTATATTTTGTGATATAAAACATAAATTATTACAAAAGTATGCTAACATTGTTATAAAAAATTTGTTAAAAACATTAGTAATATAGTTGTAAATCTAGTTGTTTAAGTTCTTTAGTTAAATTGTATGCAATGTTCAACAATTTTAACGCATAACTTATGATATTATAAAATTTAATTTGACATAAAATATTTTATATAATTTTTATGACATTAGTAATAAATTAAATTAACAAAAACATTTTTCAGTTTATTACCGGTAACTTTAAAAAATCTGTATATAAAATAATGATATAACTTTCAATAATACAATATATAAAAAATTAAATATGAACAATAACAATTAACTTAAAAAATATAATAATAAAATAAACGCCTATTATTACAGTAATTAGAATTAAATAATATATACTAATATCAAACCTAAATATTCATTAATCAATAAAATATTTAAAAATTTATAGTTTTGTTACACATATTTACAGGTTTATTGTGAGAAGATATGTCAAAAATTTCCTGAACTAATGGATTTAAATCTGTCTTTTGACCATAAGCTCCATGATTTTGTCGGTTAATTTGATCCAATTGTTCCACATCTTGTATAATATTGAAAATCTTCATAAACTTTGTTTTTGCATCATAATTGTAACCATACTTTAGTCGCAAATATCGTATAAGTAAATGAATGTATAAATGATATTGAAGCCTATTTATAAGTAATTTTTAAAAATTAAAAATAAAATATATGCAAAAAATATTAAATATACTAACTTTACTAATTCGTTGTAAATTAAGTTGGGTCTTTCAGGATTAAACAATATAATTGCAACTAACTATTAATAATCAAAATCATTTTAGTTAATAATCTACAATTTATAATATGTTTATAATAATAATAACCCACCAAATCAACAATAAACGGATCTGAATCCCATTCATTGTAGAAATTAGTCAAAAATCTATTATATAACGTATAGACTATTGGATGATTACTTTTCATTACTTCCAAATCCATAACAAATGTATTGCCGTTTATCTAATAAAAACAAATTGAGAATAAAATTATATCAAAAATAACTTTTTTTCAACAAATGTTTTCATATATTGTTATTTAAAAATAATTGTTAAAATTTATAAAACAATTTTATCCGAAAAAATCAATGAATAGACATTAAAAGCCATGATAGGTAGTACACAACCAGGATTTTTTGGTCAACCAAACAGATATCCCGGATCAGCTCAGAGGGTTACCCACTCTCGTTCATCTCAGGATTCAAACACAAAACAACAGTCTCTTAAAGATTCTTCAGACACCAGCATTGGAAACGATGAATGGATCGATAGATTTAGGAATTGGGAAGATGTAGGACCTTATGGTGAACCGGGATATGCTTTCGGAGAAAAGGGTCACGAATTGTATCACAAAAGAATGTTTCGACAAAATGGTTTCGATTTGGATACAGTCATCGCTCGGGTCGATACCAATCTGTTTGACAATCAGGTCTGGAAAGTAAAACACATCACAACAGGCAATGTCTTTGCGTGTAAAGTAGTGAGTCTTAAGTACTATCATCGACGGGATTTCTGTTCGGGTGTTAACGCAATGCTTCGTGAGTCCTATTGTTTGATACACTTAGATCATCAAAATATTATTAAACTAATTAAAGTGTTTGGTCTTAAAGAGCCCACAACTGGCTTCCCATATAGTTTCCAGTGCACTGTTATGGAGCTTATGGATGGTACACTTCAATCACTTCAGGACAGTTACATAGGAAAGCGTATGGATGTCGCCAAAGCCAGGGAATGGTTCGTACAAATAGCCCGTGGAGTCGACTATTTGCACAATCGTATAACAAGTGGCAAAAGAGTTAGCCATATAGCTATACGTCCGGTCAATATTCTCTATAAAATATTGAACCATCAAAGAGATACAAAGGTTTTTAAATTGGCTGACTTTGAGGAATCAATCACATTTGAATCAGGAGCTAACGATAACTTTCCATTTCGTGGTTATCGTGGTAACGAATGGTCACCTCCAGAAATGGCGAGAGGAAATGCATTTAGAAATGGTGGAGTTCCTACTAAACCAATTGATGTATACAGTCTAGGATTTACATTATGCACAAATGTTTGCGGTTATGATCCCTGGCCAACACAAGGGTATATTAAATGGATTCAAGGAAGACTACCGAATAATATGATCAGTGATAATGACTTTGAATTGTATAATAGTTTGGCAGAAGTGGGTCTCCTATTCACATCAATGATCAATCCCGATGCAAGTCAAAGACCTGCCATTGAAGAGGTATTATCTGATCCTTGGGTTACACAACGTTAATCCATAATAAATATAATCGCTTAAAATAAGTATCATTTTGTAACATTATTTTAAAATTATGTCTTAAATATATTAACTTTAGTTGACATACCATTTGAAAAGTGAAGCACTTGGTGTTGTAGTCAAAGAGTGGTGCGATTAGCATAAATAAAGCCTCAATGCATCCATACTTGACTAAAGCTAACTGATCATTATCGCAGAGTTCACGAAAAGGAGTTAAACGTTTAGCCAAATGTATAAACTTGTGAATGTATGCCTCAAATTTCATAATAAAACAATTTGGTATTTCATTAAACTGACTGATAATTAGCTTATTGTTTGTGTTTTCATAACTAGTGGCCACTGTTTCTTGAAATAACTCTATTAGTCGGCAATTCTCTACTTCAGTAAAATAGTTATTATTATTGATTTCCTTTGGTATAGAAAGTACTGATAATTCTAATTCCAAAAGTTTTCGATATGTTTTGGCACTAATGTTATTGTTATTATTAACTAATGATATTGTGTTTACATTATTTAATAGATTATCATTGAATCCATTGAATCCATTGAATCCATTTGAGTCAAATGATAGCTTTTCAGACTCCGATTTATCATTAAGTGAATCACCAGAATTCAAATTATCCAAAATATCTAAATTCAAAGAGTTTTCATTGGTATCGCATGATTCAACTTCTGGTACATATTTAGCATCCAATGGATCAGCCGATGAATACTTGTAATTCACTGTAGATTTACTTGTCTTTCGGTTTACTTTATGTCCTAACTTTTTCTTCTTCGGTTTTTTCTTCTGTATTATCCACTCCTGAATATTAAACATTAGATAACAGTAAAAACAAGTAATCCATGGATGACATCAATTATATACCTTTTTCATACCGACGTTAAAACATTTGTTAAGTCGACATCTTTTACAGTACTTACGGGTGTCGACATCAACAGTGCACTGGCCATCAAATGGACAGTCGGGTAAATCCTAAATTAAGTAAATTAAATAAACTTTTGTTTTGAACATAAAATATCAATATATATAGACATACATCCAATCGAAAGGCATTCCTCCTGAAGAAAGCCTTACACGACTCACAAGTGACGGCACAGAAGTTATAGCCTAAAGTGTGGTAAAGATTGACATTATTTTTAGTCATCAAACCATTCAGTCATTTGTATAAATATTATCAATAAATACAAACCGAAAGCATTGTCACCACAAACCATACATTTCTTCAGATTTGTTGTCATTATTTTATTGTATCTCAAAATGTTTTAACAATACTTTCATATATTATATAAATTATATTCAATTTAATAATAAATTAAATAATAAACTTTGTTTTTAGTCAATTAAATAACAATAAGTTTATAATTTGCATAAATACAGACATACTGTAGTCATACATAAGTCACACGTAAGCAACATATTATGGTCATAGATATGTTCAATATATATAGAAATAAATATATATAATATGTATAATAGTTGTGATACACTATAAACCCCTCCTCTCTTTGCTTTATATGTGTAAACGTGTCCGACATGTTAGTGGATGTCAAGTGTTTTGATAGTAAAAATGTTGTCACCGTTACAGTCAACATATGATGCAAACATAATAATGTAATGTTATTTAAATAAATAAAAGTTAGTATAATTATAATTATTTAGCTATTGATTATTCAATTAATACTACATGTATTAAACAAATTGTATACAATACATATTATAATATACTGTACAGTATTAATATACTAATAAAGTTAATAGATTTTACAGTATATCTATGATATCTTAAATAAATTAATAAATTTTTATTTTCTCATTTATGCCAATTCTTGATACTAAATATACATTTATTTCATTAAACTATTATTTATTAAAGTTGTAAATATTAATACAATATTTGATAGAAAATTATTATAAATCTAAATAAACTAGCTAGTACATTTAAGTACAAATTTAGTATTATTGTAGAATTTATGATTTGATAACATTAGGCATTTCATAATTTATGAATTATAAATGTTTATAAACAAAATATTATTATTTAATAATCAATAGATTAGTGTTGAGATAAAAATTGATTGGAATAGCAATGTATATAATATTACAAGACTTAGTAATGATTCCCAATGGAGGGAAATTCCTTAATAAAATCCCTCCATTTTTTCAGGAAAATATGGAAAATACTTTATTTTGCTTCCCTAACTCGTTAGAAGAGAAAATATAATTTATATTATTACAATAAATAGTACCAAAACTTAAACATTTTGAATAAAATTTCATTGAAATATTTAAAATTTAGTGATATTATTAATCAATCAACACCACTCAAAATAAAGTTTAATATTACATTTTTTCAAACATTATAATAAAATTTGGGGTTCAATAGGTGTTATCACAAGGAAATAGATTCCCTAGGAATTCCCAGTGACCAACAAAAATAGGGAACTTTATTACAAACCTTAAGTATTACTAATATTTAGTTAATTTGCGAAAAATGTATATAATGTTTTTAATCACACTTTTTATCAATAAAATATTAATTGTTTGAAAAATGTCAATAAATATGTTTTTTATGATTTTTCTTTAAGACATTATTAAAAAAATTTATGTAAACATATGAAAAGGTTGTCATGAATTTTGAATTGTAGAAACAGCGGGTAAATCGAGAATTTCCCGCAAAAGAGGTCCCAAATGGTTAGTATTTTTGGCATTTTGATTGCGTCTATGAATATCATTTAAATGACGCAAATACTCCAATGAATTCATTATTTTTACAAATTTTGTCTTTGATTCGCATTCAGACACATATTTTAAGCGCAAATATCGCTGAAGTAAATACATATATAATTGTTGTTGAAGTCTAATAAAAATATATAGAAAATAATAATATATTAATATTTGTAAAAATTTGAAATATAATAATAATAATAATACATACTTAACAATTTCTTTATGAATAATGTTTGGTCGATCCGGATTAAACAGTACTATAACTGTTAACTAAAATATTATTATAAGACTATTAGCATTTAAATTAATTACTTGTGATTAAAATAATAATAAAATAAAAATCAATCACCAAATCAATAACAAATGGGTCAAAATCCCATTCACTTCGTAAGTTTTGCAGAAATTTTTTAAAAGTAACATATATTCCATCCAATGGACTATCTTTAAGTAAATCCAACTTAAATTCTAATGCATTATTGCTATCCTATTAGAGTATATTGTTTTTATAACCGAATAGTTAATTGCCGATTAGTTATATTAAATTTTAAATAATTAAAAGTATAAAATACCATAATAAAAGTCCAATGTTCACTGTTATAGTCGAAATAAAGGGCAGTCCTAAGGAATAGGGCTTCAAGACAACTAAATTTGACGATTGCTAACTGATCATTACTACACAAACTTTGAAACGCCGACAAACATTTGGTCATTTTGACAAATCTCTCAATAAATACTTCAAATTTCAATAAGAAAAAGTTGGCCACTTCTTGCATTGTGTGGGCCATCACTTTGTTAGTCGGTCGCGGCCTATGTGTGCCCACTGTAGCCTCAAACAACTCCATTAATCTGTTGCACTCAACTTCATTGAATCCATTTGATTCACTAATAGGCGGTGGTATCGGTAGAACCGTTAACTCCAATTCAACTAACTTTTGATAAGTATTTTCTGATATTTCATCAAAATTTGTATTATTTGTTAATGTTATTGCCGTTGTTGTTGATGATAATGATTTAGATATTATAGATGAGTTGGTCATAAATATCATATCATTGTTAAAATTATTAGTATTTTCATTATCTCTAACTGTGTTATCAGTTGTTAAAAAATTTTCAATTTCCATAATATTTGTAATAATTTCATCATCACTAATGATATCATCGGGTATATCATTAGCTGGTAATGTAGATTCAGTTGTATCCGAGTTGATTGTATCAGCCGGTGATGGTTGAGATATAGACATTGTTTGCGTATCGTCTGTTGATATATAACTAATGCTGTCATTTCTGTCAGTTTTATTTTTGCCATTTTTATGGCCCATTTGTCTCCACCGACGGTTCTCTTCGATCTTATTTTTTCTCAACTCTTTTTCCTCTTCATTTAATATCCATTCCTATAATATAAAAACAGTTTATTATTTAGCGAATCAACCATTTATTGTATTAAATGAATACCTGTTTCATACCGACATCATAACACTTTTTGAGCCGACATTTGCGGCAAAATTTTCGGGTGACGACACTTATCTTACATTTCTCATCAAATGGACAGTTGTATTCCTAAATAACAAATATATATACAGAGGTATATCTATTATAAATATTAATCATTTTTATATTAATATTATAATATCTATTACATCGAGTTTAGTGGCATTTCTTCTGAAGAATGCTTTACACGATTCACAAGAAATGGCACAAAAATTATAGCCTGGATTTGGAGTCAAATTTAATATTTTTATTATTCATTTATTGTTATAAATTTTATTAATAAATAAATTTTTTAAATATCAATAGATTATGTCATTGGGTTTTTTATATACAATATAAAACATAATACACTTTTCTTAAAAATTATTTTTATCTTAAAATATTGATATAATTATTAATTAAATCTGTAAATACATACCAATTGCTTTTTCTCCACAAACTGAGCATATTTTAGTAAATTTTTTTGATGGCATTATTTTGACACAAATGCTAATAAACTAAACATATCATGTGATAACATTTATTATTTGTAAATTATCATATATCAAATGTAATCACTCTAATTAAATCATTGAGTACTACTATTGGTTTGAAAACTACAGTAAATATAATATTATTTATAATATTATAATAAGACAATACAGTACTGTATAATGTGTAAAAAAATTTTATTAAAATATTATCAATAAATCTATTTTTGATACAAAAGTACACTGTATATTGTGTATAATACAGTATATTCTATATATTCATAGTATTTTACTGTATAATCACTGTATAATAACTTTATAGTGCAATCCATGTACAGTACATAAAAACATTTAATGCATTAGGAATTGATGTTTTATGAATTGTTAGCAAATCAATGTAATAATTATTTTCTTGTAAATAACCTTGAATGATTTTATTATAATTATATTTATACGATATTTTTTGAATCAATTTATTGATGATAGAAAGGTATTTGCATACAATTATTTATTATATTTCTTACTTTGATAACAATAATTAACTATAAATGTAAAATTTAATGGAGTTTAAGTAATGATAATTTTTATTTAAAATTGATTTAATAATAAAATTTAATTATACATAACAATTAGTGATTAATTAGCAATTTAATAATATATACAGTATATAATATATACTATATATGCCTATATTCATTGAAATTTTGGAAAAACAAATTGAAAACTATAAAATTAATATAGTATAATATCATTTATAAAGTACCGATATATAAATATATAGTAATTGAACTACAACTGCTGTACAATACTGTAATTTGTATTATTTAGTGCAATTTGATTTGATTTAACTGTAATTATTTCTTAAATCAAAACATCAGTGTATAATATAATGTAATAATTATAATGAGGTAAAAAGTAATATTTGTAATTCAGTATAAAAAATATAAGATAAAAGTTTGATATAATTTTAAAGATTAAATAAAAAATAGTCATTTCTATATCATATACATTATACTACTATATTACTTGTGATATTATACTATTTTTAAATGTTATAATTTTTTTTATCTATTGCAATGCATATTTAACTTTATTTTATAGAAAGTTATAATTATTATAAAGTCAATTAAAAATTCAATGAACGGAATTGTTACCGGTACTATCTATTGATATCAATAATTTTTATTTTAAAAATAAACATTTATTGCATTTAATAACATTATTATTAAATAAAACAGGTTTTCGTCGCAACAATCTATTATTTTCCAATTAAAATCTAGATTTCTATTTTTATAATAATAATTGGTATTAATAATTACATTCAAATAATACTACTTTACTGTACAGGTATTTCTAATGTATCTTTTATAAAGTAATATCGTATTATTATATAATAGCATTATGCTATTAATATAATTTATATTGTACTATTGTTTAAATAATACATATTAGTTTAATATTTTTTCATTTTAAAGCTATACTGTACTGTAAATCACATGTACAGTATATAAACATTACATGTATGTTGAAATGTTACTATAAATTAACATTGCATAATTCATTTTGATAGATATTATAAAATTTTATCTATTAATGATATATTTAGAGACATCTATTGAAGCATATTAGATAAATTAAAAAATGTCATAATAATATTAATAATTATTATAAATGTAATATTTAATTAATAGTATAACTAGAATATTTATTATTATTATTATATTATATAATAAATTTTATTTAGTTTTGTATAAATAAATTAATGTCTAACGGTAAAATTGAATTAATAATATTTTTATTGCTATAAGGAAAAAAGTAATCAAGTAAAATACAAAAGTTGAAAATTATTTATATAAAAATACAATAATTATAGATATTATAACTACCATAATATAGAAGTAATCTATTGTGTAAATAAATTATTTACTGTTTAAATAACAAAATTAGAATCCTAATCAAAAAGCATTGAATATTTTCTCATTATAAATAAAATTAATTATAGCTTAAAACATATTATACAGTATATAATACTATATATAAAAAATAAGATCAGAATTTGTCGTTATTTTTGAAGATGCCTTCCGAGACAAATGTATTGATAGGGTTTCGTGGAGTAATTGTTTCGTTTTGTTTGCGATCAGCTTTTGCTGGACGCTTCCCGACAACAATCATAGCTTCAACATTATGAGTGTCTTTGTTGGCTCCGACCGCTTCATAAGCCTTGTCGAAGTCAAAGCCGCCGATTCCGTGAATAACTAATCCTTTAGCCGCACCTTCAATAGCCATTGACATCCAGGCAGAGCCCGCATCGTAACTATTTGTAGGAATTCTGTGTTTTTCTCCTCTTAGTTCCGCCCATTTGCTGGACAACACTACCATCAAATGACTTGCAGTTTGACACCACTGTTGATTCAAAGGCCATAAAAGATCCATAAACTTCTGCCAGTGCTCTGTCCCGCGTTTAGCATAAATGAATCTCCACGGCTGTAGATTATAGTGAGAGGGCGCCCAACGGGCCGCTTCAAACAAACTGTTTATGTCCTCATCCGACACTAACTCACCGGTCATCTCACGGGGAGAAACTCGCGACAATAAAACCGGATGTATCTTAACGTCCGATTTGCGGGCCTTTAATGTAATTATATTAATAAAAAATTCATAAATGTTTCAACACTTACATTAATAGCATCTTCATCATAGGTATAGCCACCACAATCATTACTCATTTTACAAATAATTGGCTATAAATATAAAAACAAGTGAGAGTTTAATCGAAAATAATAAACATTAAAAATTAATAAAAATTATTTCTAAGGAATCGTAAGGAATTGATATAAATGTGAAGACATATCATATTTACGGGTTTAGTGACGTATGTCTTGCATTTGTTTGTCAAACAAAATGCACTAAATTTATTTGAATTACTTATTATACGTTTAATAACAAACATTTTCACAACAAAATATACAGAATATTCTGATATCAATAATACAATTCTCACCTTAAAAGCAATAAAAAACAAAATACTAATATAAAAAATATTTTTTATATTATTTCTTTTGACTATTACCATAAATAGTCAGTTTTGAGTTTAAATCAATTGATATATTAATAATTTTTAGAATTTGTAAACTGGTTTAATGTCAAAAATTGTTGAATGTCTCGTAACATTGAAATCAACTATTATTTATATTATTAGTGAATTACAGTCAAACAAAACTATTTGTGCGCAGACACTGATATAAAGTTTAGTGCAAATCATACATCTAATTCATATCAATACATAAATAGTATTTTTCCTAATTTACACAAACAAATAAAGTTAATATAAAAGTTGTGTTGTCTTAAACTATCACTTGCCTGCATAGCATTTAATGGATTTGAATGCATGACATTAAACTGAAAGTCTTGTACCAATTTTAGTGCATTTCTACTTAAAATGTTTAGTGCATTATTATTATTATAAATAATTTAGAAGAATAAATAAATAAATAATTTTAAAGAATTATAATAAATCTAAATTTTTGATTCAATAATTTTCTTATAAAATACATTTTTACAAGTAGTTTATTTTTTGTTTACTAATAAAATGTAAAATATTATACTGTAAATAATTGTATATACATTTGTTAGTGAATAATTGTAGTACCTTATACTTTAGTTAATACCTTATATCATAAATTATAATATATAATAAAATAATAGAGTATTAAATGAAAAAACGATCTAAAATTATGATTTTTTATCACAAATAAAACTAATCCTTAATCAACTGTAAAACTTAATCTCTATTCTATCGCTTGAATTTCTCATAAATAATAATTAATTAAATTTAGATAATTACTAATTTAATAATTAACTAATTTTATAATAATTTATAGTTTTTAATTTTTATGTTTTATGAATTATATTATTTATAGTACTAATTATTACTAAAGTAAATTTGGACATTATATAATTGAATCTAAAAAAGTTTCAAACAACCAACCAATCAAATCTAAAATAATTTAATCCAAGAATATTTATGAATCTAATAATAAACTAGAGGTAGAAACCGAAACGGTTCGGTTCGGGGAATCGTAGCGATTTCGGTTGCTGTCAAACGGTTCCTAATAAAATGATTTTAGTGACTGTTTTTAATTTAAGTAATTATTAATTATTCTAATAAAATTCTATATATCATAAATACAAATACTTATAAATAAACATTTAGATATATTGTATAAATATATATTTAAAACATTATATTTATAATTGATAATAAATATATATAATTTATTTATTTAATAGTAATTATAAAATTATTTTTTATTAGTTATAATTATAATACAGTAATTATAAATTTTTAAAAATATCATAGTAAAAGGGGTATGCCAAACAATTTTTTAATTTCAATGTTTTATTGTTTAATTAATAATTTAAATAAACAACTGCTCGGTTCCGGTTCTTGGTTTACGGTTGGGTTCGGTTACGGTTCGAGAAATTAGCTCCGGTTCCTACCTCTATTATAAACTATTATTGACTTAACTTCAAGATTTTTGATATATAAAATGATTACTAAAATATTTGATATAAAACATGCCAAAATATTTATTTATTTTTTATTAATATTATAAAAATAAACATATTATATGACTAAAATAATATAAAATAAATCTTTAATTTATACAATAATATATTAGCAAAATGCTATTCATTCTTATATTATATTATGATTTTTAAAATTTTTTGATTCAATTGTTCGATTAAATACAAAAAAATATATTCAGTAAAAAATTCAGACATTTTTTTGCTATTAATATTTAAAATAACAATTTATAACATATTCTACAATACATACAGTATTCAAATACTTTTTGTATAAAATACTCTATAAATATTTAATATGACTAATAAAAATTTTTGTTTAATATTATAAAATCGATAATCTTATATTTAAAAATATTCTCTATTTATTGATTGTATTTAAACAAACATATGAATTATAAAATAAATTTTATTTTTATTTAGTATTTTAATAATACTATACAATTTTTAAATTTACACAATAACTATTATACAATTTATCAATTAAATAAAATTATACTTATGTCCTATAAAATTTTAGATAGTTTAATATATTAGACATTTAATTTGATTTTAAATTAAATATTTATTAAATTACTAAAATTTTATTTATTATTTCTTACTTTTTGTTGAACTCTATTTTGTAAGTCTACTGAATACAAAAATTATTAATGAGAATTACTACCATATTTGCTAATGATATAAAATTACTAATAAATATTCTATTTTTATAAATATTGAATTAAATATTAAATATTAATTATTTAAAATTAATTGAAAACTAAATTGAAAATTACATATCATGTGAAGCATCATAAGGACATTGATTAGGTATGTCTAATATCTCTTTAATAACTGGTCCGCAATAGTTTGCATTTAAAACTTTGATGTGTTGTTTGTGTATTTCACTCATATATTGAATAAGATGGACAACACTTTGAGTTTTTATTATTTTACTTTTTACTATAGACTCGTTTCCATATTTTACTTGAAGATAACGTTGAAGTAAATACATATAAAATTCATGTATATATCTATTAAAATTAAATTAATAAAAATAGTATAAATTATTATTCAATAGCAAACATACTTAACCATATGGTTGTGCATCAAATTAGGTCGGTTTGGGTTAAAGAAAATAAGTGCTAAGATCTTTAAAATGGTTAAAATGTTTATAAATAATTTATATTAATAAAAATTAATATAAAATTTACCATGTTCATTACACAAACATCTGATTCTAAAATATTATTAGCTATTTGTAGTGCACTTTTCAATATGGTGTCCACTTCATACCGAAGCAATTTACACGAACCCTGAGAAGCGATCACTGAATTTGAATCCATGTCCTAAAAAAGTTATTAATAATTTTTAATTAATATTATTTTAATAATTTGTTATAAATATTTACTGATGATATGAGACAACTTTTGCTAGTATTATAATATCTAGTGATTGTAGCAAATTTGAATTCAATGGCTCCATATTTGACGAGAGCTATCTCATCATTAACACACAAATCAGAAAATAGTTTCAACGATTTTGCAAATCTTATTATACGATTGACATAATTATCAAACTTCTGAAGTGATAATTTGGTCAACTCTTCTGGTGAACAGTAAATCACTTTTATGTTGTCCGGCACTGACTTATGGATGGATAGCATTGCATAACATAACTCTTTAATATAAAGACACTCTATTTCGCTCAGGTATTTGTAGTGATTGATTGGTTGCGATATACATGAGTTGATTTGATACACTGTTTGTAATTCATTTACACGATTGTCATTGTTTTTAGTGTTTAAATCATTGATTTGCAATTTGTTTGTGTGTTTACTCATTTGTTTGAAAATTAATTTATTTTCATTCATAATTCTTCTGCATCTTAATTGTTGTTCATTCAGAAACAGATCCTAAAAATTTAAAAATTTATTTGCAATTAATTTGTTTAATTTTAGTCTTACTGTATTCATCCCAACGTTAAAACATTTTTGAAGTCTGCATCTCTTGCAAAAAATGTTTGCATTTTTAGTGATATCACAATTATTTGCTTTTTTGCAGACATATCTCTTTAAATATATATAATATTAAAATCATTTTTAATATTTGAATTTTTAAATATTTACATCAATTTTATAAGCATTTCTTCTGAAAAATGCTTTACACGATCGACACGATATGACACCAAAATTGTTGCCTAAATTAAATAATTTAAATAATTTAAAAAAATTAATTATTATTAAATTATAATTTATATTCACTTACTATCAGCTGATTTATTACATATGAGACATATTTTAGGTGACATTTTTAATTATTATATATCGTTTTAAAAATAGTTTTATATAAATGAAATATTTAATTGCTTTTACATAATTATTGTATTTAAGTGCTTTAGATATTAATATACAGTATGTTTGTGTATTCTTATCATAAATGATAATAATATAAGTTTGATAAATATTGTTAATATAATTTACTGTAATCAAAATATTAATTATATATACATCATGTTGAATATTTTCTAAATATTTAGTGCAACTTAAAAATAAGTTTGTTGTATTAATATAAATATACAGTATACATATGATTACATTAATTATTGATTAAATTATATATACTGTATATTTATATTTATATTAATACAAACTTATTTTTAAGTTGCACTAAATATTTAGAAAATATTATGTAGATATAATATTTTGAATACAGTATTAAAAAATTATATACAAATTTTAAGTAAATATTTAAATGATAATAAAATAAATACAATTAAATATTTATAAATATGTTTTCATTATTAACAGGAATATCAAGAATTTCTCTGAGAAGTGGAGAATAATATTTAGCATTAATTTCTCGAATCATATCTTTATGTTTTTCACTAATTCTGTGAATATCTTCTAAAATGTTTAAACTTTTTTTAAATTTTTCTTTTGATTCCGAGTCATACTTTACTTTTAAATATCTTTGAAGTAAATATATGTATAATTGCTGTTGATATCTGCAATAATATAATATAAATAAAATTTATATAAAAAAATTTGTTATAATTATGACTCACTTAACCATATCCTTATGTATAATATTTGGACGATTGGGGTTAAATAATATTATAGCAGTAAACTGAAAAAATTAATAAAATTAATATTTAATTAGTGTGATTTAAATATTTAAATACCAAATATACAATATAAGGATCATTATCTAATTCACTGCCAACCAAAAACAAGTAATTCCTCATTGTATTATAAAAATTAAAATTTGATTTTATTATATCCAGTTTAACAAGAGTTAAATATTCATTATTCTATAATTTAGAATAAAAATAAAATAATAAAAATATGAATATTTAATAGATTAGAATATTTGCAAACTTATAAATACCAATATATTAACCCAACACTCTAATTGATGATCAAAAGTAATGGGAGATTTGGACAGTTGTATATCAAAACAGCCGTATTTAATCAATGATATTTGATCGTCAGTACATAAGGTTTGAAATGTACTCAAATTTATTAAAGAGTTCACAAATTTTATTATTACTGAATCAAATTTAATAGCAATAGTAGTGTAGAAATCATATACAGACTTAAATTTTAATTGTATTACTAAATTTGGTGTAAAATTTTTACGATTCAATTTATTTGCCATCGAAGCAAACAATTCACACAACAATTTACATTCAGTTTCATTGAGAGCATAGCTATTGTCAATCGGTTTAAATATTACAAGTGTTGGCTCATATTTTTCATACATTTTTACTTTGCTGTCATTACTTGACATCAAATTATTATTATTATCACTATTTTTATTTTTGACTGTAGAGTTGTTTTCAGATTTAGTAATAATATCTATGATATCGCTATCTTTTAAATCATAAATGCCATTCAAATCTAACAAATAATCGACAGAAAGATAATCATTTGTTAACCAATTGTTTGTCTTAACAATTGATTTTTTATTAATTTTAATTAGTTTAACAGTTTTACACTGTTTTTGATACAATTGTTTCGATTGACGATTTGTCTCAATCTTTTCATTTCTTACTCGTCTTTCTTCTTCATTTAAAATCCAATCCTTTTATAAATTTTTAAAATAAAATTTAAATTATATTTAAAAATATTTTGATATAAAAAATACTTTATTCATTCCAATAGCAAAACACTTTTTGAGTCTACATTTCTTACAAAACTTTCTGGTCTTAACATTGATCTGACAGTTATCTCCAAAACGACACTTGTATTTCTTAGATTATTTAGTTTAACAATAAAAATAATTAATTTTTACTGATAATTAAATTATACATAAAAACAATACTAAAATTACAATTACCTGTAATTTGAAAGCATTTCTTCTAAAGAATGCCTTACAGGGTTGACACGTGAGGGCACAGAAATTATAACCTATAATCATATTAATTGTAATTATATTTGTATTTAATTATAATACAATCAAAAACTTAAAAAGTAAGTTATAATTAAATAATTGTTATTAATTGACATTTCATACCTTCAGCCTTTTCACTACAAACACTACAAATCTTATCATAATTAGTAATTTTAGACATATTTTTAAAAATTTTACAATATTAGGTAAAAAATGAATATATTTATTTAACAGTCGTAAATTAAATATAATACAAAAATTAGTTTTAGTCAGTATTAGATATTTCCGATAATATTAAATATATCCATTATAGCTGTTTTTATAATTAAGTTAACATTTTTTCAGCAATAAATAGTTAAAGTTATTATTCATTGATACTAACATGTATTACACAATTATAAAGAAATGATTTTATCTTGATTAAAATAATATTGTTAAATGTGTGCCCTCTGGTTGATTAAACTTATTAATATTAAGTACAACTTTTATAAATTTAAATATTTTGATTGTATTACTCAATTTAAAAGTTGATATTATTTTAAAAATAAAATCATTTCTAGAATTTTTCATTTTAAAATTATTTATAAAATTATATATATAATTCATATGACTTTTATTTAAAGCTAATTTAATGTTTAATCAATTAATTTAAGAGAATAATGTCATTTGACATCAATCAAGACATTTGAAGTCATGTTTTTTAAATTTAATAGACAAAGAGTCTTATGATACATAAACAGTGCTTTTAATACTATATGTTAATTATGTAATGATATAATTTACACTAATTATATACAATATTTTTATATTAAAATTTACTTGTGATTTCTCGATTTATTATTAAATATATATTATACCTCAATTGTATATTACATTTACATTATTATTAATACTGAATTAATATTAGAATTATAAGACGAGTTTCTATATTTCAATGTCATCTATCATAGTATGTCACCCTAACGCAGGAGATGTCAACTTAGACCTCATTGTTAACCAAATTAAAGAGAGAGAGAGAGAGAGAGAGAGAGAGAGAGAGAGAGAAAGGGAGGGAGAAGATAGAGAGAGAAGAGTGAGAGAGAGAAAGAAAGAGAGAGAGAGAGAGAGAGAGAGAAGCATTTAGAAGAACCGTTTGCCGAAAGATTGTTTCAATTGTTATGACAAATATATTTGAAGAAAAGTGAAAAAAGTTTTCCTTTTTATTATAATAACATAAGCACTGAATCAGACAAAAGACACGTGAATTGTATGGCATATAGAGTTTGAAAGTACGTGAAAGTTCATGAACCCCAACACAACTGCACATATACTATACTACATGACTATATGCATGGATGGCTCAACACATTGGGTATACCGTATACAACAAAACACAAACACCGGTAGTTTTTTTCTTATAAAATTTTCAAGGTGAACATACCCTTTTAACATTGACAATGATATGCAAGTTTTGTTAGTACCAAACATTTTAATAATATAAAATTTTCAACAATGATCCAGTCTATGGCTAGTTTGTTAGTTTGTAGGACATTGACTCCTATATCTTATTAATATTCATTATTTATTAAGAAATGAATATATAAAACAATAACTATCAATAGTCTATCAATGTTTATGTTATAACTTATAAGTGAAATTATTTTACTGTCAAATAAATGTTTACGATTTATAAACTAATAAGTATTTTAAAGATATAATATTTTAAGCAAACATTACAATTGTCTAAGTAAAGGGCCCTAAGGGGGGGTCTTGGGTGGGCTTTTATAACCCTCCAGTCAGTCAATGTTTGCATGAAAAGAAAGATGGAAAAAATGTTTTAAGAGGAGTGGTATATAACGATAACGTCTGCCAACAACAGTGGCCTAATCTTTTCAATGCCTGTTAGGTATGAGCTGTGGTGGCATAACAACTAATGTATATTCAAGAGTATACAGTTATACAGTTAAACTATACACACCGGGCCTTGAAAGTGACCGATCAGGTTATCAAAGTGTAGTCAAGTTTATTAAGGCTTACATTTGAGAAACACTAACAAAGTTGTTGTAAAGTTTACCAGTCCTTAAAAAGTTGTATATCATATATATATATAACTGTTGTCTCGTTGTTTTGTGAACTAAAAGACACACAAACTGTTTATTTGGTAAACAGTTAAGTGAACCGATAGATTGAATTTTTTACTGCTTTTTTTAAAATACACCATTTTATTGCAAATATTAAATGCTAACAAAATATTTATGTGAAATATTATAATTTTGTGGTTTCAATGTTTTATATAATCTCATTTGATGAACAATTTAAAAAAATAATTGCAACCAAACAAAGTTTTGTTTTGTATTTGTATTTATTATAAAGTGATTATTTATTTTATTTATTTGTTATTAAATTTTAATTTGTTTGTAAAACTGATAACTTTTTCAAAATGAGAACTACATGTAAGCTCTTTTTAAAAAGTTTCCTATATTTCATTAGTTTTTAATTTAATTTTATTTCGTATTTAAATTTTAAAATAACTTCAATTTAACTTTTTTATAATTATCATAAATAACAATATTTTAAATTATAATATAAGTTTGTTGTTATATAATATATAATTATATTTGTTATATAATTGATGTTTATTCTTAATAGATGATGACATCAATTGTTTGCAATTTAGCAAACTGTCAATCAATTCACCAAAAAATTTACGTAAAGAGTATGGGAGTGACACACAAACATCGGTAGCTAACGGTGCCCATCATCGCAGTAGTAGTGTATTGCCACGCATTGAGTTCCCAACACATAAGTTTGAAAAATACCTTAATATGGGCGACGGATATCAAGATATCAAGTCTAAAAAGTTTAACAAATAAATTAAATTAAATATTATTATGTAATTATATGATATTTTGTGGACACTTTCAGAAAGACTATATTTATTTATTTATTAAAGACTCTATTTATTTACATTTTATTTATATTACTTTAATAAATCAATTTTTACTTAATCATAAAATATTTCAATAATGTAATACAATTAAGTAAACTAAATATAATTTATTATAATTCAAAATTGTTCAACAATTTGTAAAATATATGTGAATTGAGAATAAATTTTACGATAAAAAAAATTTAATAATTTTTTGTCCCTTGTATTTAAATATATTATAATTACTTTTGAATAAATGTGTTTTACTATTATATTAATTTATATAATTAAATAAAATATTAATTAATATATTCTACTAATTATATTATCCTATATAACATACGGGTTTATATGAATTAAAATTTATATCATATATGCAAAAATTATTAATTAATATAAAATAAATGATACATTGATATGAAGATAATATGTTAAAACAATGTAATTTTAATAAATGTTTTAAATAAAACTTGAGATAAAGGTATTGGAAAATAATATTAATTTATGACAGTATATGACTTATGTATAAACAATAATAATGTTTATACAAAGTTTGTATTACAAACAGTTAAAAATCAATGCAAACCTACTTTCACTGCCATTTCTTTCATACATTAGTATGATTTCGTCCTTTTGTGCCGAAGAAGACATGGCTTTAGAGGTATAGTGTGGTTCAGTTGCGGACAAAAATAATGACAATATGTGTGGCAAATGTTGTTTGAAATTAGTTTGAATTTCGTATAAATGTTATATATATGACACCCATTGTTGTCATATTATATAATAATAACAAACTACTGGTAATATTAACTACCAGTTGTGCAATGAATAAGTTGTGCCAAACATTACATATAATTTACTGTATTATACATGTAATACATTTGACTCAATAGACAAACCCCAGGCAAACATGTACTACACGTTTGATTTCACTTTCATTTTGTGGGAAATTTGGAGAGAATTTTATAATTAATATTTTTTATCTGATTCCTAATGTTTGCCAAATTCTAACATTAAATATATACTGATATACAGTATATTATGTATATAAAGAAGCGGTCAAATGATCTTTCGTCGCGTAATTTTTGAATAACTTTTAAACGCTTTGAGATAATTTAATTCTGTAAAATACATTTAAGAATATCATATCGACCTGACTTAATATACACTCAATCACAAAACTAGGATGACCAGATATACACAATATAGGGACCAACGCAAGACACTATGCTACAGGTAAACTAAAAGTGACAAATTTTTATGAGAAGCAAAATTTGGGCCTTACCAAAGTTTAGGCCCCTACGAGAAAATTCATTTTTTTCAATAGAAAACAGTTAATTAGGTCCTAATAAACATATATACATCAAAATTATTGCGCGGAAACACCTAAAACCTAACTAAAACTAAATCTAAATAACAGAACTCACATAACGTAATCATATACTAATCATAAGACTTTAATAATTAACAAACATAAACGCCAGTATATATTAACATTAGTAAACTTGTAGTATTGTTGTCATTCATCAATATCAATATATAACTCTTTAAGATAATAGTCTCTGTCTGTCTGTTTGTCTTTATGACACATTTTCTCAGCAACCATATTTGAATGCAAATCTAAAAATATATTGTTATATTTTCAATAATTATTTAAAGCAATGTTATTTCTATGGGACATTTTAAATGATTTTTTAGCTCAGGTCGCGTTACCTAACCTAACCTAATTTTCAAAGGTAACCTAACCTAATCTATACAGTACTGCGGTTATTGAATCAGTGTTTGTCGCGTTAAATAACCTTCATATATTGGATTTATGTTTTGAAATCATATTATTATTGTGGTTCAATTAATTTATAAATTCTATAAAATTAAATGGTTATATGTTCCGCGTGGACAACTAGTTGTTTTTAAAAGTATTATAAAGAAATGACAACAATACTATTTCATTAGCATAGTTATAAATGTTAATTTAGTTCACGCGCTTTACGATTGATTAATATTAAATTTGTTATAATTAGTGTATAAATAATGTTATGAGAGCTCAGGTATTTAAGTTAGATTTTAGTTGCATTATAGGTGTTTCCGCGCAATAAATTTGATGTATATATGTTTATTAGGACCTAATTAACTGTTTTCAATTGAAAAAAATGAATTTTCTCGTAGGGGCTTAAACTTTATTTTAACCAAAATCGGATTGGTAGTTTTAATTTTATGGTTTGTTAAGGTTAGCATAAATCATATTATATAAAATATTAATATGCATTTAAACTAAAGTGTTTTTGTATTAATAGTCTAACAGCGTTAGAATACAGTATGTAAGCGTATATTTGCAACAGTTTACCTTGGTGCAACAATTTTATACAATAGATGTCTATATAAAGCAAGTCTATGCAAATACCATGATATCATTGTATACACAATGTGTAAATGCATTATATAGTCTATGAATAGCATAAAAACATATTTTCAACTTACTTTTAATCAAAACTAATATTATAATTGACATTTTTTATTTAAAAAGTGTTATTACTATAAATAAATAAAATATAAATAAAAAATGTCAATACATAATGCATTTACACATTGTGTATACAATGATATCATGGTATTTGCATAGACTTGCTTTAGATAGAGATCTATTGTAAAAAATTGTTTCACCAAGGTACTCTGTTCAATTTATGACTATGTACTGTAAAATGTGCAAGTGCTTTTTTGCACAATAAATAAATTACAGTACATAAACAGGTAGTATATCATATATTTTGAAGCTCCTATATGTAAATTCACTAGTTTTAACATTGATTAGTTGACAATAAATTGACCATGATCATGATCAGCACCTGACGGTACATAAAATTTTCAAAAAACTTTTGTTGTTATAACTGAAATGAGATAATCTATTATAATGTATTGAATAGATGTATCATTATTTAGTTTCATTAGCTTATTGTAAGTATTGGTATACAGTATATGGTGTATGCATTTGGGAGAGTATTCGATTATACAGGTAATCGATCCATTAGTTTATATTAAATATCTGATATTATCAGTGATAAACCATACATTCAATTTAAAAATGACCAAGCACATAATTGTAGATTATATTAAACTCAACATAATTGTAATTGATCATTTTAGATTAATTGTAAAATTAACTAGATAATAGTCAACTATTCTATTTTATGTCGATGCTATTATATAGTTAATACTACTTATTGTAAATATAACAACAAACATATGAGACATCTATAGATTCATAAATTAATTGTTAAAAGAAAATATTTCGATAATTTTAATCAATATTCAGGTATTATTATTATTATACAAATTATTTTATTTATAATTTTGACACATTTAATGAATTTAATAAATTCCAATATTTATATATTTTGGCAAATGATATATAAGTTGTATACTATAATGAGTTTTGATAACTAATAAGTTTAAATAAATTAATATCAATTAAAAATATATGAATGAAATTATAAGAATATTTTTTATGATTTATTGATTATTAATGTCTAGAATTTCAGCGATAAGTAGTCCGCTTTCCTGTGGACTCCTTTCCGATGAATTTTGTCGCTGTTTTTCACCCAAAATATCAGCAAATTTGATGGCATTCATGAACTTAGCAAACCTGAGCTGAGCCTCACTTTCGGATAGGTATCTCAACTTTAGATACCGATATAATAATCGCATATATAGTTGTTGTTGATAACTATTGATAAATATTTTAAATTGCAATTATTATTAGTTACAGTATATATAAAAAGGCGTTTATTATATCTGTCCTCGGTGGTTTTCTTAATAACTTTTCAATTTAAGTTCTATAAAATTGCAATTAAATTTTTTTTCTAGCACTTATAGTTTTAGTTGTGACCTATGTATGGTTCGCAAACATCCCGCGATAAATGTGGTCACGTGATCACGATAAAATTTTAAATTAAATAGTGTGTAATATCACGCATAAGTTATTTTTATAATAAACTTTTTACAGAAATAATCAATTGATTTCTATTGGTTAAAAAGTTATTAAGAAAACCGCTGACGACAGATATAATGAACGCCTTCTTACATCAATATAATAATATTAAATCATTAATAATATATAATATATAATATTTAGATATTCAGTATATTTAACTAAATTTCTTACGTTATGATTTCTTTATGTTTAATGTTTGGACAGTTTGGCTCAAATAAAGATATGATTGTAAGCTATTATTAAAAAATATATTTAATTATATTGAAAAACACATGGAATATATAATAATTAATTCCTCAGTCATTACCGCTTCAACAATCATGGGATCGGAGTCCCATTCGGGTCCTATGTTTTCCCAATAATATTTAAAATGATTATAAAGATCTCCCTTAACGTTATTATTATTAAGGAGTTCCATATCAAACTTAATTAATGAATTATCCTAAATTATAAATAAAAAATATTAATATTATGACAAAAATAAAATAATTTTATTATTAGTTTTACCAAATGATATATAATTTCACTTTTGCTATAATCAATAATCATAACGGAGCGGACAAATAGCGACTCAAAGCATCGGTATTTCAAAAGTGCTATTTTGTCGTTTTCACACATATTGGAAAAATTGGTTAAATGTTTAGACATATCGATCAATAGTCTAATTTCTTTATCTAATTTGGATGCCGTTACCCGTCGGACGGCATTTAAATCTGTGAGTTGGACCACATGATTGGTATCAGGATGTCTAAGAACTGACGTTTTTTCAAATAAATCCTTTAATAAATTGACTTCAATTTGATTTAATTCAAACGATTCAGCAATAGGTTTGTCAACCATTGTTTGAATTATTTCTGTGTCAAAATCAATGTCTTGTAATTCTTGACTTATTAAGTCCGATATATTATTAAAGTTAAGCAAATCATCGCAAACCGTATTTTCATTGACATAAAGCATCAATTGATTGTCATTGTTGTTGATATCATCACTACATTCTGAATAACTTGTATTTTCATTAATTGTTGAAACACTTGTTATGTCTGACTCTAAATCATCGATCAAATGGTCTGAATTGTCATTTGTAACGCTTAGTAAATCAATTGATATTTTATTCAAATGTTTATATCTTTCTCTTAATCTCTTATTTACTTCAATTTTTAATCTTCTCTTTTCTTTTTGAATTTCATCGTATATATGATCCTAATTTATAGTAATTTATTATTACATTAGTAATATTTCATAACTCATTTTAATACAATACCTTATTCATACCAACGGCAAAACATTTAGATAAACGACATTTTTTACAAAATTTTCGCGTAAGTAAACTCATACTACACTTGTCTTCAAAATAGCATTCAAACTTTATATTAGGAAAAAAGTAAATAATTTAAGTAAAATTAACATTTTAATGTCAATTTAGATTTAGAATATTACATTGTTATAATGTTTTTTTTTAAAAAATAAAATATGAATATAATAGTAATAGTTATTTTTAGATATTTACATTATTTAAGAGTGCATTTCTTCGAAAAAATGCTTTACATGGTTGACATGTAATGGCACCGAAGTTTTTACCTAAAATTGAAAATAAAAATAATTTTTGTGTGTCATCCCAAACACAATAGCTATTAATATAGGAAATGTATATTTATGTCTTCAAAATAATATACAATAACAATACATTACCGGTTGCTTTATCTCCACAAACCAAACAAATTGAACCATCTTTTTTGATACTCATTGTGAAACTAATTTTGTTGATGAAAACTTGTAGTGAAATAATCTTTTATTAAAAGATAAACTTGTTTTTGTAGACTTTTATTAAAAACATAGTAATCATTTGTGTGATTACTAAAAAAACTACATTTATAAAACTGATATTAAATTAATGTTATGTAATATCAAAATATTTTGCTATATAATGAAATATACATTTGAGTCAATATAGCTAATCAATGTCTTGTGATATTTTAATCGTATTTATAGTTTTAATAAGACATACACTTTTCAACAAATAAAATATATTATTTCATGATAATATTTTTATATAAATATAAGTTTATACAATAATAGAGTGAATCACTAAATTCAAAATATTTCAATTCAAAGTATTTATGTAAAAACCACAAATGAGATCCTGTATTATATAATATTAATATAATACATGTTTGAAATTTATTTAAATTGATTTATTTTTACATTACTAATATAAAAAAATTATATATATTATTAAAATTTATTTTATTTATATAAACAATATACTTTACTGATTTTATGTAAGCCATTAAAAATATAAATTTTTATAATTGTAATGAAGTAACATTGCATCTAAAGTATAAAAGCCTAATTGATGTCAAGATTTTCAAGGTTTTCTATTTTATTTTTCTTTATTATTACTTGTTTTCTAAAATTATTAAATATGAAAGTAAAATGCAATTGATAAAAATAAACAGCAACTATAGTATAGTAGATATTATTTCAATGTCAATCAAGAATAATATTTATACTATAAATATATAATAATTTTTATTATATTCATGTGCCGGACATTTAAGCTCTTAATATTGTAATATTTTCAATATATATTTATATATATTCATTGGAAATAATTAACTTCTAATTACATTTAATAACAAAATAAACATATTTATAATAATCTTTAAATACTTATAATATAATATTTTTTACGAATTAACTAAAATTAAAAATAATAAATATTACCTAACATACATAAGTAATGTCGTTTCAAAAGTACAAAAACTAGTTTTATTTTTAAACGGCAAATAGAATGTCAATTGTTTTAATGTACTAATATAACATAAAATTATCTATATTAGGTTGACTAAGTAGTTTTGGATTTTAAAAACTAATTATGTCAGAATTTAGTTTTAAGACCTTTGAATATAACTTGTATTCTTAGTAATAATTAACACTTTCAAAAATTTTAATAAATTTCTAAAAATTTTACAATACAATAGCTTCATGATAAGCATCATTGCAATTTTCAGCGGGCGATATCTATGATTTTATTGAATAAAAAAGTTTCATTTTCAAAATATTGATCTGATATCTCGTAAACAATTGTTTATAATTTATTATTAATAAAGAAAAATAATAATTTAAAACAACATAATTACAATTTAACTATCTATTTTTAAACTTTTAAATGAAAAAACTTTTTTTCAATGCTTTATGCCATCCAAAAATAACGTTACTTTTTGTACAATAATAACGACATTACTTATGTATGTTAGGTAATATATTAATTTAATCATATTTTAGATTATATTCTGACGCTTTAGCAATTAAATAAAATTTGGATATTTATGAAATATTTATTGTTTAATTATAATAATAACAACAAATATAACAAAAATATATTATTTAAAATATTGACTAATATTAATTATTATTTTAAATTATTCAATACATTTTATGATAGTATTTATTTTCAGTTTTTTAAATTTTATTTATAAAATATATAAATATCACATTAATTTTATTTGTACTGTAATTGTGCTTTAGTATAAGATATTTTTAATAAAATAAAATAAAACATACTATAAAATATTGAGAGATTATTAATTAATAGTAATAATAATAATATTATTAATCTAATAATATTTCTTTGATCAGTGGATAATCATTAGTCACTTCATTATTATAATTCAAAAAGTTTTGTTTTTGCATTTCTCTTAAAATACTTAAATCAGTTAATGTATTCAATAATCTCAATAGTCGTGTCTTTGCCTCGCATTCAGACTTTAACTTAATTTGCAAATATCGTTGAAGTAAATACATGTATAAATGTTGTTGTGATCTGTATATCAATTAAATAAATTATTATAAATATAAATATAAATTAATTACTTAATATTTATATTTTTAAATTTATAAGTTATATTACATATTAAACTTAAATTTAAATATAAAATAAAACAGATTACTGTTAATATTATTACTGTAATAAATTGTAAATATTACTAATATTAATATTACTTTACAATCTCTTTATTAACAATATTAGGATGATCCGGATTAAATAAAATAATTGCCAATAACTACATAAATGATAAAAATAATAATAATTTCATTTGTAAGTAATAGTAATTCATAAGTATTAATAGTTAATAAATATACCAGGTCAATAACGTATCGATCCGAGTCATAAATTGAATACATTTTGCGCATAAAATTTTTCACTATATTATAAACATTTGTAGGAAATTGTCTCAAATTTTCTAAATTGATCATGATAGTATTTTCATTATCCTGTTTTTAATAAATATAAATATAAAAATTACAACAAATATATTGATATAGATTTAACAATTAGTATTGATATGACTTACAAATGGTAATATCCAACAATCAATACTCCAGTTATAGTAGACAACAGATCGCATGAACACAGACTCAATACATCCGTACTTAAGAAGTGAGATCTGATCTCTTTGACAGATGTTTCTGAATGCAGATAACCTTTTGGCAGCACTTGTGATAATACGAACTCCTTTATCGATCTTAAAAAACATACAGCAATTGATTTCATTAGGAGTACTGATTTGACTGGTGATCACTGAACGGTTCCGTTCACTGTAATTGCCTATAGATTTGAATGAATCAAATAACTCATTGAGTAAATACTTTTCCATATCATTCAATTCATTTTTATTTGGTGTCAATGGTTTTGGTATAGGAATGGGTGTTAATTCAAATTGAATGGCCTTTTGTATGACATCATCGGATATATCAATAGATTCGTATTGTGTGTCTTCACTATCTAATTGTTGTTGATTTTGATGAGATTGAGGTTGAGATGAATGTAATGACATCTGAGATGATGAGGTATTTTGTGAAATATTTGAACCGAAAATGCTTTCAATTTCAAGTAACGCTTCGCTTTGTATAACACTGTTATCTTGTGGTTCAAAGATAAAGTCTTTTTCTGAAATATCATTAATATCTTGTCTTATGATTAAAGACTCTGTTGAGGTATCTGTTGATAAATCTGACAATACATTTGTGTCGATATAATTATTATCATTACTTTTATCATTACAATTATATCTTTGATTTTTCAAATCATTTAGATTTTTCTCTAATAGTTTCAATCCTTTGGCATCTTTTTTCACTCTTTTCCACTCTCTTTGGCCATCATTTGTCAACCAATCCTTTAATCAAATAATAGACAATTTGTTGTAAAATAGATAAATAAAACAATAATGAATACCCTTCTCATTCCAATAGCCAAACACTTATCAATTCTACATTTTGAACAAAATTTTCGGGTTATTTCATCGATCATACAGTTGGAGGTAAAGTGACATTTGAGCTGTTATTTTGTTATATTAATTAATTAATATTCAAATTATATACTAAATATTTTTTTGTACATTAAATAATATGACATATATTTTATAACTTAAATATAACGAATAATATACAGTATATATAATATAATGTATATATAATTACATCATTTTTGAAAGCATTTCTTCTAAAAAATGCTTTACAGGGTTCACACGAAAGAGCGCCAAAATTTTTACCTAAATTATAATTTTAAAAAATTATTATTTTAAATAATAATTGTTTTATAACTATTGTATTTAATAATGATTAGTTGAATGTACAATACATTATACTAAATAAATAGATATATTAAAAATTGACTGTAATTATTCAAGTCATTAAAACTACATTATATTTCAAGGTTTGTAAAATACAATAATAACATAAATTAAAAAAAATTAATATAAATATTTAATATATTTTAACAAACCTATTGCTGGTTTACCGCAAACACCACATATTTTTAATTTTTTTGTTTTATTCATTTTGTAGACCAAATCAATAATTTAATATTATTATTCAAAATAATATTTGTTAATAAGTAATAATAATAATAAAATAGTAAATGTTTTTAGTTGAATTTGATTAAAAATCACTTTAAAAACATTATTTAAAAAATATTACAATACATTACATTATATGGTTTAATTGATAATATTTAGTTTGTATATATTGACTGATAATATCAAATTAAATATATTAAATCAAATCAAATTAATATACAGTATATTAGAAAACTATTAAACTTACAATTATTAAATGAACACAATTATTAAAAATTGCATAAATACAATTACGATACAATACAAATATGGTGAATATGTTAAAAAATAATACATTAAATTTATACATAATATTTGATGTATTAATATAATACTGTATAATACTGTATTACCTTTAGTATCAAATAAATATTAGTTTATGTTTAGCAGTAAAGTATAAAAACTACACGTAAACTAAAATATATATTAATAGTATTACAATATAACTGTGAGTTTGCGTAAAATAATTATTATTACAATAGAAATGACTTTTAGTAAAGAAAAATAAGAAACTTTCTATTGGTATACAATTGTTTGAATATATTCTCGAATTATATTAATAATAATACATTAATTATATCTGTATTTTATGTGTTTTTATATAATAGAATATATTACGAGTAATTAATATACTTTTAATAATATAATATTAATTTCTATATACAGTACTGTATAAGAGTTAAAAAATGTATAAATTGGAGTAAAGGTATTTTACCCGAGATCAAGATTTTTTAAACTTGAAATCAGAAATAAAATGGTTTAAAAATTAAAAAATTAACCAATACTTTAAAATAATTAAATTTATATAAGTTTCACGAACTCCTGAAAGGAGTACATATCTGAATTCTAAATGTCCTTTCTTCCTGTCCGTCCAGTTTTTTTTTAAATTTTGATTTCAGATTTGAGTTTCAAAGCTGTAAAAATCAAAAATAAGGTATAATTTTGATATCTCTTTAGGAACATAGAGAAAATGGAGGTTAAAATATTTTTTTAATTTATGTTAAAATTTGAGTGATTTTATACTCTACATGACTATAGTTAAGTTTATTTTGGCACACTGACTCATTTGATACTTTACATCACTAAAGTTGAGTATATTTTGTTATACTGAGACATTTGACATTTGAAAACACTATTTGACTTAATTTAATATTTAATTTGGATAAGGAGTTCGTCTGAAAATGCTTTCTAACATTTTAAACTGGTTTATTTTTAAATTTATCTTTATTTAAAGTGTCAAAATATGGTTTTTGTATTTTTGATATTTTTTTGTTAATCAAGTCTTAACAAACACTTATAATTTTAAAAATGGTAAAACATTTATCTCAGATAAAGCTTTATATTAAGCATTATTCAGATTTTTTAAGTCTGTTATTACAATTACTACAAAATAAAACTTTGAAAATAATTATTTATAATAACTCAAATAAAAATGTCAATAATTAATTTTGTAGATTAATTATCAATTAAATAAACTTACATTTAATAACATTTGTAGTATTAAAAAATGAATAAATAAATTTTTATTATTGCAATATTTCGTTCAAAAATAAGGGCAATTTAAGTAATATAAAAACCAAGAAACCTATGTCTATCACCCAATAGATTATCACAAACTTTATATAACATTAAAAAGTTTTGCATTTAAAACAAAATTATTAACTATTGATTTTTTATCATTTTGTTGTTTACTTAATTCAAATATTAACAATAAATATTTTACAATATAATTAGTGTTATAAATTACATCTCTTTAATACTAATTTAGTATTTTATAAGTAATTTTCCATAAAAAAAATTGTTAAAATAAAACTAAAAATAATTATATTACAAGTAAAATGTGATTTAAGATAATTTAAATTATAAGAATAAAATAAATTTAATAAATTAATGTTTTTATTAATTAGTTTTAAATTTTATATATAAAACTATTATTTAAAATACATAATTTCCATTAAGTTAAGAAAATATTCCGATAATGAGTGAATTAATTGGTAATATTTTGCTGAAAAATTTTGTGAACTTTAGGAAAGTTATAGAAAAATTTTACTTGACTTCCATCAGACTTGAAATTTTTTTGAAAAATAGTCGTTTAAATAAAAGTGTATATTAAATTTAATAGCCAATATTTTACTCAATGACTTTCACAAAAATTATTTGAGATTTTTTGCCATTTTACCCCCACTCTAAACCACCTTTAATAAAAAAAATTTAAATCAAATAATGATTATTGAGTTTTAAAATATAATTAGTTCAAACATTTAAATTGTTTACACATTATGATTGTTACAAATGAAAAAATGAAAAAATTAAATAATAATTAATTAACGAATTATAAATTAATAAAAGATGTATCAGATTCTGGTATTTGTATTAAAGGTTTGATATCCAAAACTTCATGTAAAAGCGGTGCTATTGTTTGGTATTGTAAACCATTGTCGACAATATTTCTTCTCAATGTTTCTCTTAAATTTCTCAAACCAATGATTGCATTCATTAGCTTTAATAGTCTTGTATTAGCCTCACAAGTGTTGCCATATTTGCAAACTAAATATCGTTTAAGTAGATACATATAATTATGTTGTTGGTTCCTATAATTACATTCATATTATATATTTAGTATAATAATTAATTAATAAAAATATAATAACTGTTTAATATTATTACATGACATCATTCCTGTTAACCAATTCAGAGTGATTTGGATTAAACAATATAATTACCAACATCTATATAATTTAAATTATGTATTAATTGTTTTTTAAATTTAATAAATAAACTTCAAATTCAAAAATAATTACCAAATTTATTATTGCATTGTCTGAGTCCCATATCATAGACATATTTGTAACAAAATTACTAATAGTTCCGTAAAAATTTATTTTAAAATTTTTTAAATAATCCAATTTAAGTATTATAGCATTTTCATTATCCTAAATAAATAAAATAAAATTTAATAAAATTAGTGAATCAATTACATTGAAATTAATATACAAATGGCAATTCCCAATATTTGTTGTATGAGTTGTACGCTATAATAGATCTCATAAATAATGATTCAATGCATCCATACTTAAGTAGTGAGATCTGGTCGGTCTCGCACTGAGTCCTAAAAGATGCCAATTCTTTACAGGCTTTAGTAAACATACGAATCCCTCTTTCAAATTTAAAACTTATTACGCGATTAAAATCAGTTATTGTTGTAATTTCTGATTTATTTTGACCCATAGGATGACCAATAATTTTAACTGAATTTAATAACTCGCATAACATTTCCATTTCTTTATCGTTAAAGTTGGCACAGCTTTCATCAATAGGTCGTCCAATTGGTACGACTGCTAACTCGTATTCAACAACTTTATTATATGTTTCCGATGATATGCTATCACTTTGGCTCATATTATTGTTGTCATGATTTTCATTAGAAACCAAATTATTGCTATTATATACATAATAATCTAAGCTATCATTTATTACATTACTGTCCAATTCAACAACGTTTTCAATTTCTACTATCTGTGCGTTTAGTTTATCAACACTAAAGTTATCTTTAAGTATGTCAATCAAAAAATCATTGTTTGAAATCTCATGATTGATATCAACATCGATGCCATCAATAGATGAATCTGTTATAAGATCTGAGTTGTGGTGACAACACATTTGTTCATCATTTGCATTCATATCTTTTTTAAAGCGCTTACTTTCATCTATAATCCAATCCTAATTAATAATATTGTAATCGTATTAATATCTTTAATAAATAATTAAATATGTAATTTAAAATAATAATAATAAAAATGCTGTACCTTTCGCATACCAATTTCTAAACATTTATTTAATCTACATTTTGAACAAAATTTTCTTGTAATTACATCAATTTTGCAATCATTATTAAAATGACATTTGAGCTAAACAATTAATTTAATATAAATTATAATATAATAATATATTTAAAAACATTAAAAATAATTTATATGATAAGTAAATATATAAATAATTACATTWTCTTTGTAWGCATTTCTTCTAAAAAATGCTTTACACGGTTCACATGAAACGGCACCAAAGTTTTTGCCTAAATATTAATAAAAAAAAATAGTAATATATCTATATATATATCATATAATCATTGTTTATGTTATTTTCAATAATGTTTAAATTGAAATTTAATAAAATAATTTTTACCTAAAGCTTTGTGACCACAAACGCCGCAAATTTTAATTGATAATTCTTTTTTAGACATAATTTAAATATTTCTCAAACTTAAAGTAAATTTTTAAAAAATAAAACCCGTTTAACAATTATTACACAAAATTATTTAAAACATTGTAAAATGTTATGAATATATGACATATATTTATTTAATGATATTATAATAGCATTAATGCAGTATAAATTTATTATCAAAATAATAACATAACTAAACTGTTAAAGTATAATACATTATTATGTCATATATTTTACAAAAAATAATTATTATGTTTTTTTAAATTTTGCACTAATGCTTGAGTGCAAAACGTGCATTAAACTTTATTAAAATTTATTAAATTTTATTTAAAATAAATATATTAAAATGTCTTTATAAGATTTAACAAGATTTTATAATAAATATAAATATTTATAAATACTTTAAAATAGAAAATTATTTTTAGTTACAAAATTAAAAAAATATTAGATAAGTGATGGTTTTCCCAAATATGTACAATATATTTAATATTTGACAAATAAACCTATGAGTGGTTTGTAAATATTATTGTTAAAGTTATTTATTAACAAAAATATTTTAACATTTATATATAATTAACTTATAATCATAATGATTATATACTGGTATAAGTGAACAAAAAAAAATGATGAATGGAGTTTGCGCTAATCAGGTGCTTAAATAAAAATTTTATGAAATAAATTATAGGACAAACAAAATAACTATGATATATAATATAAACTTGTTTTTTTTAATAATGATAGAAATCATACATTTAGTACACAATTGAAGGACAAATAAACTTCTGGTTTTATTTTTATTACACACAATTCAAATTGATTTTTACTGAATTATAAACTGTATATAAAACTAATTATCTTTATGTTGTTGAAAAATATCTAGATATTTAAAAAATAAATAATAATTAATATTCATATATTAATACAAAAGAAATAGAGAATCGTGATTTAAATGAATATATTATTAATATATTATGTAATAATAATAATAAACTAAAAATAATTGTATGATACATTTAATTACTACATGTAACATATAATTTTGACATTAATAAATATTTTCTATTATTATATTTATAAAATATATAAAATATCACTATAAAACTACATTTTAATTAATTGTATTAGTATTTTTTTGACAACAAAATAATAATTTCAAAAAATTAACAATAAATACAGTATGTTTATTACAATATGATTATTTTGTATAATAATATATAAATAGTTTATTTAAAAAATATTTTATGTGAGAATATAATAATGAATTTATTTGATATATTAATTAACTGGTGATTCGATGCCAAGAATCTCTCCCAATAGAGGACTGATATCATTGGGATCTCTTTCGGACATATTTTTCTTATGGATTTCTCCCATAATATTGATGTCTTTTATTGTATTCATTATTTGTAAAAATTTAGTTTTTGATTCACATTCAGACTGGTATTTGGTTTGTAAATAGCGTTTCAATAAATGCATGTAAATATTCTGCTGTAATCTACAAAATGTAAAATTTAATATATTTAAAATTAAATATATAAATAAAAATTTACATAATTATATATATAAATATTTACTTGATGTTTTCTTTATGAATAATATTGTCATGATCAGGATCAAATAAAGTAATTGCTGTTAACTAATTAAAATTAGGTTAAATATAGAATAATCTTAAGTATTTCATGAATCTATTATATGTAATGATATACCAATTCTATGATGACATAGTCGTGATCCCAAACGGTCACAATTTTGGACAAATAATTTTTAATGGCTCCGTAAATATTTCTTTTAAGTTGCTTTAAAATATCTAACTTTACTAATGCTGAATTTTTTGGGTCCTATTTTTACATTTATTGATAAAAAATATAATTAATAAATATTTAAAATTTTTAACAAATCTAAAATAAATCAAAACTCATTAATACTCAGTTAACTAACCAAATATAGAGTGAAGTAATCTTTTTGATTGTCATAACACATAATACTTCTCATAAGTAGAGCACTGGTGTATCCATTCTTCAAGAGTGCTATTTTGTCGTTTACGCATAACTTTTCATATGACGTAAGATTTCTCATAACATCCGCAAGATTTTGGATATGTTTGTCTGTCATTGAAATCATTGTTTGTCTTAATTCAGTAATATTTTTAATAATTTTCATCGATTGATAATATGTTTTTGAATATCGGATTATTTGTGTGGCACTAATCAGTTCCCTCATTATCTGGTACTCGATGTCATTAAACGAAGTTTCATTAAACAATTTATTGTTCACAATTGGTCTGGCAATTGGGATCATCGATAGCTCAAAGTCAACAACTTTTTGATAGATTTCATCGGATATTTCATTGGTATTTGAATTGTTAGTATTTATATTTTGTTGATTTATTTGTTCAGTTGCAATAGATTTATAATCGTTAACGTAATTAAGTTTAGATATAATATTTGATTCAATATTTAATGTATGAATGTCTGTAAAATAATAATTATTGTCATCACTATTATAATGGATAGGAGTGAGCTCTGAGTAAACATTTGTTACAGTTGTCGGTGACATTGACGACATTGATGACTGATTTTGATTAAAATCATTAAAACAATTTTCAAATATTGAATTTATTGAAGTATTAATTAGCAAATTATCGGAAACTAAAGTCAATGACTTTGATGTCAATCCTTGCGGTTCTTCTGCTAAATTCTGTGCCGTCGATGACGAGTCGGAACCGCTTTCATAACTGTTTTTACGTGCTTTACGTTTAGCTTCTAATCGTATTCGTCTAAACTGTCTTTGCTCTTCATTTAATATGAATTCCTAAATCATTTTTTAATAAAAAATTATATATTATTTTACTAATAATTAATAAATTAACTATAAGTTATAAAAACCTTTTTCATCCCAATAGCAAAGCATTTATTTAATCGACATTTTTGACAAAATTTTCGGGTCAACAAATTTATTTGACAATTACCATCAAATAAACATTCAAACTATAAAGTTTAAAATGTAATAAATTTTTATATTTAGTTTAAGTATATAAAAAAATTTACATTATTTCTAATTGCATTGCGTCTAAAAAATGCTTTACACGGTTCACAAGTCACGGCTCCAAAATTTTTACCTAGTTCATTTTTAAAATATTAATTAATAGAAAATTATTAAAATTAAATGTATGCAATTAAAGTATTTTGGTTAAATAATTTATATTGTTATGTTAATATAATATAGTAAACATTTCTTTTATTTAATTGCTAAAAGTATTAATATACAAATTAATATAGTATTAATATACTGTACAATATAATATAAATTTATTGTAATAATCGATTCAATAATAAATAAATAAAGATTTTTTATGATACATACCAATAGCTTTATATCCACAAACTCCACAAATCTTAGACTGTCTTTTAATTTTCATAATGAATTATCAGTAAATAAATATTTAAAACTTATATTTACATACATATATATTACAAATGATTTTATTAAATTTTATAATTTACATTTTATAAATTATAAAATTATTGCATTATAAGTCAAAATATATAAAAATAGGGTTTTCTAAAAATTTACACTAAATTTATAAAAATATTCAATTTTATTATAAACAATTTTTTAAAAACAAACATTATTTTTCTTAAATTATTGTTGACACAAAAAAATCTTAACATACAATAAAATACAACACTAAATATTGTTTGCAAAAGTTATTGTCAAAGAAACAAATACATTGAGTCTTACCCTATACTGTATATATAGTATTGGTTTTATGAAACTTGTATTTTATTTAATGAGATTGCGTATAAAAAATATGTTAAATTATTATTATTATTATTATTATACAATATTGTACAATATTACAAATTATATGTATATAAATGATATAAAATATACGACTGCAAACAATTATTATAAAGTATTTTTTTATTATTTTTTATAAAATAGACTTAATAGTGTATACAAAATATTAGTTAAACCTGAGTTTCAAAGTAGTGGTCAAATCAATATTACATATGCCCTAAACCATAATCACCAGGTGCTCAATAACTGAGAACTTTGAGTGCAAAATATTTCCATTTTTAATGGTTTTCTTATTAAAAACTTTTCAATGTCAATAAAATTTATTTTTAAAATCTTATATTTTATTTTTATATTTATAGAAAGTAATGTATAATATAATGTAACACTGAGTATAAATTATATTTAAAGATACAATAATTATAAGTTTCTAATAAACTAATCAATAGTTTCCTTCATTTGGAAATCCCTAACATAAGTAATAGTCTTAATAATGACATTACAATAATAAGTGATAATTTTTTATTATTTATTAAAACATTTATTGCAATTCATTCAAATTAAGTTTATAGTCAAAAAGCAAAGCAAAAAGCTATTTTCATAAATTTTTATTCCCTTTAATAAACGTATTTATATTTAAATAAACCATATATCAGTATTTATTATAGATAAATAAATAACTAATTACAATTACAATTAATTTCTAATTATAATTAATATAATTTATTTTATAGTATAATAACTTTTAACTAATATATCAATATTTTGAAAATGCATGAGTATACAAAAAGCATGTTTGTTGACAAATAAAATCAATTTATCTAAAAATCATATGTTTTATACATGGTTTTTATAATAATTATAATTGTGTATTTAAAATTACAATTTCAGTTTATTAGAATTTATCACTTTTTAAATTATTAATACTTTTTAGTTTAATAGTTAATTAAAAAGAACTAAAAGTACTAAAATGAAAATAATATAAATTGTTTTTTGAAAATAAACATATGTTTTAATAAAAAAATTTATTTAAAACTTACAATTGAAGACAATTTTTGGCGATAATCTGTGATACTTTGCGGAACACTGATTGTCACCGAAAACTGTCTTCAATTGTAAGTTTTAATAATTTTTTTATTATATTGTGTTCTGAAGACAACATATAACTTAATAATAAGTTTTAATATAAAAATAATTAATTTTATTTTATATGAAATAACATATTATAATATTTTTAACCTTAATTTAATCTAGTTATGTAAATTAATGTGTCATTAATTAAGTTTAATTTTGTTTTTGATGTTACTTTTTGAAATCAAATTTACACAATAATTAAGTTATTTTAAGAATATATTATATAATAAGGAATTATTTTATTATTAATAAATATGAAAATATGCAATATAAATGTGGGATATAATTATTTGTAAATAAATAAAATAAATAATTTATGAATAATATAATTTATTTTACATTAATCTAACATAAAAATTTATTTTTAAAAATATATTACAAAGTATGATATTTTCTTTGAGTGAAATTAATAAAAATATAATCATATTTATTATAAATTTATAAAACTGTTATTAAAGTAATGTCATATCAATGATATTTGATTTATAAAAATTTTAAATACATATTATGTTATTTTTTAAAACAGATACAATTTATATTATTTTTATTTTCTATCATTAGTTATTAGTAATATTTATAATAAATAAATAGTAAATAAATGAATTTATCAATTGATATATTATATAGTATTTACTCTAAAAATAGTCTTAAAACAAATTACATAAAATATTCAAAAACATTATAATACTGTATAACAAATTAGTTATTTTTAAACACATTTATTAAATATTGAAACTATAATATAATACTGTTTTAATTCCTGTTTGTAAGATCTAAGATTACGAGAGTATTAAAATAATATATTGTCTTAAAAATATGACATAAAATTTAAATCTAATTACTAATAACAACAAACTAAATAAATGACTGTACAATAATATAATTTTAATATAAAATGATATATTTATAGCTTTATTATCTAATTAATGATTGTTTATGTCAACAAAGTACAGTATAGACTGGTTGTTCATTACATGATTTGTGACTATGAGGTCCCGTCTCAAAAACCTCTTCAAGCAATGGCATACCCGTGTGATCATTATTGGCCGCATCCTCTCTCATCACTTTTCCCATACTATTGACATCTCTTACAATATTTATAAGTCTTAAAAATTTAGATTTAGTTTCATTATTGGATCGATATCTCAATATAAGATAGCGTTGAAGTAAATACATGTAAGCTTTTTGGTGAAACCTATTTGAATAAAAATGTTATTAACAATGTGTTTGATATTATTTTACAGTATTATATTATACTATATTTATTGATTATTTAATTAAATACATATTAATACTGACTTAACAACATCTTTGTGAGTCACATCGGGTCGGTTTGGATTAAATAATAGTATAGCAGTCATCTATATAAACAAATTAATAATAACTTATATTATATTTATTATAAAGTTAGAGTACTAAATGCAAACTAACTAAATCGACAATAATTTTATCGCCATCCCATTCCATACTCATTTGATCAAGGTACTTTTTTATTTTTTGGTACACTTTTGGTTTGGCCATTAAAACTCCAGTTCTGAGACGACTACAGATTTGGTTATCCTATAAATATATACTTAACTATTAATTGTATTATTCATATTGATATTACATAATAATGTATCAACACATACAAGTGGTACATCCCATAAATCATTTTCTGAATCATAAAATAGTATTGATCTCATGTTAAGCATTTCGACACAACCATACTTGACGAGTGCAATCTGGTCGTCCTCACAGATCTCCCGAAATCCGGTCAAGTTTTTAGTAAATTTTGTCAGATTAGCCACTTGTCGTTGAAATCGCAAAGTTATGGCCGATGTCTGCAAATTATAAATATCTGTCACTTCAGAGACCAATCGATTTGGTTTCGGTTCTCTAATATTGTTGACCGCAGCGAACAGTTCGTTCATTTTGCTGCCTTCGAGTTCATTAAAATTGTTATAATAGTCACTCAAAGGTCTCATTATAGCTATCATTGAAAACTGCAAATCAATAGCCGTCTGATAAACTTCTTCAGAAATATCAGATTCTTTATTCTCAATATTAATATAACTTTCAATATCTTTGATCTCCTCATTGATGTCGTATACACTTTTGCTCAACGAATTACATGTTTTCACTGAGACTTGTTTACCGTATTTGTCCGATAGGTTTGGTGTCATATAAACGGTTGAATCGGGCAAAGAATTATCTGAAGTTTCCATACGAGTCATAATTGATTCTTCATTTACTTTACGTTTTCGACGATTTTCTTCAATTTTTAGTCTTATTAATTGTCTTTCTTTTTCATTTAATATCGACTCCTATTGTATTTATTAGGTTGAGATAAACGATTGATTGATAATAAATTATAATTTTTAAATTATATTATTTTTATAGTCACAGAACATACCCTTTTCATTCCCTGTGCATAACATTTGTTTAGTCGACATTTTTGACAGAATTTTCGGGTCACAGAATTTATTTGACAATTGTTATCAAACGGACACTTAAAATCCTAAAATAGACAAATAATACAATAAAATGTTGTGATTAAAGAGTTAATTTTAAAGTGCATTGACTTTAAGTACTATATCTTTTAAACTTTTAGTACTGTAAAGTGGTTAACTAAACTATTTTATTAAATTTGTTATACTTATGTAAATTAACATTATTTATAAAAATATAACAATTAGAATCTAAATTGACCAAGTTTAAAACCGATAGTGTTATTTTAAAACAATTGTATTTATTAATTTAAAAAAATAAAAATAGCGCTAAAATAATTGAATATTAATAAAAATGTTGAAATACCTTATTCTTAACTGCTGTTCGTCTGAAAAATGCTTTGCATGACTCACAAGTTATGGCACCGAAATTAGTGCCTAAATATTATGAACAAAATAAATGAATTAAGTAATAGTTTTAATCTGTGTGTCAAACTTATTATATCAAATAAATATTTTATAATATATACAGTAATATTATTTTTATCAATATCATCACTTTAGCATATTTAAAGCTAAATTTTTAGTGCTAAAAAACTTTTGATAAGTTATCATAGTAAAATATTAAATATTAATAGTAGCAAATGCACTAATTTATGATATTGATGCCCCACTGCTGCCAATTATATTATGTAATATTTGCGATTAAGTGTACCAAACAATAATTTTTCTTATAATACTTTATTATGATTAACAAAACTTTTAATAATATTATAACAAATATGTTAATAATTAGCAACAATTTATAGCAGCATTTATTTAAAAATATTTTTATTTTAAATAAAAATTCTAAGTAACTTAATAAGAGTTTATATAGTGTAAATAACTATTTAAAAAACTTATTTATGTGATCTATGACATGACTAAATCATGAATTGTAATTTATACAATCTATATTATTAATTGTATTAGTTTTAAAAATTTTTTTTATTACATATTATTAAATCAATTTAATATAAATTAATGTTATAACAAAATTTTGATACAACATACCAATTGCACGGTCGCCACAAACACAACAAACTCGGATCATCTTTTGGTCAGACATTTACATAATATAATGAGTTTTTAATTAAAAAAATGTATAAACAGTTTAAACTAATAACTTATATTCTAAATACAAAATTAAAGTCACTCTAATATAATACAGATTTTTAAAAAAATTTCTTAATATTATTTATATAAATGTATAATGATAATCATTTTTTCAATTATTATTAATAAAAATATTTTTATATAATGTGTTGTTATGAATAAGAGTTTGAATAATAAATAATGTTGATGTCAGTTAAATGAAAATGTCATGGAGCATTTAATTAAATTACATGTAGTTTTGTGTATTTAATTAATAGGTAAAAATAAATTAAACATAATATTTATATGCAGTGTTTATAAGAATTATTATATGTATATTATTTAATACATTGGATGATAACAGTAGACATACATTATTAATCTATGTTTTAATAAAATATTGTTCAAAAATAATATCAACTATATATTGATATAAATCAATAAAATTGCTATACCAATCACCAATTAATATAACACAATTTTATACATCAATAAATATATATTATTAAATTTATGTTATAATAATTGATATACAGTATAAACAAAGTGTTTGAGTAATTTGAAATCAATAAGTTTCAGGAAAATTTCTTCTATATAACGTTTTATTATTAAACGTAATTATTATATATTAATGTAAATTTATAAAATATTTGTTAAATAAAGATTCCCATTTAGATTTAAATTTGATACACTATTAGAAATAAAGTATGCAATAGTATTATATAAATTCAGTGAATAAATTGAAACATCAATAACTAACACATAATTCAATATCACATGTAGTATCGGTAAAGTAATATTTAAAAATTATATAGATTTTACTATAACATAATTTTAAAAAATTAATTTTTTTAAATCAATCAAAATAGTAAAAATTAAAATTCACTTATAATAACAAACAATATTTCTAATAAATATTGTTATTTGAATAAAATAATATATATTTCACAAAAACACATTTCTCTTGATACACTTGATATGAATCAACCAAATGTATAATTTTTACTTATTATATAACATATAAATTATTATTATTATATATTTAATAAAAATTTTAACCAAAATAAACAAAATATATACACAGTTTGCTAATATTTATTTCTATTATAAACCAGAATATTAATATATAGTTAGACAATCTGTATCACTGTTCAACATTTATTACAGTTCATGCGTTTGCGTAATAAAAAATAATAATGATTAAAAATTATCAAGGATATTACATATTATGTTGATATACAATTAAATATATGACATAAATATGTTTTTAATATAAATGCATAATAATTTGCACTTAATAAATAGTAAAAACATCATGCACTTAGAGATGGGCAAATAGAAAGTTTCTAATAAATTTCCGTGAGAAAGTTTCTAGAAAATTTCTCATGAATAAATTTCTATAGAAATTTAACTTTATTGTTATATTATGGGATCCCCATATCTTTAGTTATTGGAAATACTATAAATATATTAATGAGACATAATATTATACAAATGGGATACCTATATAAATAAGTATAATTATCTAATAATAATCAGTTTTGTAAAATTTTATTCATCATTTTATTATATTATAGTTAAATATAATTAAATAAATTAATTTTTACTTTAATTTATAATTAAAATACTAATAATAATATTTAATTATTACTTGTAATAAGAATGTTACAAGATAAAAAATATTGAAATAACAAAATTAACATGGGGATCCAATAGATAGAAATTTCTTTTGGAAACTTTCTAGAAATTTCTCTATTATTTTTATAAATTTCTCTTTTTTGCCAACACTACATGCACTACTCAAAATTCAATAAATTTATATATTTATATAAAATACAGTAAATTAAATACATTATTAAAAATTAAATAATAGGAATGTATTTTAGGAAATTTAAATGTGTATTTATAACTAAAATATTCAAATTGTGTTTAAAAAAAACAAATAAACTATATAAAATTTAGCAAGTCATATTTGAATTTAAAACTAGTTTTAATTTTAGTTTTAATTTACAAAAATTATTTATGTTAACTAATATTAAATTTGTAAAAATATTTTTTCAGTTACCGCAATTTAAAAAATATAGATATTATTATTATTATTACAAAAATATTATTATTTTACACATTCAATAAATTCAATATGCTTTATCAAAATTTTTATTTAAATTATGATAATAATATTATTAAAACAATTATATCAATTTTATATATTTATTGTATATAAATTATATTTATTAAATTATTAATAATTAAAAAGCAAACTTCTTTATATAAATATAAAATTAGATTAATATTTTTATTAAAGTAGCTGTCAAAACAATATTATAAAATAAAATTAATATTCAATCTATTTATGTATTTTTATCAGATTCTATTTTATATAATTTTATAAATTTATTAAATAAAACTAATAATATAATAAAAATACATTTAGCATATTTTAAAATTTTTTAATTAACTGTACAAATCCATATAAAATAATAGCAATATGTTAATAATATATATATATATATATTAAACAACTTAATAATTTTCTGACTATAACTTTCATTTTAATAATTTTATGATTCTATAATAAAATTGTACACAATTTTAATCAATAAAAATTATTATTATTTTAAGTGTTTATTTAAGAAAATAAGATTAAAATTGTAACAATTATTGCACCTGTTTAATTCAAATAGTAATTTATGTTGCTTGTAAGCTCATTATAATTAAAATAAATATTATTAATGTATAAATAAAACCTTCATGTTAAATGTGTTACAAATTAATATTAATAGTAATGGTAAACATTGTAATTAACTATAATACAATTTAATAAAAACTTTAACTATAATAAAATAATTAAAATAACATGCAAAACAATTATAAATATACAGTATTTTATTTATACTATTAATTTTGTTTTTACAAAAAAGTTAAAAATTCCACTTTTGAAAAATGTTTAATCATTAAGCAATTAGTTTACAATATATTATATAATACGATATATATCTTATGACATAAAATATAAATATATAAATTTGGTCATTCATATAGTCATATAGTGATATATTTATCCTTTAAGTGTGTATATCAAGAATTTCTTTAAGAAATGGACCCAAATTGGCTTTTCTCACAAAACATCTTTTCATAAATATTTCTCCCAATATATTAATTTCGCTTAAAGTATTCATTAAGTTTAAAAATTTTATTTTTGATTTATATTCCGACCGATATTTCATTAATAGATAACGTTGAAGTAAATACATGTATATGTTTTGATGTAGTCTATAATATAATGTATACAATTATGAAATAAAATTAAAAGCAATAACATTTCAATGTTTATTACTAAAATATCATCAATAAAATAGCTGTTATTAACAAATATTGTAAAGTATTGACTTACTTAATGACTTCTCTGTGAATAATATTGGGTCGATTTGGATCAAACAATACTATAACTGTTAGCTATATATAAAAAAATATATAGAAAATATCAAAAAATGAATTCATATATTTAAAAAAAATGAATACTAAGTCAAGAATAATGGAGTCGGAGTCCCATTCATCGGCAATCTTCGAGAAACAGCTGCGAAAGACAGCCTTCACTCCGGCATTCTTGAACTGATCGATCTTTGATAAAATCCAATTGTTTTTATCCTATATTTTCAATATTGAATACTAGGGTTATTAAAATAACTTCAATTGAAAATAATGCAACAAAATAGGTATGTCCTACAATCATAATAGTCCAACATTGGTCCTCATTGTTGTAGAACTGAATCATTCTCATACATAATACCTCAACCGACCCATACTTTACAAGAGCTATGCGGTCATTCTCGCACAGGGAGTCAAACTCAGGTACTTTTTGAGCAACTGTTATAAAATTACGGATTTCTTTGTCCAACTTGACGGCCATCGCAGCCTTAAAATTAAGCGAATTGGTAATCACTGGTTGAAGTTCAGACAGATTGGGTTCACGGATATAGTTAATGGCATAAAACAATTGAAGCAATTTATTGCATTCATTCTCATTGAGGTTTAAATGCAATGTCTGCACATGTTTTGTGATTGCAATGACTGATTCATGAAATTCTCGCGATTTCTGGTGACTATTCTTCTTATAGATATCAAGACATGTGATGTCATATGTTTTGTCCAAAACATTACTCATAACCACATTTTCATCAGACTTTACAGTAACCATATCTGTTGTCACATCACCTGCACTGCTATCGCCACTTGATATGGACTTACATTTGCCTGAATCGTATGAATCACTTGTTGATTCACTAATGGCTGAACAATCGCTACTCGTATGACATCCTTCGTCTTCATCATCGGTTATATCTTCTGTTTTTGAAACCATTAAACGTTTGTATAAATCTTTGTTTCGTTTTTTAATCTTATTTTCTAATATTTTTGTCCGCATTTTTGTTAACTCATCTTCATTAAGAATCCAATCCTATAAATAATATAATTAAAATTTTTAGCAAACTATTTACATTTTGAATCTTAATTTTATTTATGAAACATTTAATGAGACCTTTTTCATGCCGACATTGAAACACTTGTCTAACCGACACTTCTGACAAAATCTTCTGGTAATGACATCAATGTTACAGTTGTTATCAAAGGCACAAATGAAGTTCTGTATTATATTATAATATATGGATATTATTTTATAAATAATTATAAAAAATCCAAATTGTTTTATACCTTATTTTTAAGTGCATTTCTTCTGAAGAACGCTTTACACGATTGACACGTTATTACACCAAAATTGAACACTAAATTCATAATCAAAATATTATGACAATTATTGTTAAAATATAAAATTATATTTTAATATATAAAACAACGTTTGATGATATGTTATACAATTAGTTTTATAAAAATAGTTATTTTGAAAATAATATAATTTAAATACCATAAGCTTTATCTCCACAAATGAGACATTGTTTAGCCCTTTCTTTCGTCAGCTGACGTTTGGGACCCGTATTCAAGACATTACTTTGAGGCATAACTTTTGTCACTTAATTGTGATACAGTTTGTACAGTAATTCAAATATATATTTTAGTATTTTATTTGTACACAAAACTGCAGATACACTGTCATACATATACGAGTTTAATACAAATAAAATAGTTTTTTTCAGTACAATAAATTAATTAATTACTTATAAAAATGACTTTCATTTTAGTTAATATACAATTGCGATAACGCGAGTAACACACACACACACACACACACACACACACACACACACACACACACAGCATATAAATAAATATAAGTAATTAGTAATGATAATGATAATGATAATATCATTAAATAATAAATAATATATATATATATATAATTTATACTGTGTTTAATAGATAACTATAGTTTCAATTTGTTTATACAGCGGTGTTATTCAGTGCACTGCTGTGGTGTTAACTATTAGGGGTTTAAAGTTTCCAAAATTTGTATAATCATATTAATTAAATAAACACAATATAAATGAAATATAAATCAATATAATTTATTTTAAATAAATATTTTTAACATATTTATAGTTTTACAATATCCAGTATAACAATACATAATATTCTTAGGTAAATAAATTTAAGAAAAATGTTATTATTGTTTTGTATTACAATATTAATGTAAAATACAATAATTTGATGCCTAGAATCTCAACTCTAGATTATTAGTGCTATAATACAAACTTATAAAATTATATTAATAGATAAATACATTAACATACTTGGATACCGTAGCATTTAATAAGTAATTAATGTTATCATTAAATTGTTAAAATGTTGTTAAAATGTTATCAGTGTAAATTAAATAAAAATAACACTTTAGTACATAATTGTATTTTTACTTAGAAAACATATTACAAAGTATTTTTATTTATAAGCAATTCTTGTATTAATTAAGTTTATCTTATTTATGGTCATTAACTCAATATAGTCACCAAATTTTAGATTATATTTTTAATATTCAATTTAATATAATGTAGATGAATAAATTTTGACTATTTTATGAAAATATAAAATATAGAAAGTTTGGATATAGTTTTTCAATATTTGATTTTTATGTAACATATCAAACAATTTACAAATATATTATGATTATCATCACTGTATGTCTATTTAATATCAATTGTGCCTAAACTTAAGAAATTGATTGATATTATATAACATTAGTAAGCCTTTATTAATTTTATTGAAGAGCTTTTTGTATAATTTCTGAAGATATTTCCGAGTAATTTATATCTGAATTGATTTTAATTATATCGATATAATTATTACTTTTTTTAAACTTTCTGTTCACTTCTCCGACTAATTGCAAATCAATGATTGAATTCATTAATTTTGTGAATTTATTTTGTGATTCCAATTGCGAGCGATATTTCAATAGAAGATATCGTTGCAATAAATACATGTATATATATTGTTGTAATCTATTAAATATAAAAATTTAAATTATATTAATATATTAAAAATGCAATTTTAATGTTTATTTACCTAACATTCTCTTTACAGATAAGGTTGGGTCGATTAGGATTAAACAATGCTATTGCTGTCAACTATTGATATAAATTAAAAAATATCTCATTAAATAAAAATAATTTGAATTACAACTACTGTTATACTTATAATTTATGTTAATTTTGTAACAAAATGAATAGATATAAAACCTTATATAATAAATAAAAAACATTTTGATTATTAATTTCAAATACCAGATCTAATATGATATTGTCGCGGTCCCATTCATGCGCTATGTTTGTCATAAATACTTTAATTTTGTTATAATAATCACCAAAAATTTTAARCAATTTAATTTTCACAGATAATGAATTTTGATTCTATAAAAATAAACACATTATTATAATTATTAATATTTTATAATAACAATTAACAAACTTGAGAAAATGTCCATGCTTCAATGTTATAATCGTAATCAAATATTGATCTTAATAATCGTATTTCATTGAAAGCATATTTGATCATGGTCAGTTTGTCATCGCTATACAAATTATCACTAAGACTCAGTTGTTTAGTAAAACTAGTAATTCTGTTGACTTCACGACTAAACCACTCGGCGTTCATAAGTYTGAGTATTTGATTTAAATCCGTGATTTCACCACTAATTGGTGGAACTGATCGGACAAGAAAAACATTGGTTGCATTGAATAACTCCAGTAGACGTGTCGTCTCTATTTCATTGAACTCTTTATAGTCAACAATCCTATGAATTGCTGGCATTTTTGATAATTGCATTTGTAATGAATGTTCAATTATATCGATAGATAAGTTGACATCACTATTGGTATCAATATCGCTGTCAGTCAAACAATTTTCAATATCCAAAATCTGTGCATTGAGTGCATCAACACTAATATTAATGTCAAATATCTTTGAAAATAAATCGTTTTTATCAGTAAGTATTGATTCAATCACCGAATCTCTACTCTCTATAACATCGGCTTTGATGTGATCACCGATTTGTAGACTTTTTTCTTGATTTTCATAACAAATCTCTTGTTGTTGTTGTCTTCTCGTGTTATCTGTTCGTATAAATTCCTGATTTGTCAATAAACACATTAATCCATAGATATTATTAATATTAATTAATTGATTGAATATAATAATAATAATAATAATAAATTTATACTTTTTTCATTCCTGATTTATAACATTTTTCTAATCGACACTTTTGGCATTTCTTGCCGTTTGGACTTATGTTACAATTTTTGTTGAAATGACATTTTGGTGACTATTATTAGAGTTTATAAAATAAATTCAAAATTTAAAGTTTATATAATTTCTAACAWTAAAAAAATACTTTTGTTTTCAGTGCAGTTCTCCTGAAGAATGATTTACACGATTCACATGAAATTCCGCCAAAATTTCGACCTAAAAGTGAAAATAATTTCTCATTAAATATCTCTTATATTTATTTATCAAATTATTATTTATTAAAATTAATTCAAAACACTTACCACTGGCTCTATCACCACATATTTGACATTTTTTGTACTCCTTTTTAATATTCATTTTATAAAAATATTTTTTATTTATTAAATCTCTTTATTAACTAAATTACGATTCAATTCATAAGTATATTAACAGATATTTCAAATTTATTATAATTATGTGTAAATATATTGTAGTCGTAATTATGTATACTAAAAATGTGTTAGGTGCAAATAACTAGTTTCAAACTAATTACAACATAATTATATCAATTTTTAAAACTTCCCTATAATCGACACAATATTTTAAATAATAAATAAAACTAATTGTTAGTAAAAATTATTTAATTTGATATTATATATTATTAACATAAATATTATGTTTGAAATAATGTATTTTAATACTGTATTATATATACATTACTATGAAATAATAATTTATAAAAAATATGGCACTGTATCTATAATATTAATATATTGTTCATACATACAGTGTTATCTAAAATACAGTACATGTTTTATTTTTGCAGTTTTCACGAACTTCTGAAAGGAGTACGTGTCTGAATTCTATATTTCGGTCTTTCCGTCCGCATTTTATTGAATTTTTAAATTTTGACTTCAGATTTGGATTAAGCATCAAAAATAAGGTATAATAGATCAGGTTTTTTTTGAAAAATGACCCCTCATGACTATAGTTGAACTTATTTTGTCATACTGAGTAATTTAATTTTAATTTAATTTTTAATTCGGATTAGGAGTTTGTATGGAAATGCTTTTTAGCATTCTCAACTGGTTATATTATATATTTAATAGTAAATAATATTAGTACAGTATTACTGAATATGAAGTACGTATAAACTAAATTTCAATAAAACTGAAAATTAACAATTAATTTTATTCAATTAAATATAAATTTAGTTAAATATTTAAACTAAAAAAACATAATTAACATAAATTAAAGTATATAAATAGTAAGCATAAATAAATCAAATTTAATCGTTAATACGACCTTCATATCCAAAATACACTTTTCTAATCGTGTTTTATATTCCCGATTATTGACTCCATGTATTTTTTTGATCAATTTATACCATATTTCTTGGATTTTTGTCATTTAATTCCCTTTTTGAGGTCATCCCTCATCAATCGCCATAGATTTTTGATGGGATTGAGATCTGACAAATTGGATGATCAGTCCAACACTTTATTTTAAAATTTAAATATAATGTGATAATATTGATATTTAAGATTAATTTTAATTTGTAATTATTTTAATTTATTTAACATTTGTTGTTGATTTTATTTAAAATTTTATTTTACAATTTTATGGTAAATAAAATATTAGTATAAAAATAATAATCAATTATCTGATAAATTGTAAATTTCTTTAAGCAGTGGTCCATAATATGCTTTATATTTGGGATATTCTTCGATATCAATTAGTTTTGTCATATTATTAATAAACATTACATCAATCATTAAATTTAGTAAATTTTTAAATTTTATTTCTGATTCATACTGTGATCGATATTTCAATAGTAGATATCGTTGTAATAAATAAATATATAATTGTTGTTCGAGTCTATTAAAARCAAAATTATATTCAATATAATATAATTATCTATTATCTAATATTATCATATAATTAACTTACTTTACATTACTTTTATGAGTCAAAAATAAACGGTTAGGATTATATAATAATATTGCTGTTAACTATTAAAAAATATATAAATTATTTTACATTTTAGTGTTGTTTTGCATTTATAATATTTTTATTTTATATACAATTTTATATTACCAGTTCAGTGATGATAATATCGTTACCAATTAATTTAATGCAATTATTTAAAAGGTTTTCAAATATATAATAATAGTTTCGTTGTTCATATTTAAATGAGTCAATATCTAAGTAAACATTTGTATCATTTTCCTATAATAAACACTTTTGTTAGAAATATAAACTAAAAAATTCTTTATATAAAATTATACGAAAATAATAAAACATAAATACAGTAAATGTTTGTATAATAAATACCTTAACGTATACTAGAAATGATCGCTCGTTAATGTCATATGATTTAAAAAATTGCATAAACAAGACATCCAGACAACCAAACTTAATGAGTACTAACTGGTCATTAGCACAGATAGTCCGGAAACCATTGAGACATTTAGTAAATTTAACGGCTCTTTCAATATGTTTATCGCTCTCTACTGCAGTCCATCGAATCATATCATCTTTTTTATTGATACGAACTGTTAGTTTACCGCAATTTATAGGATTATCGAAGTATTTCGAAGCCATTAATAACTCTTTTATACGAAATATTTCCAATTCCTGCCAACACTTATAATCGGCTATTGGTTTATATAATGAAATAATTGGCAAATCGTTTGATTTTTCAGTCCAAACACTATTCAAAACACTTTTAAATGAAAGGCTTTTACCATTTGATATAATATTTTCAAATTGTTTGCTACAATTGTTGTCTTGTATTTTATAATTAAGTAAATCATCGATAGTTTCATTATTGTTGCTATAATTAAAAATATGGTCTCATTTGATGAATCATTTATCAAATTGTTTTCATAAGTTGTATATAATTTGTGTGGTTTTTGTTTAATATGAGTTTCAACAAACTTTTTTGATTTTGTTTTTTGTGTTTGGCTTACTATTAGTTCCTAATTTAGTTAAATTATTTAACATTTTAATTAGTATATTAAGTTAAAAAAAGAAAGAAAATTACAGACTTTTTTCATTCCGATTGCAAAACATTTATTAAGTCTACATTTTCGGCACAGATTTCTTGTGTTAACAGTGATCACACATTTGCCATTTGAAGCACATATTAATGCCTAAATTGATGATAAAATCAATGTAACTAACAATGAAATTATAATTAATAAATAATTACTGTTTCTCTGAACGCTGTCCGTCGGAAAAATGCTTTACACGACTCACAAGTGACGGCACAAAAGTTGCGACCTTTGGTTCAAATTTTAAATAAATTATATATTAAAATAAAATAATATTTAAAAAAATAGTAAAAAGCAGAATAAAATTTATACCAATTGTTTTGATTTCATCACAAACTTTACATTTTCTCTTAATTTTACCGTTCATTTTATTTTATTAATAATAATTATCAAAATACAAGAAATAAAATTTATGATAATGTTTTTAATATTTTTATTCTCAATACTTATCAATATTTGTTATATTTATATAATGTTATACATTTTTAGATATCTTAAAATTTATGAAATCATATATTAAATACAATTTATTTACACCGACATTATTAAAGTATTTATGAATTTATATTAATGTGAAACTATTATTTAAATGAATAGTTTAAACACAAAATGAAAGACACAAAATTTATGTCGATTTTAATAATAGTGATAATTGAGTTGACATTGAAGTACAGATAACTACTTTATAACTAAAAAATATSTATGTATATAAATTTATATATACTGTATATAAAGTTTACATATTAATAGCTGAATTTCATCAATTACATCACTTTGATATCAATGTAAACATACAAAACACTATTTATGATTTATTAAGTAAATGATATTTATTTTATTTTATAATATATATACTATAATAATAATAATAAAATTAATAAACAGTATTATTCTATATCATAGATTTCCTTAAGTAATGGTCCATAATATGGCATATATTTATTGTATTCCTCGATTTCATTCAAACGGTGTAATTGACTTATATTTGACAAATCATTTAATATATTAAGAATTTTTCTTAATTTAATTTCACTTTTTGAAGAATATTTTAATTGAAGATATTTTTGTAATAAATAAATGTAAATTTTTTGTTCGAATCTATAAAATAATACTAATTATTATATTGTATTGTATTATAATTTTATATATTTAATAGTTTTATTAGTAATACTTACTTTACATTATTTTTGTGCTCCAAATTTAGATGCTTTGGATTAAAAAGCAATATTGTCATTATCTAAAAAATATATAAATTCAATAACTGTTTAATTAATAAATGTATAAATTATATGAAAATATACCAAATTTAATATGACACTATCATTGTCCCATTCAAGTGAAAATTGTTGCAATAAATTATTAAATAAATTAAAAACATCTCTCTTTTGATCTTTTATTATTTCCAATGAACAGACAATAGACATGTCATTATCCTATAATGTATTATTTAATTAAAATTGATTAATTTTTTTCTAAAAATGTGTATAAAATATTATATTGTATAATACATACTACATTGAAATAGAAGATTTTCTGATTGTGATTATAGGACTTCAATAAAAATATAAACATTATATCAAAGCAATTATACTTAATAAGAAACAATTGATCGTTTGGACAAATATTTATAAAACTTGACAAACGTTTAGTAAATTTGATAACTTCTACAATATATTTATCGGTACCCAAAGTAGTTTTGCGTATCATTTCATCCCTGTCCTTAACAAACAATGTTTGTTTGCCAATAGGATAATCAACAAATAGATTCATAGCTGTGAACAACTCCGCTAATCGTTTGTACTCGAGTTGACTCCACGGCCCGTAATCGGGAATCGACTCAAATAATGATACATTTTGTTGTTTATTAACCTCTTTAGTGGATAATTGATTGATTTTATCATTAGACACATAATTATCAATTTCAATGATCTGTTGCTCTACAATATCATCGTTAAAATGCAATAAATTTTGCATTAATTCCTCAAATTCTGTATCACAATTGTTGCCATTATTTGTTGATTTAAATGTTATATTATTTACTTCATCAGAATATTTCATTACATTTTCATGTTTTTTATTTCGACTGAATTTCTGTATGAACTCCTGTTTTAAAAAATAATATAATAATTATTTAATTAATGAATATAACAAATATTTTTATTACTTTTTTCATTCCCAGTGCCAAACATTTATCAAGTCTACACTTTTGACATTTTCTATTATTAACAGTGATTATACATTTGTCATTTGCATATTTGCAAAACAGTAACTAATAAATTATATAAATTATATAAATATAATTAATTTAAAAATCTTAAATAAAATTATTTAATTGTTATATCAATTACTTGTTCTCTAATAGCCGACCGTTTGAAAAATTTTTTACACGATTCACACGTAATAACTGTAAAATTTCGACCTTTAATTGCAAAAAATTAAATGTTAGTTAATATAATTATTTTAAAAAATAACTAAATTATAAAAATGAGTTATTAAACCAATCTTTTTGTTGTCACCACAAACGGTACAAATTTTGTCCAGCATTTTGATAATCAAAATAATAATTTTACTATTTTATGATGCAATGCATAACATTGATTTAACACACATTGAATATACACTATTAAAATATAGTATACAGTGTATACACAATACACTGTTATTTCTTATACATGAATAATATCAATATCCTTATACTGTAGTTTAAAAAACACATAAATTATTGATTCATAACTTGACTATTAACTCAATATACTGTATTAAACAACTTGTTTTTACCAAGGTCAATTGTTGTTTGATGGCAATAATAATTATTTAATACCTAGTAAATCATTACTAGTGAACAATTACTAAAATGAGTTTTTGATAGTAAAGGTAAACTTTAAGTATAAGTATATACACTGTAATATTAATATCACGTTATATATTAACTTTATCTATTAATACATAAATTTATACTTAATTATTACATTGATGTTAAATCAATATTTTTATCTCTCTGTCAATATGTTGATAAAAATAATGGCTAAAAATCACTTTACTATTAATATATGTTGAGTTCATTGTTTTATATTTATTTGTTCAATATTGTACTGTACTGTACCGGTATATACTGTATCTTAATTTTCAATATACCAACCAATATWTAATATGTCGATTTATTAATTATGTCGGAAATCAATTTTTATACAAATAATTTATGTTTAATATGTGGAGATAAATCAAAAGGTTAGTTTTGAAAACAATTATATATATTTTTTAATAGTATTTATTAAAACTAATTTTAGGCTATCATTTTGATGTCCTATCGTGTGAATCATGCAAACTATTCTTTAGGAGACATGCATTAAAAAAGGTTAATTAATTTACTTAAAAATAATTTAAATATTATACTTTAAAATATGTAATAATAATAAAATAATAATAATTTAGACTCGACTTAAATGTTATTTGGGTAACAATTGTATAATTGATATGAAAAATCGCAATTTATGCAAAAGTTGTCGACTAGCAAAATGTTTGGCAGTGGGAATGAAAACTGTATTTATTTAAAATAATTTTCTTATTGAACTAATATTTAAATAATTATATTTTTGAAAAAATTAATTTAGTCACTGATTTATTCACCACAACAAAAACAATACAGAAAATGTTTGATTGAATCAAACAAACGGAAAAAACAATGTTTGACTCATCCGACACAATATTCATCGGAATTAAAATCAAATTTATGTGATATCTCACAACTAAATGAAGTTTTAAATTTCAATGATATAAATATTGATACAATCGTTGTTTTACAAGACAACACCAACTATAGTAATGAAACAGTCATATCAAATAACATAACAAATATTGTGTCTCCTATTGTTAAACAAATTGATTACAGCGATTGTAACAGTTTTAATGATTTAGAGAAATACAAATTTTTTGAAATCTTTAATGCTTTAAAATATCTTAAAATACCAAATTTTAAATCCAAAAATAATATAAATTTGGTGTCAAATATATTTGAAATGTTTCATACAATGATGCCATTTATTGAAATGCAAACAAAATGTTTGGTAAATATGTTTAAATGTTTGCCTGAATTTAAGTCTATTAATGAGCATGATCAATTAATTTTATTAAAACACACATCAGTGGAAATTATTAATTTAAGAAATATTTGTCGCTTTAATTTTAAAGAAAATTATTGGACTATTGAAGATGTAATTATAAATATTTTTCATTTGATTTCTGCAATAAATTTAATTATTTATTTGTTATTTTTTCAGACAAACGATAACAATAAACTAAATCTTATAAGTCTTGACTTAATAAAAAATATTGAAATGCTTCCCATTGTAGACCATCATTATATTAATCACAAAAGATTTATTCAAAATATGAGTGTCGACTGGGATTTTGATCAAATAATTATTGATTTGGTTTGAATTTAAAAGCACTTAATTTGCAAAATATTATTTTACATAATTTTTTTTATAATCTATAGTTGACTGTCATAACACTGTTTAATGCTGAGTTACCAAATCTTTTACAAAAACATTTTATTAAGTATGTAATGAATGATTTCATTAGTTTATTATATTTATAAATTGATTAATATATTAATTAATGCTATTTCTCATTCATAGACATCAAAGAAATATTTACATATATTTATTGCAACGGTATTTACAAAACAAATATAATTCACAATTTTTAGCTGAAAACAAAATTAATCGATTATTAAATCATTTAATTGATCTCAAAATTCTTAATAAAAAAGTCAAAATAAATTTTCAATTTATTCCGATAACTCTTCCGCCGCTTGTTTTAGAAATATTTCAACAAAATGACTAACATTTATAATATATTAATTAAAAGATATTGATTGCAGTTTTTTAGTTAATACAATTGTATAATAACTGCAACTGTATTGTAATTGTATATACAATACTATATCTTTTTATTTTTAAAATTATAATATCTTAATAACTAATGAAAATATTTGTAAAATAATTTTTAATTATATAATTAAAATAATACAATGAATTTATAAATGTTAAATTAAATTTTAAAAATAACAATTAAGAAGATAATCCATAAATTTCTTTAGCAAGTGGTCCGTAGTCTTGTAAATAATGTCTAAATTCAGACAAAGCCAATGTTCGCTGTATTTCACTAATCATTTGAATGTCATTTAACATAATCATTAAGTTTTGAAGTTTACTTTTGGTTTCAAAATCAGACTTGAATTTTTGATACAAATATCGTTGCAATAAATAAATATATAATTGTTGCTCATATCTAACAAATAAATTTAATGAAAATTAACTCAATTTATTATTTTAATGTAATTCCGATATTAACTTAAATAGAAAAATGGTATTCAATACCTTATGTTAACTCTATGTTCCAATTTTGGTCGATTTGGATTAAACAATATAATTGCTGTTAACTAATAATAATAAATGTTTAATATTTAGATTATAAAAAATAGTATTTATATAATTTACCAGATCCATAACAAATTGATCATGGCTACTTTCAATTAGAAGTTTATTTAGAACTTGTTTGAATAGTTTAGGATAATCGAGAAATTGTTTCAATTGAAATAAGTCGATATCAAATATAATTGTATTTTCTTCATCCTATAATAATTACTGTGAATTAATAATAAATTAACAATTTTTAAATTAATAATAACTACAAACCAATGTTAGTACAAAATTTCCGGTTTCCTTATCAAAGAATCGTGTATTTCTGATACCGAAAAAATCCATTCCTCCGTATTTGACGAGTGCCCACTGGTCATCGGGACAGGTATTTTGAAAACCGTTTAATTTTTTTGTAAATCTTATCATATCTATAATAAATTCTTCGAATTTATTTTTAGAATATTTAAACATTTGTTCAACACTTTTCAATTTAATAACATTATTTGATAGTAATATCGGATAATTTAATATATTTAGAGCATTAGTCAACTCTGATAGTCTGTTAGCTTCCAACTCATTAAATCCTTGGTAATCAACAATAGATGTATAAATGGGAGTAATTTTATTTGCCATCATTTTATTAACAATATTATAATCTAATAGCTTATGATTGACTGATCTATTTTGATCCAAGTCTTCGATGTCCATAATTTGTTGCTCCAATTCCTCATCACTTAAACCGACAGAACTGTCAATAATTTCATTGATTGAGTCATACTCTATGGTTAAATCACTTGTGAAGCTTAGTGTTGACGGACTTATTGATGAGTCAAATGAATCGGATCTTTGATCTGAATTTTGTTTTCTTTTGATACGATTGTCTTCAATAAGTTTTCGCCGGTTTTCGTTTTCTTCAACAGTTCGGATAAATTCCTGTAAAAAAATATTAGAATATTTAGATAAAAATACTAAATATATATAAAAATTACAACTTTTTTCATTCCGACTGAAAAACACTTATCAAGTCTGCATTTTTGACATAATTTTCTTGTGTCGGCCGTTATCTTGCAATTGCCATTTGAGGCACAAATTATTTTCTATTAAAATATACATAATTTTAATTTAAACGCATTTACTAAATAAATTTATAATAATATACTTTGTTTTTAAGTGCATATCGTCTAAAAAATGCTTTACACGATTCACAAGTTATGGCATTGAAATTTCGACCTTTATTTAAATAAATTTTTGATAATTATTAAAATTATTTTAAAGTCATATAAATTATAACTAACAATAACATACCAATAGCTTTGTCATCACAAATTTGACAATTTTGATCCAATTTTACCTTTCTCATATTTATTTTGTTAATTTTATACAAATTACACTTTTTGTACTATTTTATAGTATATACTTATTAATTAATAAATGATATCAGTTTCAGATTTATCAGCTATAAATTATAAAATAAATAACATAATGTATATACCGAAAGTTTATATCGAAATACAATATATAATTAACATAATATAGTGATATAGTTATATCATTTTATTTGATATTAATAATTAATGTAAATGATAATTTAGTTTATAAATATGATTAATAAACAAATTATTAAAAAAAGTTAATAAAAATTCATTTCAAATGCTTCAACTAATCCTAGAAATTAATATTAAACATGTTATAAACAATATTATGATATTAAACACAATTAATACAACTAAAAATATTTGTTAATTGCTTATTTTTATAACACATATGATAATAATGATAATAATTTTAAATGATACTAATTCTGAAGTGTTAGTTATGATTCAAAATAATGTGAAAATAACAAAAATAAACTCAATATTCAACTAAATTGAGTAAATAATATTTATTATCTCCTCATAACATTAGAGATGAGTAAATAGAAATTTTCTATAGAAATTTTGCTTTAGCAAAATACAGTACTATGGGATCACCATATCTATAGCTATTGTAATACTGTACTAATAATACATAATATATACTACACTACTATACTAATGGGATTCTTATTTATAAAATTAATATAATTATCTAATTATAATTATAGTTTTTGTAAATTTTTATTTATAATTGATTTATATTTTTAGTTTAATGTAATTAAATAAATTATTTTTTACTTTACATATTAATTAAAATATTAATAATAAAATTTTGTTAATATTTATAGTTATAATGAATTGTTTCAAGATAACAAATATCGTGATAATTAAAATTTGGATTCCATAGACAGAAATTTCTTTTAGAAACTTTCCACAAATTTCTCTTTTTTGCCAACTCTACACAAGATCCTCTTGAATGTTACACAAAAAATGTATTATTCAATACTTAACTGAATTAAATCAAAAGTTATTAACAAACAATTACTTGAAAATTTGTCCTTCAATTTGATTTCCAATAATATAGAAAATGATTAATAATTGTCCAAAAAATCAAACTGAAGGTTAATGTAAATTTAATTGAACTATTTGTGTGTAAGCATACAATTATCAAATTATATTTATAAAATAGCATTAGCATGTTTATCTATTTATAATAATTAACAAGCAAAAATATTTATAATACTTATAAAATTTGAAAACAAATTTTAAGCATAAATAAAAATAATAATACTAAAAATATTTTAATAATATTAATATTAGAGTTTTATTACTAAATATATAAATTATATAATTTTTAGAAACTTCTWGAAATTTTTAATTTTTAAAAATTTCTCTTTACTATAAACTTTTACAATATTTTTAGTATTTGAATGACAATTCTCTATATAGTGGTCCATAATTATGCAAATATTTGCCAAAACATTTAAAGCCATGAATACGTTGTATATTCAATATAATATCGAAATCATTCAATAAGTTGATTATTTTTACCAATTTTGTTTGACATTCAAATTGTGATTCATATTTTAGTAATAGATATCTTTCCAATAAATAAATATAAATTTGCTGCTCTAATCTAAATGACATTATCGAAATTAATTTGATTAAATATTTAGTATTATGTGAATATATAATACTTTAGCAAAACTAAAAACTTACTTAACATTATTACTATGCTTTAAATTTGGTCGCTTTGGATTAAAAAGTATAATTGCTGTCAACTGTAATTATTAAATATTATAAAAATATAATTTATTATAATTATAAGTAAAACTATGAAAATAAATATACCATATTTTTAATAAAAGAGTCTTGKCTACATTCATTGAAAAATTTAACGACAAAATCTTTAAAAATTTGTATATAATCAATGGTTTCCATTTTAAATATATTCAAATCAACTATCATGTTATGCTCTCCATCCTATTTGTAAATATAATAAAACAATAATTAGTATTTTTATTAAAATTAAATAAATAATTAAAATAACATACAAATGGTGATATAAATTTATTTGAATCACTTTTGAAAAAATCAATACTTTCAAACATCATTACTTCAAAGACACCATATTTAGTGAGTATCAATTGGTCGTCGGCACAGATATTTTGAAAACCATTCAAACTTTTAGCAAAACTTATGATATCTTTTATATAGTTTTCTATTTTATTGCTCGTTATTATAGTCATCTCTTCAAAATTTTTAACTTTTATAAACTTTGTTTTTGAATACTTAATTGAATGTAAAATATTCATTGCATTAAGTAATTCAGAGACACGATTGGTCTCTAAGTCATTCAAACCCTTATAATCGGTCAAACATTTTGAAATCGGAGTAAAAATACATTTCATATSATTTTTATCAAATGTGTTGCAGTTTTTGGCAATTAATGGATTGATATTGTTTTGATCATAACATACAATATCCATAATTTGATGTTCAAGTTCTTCATCACTTAAATTAACAGAACTATCAATAAGTTCATCGATACTAATATTATCTAATGTTTCATTAGTTGTACTCAAAGTATCGGTTAAATCACTAATATATRACTTCTGAGATGACATCGAAACCATTAATTTTTGTTGTTTTTGTCGATTTTCTTCAATTAATTCGCGTCTCATTTTGTTTTCCTCAATACTTTTAATACATTCCTATTTGTTATRGAAAAAAAAATAYTTATTATACCCATATAATTGTAAATATAAATAAATTTTATAAATGAAACTAACTTTTCTCATTCCCTTTTCATAACATTTCTCAAGTCTACATTTTTGGCATAATTTTCGTGTCTTAATTGTTATAACACATTTACTATTATTGTAACATTTCAATGGCTTTAAAATTATGAAAAATTCAATAAAAAGTAGTTAATTATATAAAATAATTTTTAAAAATTTTGATATAAAAACTAAATTTTGTTAAATACCATATCTTTGAGAGCATGTCTTCTAAAAAATGCTTTACACGATTCACAAGTTATTGCCACATAATTTCTACCTAATTGTAAATAAGACAATAATTATATTAAACWWATTAAATATATAAAATTATAATTTACTGTAAGCTATATCACCACATATTTCACACGTCCTGTTAATAATTTTTTGGGACATAATTTCTAAAAAAATAATATTTAATTTATTGATATTTTGTTATTTAAAATTTCTTATACTTTATTTTTGCATTTCAACTTTGRTAACTAATTTAAAAATAAAACAATTTAACAAATAATAGTAWWCATTTGTTAACAAATATAAATTATTTATTAATTTTGTATATAATTTAATATACTGCATAGATTTAAATGTTTTTAGTAAACAAAGTTTCTCTATAAATAAATGTACACAAAACTATATAAATAACCTTGGTTACAATCATTTTTAATTGGTACTTATTTATCAAATAAAAAATTTATTAAGTTTATTAATAAATGATGTTAATTCTGTATAATATACAGCGTATATTGTATACTATTACTAATATCGTAAATTGCAATACAAATACAATTAAAATTTATAGAAATAATTTGAATAAATARACTAAATATTATTGCTTTAATTAAATAATCTTTCAGCAAATAGATGTCCATAAAAGTTGTAATATTTTTTTGTATTCGTCGATTCCGTAAACTAATTGAATTTCAGACATAACTTGAATATCATTTAAAGTAAACATTATCACATGATTGTTAATTTAATTATAACAAATGCATTTAATGATATAATTTTTTAATTAAAATAAAAAAGTTAAATAATATATTATATATAATTATGATTGATATATTTCATGAATGAGTGGTCCGTAATRATTATGATATCGTTGAAAATGATATAAACTGTTTGATCTCTCAATTTCGCTCACAGTCTTCAAGTTAGTCAACGAATTCATTAATTCTTGAAGTTTTGTTTTTGATTCAAATTCATAATTATATTTAAATTGCAAATATCTTTGTAATAAATATATATAAAGTTGTTGTTCGAGTCTATTTTTAAATGATTATAATTAATATAATTAATATAATTAATTATTTAATAATTTTATCTCTATATTTTACTTACTCGATGAAATTTCTGTGTTTTAAATTAGGATGATTTGGATTATAAAATAACACAGCTGAAATCTTTAAATAAATTATAATTTTATTATAAAACAATTTTAAATATATTGATTAAATTATAAAACACTTACTAAGTCTAAAATAACTTTATCTCTATTCCAATGGTTAGCAATTTTATGAAAAAATGTTTTAAAATTTATAAAAAAATTATTGTATTCATATTTTTCTATTTCATCGAATTCTTCCATATTTATGACTATAGAATAATCATCATTCTGTAAATAAATGTATATTAATGTATAATAATAGTAATATTATTGAATTAATAGTTAATAATTTTTTAATTATACATATTRATAACTTAATTTATCTAAAAATTTAATTATATTTATATCATTTGAATATATATTTTTTTTAAGTTAACAATAATTATTACTATTATTTAGTATCAGTATTATTATATTACTTACAAAAGAAACTATAAAGTAGTCGATATCACTATTAAAATAAGAGAGACTTCTAAATAGTAAGACATCACAGAAACTATACTTAATAAGCGCCAACTGATCCTCTGAACACATGTGTGTAAAACTGTCTAAACTTTGAGCAAAATGGACAAAGTTTTGAACCGAACGGTTGACGTTTCGGCTCCGGATGCTTAAGATATCACTCTTTTTGGTGACAATTATATATTTGTTAGTCACACGCATATCGAGAACAGGTATGCACTTTAAGAGCTCTGAAATTCGTCTAAACTCTAATTGTTGCCAATTGTATACATCAATAATCGGAGACAATAGTGATTCAACACTACATGTATTTACATAATTACWTTGTTTATTACAATCTGTTAACAAATTATTATAGTTTTCACTAATATTTTCTCTATTTTTGTTTTTATTGATTTTGCGGCAAATCATTAAAGTTTTTGAACATTTATCAGAAATTTGTTTYTGTTTGTTGTCTTCAATCAATTTCTTTCTAATTTCATTTTCTCTGTTACTTCTTATAAATTCCTTTAGTTTAGATTTAAAAGAAAATCAATGAATTTAATTAATAAAYATTTATATATAAAATTATATATATATATATATATATTGTTTCAGATGTGTTGATTTTTGGTAATACCGTTACATTTTAATTGTATTATAAACCATACCTTTTTCATTCCTACAGCAAAACATTTATCAATTCTACATTTGATGCAATGTACCCTGGTTGATTTTCTAATTACACACTTTCTTTCCCAATCACATTTAAATTCCTAATATAAATTATATACATTTTTATATTATTTCTGTCAATACATTTAAATTTAAATTAAATATTTAATAGATTATATAAATACCTGAACTCTATAAGCATTTCTTCTAAAAAATGCTTTACAAGACTCACACGTGTGTACAGAAAAATTTCGAGCTTTTATGGAAATATAAAAATAAATAAAATTTAATAACAAAAATATAATTACCGGTAATTTATTACTWACCGATTACATTATCATCACATACTAAACAAGACATTATATGTTTATTTACTGCCATTATATTAAAACAAAAATTAAAATCAAATAATATATTGGATAAAATTATATTATTATAAATTATAAATTCAATTCAATAATATTAAGCATACATTAATGTATATTTACTAGAGTATAATCTATCTAAAGTATCAGTAAGATTAATAATAAATGAATAAATTAGAAAATAACATCTACTGTATATTAATTTTATTTATCATTATTATTAATAATGATTTAGTAACCATATGTAGCTTCCCATTAACACTTAGAAGTTTTGGTTAGAAATGGGAAAATAGAAATTTCTAGTAAATTTCCCAGGAATAAATTCCTCTAGAAATTCAACTGTTGTCAGAAAGTCAACAATAATTATTATACTATGGGATCCCCAAGTCTATAGCTTTTGTATATTAATGAGACATAATACTCATTAATATACAAAAGCTATAGACTAAAATTTGAAGAGTAAAATTTTATACATATATATAGGTATCTATTAATACTACATAAATAGTATACTACTATACAAACAGGATACCTATATATAAAATAAGTTTTATAAAATTTTACTCTTCAATTTATTATATATATTTTAGTTTAGTATAATTTTTTACTTTAATCATAATTAAACCAGTTGAGAATGCTAGAAAGCATTTCCATACGAACTCCTAATCATAATTAAAAATTAAATTCAGTATGATAAAATAAAATCAACTATAGTCATGTAGAGTATCAAATGATTTAGTATGACAAAATAAACAACTATAGTCATGTTGGGTATCAAATGATTCAGTATTACAAAACAAAACTACCATTTTCCTGAAAAATAAACTTAAAAAAGAAAAAAATTCAAAAAATAAATTTTTAAAAAATTCAATTTTTTAATTAATTTTTGGACACTATTTTCTCCAATTTCCAGAAAAATAAACTTAAAAAAGAAAAAAATTTAAAAAAAATCAAAAAAAAATGTAGCAGAGAGTGGATTCGAACCTATGTCCTCGTGGGACAGACAGACAGACAGACTTTTAGAATGCATATACAGTACATACTCCTTTCAGGAGTTCGTGAATATTAATAATAATATTTAATTATTACTTGTAATCATAATGTATTGTTATAAGATAACTAATATTTAGAGAACAAAATTAACATTGAGATCCCATAGACAGAAATTTCTTTTAGAAACTTTCTAGAAATATACTATTTTATAAATTTCTCTTATTTACAAACACTAGTTGTGGTACTAAACATTTACAGTAGATAACAATTTACAAATTTATTATTATTAACTACTGTATTATAATATCATGTGATTTATATGCTCTACTTTACGTTAAATAGATATTTTAAGTTTTATTACGATATCATAGTACAGTATTTATACAATATATAGGGTAATACACCATATATTATACTACAGTTAATAATTRTATATACAGTAAATTTATATTGACTCACAATCTTATTTAATTTAATATATTTCATTAATAAATTAAATTTATATTTGAGATATTAAAAATTTGTATTAAAAATGATATAAATTCAAAATATTTTGTTGGTATTATATTGTACTGTATTTATACAACTTGTAAATAAATAAAATCTAAGTCAAAAAACTTAAATTAATTTATTATAATTTTCAAAGGATAATACAAAAAACTTTTAATAATAATACTTGTAATTAAAAATGTTTTTTCTTATTTATGTAATAATATTAAAAGAGTTTTAAAATTATTTTAAAATAAATTATGACTTTGAATACTATTAACTACTAGTTGTTTGTAATGATTATTGTATTGTTTATGTTCTTCAAAGCCGTAAACCATTTGTAATTCAGTGATCACTTGAATATCATTTACCAAAAACATAAGTTTTTGAAAGTTTGTCTTCTGTTCCCCAATTGTTTGATATTTATATTGTAAATATCGTTGTAATAAATATATGTAAACTTGTTGATGATATCTTATWAAAAATAATAATATTAATAATATTTAAATTAAGATTATATTTTATATATTTAAATTACTTAATAATAGTTCTATGTTTCAGATTGAGTCGATTTGGATTTAACAACAATATTACAGATATCTATAATATTTAATATTATTTATTAATACTAATGTTTGTAATAATTAATAATATATATTATACTAAATCTGTTATAATTTGATCCCAATTCCAAATAGKTATCAATTGATCGAAAAATTTTTGGAAGACTTTTAAATAATCAATTTTATTCAATTGAAATGTTTTGTTTTGTATAACAAGTGTTATCTCTTCGTCCTATTTATTAATTAAAAAATAAATTGTATTTAATAATACTATTTTATTATTTAAAATATTTACAATTAATAATAATAATATACYAACCAATGAGCAAATATAACTTTGTTTTTCATTATCATAATATCGTAAGTTTCTCATTGTAAACATTTCTGTTACTCCGTAATGAATAAGTATTGACTGATCTTCAATACATAAACTTTTAAAAGGTTTTAATAAATGACAAAATTTTATCGCTTTTTTAATAAAATTTTCGGTCAGATTTTTTGATAGACGAAGTAAGTCTTGAATATTCATTATATTTATTACATTTTTATACCAAATAATAGGTCTGTTTAATATATTTGTTGCACTAATCAGCTCTGAGATGCAATTAATATCCATATTATTGAATCCTTGATAATCAGTCAAACAAACCAACGAAACTATTGTACATTTTATTAGCTTTTGTCGGATGTCTTCAACTCGAACATCGGTTTCATCTTTAATATAATTTTCATGATTTTCAGGATATGTTTGACAATTAAATATTAAATTAATTAACTCATTGTCATCGATAGCAATAAACTTATCAATTAAATTGTTATCACATAATATTAATTTATCATCAAATGAATTGACTGTTGTTTGTATCAAATCTTCATTGATTGTCATTTGTTTTCTTTTATAATTTTCTTCAATTATTTTTCGTCGTTTTTTGTTTTCCTCATTACTTCTTATAAATTCCTATTAAGAGAATATTATTAATAAAAAAAAACATTTCAAAAAATAAATACTTTTTTCATTCCTATAGCAAAACATTTATTGAGTCGACATTTGATGCAAAATATACGATTTTCTTTAGTAATTTTACATTTTTCATTAAATTTACAATTCAATTCCTAATAAATTAAATATTATACAGTAGTTTGCAATATTATATTAATTTTCTCAATACCTGTGCTTTGTATGCATTTCTTCTAAAAAATGCTTTACATGACTCACACGTAAAAACTGAAAAATTTCGCGCTATTTATATAAATAAAAATAATAAACATTATTTTAATTTTTGTCAACTTAACAAAAATAATTATATATTTTACCAATTACTTTATCACCGCAAACTAAACAAAAATTACCATTTTTATTTTTGTACATATTGTTTTAATATACAAATATCTAACAAATAAAATTACATTTGTTTTTAGTAACATAGAAATTAAATTATTTGCTTCTATTATATAAAGATAAAAACTATAGAAATAAAGATATTAGAGTTTAATTATAGTTATGAATCATAACTTATRATATCAATAATAAATATTTATACAGTAATATGTGTGTACTAAGCATTTAATAGAATTAAAAAATATTARAAAATTRATAGTTAATAGASTAAATATCTATCTATTAAATAGACTAATATTTTATATTTATTATCTTATATTTCTAAAAGATATAAAAGGGRTTTTCATTAATCTCGCGCACGCGGTTTTTGCTATAATTCTTAAACGGAGATATATATATATATATTAATTTTGTAAAATATGTATTAAAAAGTGATTTACGARTGATATTATAAAATATTTAATTTTTAATTTTGATCACGTGATCACATTTATTCTGGGATGTTTGCAACCACTATATCATAACCTAACCTATAAATGATAGAATAAAAATTTCATTAACAAGTTTGTAGAGATTAAATTAATAATTTATGGGAAGAAAAAAGTTATTTAAGTTTTTAATGTTTAACCTTTAATTATAAGGTAATGAATACAATTCATATGAAATTCATATCAATTTTGAGTTACAATTTGTAAATTATATACAATTTATTGAAATAAATTTACTTTATATTAAATAAATAGTGATTGTGTTCACCTGATATAAAATAAAAATTAATTATACATTCTAACTATATAATAAATTACTAAATAATTTAAAAACTTAGTACCATTAAAAATTATTATATAGTTAGAAAATATTAATTTAATTCCTATTTAATTTGTTTTTATTATATTATGCATATATAATATTTGAAATTTGAACATATGATCAATAATTAATAATTAAGCATCATACATTTCATGTAATACACTATTATAACGACCTGGGTATCTAATTAAATGATCATGGTTATTGATTCGTCCAAAATCTGTACATTGTTTCAAATTATTTTGACAACACATTAAAGTATATAATTTTGTTTGTGATTCATAATTTGATTTATATTTCAATAGTAGATATCGTTGTAATAAATATATATAGATTTGTTGTTCGAGTCTATTAAAAATAATAATTATTATTTATTAAATTTTGTTAAAATAATGATATAATTAATTAATACATAAAATAAATAGACTTACTTTAATGTAGAATTATGAGTTAAATTTGGTCGGTTTGGGTTAAACAATGCAATGGCTGTTACCTAAAAAATATTACATTTTTAATTATTTGAATGTATATAATATTATTAATATAATCATAAATACCAATTGTAAAATAATATGATCTTGGTCCCATTCAAGTTTATTAGAAAATTGTTTCCACACTTTGAAAAAATAATAACAACGAAGCTTTTCGTCGTCATCCCAGGCATTCACATCATATATCAGTGAATATTCATTATTCTGAATAAATATATATATAAGTTATACATTAATATAATTATAATACAATACTATATAATAATTATAATAACTAAATATAACTTACAAAATACTCTAAAAAACCAAAATATTTTTCATTATATCGCAATAAACCTCTAATTTGTAAGATGTCTTCAAATCCATACTTAATAATAACTAACTGGTCCTCTGAACATAGGTTTGTAAATGCGGTTAGATTTTTGGTAAATTTAATAAAATCATTGATATCACGACATGTCATTTCACTGCGAATTCTCATTATTTCTAAGCTATCACTGATTGTAATATATTTTTTACTTAACGGGTATTTAAAGACTTGTGAAGTCAGTGATTGTAATTCAGACAAACGTTTGCATTCAAGTTGTTGCCAACCCTTATAATCAACTAATGGTTTAGTTATAGAAAATAACTTTTGAAATTGATTTCTGTATTTAAGATATTTATCGTTAGACGAAACCGAATCTTCATTAGAATAATTGGTAACACATTTCTCAATTTCTTTCAATAGTTGTTTATTATTATCATTTATATAACTATTTATTGAATTATCACAGAAATTATTAGATTTGCTCTCAAGTATTAAACAATTGTCATTACTTTTGTCATTTGAATCATTAGTGTTTGAATTTATTTGAAAATTATTTTCAATATTTCTTTTACGTCTATTTTCTTCAATTAATTGTTTTCTTTGTTGTTTTTCTTCTGAACTTTTAATAAATTCCTTTAAAAGTAAATTTAAAAAAAATGTATCATTAAATAGTTTTTTTTACAAAAAGTTTAATACTTTTTTCATTCCAACTGCAAAACATTTGCTTAATCTACAACTGAGACAATATGTACGAGTTTTTACAGTCATCAAACAATTGTTAATATTTTCACAAATTAATTCCTAATTTATTAATAAATATAATTTTTAAATAATCAAATTTATAGTTAGAATAGTAAAATTGTTTTTAGTTATTACTTGTTGTCTGAATGCAAATCTCCTAAAAAATGCTTTACAAGATTCGCAGGAATACACAGAAAAATTTCGAGCTAAATGTTAATCAAATTTTATATTAATTATCACACAATTAAATTAAAAATATTATTTTATAATAAATACCTATAACTTTGTCGCCGCAAACTTCACAAACTTTGTTAATGTTTTTACGAATCATTTTTATTTGTATAATATTGAAATAATTGTAGTCAAACAAAATTTATAAATAAAAAAACATGGAGTAGTATTTTTATAGTATTATTAATTTATTATATCATATATTGCACTTGCGTTGAAATATTATTTTATCAAATCATATACTAATCATATTATATTCATTAAAGATATGTCCAAAATGTTATTTATATAAATTAATGAAATATATAATATAAATGAAATTTTAAATATATAAATGAAATTATTATATTTATTAATCAAAATATATTTTTTGTACAATTGATCCAAAAAATTTCAAAAATTTCTTATTTTCAACAAAACCTAAAGTTTTGTCAATTTCACAAATTATTTGCATATCTTTAATAAATTGCATAATAAGTTGTAATTGTATTTCGCATTCATATTTTGAACTGTATTTCAATCGTAAATATCGTTGTAATAAATAAATATAAATTCTTTGTTCGAGACTATAAAAATACATAATATATGATATAAATTATTTAAATATTATTTTAATGATTAATAAAATTACTTACTTTATATTATTCTTATATTTTAAATTTGGTCGATTTGGGTTAAATGTTATAATAGCTGATAACTATTAAATATTGAAATAAATATATGTTTTATATTATATATACTATGTTTCTACTAAAAAATTATGATAATATATTATAAATAATATTTAAAATGTTTTAAAAAATATATATATTACATATAAAGTTAAATTTTTTTAATTTATACTAATATCCACTCACTTGTATGTGACTTTATATGTATGTAGATTTGTATAGATATTTTTTTATTTAAATTTCATATTATTTATAGTTATAATTTCTGATAATATTTCTCTAATTGAGTTTCTAAAGTCTGAAACCACTTATAAATATTTAGACTTATTTATAAAATTCAAATATTTACTGTTAAAAATAAAACAAAAATTAAGAAATCTCTTATAAAATAATAAATAATTTATTAAATATATACAATTAAATTATATAATATTTAATTTATGAAAAAGTTCTAAATTAAACTATTAGTGAAAATATTTAAAATCAAATGATAGAGATTAAGAAAGTTTTACATTTGTTTAAGGATTAGTAATATTTCTGATATGAGTAATGAATTTATAAGTKGTTTCAGACTTTAAAGTCTCGTTTATACAGTATTTTATAATACATTACAGAATTGAAATATCTGTAAAAGTTTAATGTATCTAATTTTGTATTTAATTATTTAAATTTAGTTTTTTAATATTCATTAAATAAAAATAACTATTATACCAGCATAATTATAGTAGTATCTTGTTGCCATTGTAATGAAAATTTGTCATATATTTGATTAAAGAGTCCACAATAATCAATAGATTGCAATTGCATTACATTTTGATTTAAAACTATCGTATTGTCACTATTCTGTATAAATAAATAAATTTTTATTTAAACTTTTATATATAAATATTTTATGATAATAATATAGTATTACAATTCACTTATTTTTCAATATTATTACATACCATATATAAGCGAATTTGTTGATTAACTCTATCATAATTTTTAAGAGATAATAGAAACGATATGTTATGACATCCATATAATGCAAGTTTTGACTGATCATCAAAATGCAAATTTTGTAAACTGTTTAATGATTTAATAAAACAATAGATATGTGTCATAAATGACTCCATATAAACTGCAGCCTTTTGTATCATTTGTAATTTATTATCAAATTTAATAAACTGTCCCTCCTCATTTATCTTATATGTTATTAATTGTGAGGCTTTCAATAATTCTGATATACGAAACATTTCTAATTTATTCCAGTCTTCGGCACAACAAATAGGTCTACAAATGGAAATCTCTTTTATTTGTTTCAATCGATATCTTAATTCTTCAAATGTCACATATATTTCAATTTCCATAATTTGTTTCTTCAGTTCAATTTCATTGATGTTGTTTGTGGTGTCAGTTATTTGTGTTAWTAAATCACTTTCATTCTTAGATATATCAGAAATATTAGACAAACAATTATCTGATGACAAATCCGATTGTTTGTCCATTAAATGTAAGCGTTTTTGTCGATTTAATTCAATTAATTTTTGTCTCTTTTGATTTGCTTCAGTACTCCGTATTAATTCCTATATTATAATAATTGTTAAATATTTAAATATTAAAAATATTATTTCTATTACTTTAATCATTCCCATTGTATAACATTTTTTTAGTCGACATAATTTACAAGAAGTTCTTGTATTGAAATTAATTTTGCATTTGCCATCTGATGGACAAATCAATTGCTGTGATATTAATTTTTACAATTAGTTTACTTTATGTATACATCCTTTTTATTAATATATAATAAATTTGTTTACCTCTTGTTTTGGTGCATATCGTCTAAAAAATGCTTTACACGATTCACAACTAATTACATTAAAATTTTTACCTATTTTAAAATTAAAATTAAATATACAATAAATTTAAGATTTATCATTTTTAAAAACTTACGTTTGGCTATATCACCACAAATTACACACTTATCGTTAATTGTATTCATTATTATATAATAAAATTACTAAAATATTATTTTGAAGATACAATATATAAATTGAATTTGTAAGTTTATTATATACTGTTAATACATTGATTTATTTAATTTTTTATTTAAACTAAGCAAATAATTTTCTATATAATAATAAATTTTGTATAAAATATGTTCTATAAAAATTTTAGTTAATAAATAAATATTTATAAAAGTTTTAATTATTGTTTATAATATATTATCAAAATATATAAATATTACATAATGTAAATAAAAATAAGTAAAACAAAACACTATACTTTAAAGTACTTTAGTATAAATTAAGTAAACGTTAATTCAATGCAGGTGTCCATAGAAATAATGATAATTAATGTTAAAGTGAGTTCACTGACGTCATAGATTTAGTTAACAGTCTTATTATTATTATTATAGTCAATATAACGTCAATATTAATATATTAATTTATTTACTATATATCATATTTTATTTTAGCTAATTAAATATAATTTATAACTGCTTTAAATTTTAATTTTTTAGAGCAGTTTATCTTCATATTTAAATAATAATGTGTTTTCCATGTATTCCACTATAAGTTTATAATATAACAAATGCTAAAAAAATATATTGGACGCTGAATATAATGTATAAATTCAAGGTTTATAATATTTTAAATTAARCCTTGAACATTATAATTGATAATTTTATATTTGATTAGTTTGTAAACCGTTGAGGCCATTTTATTTATGGATAATTTGTTATAAAAAATTAAATAATAATATAAAACATAATATATATATATATATATAGAATATAATTATTTAAAATTTATAAAATTACTGAATATTATATAATTCTTTAACAAGAGGTCCCATAAAATGTTTATATATTAAGTATTCTTTGATTCCGTCAGTCATATGGATGTCTGCAATGATTTGATGAGTATTTATTGCATTCATAAGTCTTTGAAGATTTCTTTGAGATTCAAATTCTGATTTATATTTCATTTGCAAATATCGTTGTAATAAAAATATATAAATTTGTTGTTGAAATCTAATTATAAAATATTAATGTATTATAATTATATTAACCTAAATTTCTATGATTTTTTACTTAATATTATGTTTATGTATAAGATTGGGTTGATTTGGGTTAAACATTATTATAGTTGATAACTAAAAATAAAGTAAAATTAAAAATTAATTTTTTATACTTTTTTAATGATTGAAATGTATACCAAATCGATAACATTTTGATCATTTTCACAATMCGATTGTAATAAATTTAAATATTTTTTAGACATTGATATCAGATCATGAGTTTTCAATTGAAATACATTTATATCAATGCTAAGAGTTGTATTGTTATTCTAAAATAAGATAAAATATAAATAAAATTATTATTTATATATAATTATTTAAAATTAATATTATAATACAAATTTACAAAATAAAATTGAATTCTTTGTGATTGTTCATCAAAATGCATGAAATATCTAAAAAGCCACAAATGAATACAAGCCTTCTTCATGAGTGTCATCTGATCTTCAAAACAAATATTTGTAAAACTTTTTAAACGTTTAGAAAACTTAATAAATGATTTAATTTGATTTTCCATTATTGGATACTTAATAAAAGCAAACATATGATCCCTATCATTGACTTCTATAATATTATTACTTAATTCATGTCTCAAATGCTGAGTTGCCATTAAAAGTTCACAGATATATGACTTTTCAAATTGATTTAGACCCTTATAATCTGTTATCATCACAGGTATTGTTGTTTTATTGCATAAAACATCAATTTGTTTATCATTTAAATTTTCAATTTGYTTAATTTGATTTTGCAATTTACTAATACTCAGATTATTACTATCTTTAAACAACTCAAAAGAAATATTAGTTTTATATTTTGTTTCAATTGAATTATTCTTTGTTTCTGTTGTTTTAACAGAATATTCTGTTTTATTTTGCATACAAATGTCGACCGAATCTATGTATGTATTGTTTATTTGTTGTCGTTTTTGACGTTTATTTCTATTATTTTCAATTAATTGTTTTCGCTTTTCATTTTCTTCATCACTTTTAATAAACTCCTAAAACAAATAATAATTTGTTATTAATATAATAAAAAATATATAGAATATATATAGCAATATATATAAATTTATATTATTTTAAAATTACTTACTTTTCTCATACCAACTGTAAAACACTTGTTAAGTCTACACATTTTACACGACTTTCGCGTTTCAATATTTATTATACATTTTCCATTTGATAGACATTTTAATGTCTAATAATAGACAATATTATATAATTATTATTTATTTGTTTAAAAAATTATGTCTATTTAATTGATTACTTGTTCAATGAGAGCATTACGTCTAAAAAATGCTTTACACGGTTCACAAACAATCACTGAAAAGTTGCGGCCTTTATATAAACAAATAAATTCAATTAAATAATAATAATTAAGAGTTAAAATTATATAATTTTTATTAAATTCTCACCAACTGAATAATCTCCACAAACTTTACATAATTTACTGACATTTTTAACACTCATTATAATAAAAACTAATTTTTTAATAAATTTGAATTACTAATAATTTCGGATAAATATTAAAATATTTATTATTTTTATTTATGATATGAATTGTTGTGTAATTTATGTGTATAGATGTAATGGTTTGAAGTAATTATAGCTTTTAAATATAAGGACAAATCATTTTTGTTATCATTAAATAAATAACATTGAAATATAAAGATAATGTCCTTCAAATCCTATACCAATATTCAATATTTAAAATTATTGAATTTCATCAAAATTTTACTTTACAATTAGTTTTATTCATTTTTATAATAATTATTGATAAATTTACTTTTATGTGTTATTAAATTATTTCCTCAAAAGTTCATTTGAGTTCGTGTATATACTGTATACACTAAACTAAACAAATTAAATAATTAAAAATATCAGTTTAAAAATATCATATATGATATGATATTAATATAATTGATTTGTCTAACATTAGATGTACAGTACTTACTGTTCAATCAAAAATATAAAATAAACTTTAGATTAGCATAAATAATGTAAATAATTTTATTTTATTAAAAGTTATTTACGGTATCTTAAGTAAAATTTAAATAAATAGTATTAATATTATAAATTTTATTTTAATATTATGTATTATTAATTATGAGTAAAATAAATTTATGATATTATAAAAATACAAATGTCTAAAAAAACTAAATAAAAATATTGTAATAATAATAAACTTTGTGATTAAATCTCGAAAATTTCCCGATAAAGAGGTGCCATATATTGAATATAAGGCATAAACTCTTTGACTCCTTCCTGACGATGCAATTCACTCAAAATCACCATTTCTTGGATTAAATGCATATATTTAGACATTTCTGTCTGTGATTCCAAATCAGAGTGACATTTGTGTTGAAGATATCGCTGTAATAAATATATATATAGTTGTTGTTGTAATCTAAATATTTAAATCAATTTTTAATATTAATTATAAAAAATATCTGTTTGTGTACTCACTTAACCAAATGGTTATGTTTAAGATGAGGTCGTTTTGGATTAAATAAAATAATTGCCGACATCTGAAATATAGTATTCATATAATATGAAAACAAAATAATTTAATATTATTAATAAAATTCATACCAAATCATAGATAATTTTATCTTTTTTCATTTCAGGTTTAAAAAGTTTAAAAAGAAAATTTTCATATAATAGTTTAAAATTGACATTTCCAATGTAATTGAAAACATCCAGGTCTATTTCTAAATGATTATCTTTGTCGTAATAATAAAACATTTTTTTGTGTTGGCTGTCATAGAAAGTCATAAATCTTAAGAGAAATACTTCAAACAATGCCATCTTCATGAGTGCCAATTGATCTTCTTCGCAAAAATCCTTAAAAGCATTTAATTTCTTAGAAAACGTGACAACACTCGACATATTCTTAGCCATGGATGGCGTCCCGATTGCCATCAGTTGTTGTTTATTAGTAATATTTATTTTATTGTAACCGATAACAAATCCAAAGACATTGGAGGCATCAAACAATTCCGTCATATGATTGCTCTCTAACTGATTGAAACCATTATAATCTAAAAGTGTTTTAAAAATGGGAACTATAGCTCCATATTTGGATGACTTCTCAATAGACTTTGTAAAACACAAGTCGGCGTCAATTGATTTGTTTAAATAATCTTTAGTTTCATCAGAAAGTAAATAGCTTTCAATTTTGTCAATTTCCATATTAATGTCTTCATCATTGAGTCCCAATTGTTCAGTAATTGATTTCAAAATATCAGTATTATTGTCTTTATTATTATACAATATAATATCATCGATGTCATCAATTTTAACTAAATTTTGTGTTTTTTGCTTATTTTCTAAAATCAATTGTTTTCTCGATATAATCTCTTCTCGAGTCTGGACTAACTCCTGTTACAGAAAAGTAAACATAATTTTCTTTAAATATATTAATTTATAAAATTAAATTCAAAATAATAGAAAAAATTACTTTTTTCATTCCCATAGCAAAACATTTGTTTAAACGACAAAATTTACAGTTATGTCTTGTCTTATAACTGATCACACAATTTGTCATTGATTTGCATTCAAATGTCTATTAAACAAAAAGTTATTTTAAACAAAAACAAAAAATATTTAATAACTAAATAGTGTATTAAATACCCGATTATTACTGATTGTTCGCCTGAAGAATGCCCGACACGAGTCACAAGTGATTGCATTGAAATTATAGCCTAAAATCAAATCAAAATTATTTTTTATAACATTTTTATTTTAATCAAAATAATTAATAATAATTTAAGTTTTAAACAAACCTCGAGATCGATCCCCACATATAACACAAATTTTGTCAAATTTTCTACCGCTTTCACTCATTTTATTATAAGTACCGGTATATTAACAAAATAACTGAATATATCCTATATATGATATAAACAAAACATTAACAAAAATTTGTTTAAATTTAATAAACATTAAATAATTAATGTATAAATATATATGATAAATAAAGTGCAATAATATTGAGTGTAATCCTCCATTTGACACTCAATTGGCTTATTATCAAAAAACATATAATTATAATGTTGTGATGAAATTATTTATTATTATTACTTTATTTTAATAGTTGTTTAACTAGTTTTTCACATTTCTGTCATTTATGTTTGAAATTTATGTCTATAAAAATGTTAAATAAAAGATTATAACACAATAATTCTTGAAAATATATAATTATTTGATAAATAATTTTAAGAAAATATAAATCTCATAAAAATTATGATTTATTATTAAATTTTAATATATAATTTTAATAAKTATTATTAATTACATATATTATTGTATTATACAGCAGTAGACTTAATAGACAAAAATGATAAATTTTAACACTATGACTTTCTAATTGATCATGTATAGTTTATGTTTTATTCCTCTATTTAAATAAGTTAAGTTTAGTCAATTATAAATAATTTTCAACTATTTTAAAAAATAAATAAATTTAAATATATACTATTTTAAAATTATTATTAGGGGTCGTATACTAATAAATAATAGTACGAGTTGACTGACATTAAAGACGCTGTTATTCTTTATAAACGATGTCCACAATCGGTGCCACCGTTTTGGGCACTCGGCTATCGACACAATGATGTCTCATCACATCCACAATACTTTCAACGAATTCATCTCTTTATAACTCAATTAAAATAATTATAATATAATTATTAACACAATTTACATACTTTTCATTTATATTTCTTTATTCAATAGTTTGTTAATTAAATTAAAATTTAGAAAAAAGTTTTACAAAAGTATTCATTTATAACAATAGTATATATTCTATGGATTTAAACATTTATTGTGAAAAAAGTAGAAAAATTACAAATGATTTTCAATAAGTATTGAGAAAATATTAAACAAAACGATAGCAAAGACTAGATTAGTGGTCAATCACTTGTCATCACTGTCTTTGTCTTTGTCATCATCACTGTCTTCATCACATTTATATGGTTCCACTTTTTTGTTGCCGACTTCCTTCCAGTTCATCGACAGTGACGTACCATTACTTTCAACCATACTCTTCATCATTGCCCGTCGGGTGTCATCGTCTGAATTGCGGTAAAGTTGACGGAACAGTGCATTCGGGTCCTGATCTTCCACTTTGTCCTCTTCTTCATCTAACTCTTTGGCCAATTTGTCCCAATAATCGGCACTTTTGGGTACTTTTTTCTTCACTTGTGTTGTTGTTTTAGTTTGTTGTTTATTGTCGTCATCGGTGGTCATCACATCTTTGTCTGTATTTGTGTCCATTGTTTTTGTTGTGTAATCAATGAGTAAATCAATTATCAAATACTTTCAAATCGATTGTTATTTAAGACAACACTTTAAAGTCAAACATAATTTGATAATAATTATAATGTTATAAATAAATTGGATATTATTGTTGTTCATAGCATTACAGGGAATATCAAATTCAAATGAACTTTAATTAGAAATTATATTATAATTAAATCTAATTTTACAATACATTGTGTATTATTGATAGCACTTTAGTAATTATATTTCAATTATAAGCTATGAGTAAACCATTGCATCCCAACTAAGTCATCAATTTTTTTTAATAATCACTTTTCATAGTTTTAAAACAACTTATATTAAATTATATTTGTATATAAATTTACATAAAAATTGTTTCTATACTAAAATATAATATATGGTAATATATAAACTTCACAAACTGTTCAAAAGTTTAGTTTTATTTACTATTAATAATATTGTATAAAATATAAGAAAAATAAAGTTAATGACACAAACATACAAATATAATTGACTACTTTAATGATTAAATTTTAGTTTTACTTAATATTACATTTAAAGTATTATTTAATGTATAGATTTATGTTATGTCCAGTAATTAACAATTAATAAATACATAGAAGATTGAAGACTAACGCCATCGAAGAAATTGTTAGGTTTTTGCCCACACTTTGAAAATTTGGATTAGTTTTAGTCAAACTTTGATAACAGTTTTTGTTAGACTTTAGATCAATGAATCACTTGAAATGTCTTAAGATTGCCACTAAACCCAAGTTTAACAATAATATATTTATTGATTTAATCAAAGACTGGTCACAATTGTCTAAAATTAATGTCTCATTTTGTGAGTACCTGACAATCAAATCGATGTCGTATCTGATTTTGGCCCAAAAATATCCGAATCACTTATTTCGCTGTAAATTCAATGAAATATAATACTAAAACTAAATTTTAAAATTTTTTCTATCAATCACTAAATAAGTTTACAAAACAATTTGTTTTTTATTTATAAAGATATCTCTTTTAAAACAATATTTTCTAACTTCTTTATACTATTCAATATATTATGCATTTTATAATTTTTATTAATTGTTTTTATTATATAATATTATTAATAATAATTAATAAAATCAATAATTTTGATAATTATTATCGATAGAGTACAGTTAAGTTACATATTGTAAACTAATTTTTGTGTCAATTAATTAGTCATGTGATGTTAAATAATTTTTATAAATTTTAAACTTCCCGACCGTCACAATATATATAATTTAATTATTGATAATTTTAAGATTATGTTTGCGGAGCAGATCCACACTTTCCTAAAAACATCTATTGATAATTATAATGTCACCAAAAAAATATGATGACAATTGATCCCAGGGACCGGTGTTTTTCTGAGGGGTYAAAGTTTGATATTTTTTGTATACCTACTATTATAATGAAAATTTATTTTATTTAATAACTATAAAATTATTGGTCCGATTGATCTAAAATTTAATATATATATATATATATATATACAGTAGATGTAAAATTATATTATATATTAAAATATATGAATTAAAATATTAATTTCCAAAATTTGCTAAAGAAAAGTTTCTCATAAATGTCAATCATTTATGTAATAAAAGTAATTAGATTTTAATTTTTTATATAATATAATAATTGTTTTATTGTCTGAATTGAGTCAATTGATTGTAAATATTATAAAATAAATATAATTTTTAAACAAAATGTTGAGACAACCCCTCATTCAGTTTAGACTTATTTGTTTTGATGTTTACATTGAATATGAGTTTAGATTTGTTTTGACTTTTAATAACATTTAGCATTGAATTTGATTACAAGAGACATACAAGACATGGATGTAATGGATGTGACCATCGATGCCAACGATATCTTTGAACAAATTGTTAACCAAAATAAATGTTTACAAAACCAAATCAAATTGTGTAAACAATTGAATGAATTTTTAGTAAATTGTGTTAAATGTTGTCTTATTTGTCAACAAAATCAAGACATCAATCAAAGGTTAGATCAATACGAGAGTCAAATGAAGTTATTGAAGACTAATGAGTCGGATCTAATGAGTGATGTCAATGATCTCTATGGAAATAATGTTGATATTAAAAATTGTGATTATAATGATTGTAATAATAATAATTATGTAAAGAAAAGTCACAAAAGACACAAATTGAAGGAAAAGTCATTAAAGAGACCAAAGAAGAAGTCCGTGAAAATGATTACCAAAAGTAAATCCAGTGATCTATCGGACGAAGAAAGTGATGACAATAAGGATATCGCAAATGATCCACAAATAGATGATAATAATAATGATTATGACTTTATGAGAGACCAATTATTTAATGATTCAAATAAATTGCAACGAAAAGTGATGAGAGGTTTGTCACTGATATACAATTAACTGGTRTTTTCATTATTTGTTACTTTTACTGATATTATTAATATTTTTGCAGATAAATTGCGAACAATAGACAATCAATATAAATGTGATTCATGTAATTATTTTCATCACGATTTCTATGTAATTGAGGGCCACATGAATGAGATTCACCTAAAGATTAAGCCATACAAGTGTCACATTTGCCATAAAAAGTTTTCAAGAATGGCTTATCTTTCTCATCACAGAACAAATTATCATCATTTGGTATCTCAAAGATCATGTAATATATTGATTGCCATTTAATATACAAATCAATAATTATTATAAATATTATTTATTAGTGCATTCATTTAAGTGTCAATATTGTGGTTTAACTAAGAAACGAAAGTTTGAATTAAGAAAACACATTGAAACGGATCACTTGAAGATCAGACAGATTTGTCATATTTGTGAGAAAACATTTAAAAATAAATATGCATTGAATGCACACTTGAAGTTACAACATATCAGTTCTCAAGACTTGGTTTACTATCCATGCGATTGGAAGGACTGTCTGTTTAAAAGTAAAACTAAAGCAAACTTAAAAAGTGAGTGTTTTTGTCTAATTTGTTATTCATTAATAAATTTAATAATATTTACCGTAATTTATATTTAATTTATTAATAATAAGGACATCAAATGATGCATTTAGATATTAGACAATTTGAGTGTCAATGGCCCGGTTGTGATCATAAAAGCAGAGATAAATCAAATCTATCCGATCATATGAGAACACACGGCGATCAACGAGACTATCGGTGCGAATGGCCGGGCTGTGAGTTTGCCTGCAAAACAAGTATAATAATAGCATTTTTTTATCGTTTATATACCGTAAGTCATAAATTATTTATTACTATTAAATTTAAATTGAATTATTATAGGACAAAGCTTTTGGGGCCATAAAGTATCGGCTCATTTGGAGAAACCATTTAATCATAGTTGTCATTGGCCTGAATGTAGCAAAAAATTTAGCACAAAAAACCGTTTAAATCGGTAATTATATTATATTTTTGTTATTTAATTCAATTAATTTAATCATTTTGTAATCATTTTAAAAAATTAAATGACAGACATTTAGCTACACATACGAGTCAGCCCAACATTCCGTGTCCATTGTGTAGTAAATTATTTCGTGCAAAGAGATATTTAACGGCTCATTTAAATAATTGTCATAATGGATATAGACTATAATTTTTAATTTAAATTTATTTATTTATCAAAAAATTATTAAAAATATATTATAATTGATCCCGATAAATATATATTACCTTAAATACATTTATTGATATCGTATTTAAATTGCTTATTTATACTGTAGTATAACGCAATAAAATAATATACCAATAATTGTTTATATTTTATATGTATGTTATAAATAAATAATAAAATTATTTTTAGTTGTTATAATAGATGTGTTAAACATTTTATAGATTAGTTGCACTTTTGTAGAATTGTCTTATTGTTCCGTCTTGTATGTGATATATACTTTAAATAACAGATACCTTAAATTAATTACTAAATAATTTACTAAACATATAATAAATATATACATATAGTGTACTACAGTATACTTAAGTAACAACTAAGCAATTTTAATTTATTATTTTATAATATGGTATTTGAAAACAACATTTAAGAATAAGAGAACAATTTATGTTTTGAAAAATTTTAATTAATTAAAATGAATTTATACAATATCGATTTTATTAATACAGTAGTTTCATAGCATCTAAAATGTTTGACTTAAAACAAGTTAATTAGTTGACTGATTCACACACAGTATTAGTAATTTAGATAAAAATAGTTTCAATTGAAAATATTTTACAATTTATTTCAAATTATAGATCTCTTTAGTCATCGGTCTTATGTAGTCTTCATATAAACTATAATCTTCTATAAATAATTTTACCTGAATTTCACCCAATGATTGTAATTCAGATACAATATTCATTAATAGTGAAAATTGTTTGTTTGAATTGTCGTTTGATTTATTTATAATTTGTAAATATCGTTGTAATAAATATATATAAAGTTGTTGTTCGAGTCTAATAATATAAAAATAATATAAATTGAATCTTTCATCTATTTGTATGCAATTGTTTATACGTACTTAACATTCAATTTATGACACAAGTTTGGACGGTTAGGATTAAACAAGACTATCGCTGATAACTAAAATAACATATAAATTAACAAAATTAACTAATTATATCTATTGATATAATATTACCAAATTGATGACAATTGTATCCAATTTGAACATGGCAACTTTATTATATTTGTTAGCAAATAATTTAAACAAAGTGGCATAATTTGATTTTGGTATATGAAATACTGTGTCCACATCAATGTTTAGCGTATGATTTTTGTCCTAAATTTATAATAGAAATTGATAATGGTAAATTTTGTACATTTTATAATAATAATTTATCCAAACTTACAAAATAATAGCCAACTCTACCATTATTACTGTCAAAATATCGCAAATATCTGATAATAAACAATTCAACGCAAGCCCTCTTGACTAATACTAACTGATCTTCACTACAAATATGTTTGAATCTTTGCAATTGTTTAGAAAACTTTACGATTTCTATCATTTTGTTTTCATAAATATCATTACAAGTAGTCATTAGTAGATATCTTGAGTTCATATCAATCAAGAATTTGCCGGAATTGCAAACAATTACTTCTGTTGCCTTCATTAGCTCTGATATATGTATGTCTTCTAATTGATTGAAATTAATTGAGTACTGTATCGGTCTTTGCAGACAAATTGATGACATATTTTGTGATTTTAGTGAAGTCGTCGACTCATTATAATACACATTATCTATAATTTCTATATCATTATAACTTGTATTTGATATTAAACTGTTGGACGAACTTATATTATCTATTATATTATTATCAAATAAATCCGATTGAAAGTCATTATCTGTTATTTTAGTATCTGTGCTAAAAATTGACAAAATATTTGATATTTCATTGTTTTTAATTTTTTGTTGATTTTGTTTAACCAATTGTTTTCTACTTTCTTTTTCTTCATGAGTTTGAAGTAATTCCTGATATAAACATAAAAATGCAATAAAATAATTAGTATTTAACAAAATATGACTAATAATGAAATACTTGTTTCATTCCCATTGCCAGACATTTGTTAAAACGGCATAATTTGCAAATAATTCTAGTTTTTAAAGTTATTTCACATTTTCCATTACATTTGCATTTATAGCTCTAATATTAAATATAAAAATAAATTTATTTAATTTTAATTATTGTTATTTCATGTATAATATAAATATTACCTGATTTTTAATTACCGATCGTCTAAAGAAAGTGCGACACGACTCACAAGATATGACATTAAAATTTTTACCTTTTGTTTAACAAATTAATTAATTAATTATTAACACAAAATTAATTTAATAAATACCTCGAGATTTATCACCACAAACAACACAAACTTTGTCAACAAATTTAGTTTTCATTTTGAAGTAAATTAAATTTTAAATATTATATCCACTCCTTATTATATCTTAAGTTGAATCTTGAGTTTATCATAAATCAATGATAAGATAATTTATGTTTATATTGTATGCCATAATGTATTATACATTTTAATACAGTATGTGAATAAATACAGTACATTATGTAGCATAATATTAATATAATAATATATTGTATGACATTGAAAATTTGGTAAATTGAGTTTTTTAATATAAATTCATTGTCAATAATTGAAAAATATTTACTCGTAATTAAGTGTAAGTGAGTTCGTGTCCCTCAAACGGTATCATTTATGTGCTTTTCATCAACTTTTAGATTTTTCAAATATGACAATATTTTTATTTTATAAAAGAAATAAATAAAAATAATTATTTGATACAAATTATTTACAGGTAAATAAAATAATATATATTTTTATGTATACTCTTCGTATAATTAATTTTTTAAAATACTAAATATTAAAATTTTTTATCCAATTATTTCCTTAAAAAGTGGTCCAAAATATGTCAGGTATTCCTCGATTCCGTTTTGTATTTCAATTTGACTTATAATTTGTAAATCAGTGAATGTATTCATAAGGTTTGACATTTTAGGCAACCACTGACTGCCATATGAACTCATTAAATACCTTTCCATTAAATAGATATACATTTTCCGGTGAAATCTGTTTACAATAAATAAGATTTTTATAGAAAAGAATTTAAGAAATAAATGATAAAAATTACAAAATTGTATCCTTATGTATGAGTTGTGGTCTCATTGGATCAAACAATATTATAGCTGTCATCTATTATACAGTATTTCAATTTTATAAAGATATATAAAATATTAATAAATATATCATAAATTATTAATACAATACCAAATCGAGAAGGATTTGATCGAAACCCCATTCGGGTATAAATTTATTGAAATACTTTTTATAAACCCCATGAAGATTACGTTTTTCTTGTTTTAATATATCCAATGGTATTAGAAATGAATTACAATTGTCGTCCTAAATAATAAACATAAAATTATATTTAATATAATTATTTTTATATAAAAAACATACAATAATTTGATTCCATATTTCATTTTGGTAATCGTATAATGAATTACCCCTGGTCACTAAAATTTCCATATAACCAAACTTGACCATGGCTATTTTATCATTCATACAAATATCAGTAGATATTGTCATATCATTTGTATATTTAATGATTTCTAAAATATCTAATTCTAAACGATTTCCCCATAACTGGTAATAATCGCAAACATTATTGACTATAACTATGGGTTGTGTCGCCGGATATCTAAACACTTGTGACGACCGATACAAGTCTTCCAGACATTTATATTCAATATCATTGATCTCTTTATAAGTATTTATTGATTTCATTGGATTAATGACATCCAAAAAATATCCAAACAATAGTTTGTCTTCAAAATTCACAGTTTTATCGTTTTTAACGCAACGCATCTTTTGTGATAGAAATAAGCTAAATGTCGACACATTATTATAACTTTTTTATTGTTATCAAAAATTTGTAAAAATGAATTTTCATTATATTTAATACTATCGATGCTTTCTTTATCACTAATCAAACTTTTGTTTAAATTATCCGATGAATAAAATACCAATTTATTATATCTATAAAGTTATAATAAATATATTTTAAAATGTATTTATAAGTACACTACAGTGTTATAGATTTATTTTTAACGAATTACTAAAATTATGTGTTTCGTAAAATCATTTTTTGAAAATCTTGTTGTGTCTTATTGTTAATTAATTAAAACTACTTTTAATACATAATAATATTTAATAAAAAAAAACTTTAAATCATAATAATGTAATAAGACTTTCCAAAAACATTATTATAACATATTATGCCATAATATATGTTTAAAAACAATTTATAATCAATAAAAACGTGAACAAAGAATAAAATTTTAAATAAAATAGATTTAAAACATAAATAACTAAATAATCTGTAATAACCTTTTGGTATGAATTTTATTCCCATTTTTTCGTTCAGCTTTTGTTGGCTCTTCATTTTGAATGAACTCCTATTGAAATGAATTATACAAATAGTAAAAATCAAATTATTTAAAATTTATAAAAATCTATTTAAAAATATTAATACTATTTTCATTCCCATCGCAAAACACTTTGTTAGTCGACATTTTCGGCAAAAGGATCGCGTGTTTTGATTGATGTCACACTTGTTATCGAAAAAACAAATATATTTCTAAAATAAATATTAATAAACTTTTTTTCTGAATATAATAAATGTATAATAATTTAAAATACCGTATAATTAGATGAATGTCTTCGGAAAAATACTTTACACGATTCACAAGTTATTGTACCGAAATTGCGACCTAAATATTATATAACTCATAAAAAATATATTAATGTTTTAAAAATAATTTCAATTATCATATGCCTACTCACCCACTGCTTTATCATAACATATATTACACATTTGCCTTAATTTATTTTTATTCATATTTTGTTGTTAAATATGTTATTTAATAAATTGCATTCATTTCTATTTAGTTTAATAATTTTGCAATTATTTAAAGTACAATACTTTTATGATTATAAAAAACTGTGATAATTTATAAAAACATAAATTGATTAAATTAAATTTATAGATTTGTGAACATATTTATTAACGTTATAATAAATTAAATTTATTAATAAATTGTATGATATATATGCATGTTAAATGCATGTCAATAAATATCCTGTTCAATTAATAATAAATCTATAATTTTTAATTATTATACTGTATAGAGTATAATGTTCAATTTAAATGGTATCATATGTCAATTTTATATCACATAAATAAATTGATTATAAAATTAAAATAATCAATTATAAAAAGCATTGGTATTATATTATATTATACAGGTATATTTCTCTATTTATGATCACAAAAAATGTTATAAATCAAATGTACTGAAATCAATGTTATGGTTCGTTATAAACGTATTGTAAAATATATTTAAATATAAATACTTTAGATTAAAAACAAGCACTTTTATACATTAATACTTAAATGTAATTTAATTTATGATAACTAAACAATGATCTAATAAGAAACAGTTGTCTCAAGTATTTTGAATTATATGATATCATTTTTATTATATTTTACTAAATTTTGTAATTATATAAAAAAACATTTAATATGAAAATGTTTAACACTTAGAGATGGGCAAATAGAAAGTTTCTAGAAACTTTTTCAGGAATAAATTTCTATAGAAATTTAACTTTATTGTTATACTATGGAATCCCCAAATCTATAGCTATTGGATACCTATATAAATAATTATAATTATTTAATAATAATCAGTTTTATAAAAAATTTTATTCATCAATTTATTATATCATAGTTTAATATAATTAAATAAATAAATTTTTACTTTAATTCATAATTAAAATACTAATAATAATATTTAATTATTACTTGTAATAACAATGATAAAGATAACAAATATCGAGAGAACAAAATTAACCATGGGGATACCATAAATAGAAACTTTCTAGAAATTTCTCTATTATTTTATAAATTTCTTTTTTTTGCCAACACTATTAACACTTGGCTAATGCTTTTGTAAATATTTGTAAAATATACAAAATAATTATAAAATATTAATTAATAGTTTCATTCAATAAAATGTTTATCCAATAATTTCCCTAAAAAGTGGTCCAAAATATGTTAAGTATTCCTCGATTCCATTTTGTATTTCAATTTGACTGACAATTTTTAAATCAGTTAATGTATTCATAAAGTTTGCCATTTTTGTGATCCACTGATTGCCATAAGTGGCCATCAAATAGCGCTCCATTAGATAAATATATAGTTTCTGCTGAAATCTATTTACATTAAAATAAATATTACAACAAATGACTAATTAAGAGACAAAGATTTATAATTACATAATTGTATCCTTATGTATGAGATGTGGTCTCTTTGGACTAAATAATACAATTGCTGTCATCTGTTACATAATTAAAATACAAAATACAAGTGAATATATATTTATTGTAATATAAGTTAAAAATTAACATAATTTGGTGTCAAATATATATATATATATAAATTAATCAAAAAATAATACCAAATCGAGAAGCATTTGATCAAAACCCCATTCGGGTAGAAATTTTTTGAAATATTGTTTATAAACGCCATGAAGATTGCGTTTTTCTCGTTTTAGTAGATCCAGTGGTATTAAAAATGAATTACAATTGTCGTCCTAAACAATAAAAATAAATTTTTACTTAATGTCACTATTTTTATATAAAAAATACAAATTATAATATAAAACATACAATAATTTGATTCCATATTTCATTTTTGTAATCATATAATGAATTGCCCCTGGTCACTATAATCTCCATTGATCCATATTTAATTAATGATATTTTATCATTTAAACAAATATCACTGAAAATAGTCATATTTTTAGTGTATTTAATGATATCTTGAGTGTCGAGTTCAAGACGATTACCCCATAACTTGTAATACTCGCAAATATTATTCACTTTAATGATGGGTTGTGTCGCCGGATATCTAAACACTTGTGACGCCCGATGCAAATCGTCGAGACGTTTGCATTCAATATCATTGAGCTCTCCATAAGTATTGATTGGATTTAATGGACTGATTATATCAATTCTGTGACCTAATAATAGTTTGTGTCCCAAATCCAATGGTTTATCGCATTTAATACTATGAATTTTTTGTGATATATTTACAAATGCGTTATATGTAGACAACTGATTCATAACTTTTTGATTGCAATCAAATATCTTTGAAAAAGAGTCGTCACTATCACAACCACTACTACCAGTGCTTTCATCTTCACTAACGACACTACAGTTTGATTCATCCGATGAATTAGTTATTAGTTTTTTGTTTTTTAGTCTTCGATTTCTTTCAATAAGAAGTCGACGCGATTTCTTTTGCTCTTCATTTTGAATGAACTCCTGTTTTATTGTTTTTTTATATAAAATATATAATTAATATTTAAAAATGAAATGTTAGACATAATACTAAAATATTTTACAATTTTCATTCCCAATGAAAAACATTTAGTTAGTCGACATTTTCGGCAAAATGATCGCGTATTTTGATTAATGTCACACTTGTTGTCAAAAAGACAAATATAGTTCTAAAATATAATATAAATTTATTTAAAATCTAACAAAATATTTATTATATTTAGGGTTAGATCAGATTCCCTCCCTCGTCTTATTTTCCATAAGTTCCTTATATTCCCTGTTCCCTGGGAATTCCCTGGGAAGACATTTCCTTGTGGTACCACCTATCGTACCATAACTCACATTACATAATGTTTAATTAAAAACACGTTTGTATAGTAAATGACTACAAAATGTATTTAATATTTTTACTAAATGTTTAATAATATTTGAATCATATTTAGATTGTTATTACTAACATACTGGTCCCAATTGAAACACATAGTCATTGAGATTAGGTACTTTATAATGTATGACAAATTATATTTTCCCTTTCTAACGATCAAGGAAGGGAATATAATATATTTTCCATATTTTCCGGGAAAATTGGAGGGATTTTATTTGGGAACTTCCCTCCCTGGGAATCTCAATCTAACCCTAATTATATTATACTATTAATTAAAGGTATTTTAATATACCTTATAATTAAGTGAATGTCTTCGGAAAAATACTTTACACGATTCACAAGTAATTGAACCAAAATTTCGACCTAAAAAATATTCAAACAATTAGTTTAATTCAATCAGTTATCGTAACAGTTGTCTCACCGACTGCTTTATCTCCACATATATTGCAAGTCGTCTTTAGTTTAGATTTAACCATATTTTAAGTTAGTTTCAAATTACACACAATTTGTCAATTAATAAATTAATAAAATTCATGTAATTCTTAAATATTAGTTAATTACTTAATTATATTATACAAAATACAAATACAAGTCATACACTCGTTGTCAAACAAAAACTCCTTTCCAACCATTCCTCAAAATTGTAGATTCATATGACTATATTAACAAATTTCAATTAAATTAAATAGATATCTATTTTATATTCTTTAAAAATAATAAAAATGAGCATGCTTAAACATTAAATGGGGTGTAGTTATTATATATTAAAGTGTGATTAAATATTATAATAATTGTTTTACTGGTAAACTGCAATTAACTGTGTAATTGTATGATATGAACTATAGTATGTCACGTAGTTATTAATTTTTATCTCAATGTAATATCAAATATAAACTATTTTTTTATAAAAATAAAAAACAGTATTATTGTTTATTTATAAATATAAAAATATATATAGTATTTRTATACTGTATAAATAGTACTGTAATATTAAAATTCTTATAATCAAAAAATTTTAATTATAGTTTAAATAACTTACCGCCAAAATTTTAATTAAATACAATATTTAAAAATTAAAATTTAATTTTAGATAATTGTTGTCAAATGATGTCAACCATATTGTGATAAAATTTTGAATACTTTGACAATATTATCAGTTATTTTAATATACTGTACTCTGTCTAATAGAGAGTGCTCTTAACAAACTAAATATCAGATAAACTACTGAATAAACTATGAAATTTCATTATTTATAGTTTATAACTTATACATCTAAATAAATTTCGATATTCAAATTTTTWAAAAATTAAAAGGACACAAAATAAAAATTATTTATAAAAATTTAAAAACTTTTACCCTAAATATTTAAAATAAACGTTTGTATAAATCTCATTTCTAATTAACTTAATATGTACTTCTTTTTATTATCACAATATATTTTTTAATTCACATTATTTGTTATAAATTATTGATAAAATAAATATTATATTAATTTTAAAAATATATTATGTATATAAGTTTATATTTTAGTAACTAACAATATTCTTCTACATTATATTATTTGTATTTAAATTTATTAATAAATACTTATTAGCATTTTAAAAAAGTAATTTAATGCTTTAAAGTTTTTTAATTTTAAAGTACTGTATTATTTATAGGATTAAAGGATTTTTGGTGATAATGATAAATGSATTTATTAGTATTATTATTTACAATGACATTTGACAATTATAGATTATTTTTAAAAAATTTTATGACTTTAGACTATCTTATGATATATTTAATAAATAAATTATTGCTAAAGAAATAGATATAATTATTTTATAAATCTTTATAAAATGAATATATAATTCATTATAAATGTTACTTTTATTGCATTACTTTCCAAGAATTTCTCTAAAAATTGGTCCAAAGTATTGAAGATATCCTTCGACACCATTTTCTATCTCTATTTGACTGACAATACGTAAGTCAATCAATGCATTCATAAAAGCGGCCATTTTTGGTCTCCATTGATGATCCACTCGGTATCGGCTCATTAAATACCTTTCCAATAGATATATATACATATATTGTTGTCTCCTATAGTATTATTGATTATATTTAATATATTACAAATTAACAATCAATTAATAAATAATTGTATTTTTTAATCCCTCACTCAATGATATCCCTATTTATGAGATGTGGTCTCTTGGGATTGAAGAGCACTATTGCTGTTAACTTTTAATTAAGTAAATTATAATAATTAAAAATGATTATAAATATTATTAAGTAATATTGATTTGCATTGATATATATATATTTAAAATAGCTATTAATTAACTAAAATTACCAAATCTAATATAATAAGATCTTGGTCCCATTCAGGAATGATCTTGTTCAAATAACATTTATAAAAATAATAAATGTCTCTCTTTTCCGGTTTCAACATTTCCATTGGAAATACAAATGAATAGTTATCGTCCTAAATGTTAAATCAAATAATTAATTACTATTAATATAAAATAGTAGCAAAATATAGACAATATGTATATACAAACCATAACTATATTCCAATGTTCGGCTTTTTTATCGTAAAAGAAGTTATATCTGAGAACAATGATTTCCATCGCACCGTATTTGATGAGTGCTATCTCATCATTGGTACAAACATTCAAATGTTTTCCTATATTTTTTGTAAATGAAACGATATCTTTAGTATCCATTTCTATACGATTTCCCCAAAGTGTATAAAACTGTAGCATATTTTTGACTTTGAAATAAGTTTGAGATTTTGGATATCGAAAAATATTAGACGACGAACACAGTTCTGCCAAACGCTTACATTCTGTATCATTCAATTCATTGCAAGTATTGATTGGTCTAATGATTGGTATCAATGAAGTATTTGGTGGACTAAATGGTGCTAAAGAGTGGTTGACATACAAGTATTTGTAACACTTGTCGACACCGATCACCGATTCTGTCACTTGTTTGTTGTGTTCAAATATTTTCAAATAAAAATCATTTTGAAAAATACTGTCATCGCTTGTAATACTATTTATCGAAATATTTGAATTTGTTGTTAGATTTTTAATCAATCGATTGCGTTCAGTGTTTAGTCTTCTCAATGCATTTTGTCTATCATTATGTATTAATTCCTAAAATATTTTAATAAAATTAAAAGATAATAATTTAACAAATGATTTTTAATACTTTTTTCATTCCCATAGCAAAACATTTAGATAATCTGCATTTTTTGCAACATTTTCTTAGGTTTACATCAATTTTACAAATGCCATCGTATTTACAGAAAAATTTCTATAATTATAATTTATGTAAAAATATTTGAAAAATATTATAAAAAATAATTATTGAAATTAAAATACTTTTTCTTTATGTGAATGTCTCCTAAAAAATGCTTTACATGACTCACAAGTTATGGCACCAAAATTTCTTCCTTTATTTATTAATATTAATAAATATATTTTAAATTTTAAAATTAATATAAAATAATTACATAAAAATCTATTATATAAATAAATTTTAATTAGAATTGGAATAAATATCAAAAGTTAGTATTAATTATAAAAGAAAGTAACCAAAAATAATTTATATAATTTATAACTTTTAATTTATAAATTAATAAAATTTATATATTTATAAATTTATATAATAAAATAAATATTACTTATTTGATTGAAACATATAATACCATACCTACGCCAATATCACCACATATTTGACAAAATTTACCGACACATGACTCTCGCATTTTATTATTATTTTGCATTAAAATTAACTTTTAATTAACTTTATTATAGTTTAAATATTTTTCATAATTAATATAATTTGATGTAATTTGTATTTATTAAACAAATTAATAATGATATTTGAGATAAATAATATGTAACAAAATGTCTTTAATGTTTATAAGCATTTAAATGGAAACCTTGTTTTATCTAAACCAACCATTGGTTTGGGAATTATCTGAAAATTGTTAGTATATTACAAATAACAATACAGTTATCTCTTTTTAAATAATAACGTGTAAATAGAAATCATGTAAAAATACAGAATACAGTACAGTATATGACATAATTTAATGTCTTAAATGTCATTAATAAAAACTAAAATATTTTTGTAAACATTTTTAAAACTATAGAATTAGAAAACAATGTTTTATTATAACATACAAAGGTATACTTTATTTTTAAAAATATATAAAACAATAACTATATTTTTTATTATTCAAAGTAAGTAAATGTATTTATTTCAATTACACTTTTTAAAAAAATCATTGTTAAAAATTTATTACGATGAAATAATGGTACTTATTAAAATTACATAGTAAAATATTTTTATTATTGTTTAGTTTAAATATAGAATAAATTGTTAATTATTWTAATATTTGTTAATAGCTTGAAATATAAAAACAAAATAATTATAATTTTAGAAATATGCACAAAAACTATAGAATAACTATTAAATAATTATATTAAGAGAGACTCTCTCTAAAAATTGGTCCAAAATATTTAAGATATCCTTCGATACCATTTTGTATTTCAATTTGACTGACAATTTTCAGGTCAATCAAAGCATTCATAAGATTTGTCATTTTGGATCTCCACTGCCACTCCCAATGATATTTTGTTTGTAAATAACGTTGCATTAAATAGATATACCACTCACGTTGATCACTAAATTTGATTTTACAATATGATTACTAATCATATTTGTTTTATTATTTTAATTTTTATTACAATAATATCTTACTTTATAATATTTTTATCAACGATATAAAATCGTTTAGGATTGAGTAATACTATTGCTGTTAGCTATTAGACAGTTATAGAATGCATACAATATATTACATTTAAAAATTAAAAGCAAATTATATATATATATTTTTAAAAAAGTTACCAGGTCTAATATTGTATTATCTTGATTCCATTCGGGCATAATTTTGTTTAAATATTGTTTATACATACCATAGAGATTACGCTTTTCATCTTTTAATAGATCCATTGGCAATACAAATGAATAATTATTATCCTTTTTAATTAGAAAATACAAATAATAATCATTTTGTAGATTTGTTTTAATAAATATAATTTAATAAATACCATATAAACAGTCCACTTTTTAAAATTATGATCAAAAAAGAAATTAGCTCTCAATACAATAATTTCCATACAACCAAATTTGACCAGGGCTATCTCATCATTATGACAAATATCTATAGTTTTTGTAATATCTTTAGTAAACGATACAATATCTCTCATATCATACTCTATACGATTGCCCCACAAACGATAAAACTCAGTGATGTTTCCAACTGTYTTATAGTGTTGTGTTTTCGGGTATCGAAATACCGAACCCGATAAACATAAATCTTYTAAATGTTTGTTTTCGACATCATTTAAGTRGTGATAGTTGTTGATGGGTCGCACAGGTGTTGCAGATAATAGTTGTTTTATATTGTATTTAGAAAAGTATTGGTCATTATTATTRTCGCTATCATTGATTGTATCAATAATTATTTTGTTGACTTTCAATAGATTTTCAAGTACTTTATTATTGTTGTTGAAAATATTTAAAATGCAAACTGTATTTAATTTATTAAAGTTTGTCTCAAATTCACTATTGATTTCTAACTGTTGTTTATTTTTTTTGTTTTCTTCAATTCTCTGTTTTCTTAACTCTTTTTGAATCTCATTTTGTATAAATTCCTGAATTATTTAATAATATTTTAATTAGTTATAAATTAAAATATATAGTATTTTTATTACTTTTTTCATTCCCATTGATATACATTTATTTAGTCGACATTTTTTACATCTCTTTCTAGATTTAATATCAATGTTGCATTTATTGTAATTATTACATATAAAACTCTATAATAATAATAATTTATATATATATATTAAATATTTATAAATTTGGTTGAATATATAAACAGTATGTTATACCTTATTTTTTAATGAATTTCGCCTAAAAAATGCTTTACATGATTCACAAGTAATGGCACCAAAATTTCGTCCTATAGATTACACAATCAAATTGTAATTTTATTATTATAATCATTTAATAACATATTTTGCTCACCAACTCCTTTATCCCCACATATCTCGCAGTTTTTGTTCAACTTTTTAGATTTCATATTATTGTAATATACAGTAATTTACTGTATTATATGAAACTTTTGTCATTTACAGTATATGTTTATTTTATTAATCAAATTATTAATAATATATTTACATTAATATATGATAATAATATTAAACTGATAAAATTAAAACAGTTTTAAAATTTAATAAAATTAGTGGTTTAAAGACAGTTTTTAACGATAAATAATATTATAAATTAATGTATCAACAAATTGTTGTTATAGTTATAATCATTTTTTTATATTACAGTATGTTATCATGTGATCAATTGAATAATATCTTATATTTTGTTTTTGTTTAATCACTATAAATTAAATGGTTATTATTTTTAAAATTATTTATAGGTAATTGTTTATCTTTTATTAGTTTTATAATATTAATTTATAGTATTAATTTAGTAATAAATTTAATAATACTAAAAATTATAGMAAATTATGTTGATTTTGAATATGAAATAAAAAAATTATTGAAAAGTAATAATAAAAATATAATGAATGCCAACTATATTGATAAACCTATAAAATAAATTAGTATACAATCTGTAAATATTAATTGAAAACATTTAATATTTAACACATAATATTGATAACGATACTCAAGTTTTATCTAAAATTAATATTATTTAATGAGTGAAATTAGTTTTATTAAACTATTGAAACATTTGAAGTAATATTAAATACAATTTCCTTAAGAATTGGTCCAAAATATTGGAGATAATTTTCGGCACCGTTTGTCTTCTCGATTTCACTTATTATATGCAAATCTATTAATGAATTCATTAGTTTTGATAGCTTTTCATGTGATTGYGATCGACACTTATATAGCAAATATCGTTGCAATAAATAAATGTAAAATTGTTGTTCATTTCTATAAATAATTAAAATCATATATTATATAGTTATTTATATATTTTAAATAATTATAAATGGAAWATATGATGAAATACTTTTTAYCAATAAGTAGTAGTAGATATATTTGTATTTTTTATAGTTTTATTAATATTTAAATAGATTTATATATATATATATTGATATATACTCTTACCCGACTTTATTTTTATTGATAAGATGCGGACGATTTGGATTAAATAATACAATAGCTGTCATCTAAAATAAAATATTACTTAAAAAAGTTTTTAAATTACATGCAACAAAAATGACAAAACTGACCAGGTTCATTATGATATTATCTCTATTACATTCAGGAATCAGTTTATCAAAATAATTCTTGTAATACAAATATAAGTTACGCTTTTCCGACTTTAATAAACTCATCGGAAATATAAACGAATAGTTGTTATCCTAATTAAAAATAATAATACAAATAACCCCTGTTTATAGATACTCTACTATATATTATGTTAATATAAAAATGTATAATAAAAATACCATATATGCAGTAAAGGTATCATTTTGACGATCATAATAAAAGTTAGCAAAAAGTACGATAAGTTCCATACATCCATATTTAACTAAAGCTATTTCATCGTCCAAATGAAGGTTTGAATATTGTGTCATATCTTTTGTATATTTGACGATATCCTGAGTGTTAAACTCTAGCCATTGACCCCATAATCGGTAAAACTCCCGAATGTCTCCAATTTTAAGAAAGTTTCGGGTCTTTGGATAACGAAATATATTTGTAAAGACCGATATATCCGACAGTCGTTTACACTCTATTTCTGTCAATTCTTTAGGTGTAGTAATGGGTCTCTCAGGAGAAGACATTAATAATTTAAATAAATGTCTTTTAGTGTCATCTTTATTATCATTTGTTGGTTTTATTGGTATAAACTGATTGAATGTCAATATATTTTTATAGACATTCATGTTTTGTTCAAAAATATGTGAATAATCACATTTGTTATTTTTATCTGAATTCTTGTATTTATTATTTTTGTGATGTTTTCTAATCTCAATCTTATTTATTATGTTTGAATCAATCTTTTGTTTTTTCATTGCTTTTTGCTTAGCATTTAATATGAATTCCTAAATATAAGAGAATTACATTATAACTATATTACTAAATAAAATATGTGTTACAATTAAGAGTCAATTGTATTATATATTTTATAAATAACATACAGTTTTCATTCCCATTGAAAAACATTTGTTTAGACGACATTTTTTACATAATTTCCTGGAGTATACGTTTATTTGACAACTGTTACCATAAATGCAAATCGAATTTTGCTTTAAATAATAATATAATTTTTAAAAAATAAATTTATACAAATAAAATCTATTATGATTTATAAAAACATGAAATATTAGATTTACTTTTTTGTTGGATGAGTTACGCCGAAAAAATGCTTTACACGAACCACAGGTTAGGACACCAAAATTGCGGCCTATAATCAGTTAAAAAATTTGAAACATTTTTTACAAAAATGATAATTTAAAATAATGGCACTATATTTGCAATAAATACATAATAAATATTATATAATATATTATCACAATTTGTTTACCAATTCCATAATCACCGCATATTTCACAAATCTTTTTCATGATTTTCATAAATTTTAGTGAATTGTAAATTATGAATAAAAATATATATAATATATGGYAATAGTTAACAATTTTTGATTTTGTAATACTATGTTAAGTAAATAAATAAAATGAGAGAAATTTTACATTTAGTACATTTGTCTGTATTAGACTATACTGTAATATACTGTATTAATACAATACAATCAGTTTGTTTCCGAGCAATTTAATTCAATCATGTGATTGATATGATAAGCACGTGAAGTACATTACATATAATGTTATAATTAGTGTTTTTAATTGAACTTATTTTTCCCGGAATTTTAGACAATTTATAGCAAAACTTGACCTGAAATCTCGAAAATTAAATTTTCAAAAAATTGTTTTTAAAAATGCAATTATAGTCTAAATCTCATCCAATATTTCCCTTTTCCAAAATTTTTGGAGTTTTTTTCATTTTATTTCATTACAGAACCTCTCCCTAGAATCGAAAACAACACTTAAAGCTGATTATAATGTATAGTATAGTATAAATTCAATTGAATTTTATATTTTCAATAATTTTTATTAGTTAAATGCTTAAATAAGGTATTAAGTAAATGTTACAAATATTTTTAACAATTTTAGTAATTATATTTTTCTAATATATGTAAGACATGTGGGAAAATTTAAATCTAAACAATAAATAGTTATGTTTTAGTTAAAAAACATTTTTTCAAAATATCTATTTTGTTTATAAGATATCCATTATATTTCCACCACATGTCCACTATATAGACAACTGCATTTAATTAATGTTTTATATTTTATTCTCTATCAATGCCTATTTGACTTTTAAAAAACAAACTTTTAAAGTCATAAAACTAATATTTTCCGGGTAGAGATTTATACCAAATTTGATTTCAGAGTACTATAACTATAAACAAATAATAATTAATGGGTACAAACTTTGTACTACCAAACCCTAATAAGTTACAGACCTCCAAACTTGTCCCCAATTTTGCATCAATACTTAGTCCCCCAATGGAGTACTAATGACAACAATGAATCTGACCTCTGATTGGTAACTATCGGAGCCATAAACCTCAACAGTATAAAAGCAACTGTTAATGAGATCCCTATATGGGATACAGGATTTATTTTAAGAGATCCACTCATTTATATATTGTTTTATACATTCAATAATTATTTAACTATTACTATATATTAATCAATGTATTTAATTCAATTGTTATAATAATTTAATAAATCACAATCATGTTAATCTAATAACTTGTGTCTCAATTCATTCACCACCATAACACTACCATCAACATCATCATCGACATCAACTAAGACTAGTGGATCAACTACACGACTGCAAATCAAAATATTACAATATTATATAATAATAATAACTATAGAACTGCTAATCTTATATATATATAATATAATAATGATTTTATTATAATTAAAATAAATGTTTGTAATTTTTTCTAAAAAATGACATTTACTAATTTTAAATTACTGTTTATACTGTATATAAATTTATATTTCAATCATTATTATAAACAATTTCTTTAAAAATTGGTCCAAAATATTTATAATATAATTCAAATCCATTTCTAATTTCGATTTCTCTAATAATTTGTAAATCATTTAATGTATTCATTAGTTTTGACAGTTTTGTTTGGACATCACATTGATTACGATATCTTAATAATAGATATCTTTGTAATAAATATAAATATAACTGTTGTTCAAATCTGTAAAAAATAATTTTTTTTCTAAATTACTATTACTAATAATAATTTTTAATTTTATAATTGACTTACTTTATAGTTTCTTTGTGTTTAAGATTAGGTCGATAGGGATTAAATAATGCAATTACTGTTAGCTAAGCAATAAAAAAATCAAATAATTAAGTCAATCAAAATACTATAATTATAAAAACAGTTCAAAATATTATATAATACCAAATCTAAAACAATAAAATCTTTTTGCAGTTCAGGAATAATGTTATCGAAATAACTTTTGTAAACTCCATACATATTTCGTGGTTCGTTCATTAATATATCCAATTTAATGCAAATAGTTTTATTACTTCCCTATAGTTAATAAAAAGTTTAATATTTTGATAAATAATTGAACAAAATAATTAAAATACTAACTAAAGTTGCTTTCCAACAATTAGTAGACTTATTAAACATCATTGAGTATCTGAGTAGCAATGCCTCCAAAAATCCAAACTTAATTAATGTCATTTTATCGTCATTACAAATAGCGTTAAATGCATTCAAGGAATTACAAAATTTTGAAAATCTTTTAATATCTATATCCAAATATATCGCTTCCTCATAGAGTTGAATAATATTTTTGATCTCAATTATGTTACATGTATTTAATATCATATATTTAAATATTTGTGAGGCATTAAACAATTGAGACAAACAGTTAGATTCATAGACATTAAAGCTGTTAAAGTCGTTAATGACTGGAAATACGGGATTTAAAGAAGACTGTAAAACTTGTTGCCATATATTATACATATCATCGATATTATTATTGTTGACCACATACTCAATGTCATCGATTTGATCCAATATATTGTCATTACATGTATTAGTGTTAGTCATATGTTTTATCACAACACCATTTTCATCATTGATTTCATTTGTAAACCGTTTGCGACAATTTCGACGTTTTCTCTTTTGATTCATATATATAATTGCCTTTTGTTTGCTGTCTTTTATTAATTCCTAATAATAATAATAATAATAGTTTGTATAATAATAGTAACTATAATTTATTAAAATTTTTATAAATTTAATTTACTTTAGAAATTTACATGAAAAAACAACATTTTTATAAAATAGTCTATTTTATTAGTAATATACAAATTATATAAATAAAAACATAAAAACATAAATTATTTTAAATTATTTAAAAAATATTTTTTTTTAATAAAATGTTTAATACTTACAGATTTCATGCCTTTTTCAATACATTTGCTTAAACGACATCTTTTGCACGAATTTCTTGTGATGACATTAATAATGCATTTGTCATTTCTTTTACATTTATATGTCTATCAAAACATAAAATTAAGTATTTTTTAAATTTAGTAATTAAATAAAATTAATATAATTAAAAATTTACTTTATTTTTTAAAACATTTCTCCTGAAAAATACTTTACATGACTCGCATGTAATGACACTAAAATTTCGACCTAAAATCAATATTTAGTTTTTATTAATTAATTAATTAATTTAAATACTTAATGTTATTCATTTAGATAATTACATACCAACTCCATTGTCATTACATATTTCACATACTAATGATGAACGCATTGTTAATAGTTTTTGAGTTATATTTGATTAATTCTAATACAATATTATTGTTGGTTTAAATCAATATATTGTATAAATAAATTTATTGATAATATTTATTAATAATATCACATGATTTCTATTAAATGTACTTAACTTAGTTCAAAATAATATGTGATAATTATATACAATAATTTATTTTCATACTATACATTATTATAAAATTATAAACTTAACATTGGACAAGGTTATAAAAAATATAATTTATTTTAAAGGAAATTAATAATTTAAAATAATATATATGATGCACATTTAAATAAAAAGTTTAATTAATTGATAGTTATTTTAATTTTATAATGTTATAAATAATTTACTAAATCTGACTTACTTTACGCTATTACTTATATACATATATTAATACGATATAAGTTGATAAATATTCCTAATGTTAATAATACAAACTTTATATATAAATTTATATAATATTTAGAAAATTTCTTAACATTTACTACAATATATTTTGTAATTTTATGACATAAAATATTTTTAAAGATCAATAATTTAATCGTATCACAAACTACAGTATAGATAATATTAATATATTTATTACAAATTATACTGATACTGTTATTTTTATATAATATTATCATTAATTAGTTTGCAGTTTATAATTAAATATTATATAATATGATAAGTTTCGTAATCGAGTAAACATTTAAATAAAAACATTTTAAAAATATTATTATTGTTTATTTATAATTATGTTTGTTATTTAATAATAATTATATGTATATTATATTTTACTTAATTTTAAAAACTAGATTTTAAGCACATATTTTACGTGTAGACATAATTTCCATAATCAAAGGTCCAAAATATTGAATATATTTTTCTAAACAGTTAAGCATTTCATGATCGCTAAGATTTTGTAGATCTGTCACTAATTTCATTATTTTTGCCACTTTTTCGTATGAATTCTGTCGATACTTAAGTAATAAATATCTTTGCAATAAATATATGTATATTTGTTGTTCAGTTCTATTATTTATATTAAAAACAAATATTTTATTAAAATTTTTGTATTTTATTTGTATATATTTGTTTGAATTACTTGACAACATCAGGATGTAAAAGATTTGAAGCATTTGGATTAAGTAACGATATTACTGTCATCTGAAATAATTTATAAAAAATTAGTGTTGTGTTTATATTACTATGTAATTAAAAAACAACCAAATCAAATATGACATTATCAGGCAATAGTTCAGCAAAATCGTGTATAAATTGCATATATCTTCTATAAATATCACGTTTTTCATATCTTAATAAACTCATATTAAATCCAATCGTATTTTCAGAATCCTATTTTATTTAATGAAAATTATTAATTAAAATTAATAAATAATTAATTATTGATATTTATAAAATATATACTAAAATATTGGCAAAAAAACTATAGTTAGTTATAATGACTTACGACAGGAATGTTCCAAAAATTATTTTGAAAATCATATAAAACTATATATCGGATTACAATAGTATTATTCCATCCATTTTTTATGAGTTCAATTTGGTCGTTAAGACACAAATTTTTAAATGAATTCAAACTCTTGGAGGCGTCGATCAAATAACTGATATCCTTTTCCATCTGTTTGAATGTCATCCGATACATCTCACAGGTGTCCAGTATTTTATATATATTGTTTGTTTTATTAAATTTAAATTTATTAATAGCTCCAAACAGTTCTGATAATCGATTCATTTCTAGGTCACTAAAATTGCTGTAATCTATTATTTGTCTAAACAATGGTATTATTGGTATATATTTGTAAATAATATTATTTGATTTAATAAAATCGGGTTTTTTTTCTTTATTGTAAATTTCAAGTTCGAGTAATTGATTTATAATTTTTTCATCATTAGATTGAATTGAATTTTCTAAAATGATATCAATCTCTTGAGTATCAGTTCTGTTCTCATGAGATAAATGTTTGGTAATATCTATAACATTGTCATCCTTTTTCGACAATTGTTTTTTATTATGAGTTTGTATTAATTCACATTTCATGCCTTTTGCCAAACATTTGTCTAAACGACACTTTTTGCACTTATTTCTTGTTTTAAGATTAATATAACACGTGTTATTGAAGCGACAATGAAAATACGTGCTCTATATATATGATAATTAACAAACAATTGATCAAACGATAGTTTATTTTATAAAATTGTAATTATGTTTACTTTAATATTCAGTGCATTCCTTCTAAAAAACACTTTACATGAATGACAAGTAATGGCACCAAAATTTCGACCTAAAAATAGATTAATTTAATGTTTTATTAGTAAATTAGTTTATAAATAAATAAAATAAAATAATCTGTTTATTACCCACTGCTGTATCCAAACAAATATCACATAATTGTTGTTTATTCTTGTAATTCATTTTACATTAATATAGCTATATATTAATATAATTAATATTATACACGGAATTTCACTTAAAATTTAATGTAATTTTAATACATAATATTATTAATAATAATATTATTAAAGTCAATATAATTATAAATACTGTATATTATAAATAAAAATATTTTATTAAATAATAATGATAATTAACTATGTTGTTAATTGATAAGATAAAACATTATAATTAAAAGTAATTGAATGCCATTTTGTTAAAAATTACACAATAGTTAGTATTGCAAGATTGCAGAAAATTCTTTAATAAAATATATTAAATAAATAAATATTTATAAAATGAAATGTTTAAAAATTATTATCACTAATGTATTTGACCATGATAATGTTCGTATTAAGCAACATAATAAATATTATAATATTATAAACCGTTTGATATTTATACAGTTAGTATATAACATACAGTACTCTTGATATATTTGTTTTGATAAAATTTGACATAATTTCCTTATATAGTTCCAAATGTTTAATAAATAAAATAAAAAATATAGTTTACTAATCATAGATTATACAATAGAGATACAGTATTTAATCATTAATGCTTAATATCAAAGAAACGGTGATTAGTAATGCAGATAACTTAGTCATCTCTATCTCATTGATTAACTGTAAGTCTAATATTGTGTTCATTAATGGCGACAATCTTTACTATGATTGTGATCTGTATTTTGATAATAAGTATCTATGAAACAAATAAATGTTCATTTGTTGCATAACAATAAAAATATTAAAACTAATGCAATATATTTATTAGTTTATATAATAGTAATAAAATGTAATTAAATGGAAATATCTTAATATCAGACTCTTGACTCATGATTTTTTTGAATATCTAGTAAACCATATTTAGAATATAAAAATGACAAATGGCAAAGTTATAGACAATTTTATACTGAATATATTTATAATTGAACATTTTTTATTTAATTTTATGATTGACCAGATAATTGCACCTTTTTTAAGGTAATCATTAAAATTTTTATAACAATTTTCATTCCCATTGAAAAACATTCGACACTTTCGACATATATCTATAATACAGTTACTATTTGTTTAACATTTGTATATATTGTCATTAAATATAAAATTTGGGTTTTAGTCAGATATCTGTAGCTTATTGGTTGCAAAAGTATGAGAATTGTGATATTATTATTATAATATGAAAATAATATTTAATAAATAACATAAATGAAATTTAATTAACACAAAATAATAATTAAAATAATTAATATTATTTCAATCAATCAATACCTTATTATTTAATACGTTTCGTTTAAAAAATATTTTACACGACTTGCAAGTTATAGCACCATAATTTTGACCTGGCTAATTCATAGTTTGTATAATATCTCATTTAAATGCGATTAAACATTATTTTTTAAATGATATACACTGTATATAATATATATACTATATACCATTTGTTTGCTCTCCACAAATATCACAATTTAAATCTATTTTTTTGTGACATTTATAATAACAGAACTCAAATTAATAATTTATTATTTGTAATAATTAATAAACAAAATTAAATAATTATTTGTAAAATAATAAGTTATAATAATATTAAAATCACATTTTGTTTGTTATAGATTAATTCTGTTTGGTGTGTTTGTTTGGTATTAAATAATAATAAAGTATATCTCAACTAATTAATAAATTATATTACAATTAATTGCATAATAGGTAGCATAATATTGTTTATCAAATATTTACATTAATTATATTTTAATTTGTACTTTAATTTGTATATTATATAATCTGATAACAACTTGTCATAGCAATTTTAAATCATTAATGAAATTAATTAAAAAATTATTGTAGTTATTAATGCAATAAATTATACAATAAAATATACAATAAAATATAATGTAAAAATTATAACATTTCTTTCTTATGAATTTAATTATAGTATAAATCTTTAATACAAAAGTATAAAAATAATTTCTATAATATTGATATTTTATATTAAATATATCAATAATAAAAATGAGGAATTATTATTATTGTATAAAAATTTTAATAGAGATTTATCACTAAATAATAAACAGATCTAATATTTAGTTATGAAATCTTTTTTAATACAACCGATTGTTTGGATTTAGAAATAGATCTCTTAATTCCGGTCTCTTTAAGTGATACCGACTTCAATGGTCTGTCTTTTACTGATATCGACAAAGTCTTTGACTTCAATTTAGATGAATCTTTCGTTGATTTCATATTATTTTGATTGTCAGTTACCATCAATTCGTCGCTTTCTTCGTTTTCTTTAACTGTCTTCACTTTGCTCTTTGTTTTTATATTTTTTTCTGTATTTATTTGTTTGACATTATTATTGTTATTCTGTTTTATTCCATATTTAGATATATTTCCCGATTTTTTCGCGGCGACTGTGTCTTCGGCAAACTCTTCGCCAAATGAACTGTCAGACATTGACATACTTTTTCTAATATTGAAATAAAAGCAAACAATTGCCACAACTATGATCACTAATATCAATACCAAAATAATCCAAAAGATTAGCCAAAAGTATGATTTTGGCGGACAATTCACACGAAAAAAATTGATCACTGTTTGGTTGGTTGTGTTATTGACGACATACTGTTTATCTCCATATGTCGACAGTTGATATCCGCTACCATTTATAGTAAAGTTATTATAATAATAATTATTATCTATTGATATCGAGACGGTTGCCAATGGATTATCAAAGTTGTCAATTGAGTTGATGTCAACTTCTGTGACATTGATTTGTTGTACATCTGATGAAGGAGTAGTGCTAATAGACTGTTCACTTAAGTCACATTTGAATTGACTGAATTGGTGTCGTTTGAAGACAAAATCATAACCGGATTTGTATTGACCGATCCATGAGTTGGACTCATTGCCGTCATTTCGACAAAATGTTATCTCACTATTATTACTGGAGATCCGATCAAAAATAGGTTTTTGACAAAACAATTCAACTTTAAGACCGATAATCGGGTTTATGGTCACCGCCACTAACATCACCAGAAGTTCATATATCCATTGTTTCATTGATAATAACTATTCAAACAAGTGTTTAGATACTATTTTGTGGTTAGATTTCATAAAAGATAACCGATATTTAAATTGTTATGCAATAGTATGTGCAAGTGATCGGTGTTTTTACTTTAAGTCATTGATTACATTGTTGTTCCTCACGATCTAACTTAACCTAAACACTGATTCAAACTAAAACTATATACAAATAAGTGTATAACAAGACAACAATATAAGAGTAATAAATACCAATTGATTTACTAATTTAATATATACTAACCTTAATTAATAATTAAATACTTTTTAAATAGATTTTTAATATTAAATCAAAATGATGTATTTTATATGATATAACTTAATATTATTATTATTCAATTTTTAAATATTTGATACACAGTATAAATAATCTATATGTTAATAATATATAGATTTAAATATTAACATCAAATATATTACATTTACTTAAAATTTATGAATTAATTTTTATTAGTCTGTGTTTTCTCAGATTTTTGTGACTTATTTGTGGTCAGCAATAGAGGACCAGTCAGTGATATGAGTAGAGAAGATAGTGGAGCCGTCACTATAATGGCCAATACGGCCAAATCGAGTACTTTTTCAGCATATTTTCGGTCATTAATATAGTTGTCATCGCTGTTAATGAAGTCCAGAGCCATAGGTCCGAGTGATGCTTGAACTGTGGCTTTTGATAACCACGTGAAAGATATAAACAATTTCTCTTTGAAATTAAGATTTGCACCAAAAATGATTGCAATTACTGTGACTGATCTGACAAATAGAGCAATTATAAGACATATTAATCCATAAAATGTATTGTTAAAGTTGATGTTAGATATCTTGATTGACGTACCAATCAATGCAAATAATAATGTCCTAAATATAGACCAAATAATATCCATTTGTTTTACGAGAGTTTCATTGATCTGAGAATCTCTCCAATTGATGGCCGCTGTAAATGCAATGACAACACAAGCCAATGGACCCGCACTTGAAATGTCTAATGATTTGGACACAAACTTTGAAGTTATGGCGGACATCAATAATAATACAAATCTTTGAATCTTAGCAATCAGTTGCCATGTATTGGATGGTATGAACCAAAGTATTAAACCAAATAATATTCCCGAAAATAAACCGATAATTATTTCCAGAGGTGTTGTCAACAAAATCAAAACTAATGGCATTTCGCTGTTAAATATGATTCGTAAGGACATCATTACACCAGAAATGGTCACAATATTATCGACACAACTGGAGGCCATCAACATTGAAGAGATACTTTTGCTTTCACCGAAACCTTTGTTTTTAAGCGGCAAAACATTGGACACAATGATCGCCGGAGATGAGGCCGATAAAAGAAATCCTAAAAGTAATGACCACTTGAAGGGTAAATCAAGAAGAAAACATGAAATGATTGATACAATTATGGTTTCGACAATACAGGGAATCAGTGATAATCGTAAGCAAACATCATATAGTTTGAAGATATTGTTTGGACTCAATTCAAGTCCAACTCTTAATAAAATGACGACCAGAGATATATCCCGCAAAATAGTCGCCAATTGTTTGTTTAAATTAAGAGTAAAAATGTTGGCCAATAGACATCCCGTAACCAAAATGCCGACGACGGGTGGCAAACAAAATAGTATCATCAGTTCGGACGCAATGTGACAACAGATGTAAACCACTAACAGATGAAACAGATGGCCATCGGGTGGACAGGCATTCGGCCCTTCAATACTCCAAAGTGTAGCCCAAATGAACGCAACAATTAATGCCTGAGACAACAGTTGTGTTATATTATCACTACTGAAGAACTGATTGACATTTTCTTTGGTAAAGTTCTTCAGAAAACTGTGTGAAACACTTGACATCTCTTTTGACATTTCACTCAAAATACTGTTTAATTCATTTGAATTGTCGCGCAATTTATCACATGTTTGTCACGTGTTTTGTGTCCAATAATAAAGTAAATAAACAGTGATTTAAAACAAAACTTTTGATAAAAGTTTTTAAGACATTCAATGCTTACCATTGTATGAGATCACCGATTGATTCACTAAGAGATCAATCATGAAATTGGTGTCTAAAACAGTGAAAACTCATTTACTTAAAGTCATAATTTCCGACAATTTGTCTGAATTCAAATCATTGTCGCAGTCGTTGTCATCACTTAATAATATCATAAGTGATAAGTCAGGCGACAATAGTCTTCATTTGTGTTCAATATTTAACTCAATTAATATTATGGGTTATCTTTTATGTGATGATTGTGTCCATCAAATAGATGTCAATCTCAAGAATAGAGAAGAAAAAAGTGCACTTCATTTGAGCTCACAATACAAACACCTGAAGTGTGTTGAGATGTTACTGAAGAACAGACAGACAATCGTTGATGTACTCAATAGATCCGATTGGACACCAATGATGTTGGCCTTAACTAAAGTCAATAACTTAGATGTGGTTAAGTTGTTGGTTGCAAACGGTTCTAATGTTAATCTTGAAAACAAAGACGGCTGGACCTGCTTTCATATCGCCGTTAGAAGCGGTGATTTACCACAAATACAATACCTATTATCCTGTGATAGCAGTGTTTGGCGAACCCGAAGCAAAACCAAGAGAACACCACTGCATACGGCTGTTCTCAATGGATACCATTCTTTGGTTGAATTTTTGTTAGACAACTGTAACTTTGATGGCGACGAAAGTGATTCTTGTGGTTTCACACCTTTTATGGAAGCACTCAGATGTGATAATTTAGATATTTGTCGACATTTGCAACAAAAACGAAATATCAATCCTTTCTTAACAGACATTTTAGGTAGAAATGGTCTACACTTGAGTTGTGAATGTAATGCCTTGAATGCAATCAGATATTTAATTACTGAATTGAATTTTGATGTCAATTGTGTTACAATTAATACAAATTTAACTCCACTTCATATGGCTGTCAAAGAGGGACACATTGAGACTATTGAACTCCTCAAAGAGTTTGGCGCTGATCTTCAAATCAAAGACAACAAACAGAGAAAACCTTTGGATTTAGCAATTGATCTTAAAAGAGATAATTGTCTTAAATTATTACAGTTATAAATAATATTTATGTTTTGCTGATAATATAATCAATTATTTATAGTTTTGTTATTGTTTATTAGTAGAACTGATGGACTTTAAGAATTAGATCTTTTATCATATGATACATGGATTGGGTTTAGTTTTCAAACAGTAATAGACAGTAGTTTTGGTTTTCTTACTAAATGTTGATCTTATACTATAATTAGTGAAATTAATAAAATAGTGATTTCTATTGTATTATAAGTCGTTGAATATTAAGTTTAATTTGTTTAAAATTTTCAATCACTTATATTCTTAAAGTGTAAATTATATACAATCTTACTGTACATTAAAACTCGTATACTTTTAAAATAGCAAAACGAGAATTGTTATGACTATCACTCAATCTTAACTTATATATAAATTATATAAATATAATAAAATTTGTTTAACAAATAAAATTATTAAATAACATATTATTGATATATAACATGTCATTTAAAATTCATAACTTATATAATATTAAGTAATTTCGGTTATTTTAGGTTCAGGTCTTAATAATTTGGTTTCGGATCGATTCGGTTCCTAAAAAATCGCTTCATTTGCGGTCTCTATTTTCATACATTACTTTTAAATAGTTATTTATTACTATATTAATGCAGTATTAAAATAAATCAAACATCAATAGAGTAGATTAATTCCAGTATATATTTATTTATCAATTAAAAAATCATGGATTCAATAAAATGTTAAAATTAACTAATTTAGGTCTAGAATTATATTATATGCTTTTAGTTTTATGAATTGTAATATAAATTATAAAAATTATAAATGCCACTTATGTATAATTATTTATTAGTATAAATATATTATAAATATTAATAAAAAGAAGTAAATTTTAAGTTTATAGTCTATTTATTATCACTATTACGGTAATTGTATTAATTTAATACTACTTAAAAATGAATACATTTATACTTAATAATATTACTATTTTTATAGAATACAATATTATATTTAATTAGTCAAATAAATATCAAGATTCTTATATTTGGTTAGTTATTAACGTTTCAATAAAATAGCCATATTTATATTAGTTTTATGATTTTTATTTATTTTAATGAATATTAAATTTTCAAAATGACATTTAATAAAATAATTATACCAAAAAAATACAAGTGAATTACCTTGGTATTGTTATTTGATTATCTGTTTTAATAACGTGAGTGAAGGTTATAAAGTTCTACAAATTAAATGATAATTAGAAACTTAATTATAGAGATATATAATATGAATTGTATATAATATTAGACAATTAATATACTAATACAGAATTTGAATATAATAAACAAATTGTATTAAGTATTTTATTTAAGTATAAAGTGATTAGTTTATAAAAAAAATGTAGATCATACTAAAATAAATATACATTATTATAACACTTAAATATATTGTATTTTAATTAAAATATTACAACAGATTTTAGAGATTATTAACTTTTTAAATATTTGTTTTGATTTTTTCTTTAATTAGTTTGCATATATACAGTATTTCTATGCGCTATAATACTGTACATAAAAATGTTGTATTTATGTTGTCTATTGTATAACAACATAAGTAAACTCCTATAAATACATATCCAGTAGTATATTCTAGAATAACCTTGGTTATAAATATTTTATATATTAACGTGTAGTACACATTGTATAACATAAGAGCTATTAAAAAATACTATAGTAGCGAATGACAACATACAATACAGTATATAATTAACATTATATATGTTAACTCATAAAATCAAATACAAGTTGTATTAAATTTATTATAACAAACCAGTATTAATATAGAGTCCCATTAGACTCTTATACTAGGAATTCACGTCAAACTAGTTTTTATATAACCTTTGGCTACGATTTTGCTCAGTTAGCTTCAGGTAATCACACTGTAGTACAGTATTAGCCATATTATTACTAAACAAACCATACAATTCAGTTTCATCTAAAAATATAGTAATTGCATCAGTATATTGAAAGTGTATGTATTTATAATTGACTTGTAATGTACAACATGTAAATCAATAATTGTGCCCATGTCATTTTATTACTAATATTAATCAATATTATTGTTGTTAAGATATTTGTTTGTCTTCACAAATAGTATAAATAATAATATGCATATTTTTAATTAATTTTTCATTAATAATATCAACTAGTAAAATTTGTTATTTGTTATAAAACTGTACTGTACTATACAATACTGTACTGGGATATATTACTTTTTAGTGAAAGTAATGTACATATGTATATAAAATATGATATACCAAAATATATAAACTATTATTAAGTAAATATTATATTATCATATTTTTAATATTATTTGGCAACACATCCTTGAAATAATTGAAAAGTGATTTTTATTGAATTTAAATTTAATAATAATTTGTTGTTTTCTAAATATCTTGTTTTCATTGAAGATATTCTTTGATAATTAACATTAACGTGTAGTTTAATGACAATTTAATGAACAATAATTTGTTAAAAATTATATATTATTTATACAATTGTTGTATCAATAATTTCACATTAATAATGCACATTTAATTTGACTTTTTGTGTAGTATTTTTTAATTGAAATAATTTAATAATAATTATTAAAATGACAGACAAAGAGTCAACGGGTAAAATATGTGGCGTTTGTGGCGATAAAGCTATAGGTATTAATGAATAATTATTAAATTAATATTATTGATAAAATTGAATTTAAATTGATTTAACAAAATATTCACTAAATGTCAATAACCGTATATAAATTAAGACAATTTTATTTCATTAAACATAAAATTTTTAATAATGGATTAAATTTTCATTTTATAGCCAAAAATTTTGGTGCCGTTTCCTGTGAATCGTGTAAAGCTTTTTTCAGACGCAATGCACACAAACTAAATGTGAGGAAATAAAATTAAATACATTTTAATATAAATATTTAAATAAATAACTAATTTTCGCAAAAATAGGTATATAAATGTTATTTTGATGAGAAATGTAAGTTAGATAGCGTTACCCGAAAATTTTGTCGTCGCTGTCGACTTAAAAAGTGTTTTGACATCGGTATGAAACAGGTATGTCATACTATGACTGACAAAATGTTAGATATATTTATAACATTTTTTAAAATGATTATTAGGAGTGGATATTGAATGATGAAGAAAAGCAAATCCGCCGCAAGAAAATTGAAGACAAACGCAAAAAACGCAAAAATTCAGTACAAAGTTCTTCGTCGGACTCAAAGAATAGTGACTCGAATGCATCAAATTCTCCGCCGGATTTGTTGGCAAATCTTGAGATGAATACTACACTTGATTTGTATGACAATCAGGATATTAGTGACGATGAGATTATTACAAACATTGTAGACATTGAGAGTTATATTTTCAACGGAGAGAAAGTTGAAGACGACGACAACGACGATGACATCTCTCCCGATGTCTACCAAAAGGCAGTGGAATTAGAGTTTGCAGTCCTTCCTATTGCGCGGACAGTCGGGGATAATAGTGGACAGTTCAACGAATTGGAGTACAATAGGCTTACTGAGCTGTTTAGTGCATTAAATATTATGCAAATAAAGATACCAGAAAATGGTGTACCTTTGAGTAATATGGAGGAAATGTGTCAATTAATGGCTGTTAAAGTGGATACAGAAATCCGTAATTTGGTGACAGTATCTAAAGGTTTGAGTGCTTTCAACAATATGTGTGAAAACGATCAAATCTCACTCCTTAAGTATGGATCACTTGAGATATTCTGTATGCGATCAGTACTTACTTATGATTACAGTAACGACTCGTGGACTTTGGTTATGGTTTGTATTATTGTTATTATTTCATTAATTTTTATAATAATTATATACAAAATATATTTTTAATCGATAGGAGGATAATCAGTCAATTATATTAAATTTTCGTACTCTACCTGAAGCCGAAAGTGTATTTATCTCACATAAAAACTATTTGAGAAAATTAGGCAAAGAATGGGATTCGGATCCATATATTCTTGATTTGGTATATTTATCAATATTTAAAAAATATATTTATTATAATTATAATATTTTAACAATTTTATTATTTTTTAGTTAACCGCTATAGTATTGTTTAATCCAGACCGACCTAATCTCATACATAAGGATATGGTTAAGTAAGTAGAGTTTATATATTTAATTAATTTAATGTTTACAATAATTAAATGCTTTTAATTATAATGATTTTAGATTACAACAACAGTTATACATGTATTTACTTCAGCGATACCTCCTATTAAAGACTAAATCAGAGTGTCATTCAAAGGAAAAGTTTTTGCGTCTATTGAATACATTACACGATTTGAGTCAATTTATTAAAGTAAAAAACTCTACCTGTGCTCATAGTGCTAAAAGTGGAAGTACTGGACCACCATTTGGACCATTGCTTCGGGAGATATTAGATATTCAAGAATAGTTTGCTTTTTAATAACACTTTAATAATGAAATCGCAATATATTTATTTACACAAAATTTCATTATAAATTGCAAATTATATTATTATTATTATATTTATATAAATTTTATTTTAGAAACACTTTAAATCATTTCATTATTACCATATAATAACAAAAATATTTTTAAAAATAAATTTACCTCATAATTCAATTATTATATTCATTAATTAATTAAAATATTCACAATTATAATATCATATACTTATATTTTAAAATTATGTAAAATTTATTTGTTCAAATAAACTGTACACCAATATTTAACGATTATCTTATTTACTTTTAGTGTAATTATTTAGGCTTTTAAGTGAGTTATTATTAATATTATTTGTTTTCCAAGAATTATATTTATTTTAATTATGCAATGAGAAAATATAAATGTTATATTGAAAAAATATTTTTAATCGGAGTTATAATAATTATATTTTTAGATAATCATTACCAGTAATACATAATTAATTATTTTTGAACCTTTAATGAATAATTTTTTAGAATCGTAATGATTAATACTTATTTGATAAAATAAAATTAAAACACTAAATTACAAATGATTGCTATAAAAATTAAAACCATCTGTATATTACGGAAATATTTTATATCTACCGGTAATGTAAAGTTTTTAAATTTTATTTATAATATTATACCTGAGATGACAATCATATTAATTATAAAAATACTATATTTTACATTAGATTTTATGACAATTTCCCGCAATTGGTAATCATTTAGATAATTCACATAACGTTTTTTTTGTTGATTTATTATCATGTTATTCATAACTTATAAAATGATATATTAAATATATTTGTAATAGAGATTTATGTATTATAGAAATTGTCAAATACTTGTAATATATTGTATAATGTAAAACAGCAATTTTATTTTTATGTCTAATATACTGTACATTGTACTACTGTATAATACATTTTCTATTTATTATTTATTAGCACAAGTGTTTAAACTTATCAATGACAAAATATTAAAATAAAAATTACTTATAAATTTGTTTTTATGAAAACAATGAGACATTAGATAATAAGATTATTTTTATTATTAAAAATATACCTGTATTTGTGCCCAAAGTATATACAATACAATATACAATAATTACAAATATATAGTATATTTTCGTTAATATTTAAGCTTTCATTTATAGACAAAATGAATGCTAGATATTTAAAAAATAAAATAAATTATTTTTATTGATATTAGTTATAAATTTATTATTCAATAAGATAAGTTTTTTAGTAATTTAAATAATTATTTAGAGAAAAAGTAAAATTGTATAAATGTTAAAGATTTCTATAAAATAAAATAATGATTTGGGATAAACATATCTTATCAATAAATAAAAATACTTAATGATTAAAGCACTCAATACAAAAATTAGTTATATATTATATTTTATTTAGCTCTCAATTAATTTTGTTGACTATATAATGTGTGTTTAATAAGTTAATAATTAAAAATAGAAAAATGTCAACAATTTGTGAAATATTACCAAAATATATATATTGCGAAATATGTGGCGACAAAGTAGTTGGTAATAATTATTTAATTATAAATTTAATGATTATGAAAAATAGATTTTTAATCCAATTGTCCCAATTGTCCCAATTGTCCCAATTGTCCCAATTGTCCTAGGTCGAAATTTTGGTGCCTTTACTTGTGAATCGTGTAAAGTATTTTTCAGGAGAAATGCCTTCAATAAAAAAGTATATCATTTAAAAGACAATTTTAATTATTTATATAAATACTATAGATATTCAATATAAACTAAATATTTATAATCTAATATGTAATGACTTTATATGAAAATTTTGTATTATTAACTAATTTTAATTTAATTTTAGAGTAATTACAATTAATTTCTTAATATATTTTTTTAGAAATATATTTGTCTAACAAGTGGTAAATGCAAAGTAGATATCAAAACGCGAAATGAGTGCAAAAAATGTCGATTAAGGAAATGTTTTGTTGTTGGGATGCAAACTGTAAGACTAATTAATAATTTATTAAATATATTTAATATTAAATTTTTTTAAAAGGATTTAATAAAAAGTAAAGCAATTAAAGAGAAAATTGTTAAAAATAGTTATAAAGTATTGAGAAATGTTGTTAATCGTAGTCCTGAATCCGATAACTCCATTGACACAAATAATTCAATAGAAATAACATCAAGTATTTACCAAAATATTCAACAAATTATTTCTCCAAAATTCTATAGTAATAGTAATAAATATAATTTTTTGGAAACACTTAAACAAATTGAATCGACTATTGATTGCTATAATAAAAGGAAAGTATTTCGAAACAGAGTCCAGAAGGCAATTGAGTTGACTTTTAGTCCCATATTTCCAGAGTTAACTGATTTCAGTCGATTCAATGATTTGGAAACCAATCGTTTGAGTGATTTGTTTAAGGCGTCCAGTATTTTCAAGTGCACTGAATTTATAACCAAAAATGTTAGACTTTTAGACAGTTTGATTGATTTACACTTTGAATTTTCACGTAAATTAAACAGAGGGGTTCACAAGTTAATCATTTTTATTAAAATGTTTAACTCATTTACCAATATTTGCTCAGAGGATCAGTTGGCACTCGTCAAGTATAGTTGTCTTGAAATTATTATATTGAGATATTGTATTTACTTTAACACTGAAACTGAATACTGGACAGGTTATGTGGTTTGTATTCAAATTATTATTATTATCAAAATTTTAAGTTTTTTATTTACTCATTAGTTTTATTAACTATTTTAATGTAGAATTGCGAAAATCCTTCTGTCATATCATTTAGTTTGGATTTAATGCGACCACAAAAGTGCAGTATTTATATGATTTATAAAAGTTTTTACCATAAAATTGCTAATGAATGGGACAGAGATTACATATTATTGGATTTAGTAAGATGTGGTTTTTTATTGTTATACAAAAAATGATAATTTTTTTACTAATAATAATAATTTATTAGTTGACAGCAATTATTTTATTTAACCCGAACCGTCCGTATTTAAATCATCGTGAGGTTGTTCGGTCAGTTAGTTTTGATAATTGTATATTTGATTAATAAATATTAAATATTAATTTAATCCAATATATATATATATATAATAGAGCGGAACAACAAATGTATATTTATTTATTGCAACGATATTTGCTATTGAAATGTGGCTCCAAATATGAGACCGAAATCAAAATGACTAAACTTATGGATTCATTAATTGATTTACAAATACTCAGTGAAATTGAACGCTTAAATGCCAGTGAACTATACGGACAGCACTTGGAGCCCGTACTCAATGAAATACTATTTGATCACACTTTTGATATCACTGAACAACGGTTTTTATATTAATAATTAGTGTTATTATCTAATCATAATATATTTTAACAGTTAATTTTTAAGTCATAAGACTTTATTATTCAATTATTAATTATATTAACTATTATATCTTGCAATTAAGTAATAAATATACTTAACATGTAATACTTGAAATAATTTTACGAAATAATATATTTAATAATTAATTTGTTTATTTTTTTATTCAAAAACTATTTGTATAATTTATATTTTTAATAAATAATTAAATAATTTCAATAAATATTCTTATAAATATTTAATAACATACAGTATTAGTTAATAATTTTCAATTTAAATAAATTTTATTTTATTTTATTAAGTAATATTAAAAAAACAATTAAGTAATTTAAAAGAATATGACATTATTTATTTATAAACTTTTCAATAATACTTTTTAATAATTATAATTTATTGTTATTAATGATAATTTTTATCTATAATATAATTTCTAAACTCATCATAAACTATAAATTCGATAAATATTTAAAGTACATTCAATTTATAAAATTTTATTTATTTTTAAAATGATTTACCCGTAAGCCAATTATCTTTCTTAATACATTAATACATTAATTAATATTAGTTCATATTTTTATAGATTAAATAATATACTTATATAAATTATAAAATCCAAAATTGTTAGCATTCACATTAGATTCAACAATTAGGGAGCAATTTATCATAAAAATAAATAATTAACAATCAACAATTTTATAAATATTTATTCAATAATATTTATAAATCAGTTTTTATACAGTAAATATACAGTATTTTATCAGATAAATTTTTATTACCATTTCAATTATATAATTTTACTATTGTTTATTAGAATATATTTTATCAAATATCAGTGAATAGGAGTATAATTTATAAGTTGAAAATGATTTCATTATTTCACATAATGTCTCCGAAAAGACATCATTTATTATGCAATATTTGTGGAGACAAATCAATTGGTAAGAAATAAATAAAAAAATTAAATAATTTGTTTAAAGTTAATATTTAGGTCGAAGTTTTGGTGCCATTACTTGTGAGTCGTGTAAAGTATTCTTTAGAAGAAATGTCCTTAAATTTAAGGTATTTTTTATTAAAATTATAATTTAGTAATAACTTTTGCGTTTTTTATTTTTTAAAATATTATATTATTATTATTTATTTTAAATTATTTATTAATTAATTAATTTATTTATTATTAAATATTATATTTAAAAAATTTTAAATTTCAACAGGAATTTGAGTGCATTCATGGAGACTATTGTAATATTACTGTCAAATCGCGTAGAAAATGTAAAAAATGCCGATTTTATAAATGCATTCAAATGGGAATGAAAACTGTTTGTTACAAATTTAATTTTACTAATATTTTTTGAAAGATATTTAATTAATATTATAATATATATAAATTAATTTTTTATTTAGCAATTAGTACAATCAAAAAGTTCAGAAAATAATACAATTGATGATTATGAAAGTGTTTTATCAAATGAATCATTAGTTAATTATGATTTTAACCAAAGTTATGACAATAATAAAGTAATTTCAAGACATGAGTTCATGTTTGATCCGGTCTTCAAACAACTGACTGATTATCAGACATTCAATGAATTAGAGTCAATACGTTTAAGTGAATTACAAAATGCTTTGCAAGTCTTTACATATATGTCTCTCTATACACATAATAACATAGAAGTGACAAATATCTATAAATTATATGAATATTTTTGCCGCAAACTTGAAAAAGATACGCAAAATGTCGTATCTTTTGCTAACAATTTAGAGTCATTCAATAAAAACTGTTTTAACGATCGGTTGGCTTTAATTAAGTTTGGATTCCTTGAAATACTGATTCTTCGTTATGCTATACGATATAACACTGAAACAAATGTCTGGACAGGAAATTTGGTTTGTAATGTATTTTTTAAATATATTTTTTTATTTTTTTTAATTTCTAAATCTATAATAATTTATAGTTTCTAAACATATACTTCAGTATATAAATTCAATTGAAAATCATAAAAAACTACAATAAAAAATGAGTACTTATTTATTATAGGATAACGACGACTCATTTGTTCACAGTTTAGAAGTTTTGAAATATGAAGAGCGAAATATGTATAACATTTATAAAGATTATTATCACAAACTAATACCAGAATCACAATGCGATTCTCTGATTATGGATTTGGTTATTATTAATATAATTTATATATTATTTTTTAAATCTGTATTTTTAAAAATGTTTTATGTATTATAGTTATCAGCAATATTGTTATTAAATCCAAAACGTCCATATTTAATTCACCGAGATGTTATTAAGTAAGTGAAACTAAAATTTTCAATGTTTTAAATTAATATATTTATTGAATTATAAATATAGTATGATTATTGATTTCATAAATTTTAAATAATCTAAAAAATATAACGTAAATTATTTTAATAACTGTTAATACGTTACCTGTATATCAATACTTTATACATACTTTTCGTTTAATTGTTTAGATCAGAGCAACAATTATATATATATCTATTGCAACGCTATCTACTAAATAGGTATCCATCGGAAAGTGAATCCCAAATCAAACTCCAGAATTTGATGAATACATTGATAGACATTCAGGTGTTGAATGAGATAGAGAAGAGAAATGGTATCGAAAGATATCTTCAATATTTTGGTCCCATTTCTAAGGAAATGCTATTTAATTAACTAATTAAACCCAATATTATATTTTATTAAACACTATTTTGAACTTATTATTAATTATTATTAATGCTTAATTTAAAATTAATTATTGCTTATTAATTATTAATATTATATTTATTTATAAAATATTAAAAGTATATAAAAAGTATTAAATTAAAGTAATAATTATTATTTAAATTATAATTTTTATTGTAAAAAGACAATAATCCTAAAGTACAGTATTTTAAACGTTATTTATATTGAATTTTATAATATTTATTTAAATTTATTAATAATACTGTAATACATGTGTTTATACAGTAATAGAGTTAAACAGTGAATAAAACCAATGTTTTGATATATTGTATGAAAATATTATTAATTGATTTGATTATTGTTTTTTAAAATATTGTTTATTAACTATCGATTGCAACAAAATGCTAATCAAACAGATATTGTCATCACTTCGACCATTGAATACATGTCTAAACTATAGTCAGATGCGATCAGTAATGATATTGAAGCGAAAAGTACGACCACTTTATGGCCAGCGATTGAAGAACCCATACATAGTGGGGCCCCTCTTCAATGATATACTACATTATAAAGAGCCCCGAGAGGTGACTGACATGATATATGATGAGGTGGAGGACACAGATGACCAATCATTAGGCAAAATGAAAGTGATTCTTATGGATCACATCGAAGAACTGGGAGTTGCCGGCGATGTGGTTGAAGTGGACGCCTCTTACGCCAGGTTTCACTTACTGTCCGCAAGAAAAGCCGTATATTATTGCGATTATAATCTTAACAAATATAAGGATTTGATTGAATCGGGAGCTGAAGGAAGAGTTGGCCCGTCTTCAGCATTCGTGTTAACCACTGTTCGCCAATTGGCCAAAGAGTGTATATTAGTTGAAATGAATGATAAACACGAATGGCTGATCCAGAAGAGACACATTAGGATTGCGTTTAGGAAAACTGGTTATACTGTGCCCGAAGAGGCCATACAATTACCAGAAATACCTATCACTGGTCCGGACATAGAAGGAAAAGAGGGCAAAGATTTTGCGGTTCATATAGTAATCAATAATCAGGAAACAGTTGCCGTCAGATGTATGGTTCATCATTTGGGTCAAGAATTGGCCATCAATTGGATGCGAGCGCCGAGGTTTGTCTTATTGCCTGAACAACAGTCACAACTGTTGGCACAAATGCCTGTCCTTCCGATGCTTGAAGAAGACAAACAATTAGAAGAAGAATACATCTCTTAAATATTTATCACTTTTTGTTTAATAAAATATAAAATTTCATTATCTTTTGACTTTTATTAATATAAATATAGTTTTATTGAAATACAGTAAATTTGTTTTACATTAAAGAGTTATTTTATGATAGTATTGCTAATTATAGCTATAATTATAATTATTTGCTATATTATACATATTTTTATGCCATTTTTATTTTAGTTTACAATTTCTAACAATAATTACTTATATTATTTAAATGACAAAAATATATAATAAATAATACATTAATTTAGAATAAGTTTAGATTCTTGTGTTTTAATCAAATGTTCTGACATTAAATCAAATGCAATCAATTGTTTGTGTATTTCATATTAATTATGGTTTAAATCATATAATGACATCATTTTATTATTTATTATATCATAATTAAATTTAATGCCTTTATAAACAATTTCAACAATTAATTACTACATTAGTAGTAGTAGTAGTAGTAAAATGTAATTTATATTAAGTTAAACTAAAATCATTAAATAGTCAGTTAAACATATATTTTTATGCATTAGTATTGGACGAAAAATCATTTTAAATAATTTATTTGTAAATATATAGGTAATATACAAATAAATAAGTATACATAAAAGTTAATTTTATAATTTCCCATTAAGTTTTGAAAAGTTGATATAATTGTTAGTAATTCTAACCATTATTTTAATCAAATTTGAATTTTAATACATTTCGACAACTGTTAGTATTTAAAAATTTTAAAAATTCACATCATTCATTTTGTTTATTTATAAACACAATTAATTGATATTATTATTACATTTAATAAAATAAATAAATTTTGTTTACATTGTATGTTGTTTTTATAACAATCGTATCAATAATTTATAATTAATGGCAATTACTTGTAATACTTATTTGACAATTAAAATGAATTATTTTATATACAGTACAGTACTGTAGGTTCAATAGGTGGTAGTATAAGGAAATAGATTCCCTGGGAATTCCCAGAGAGTAAGGATAATAGGAATCTTTTGGAAGAAGAATTTAGTCGAACCCTAATTATAGTTATAGTATAGAAATTTTATTTAATAAACTCTGAAAAGAGATTATAAAAACATTTTAATCGTTTAGAATGCAATCGTTTACTCATAACTTATAATTCAAATACAATACACAGTGTATTACACACACACTGTATGCTAATCTGTGCTAAAATACTATCAATTGATTACAATATTTAATATTTTTATTAATAATTAAAGTTTATTTGTATTTTATTTCACATTTACTGTAATACTATTAACAACAATAATGTGTTATTTATTAAACAATATTAATATAGATTTACAGTACTGTATAACAATTGGGTATAATTTATATGAGTTTACGTTATTTATGGTTAATAAGTAAGTATTGATGTAATCATTGATTCAATAAGTGTTTCACAGTTTTAACGTTAAGATTGTAATCGAATTGCGTTTGATTTGAAAGTATTTGATAATTGATTTACTCATTGATTACACAACAAAAACAATGGACACAAATACAGACAAAGATGTGATGACCACCGATGACGACAATAAACAACAAACTAAAACAACAACACAAGTGAAGAAAAAAGTACCCAAAAGTGCCGATTATTGGGACAAATTGGCCAAAGAGTTAGATGAAGAAGAGGACAAAGTGGAAGATCAGGACCCGAATGCACTGTTCCGTCAACTTTACCGCAATTCAGACGATGACACCCGACGGGCAATGATGAAGAGTATGGTTGAAAGTAATGGTACGTCACTGTCGATGAACTGGAAGGAAGTCGGCAACAAAAAAGTGGAACCATATAAATGTGATGAAGACAGTGATGATGACAAAGACAAAGACAGTGATGACAAGTGATTGACCACTAATCTAGTCTTTGCTATCGTTTTGTTTAATATTTTCTCAATACTTATTGAAAATCATTTGTAATTTTTCTACTTTTTTCACAATAAATGTTTAAATCCATAGAATATATACTATTGTTATAAATGAATACTTTTGTAAAACTTTTTTCTAAATTTTAATTTAATTAACAAACTATTGAATAAAGAAATATAAATGAAAAGTATGTAAATTGTGATAATAATTATATTATAATTATTTTAATTGAGTTATAAAGAGATGAATTCGTTGAAAGTATTGTGGATGTGATGAGACATCATTGTGTCGATAGCCGAGTGCCCAAAACGGTGGCACCGATTGTGGACATCGTTTATAAAGAATAACAGCGTCTTTAATGTCAGTCAATTCATCATTAGTTCCATGGATTACAAGTACTTTGCATTTAATTTTATTAGCTTTTAAAAGATTGGGAAACGGATCGATAGTCCAAAACTGTTTGATCCATTTGGGACACAATGTTCGTAAACCAGACATTATGGACGACTCGAGGATTACGCCATAAAACACTAGCCGTGTGGACAAATCAATGGTCGGCACAGTGCCCACGGATGTGCCGTAGAGGACAATATTTTTTGGTGAAATTTTATAAAGATATATAAGCGCAGACAGGGCTGAGTCAATATCTGCGTACAAATTGTTTTCCGATGGCTTACCATCGCTCAGACCATAACCAGAGTAATCATAAGCCATAATATTACAGTTAAGTTGTCGACTGATAAGCCAAACATGACAACAGATAAATCCCAAATCACAAGCATTGCTATGACTGTAAAGTATAGTCTTGTTTGTTGTCGTTGGACTTCTCAAGAATATGCAAGAGATCCGATTACCTCTTCGACTGTCAACCATCAGGACATCAAACCGATACAATTGTTTTAAAAAAATACTTAAGTTTTTATTCAATATTTCTTGTGAATAAACAATTGCTTCTTCATTAAGCTCTAGAACTGACTTATTGTACTTCTTGTCGTAAACAAAGTCATATAATTTGGGTTTTGGCGGATAAAATGCTAAATTGGATACTAATCGAGGAATTACATGAATTGGTGGACAACACGACTGTTTAAATATAGTCATTAAATCTGGTATATCGTTGTAATCCATTCAACTCTTCATTAACTTTTTTTTGTCGTTTAATGTCAAACAATACTTCACGCGATACTAATTCTTCCGAAATACTAATTGAATTTAAAACCAATCGCGAGATTTACTTTTATTTATATATTTTTTTCCTTTAATTCTTTTCGTTGAAAAGCCTTTGAAAGTCTTCTAATTGATTCGTTTACTTTGTTTCAGCAATTTATTGATAAGTCGTTGAAAGTTATGACTACTTATACAACTTCAACAGATTTCAACACAAATACCACTGAAGTAGTGGTGGAAAATGAATCCAAAGATTTTGGACAAGAATTCTTATCGCAATCAGTTGCCGTCAATTCAATTGTCAATAATTTGACGCAATCTTTACCATCAAAGACTGGTTATTGCTGTGTTGAGCAACCAATTGCAACCATTGGACAGCCATTTATCACTTGTGATGGTGTTTTAACAATGGTTTTGAATAAAGACATTCGAGTGGACATCAATGCCAGTCATGCCATTTGTGTGACGACCCCGAACTCCAAAGTTGCGGTCAGTTATTCGGGACAAAACATTGGTGTTATCCATCCATTTGGTCGCGTATATCAAGAACTGATTCCTTTTAATAGTTGTCACATTGAGAGTGGCATACATTTGGCTAAAATAGGGAGCAGAGGAGTGACATTTACATCATTATATCGGTCGCTCATCTATTTGGTAGATACTTCTGGATGCAAGACAACAACCGAACGGTTCCGTAAATTAAACTATGACTTTACAAATGAAATCTTTAATATGAATGGACTCAATGGTGATTATGCCCGACATAAAGCTTTCTCAGACCTACTTCGTGGCGGTTATGAAATGTCAAAGGATGGGTCCGACCAGTTCTGGTTTTTAGCCGGTATTTAATTGTATAGTTGTTTTAAAATATGTATTGATTTTTAGTAATTTGTTATATTTCTTAAGGCCTTCGTATTCGTCAAAATTCAATATCTGGAGACCTAATGCTTACAAAATCTTACGGCAAGACTGTCATCCATATTAGTCCAGAAATGAATTCAATTAAAGTCAGTGCACCGAACCTGCGAATCGCGGCCACACCTAAAAGTGAGGCATACCTTCAAATAATCAAACCTCACTCTCGGGACGAACAACGTGTTAGTGCTGGTTATGACTACTTTCGGGTCAAATACGGCTCACAAAAAGCAGGTTTTGATGGCAGAGACCAATTGGTTCTCATCTGAATTTAATTTAATATTAATTTATTTTTGTTTTATTTTTACATATTTTTTAGTTATATTGAATTTGCATATAATTTATTGTAATATTTAAACTTAGATTTTCTTTCATTTATTTACATTATAGTATTATTTAAAGTTAAGTAAAGTTAAAGTTTTTTACAATTTAACATTACCTGTACAATATTATTTGTTTTATGTTAATACCAGTAAATAATTAATGTTTATTTAATGTTTTTATTTAGTTAATGTTATGGTACTTATTTTTTAGTTTATAAATATCTGATAATTGATACTGTTATTTGAATAACTTGTAATTTTTGAAATTTAAATAAATGAATTTAATATACAATTAAGTAAATCAAGAAAAATTATTATAATAATTGTTTTCAATTGAAAAATTACTTCATTTATATATCATTATAATATATTATATAAATTATTTTTTAATACTGTAATTTTAGTAAATAACTAATTAGCCAATATTCTGCTATATGAAAGTTATAATATAAATTCAAATGTATGGTATAATAAAACAATTTTATTTAATATTTATATATTATAGTAATTAAGAGAAATTTAACAAATAATAATCAAGTGAAGTACATAATCACTAGTTGTGCCATTAAATTGAAATAATTTCGTTTCGAAATAACGTTTTACTTTACACAATGAAAATAACAATATAATAAATATTGTCTTTAATAATACATAAATTTTCATTACTGTTTAATTAATTTACTAAATATTTATAAAAGAAAACTAGAATTTAATTACATTATATAATTTTCTTAGATATTATTAATTACCATAAGTTTTAATTGTTATTTACATTTAATCAATTTGAAATATTTATAGATTGACAATACATAAGTAATAAAAAAAATGTTTTACCGGTAATCTATTTTTAAATTTCAAATAGTTTAATCTAACCTTATAAATAAATTATCTTATTTAATGAGTAAGAGGTAATCCAAAATAATTAATTTTACATTAATTCAATTGAGCATTAATTACGATTATACTAACATAAGATTGAAAGTTTAGTGACATTTATATAATAAATAAGTGAAATATTGATTGAAAGTAATGTTTTTTATGATAAACGACGCAAATGTTTAATATTAATACCGCATAAGCTATTCAAGTCAAACACCTCCCGCGCCAGTGGGCCGTAATGACAGGGGTTATCACTGCACGATATCTCCATTTGTCTCTCTCCGAGATTATAAATGTCATCAATTGTTTTCATAAGTCGACAAAACTTGTAATCGGCGACGTCTTTGGAGTCATATTTCAATTGTAAATAACGATATAATAAATACATATATGTGTATTGTTCAAGTCTATAGTAGTTTAAAATATATTAATATCATTTTAATAATAAATAATTATATACTTAATGATAAATTTAATAAAATAAAATGCAAGTAGTATTACTTGACATATTCCGGATGCATCAAATTTTTACGGTTAGGATTGAAAAATATGATTACTGTCAGCTAATTATTTTTTAAAATTTTTTTTAAATAAAATAATTATTAGTTATTGTAAACATAATTTTAAGAAATAATATTTAGTTTAATTAAATAATTACCAAATCCAACAAAATAATGTCCGATTCACACTCGCAAAAGATTTTATTGAAATACATTTTATAAATATTATAAATATCTCGACGAATAAGTTTCAATTTATCCATCGCTACGATCACTGATTGCTCTCTATTCTAAACATTTGTTAAAAAATTTTAAACAATAATATTTATTTAAATAATATTATTATTAGTATTTTATAATTAAAACAATATTAAACATATAATTACCAAAACTATATTCCAAGTTTCTTCTGAATGTTTATAACAATCAATAATTCTTAAACAGATTATATCAACGCATCCATACTTTACGAGAGCTATCCTATCGTTGACACAGATATCGTGAAATGAACTTAAATTCATTGAAAAGTCGATAACATTTTGGATGTATTGTTCCCAGAATTGATCAATAATTGAATTCAATTGTTTATTAGTTGTTATTAGAGTCGATATTCTGGGACATGGCTTAGCAAACAGATTAGATATATAGCACAGTTCGTATAGTCGGTTCCCCTCATGAATTGTCAATACATTACTTGGAGATCTATCAATTGCTTTCATAGGAAGTGCACCACAATTATAATATTGTCGTAATTTTTCGATATTATTTTTATCGATTACATTAAACTTTTCATTTGAGATATTCATTTGTTCCAACATTTTGATTGCAATATTGTTTTGAATATTTTGAATCTTTACTGAATCGTGATATTCATCATACATATCACTACTGGACTCATCACTAGTTTTAATGCTGTTAGTGTCGACATCAGATGGTGATGCCATGTCATTGAATCCATCCATTATATGATACGAGTCATTACTGGAGCACTCATTAGTTAAGTGATTGATTTCATTTGACTTGATTTCAATATTTGATTTTCTATTATCATTAATATTGTATTTAATATTAGTTTTATCATCTTTACTATAATTTCCTTTCAATTGATAAATTTGTTTCTTTTTTCTGTTTTCTTCAACCAATTTATTTCTGTGTTTTCTTTGATCTTCATTTAGGATATTATTCTAATAATAAAACTCTTTATTAACTTAAATTATAATTTCAAATATACAAAATCATACTTTTTTCATACCAACCGCCAGACATTTAATTAAACGACATTTTCTACACGATTTTCTTGTCTTCAAATTGATCTCACAGTTGCCATTAGTTTTGCATTTGAAAACCTAATCAATAGATTTTAATTGATTATATATATATAATAAAGAAATAAATATAATTTATATATGTATTCAATATATATATAAATTAGTGAAAAATTAATGACTTTATTTTTGATGGCATTTCGTCTGAAGAATGGTTTGCATGATTTACAGGCCAGGGCTCCAAAATGTTTGCCTAAATTAGTATTTATGTCATTATTTATTAGATTATTATTCAAAAGAAAAATATATTAATATATAGTATTTTATTTTTTAAAAAATCAATAATCTATAAAAAATATTGTACTGTATTATATTAATTTAATATAATACAGTACATAGTGTTAAAATTTGTTGTTAAAATCGATTTATAAAAAAAATAATATTTGAATAAAATATATCTACTAATATCATATAATAATGTATGAAATTTTGTTAATATAAGTTATATGATACAACTTTTGACTTACCAATAGCCCGGTCGCCACATACAGCGCACAGTTTGCTTTCATTTTCGCCACCCATGCCTACTACCTATCCTCACAAAATTAATTGTTCATTGCATTTACACTATAGTTGTTTCTAGTGTATTATTAAACTGGATAATTTGAAAATTAATAATAATTAACATTTTATAATAATGCTAAAATTATATACTTTGTAACACTTTTAACCATTTTCTATTGGATAACCAATGAAAAATAATTTAAACAAATAATACAATGATAGACAATTAAAAATTTATATATTTATACTGTATTTAAAATTGTACAATATTTATAAAGAAGTAAACATGAATTTACTATCATATATAAAAATTTTATAATAAATTGCTTATTTAGTTGTGCATTCAATGATCAGTTTGTTATCAATGATAAAATAATGAGTCGTCAATATGTTTGCAATACATATACCGTACAGCATATGATAGTACAGTAATAATATGTATGTATGTGTGGTATTAGTGTTGACTTGTTTTTTTGAAGGACTTTTGTCTAATTACTTATAAAGTCAAACTCAGTATTGTGTTGTACATCACCTATACATTCACTACACATACCATTTAAATATACATTCAATTTAATTATAAATACAGCAATATTTTTAATAAACACTGTTACCTATGGATGTCATGGATGATTGGATCGATAATTTATAAATTTTTTTTAATAAAGTTTTATTACTGTTATTAGCATACATTTTATTTTATATATAGTGTATTTAGTATATACTATTTAGCGATCAAATCGCGCAATTGTCGCTATAAAAACTATTAAATCTCAATTAACTTATTAATGATTAAAATAACTAAACTAAAACTTCATTCATTTCAATTCATGTTAAATACTCTATTTTAAAACCTATTTATTTGCACAATTATTTTTTTATTACAAATAATTGGATGCATATATTATTTAATAAAAATATTTAAAATAGACAAAGTTTTAATTATATAACACTATTTATTGAAAATTAATTTTTGGTGTATTTTCGATATCGAAAATTTCCTTAACAAATGATCCGTAATAATTTGGATTAACATTAACGTTGTATTGAAGTTGTTTTTGTCCCAATTTATTAATGTCTCTCAGTGTCAATAAAAGTCGGCAAAACTTATCGTTGGCTTCACATTCAGATCCATATTTTATTTGAAGATAACGTTTAAGCAAATATAGGTATATGTTTTGCTGATATCTAAATTTATATATAAATTATTAAATAAAGGGATGACATATCATATTCATATTAGCCATTAGAGAGAGAGATTCAGTGTAAGGGTTTGATTGTAACGTTTAGCACTAAATATTATAGCATATACTGTATTTCAATCACATGTTTGGTGTGTATTGCTATAATATTTAGTGCTAAACGTAACAATCAAACACTTACAATGAATCTCTCTCTCTCTCTCTCTCTCTCTCTCTCTCTCTTGACTTTTGAATATATTATAATTTACTAACTTTATAACATCTCTATGTATTAATTGTTGTCGTTTTGGATTAAATAATGTTATTGCAGTCAACTATAAAAATAAAGTATTGTATTTAATGGAGTGAAAATAAAATAAAACATTAATAATTGTTATTATTATTAAAATAATAATTACCAAATCAAGAATAATGCGATCGGAATCCCATTCAATGCATACATTTTTATAATATATTTTGTATACAGTGTACAGAAATGTTTGCATATATTTAAGTTTTTCAAATTTAATCTTAAATGCTATTTGAGAGTTCTGTAACAAATCGGTATAAAAATTATTCAATTAAAATAATCAAAATAAATAATATAAATAAAAATAATAGCATATAGTATACCACATGGACACTCCAGTATTGATAGATTTGATTGAAAATACTAACTGATCGCAAACATATAATATCGACACATCCATACTTAATGAGTGCAATCCTATCGTTAGGACACATATCTTCAAATGAGCCTAAATTTTTGGTCATTGTTATCAAATCACGTATATTTTTGTCCCACAATTGTGCACTAAATATATCCATTTCATCAATGCTTTCAATCCGATGAGTATATCTTTTTGCCGGATATTTGTCTATAAATTTTGTTGCATTTATTAACTCCGATAATCGAGAGGACTCTAAGTCTGCAAAAATTGTATTCAATGGTCTGACTATTGATATTATAACAGATTGTTGATTACAAATAATGTCATTATTTATTTTATCTAATTTAAATAATTCTTGTTTATTATTTTGATTATTATATATATCTAACAAATTTGAATTATCTATTATATTTTGATCAACATTTTCATTAATGAATAAACTATTGCATTCATTATTACTATTTTTATAATCAAACGCTTTATCAAAATCGATAAATTTTTCAGTATTTGCTTTGAGATCAGCAAAAATCACATTATTATTATTATTGCAATAATTTATAAAATTATTATATTTTTCTTTCTTTTTATTTTCAATTAACAATTTTCTGACTATTTTTTTCTCTTCTGTCAAAATTGATTCCTAGTTTATGAAATTTTTTAATAATTTTAAATTAAAACTATTATTATTAATATACAAAATATTCTGATTTTGCAAACCTTTTTCATACCGACAGCAAAACATTTATTTAATCGACAATTTCGACATCTTTTACGAGTCTCTCGACTTATTTCACATTTATTATTATTTTTGCACTGAAACTCCTTTGAGTTAATTAAAAATAATAGATTTTTAAATATATATTTTTGTCTTTATATATCAGGGTTGCGATCTCGGGGTAGGGGTAAGGCCTGCTTACCTCCCCCAGAGACCAAGAATTTTGAGATTTTACCCTCACACTTTTTCGGAAATTTGAAAAATTGTCAGGTAGAACTATAAGAAACTGATACCTCAATTTTTTTATTAAAATTTATTAATATAATAATAATTAATATTTAACTTACTATTTTTATTTATTTAAGTTAAATTTAAATTAATTTATAAATTTAAGAAAATAATGGAATTTATTGGGAATATATTCCCATTTTACTGGGAATATCCTCCCATTTACATGTGAATTTTCTCATAACCATGTTGATTTTCAAATTTTGAAAAAATTATAGTTTAAAAATGCAATAAAACTCGACACCTAACCCATTACCCTCCCCTCTAGTCCAAAAAAAATCTTGAGCAACCCTGATATATACTGTATATGTGTGTATTATATCACATAATTTAATAAATATTACATAATTTTTGAGTCCATTCCTGCGGAAGAATGGTTTGCATGACTTACAGACCATCGCACCGAAGTGTCGACCTTTTGATAGTTAAATACATATTCTATAGTAATATCAGTTATTTTTTAATTATTTATTAAATAACTAACCGATCGCTTGATCGCCACAAACAGCGCACGACTTCATAGTAGTTATTGAATACTTAATAAAATATTAAAAACTTATAACACATGAAATAATTATAAATATGTTATATATATTGTATTTAATTATTACATTTGTTTTTTGTTAAAATTTTTATTTAAAACGTTATATTTATGTTAGAAATAAAATATACATTAAGCACATGTGATGATTAAGTCAATGATAAAGACATTAAATATGAAAATTATTATAATATTGTTGTGTATCAAAGGTTATATTGTTCCTACCATTTGTTGGCCGCACACTCACTGTCGAGGAAGTCATTGGTTCTCAACTAAACATAGCATTACATTTGTGACAACAGGAAAGGATTCATATCCTCGAGTCATAACAATATATATATATGTATTAAAGTATTGCCTAAATATGTATTTTGAGAATCAAATTATGTAAAATCTTTGTGGTTTTTATTAAATACTAAGAAACTATCATAAATTTTTGACTATTTAATCTGTATTTATGAGTATAAAAACTAATGGTTTATTTTATATACAGTATAAGATAAGATTATTTAATATTATGTAATACAATGTTTCAATTTGATTAAAAATTATTTATTTTTAGATATTTTTATATTTTAGAAAAATTTAGATTTTAAAGTTTGATTAACTTCTGAAATTTTTAAAAAGCAATATTTAAATACAATTTTAATATAAAAAAGAAGTTAAAGTAACAACAATTTTTTGACTAATTATTCAGATTAAGTTATAGCATTAAAATCAGGGTTAAGCAAGGGGTGTGGGTGGGGTGGGTGGGGGTGTTAACCAAAAACAATATCGAATTTCAATCCCTCGGATATTTGATTTTTTATTAAATTTTTTAGATTAAAATATGAAAATATGGTACTTTGACTCACTTTAATTATAACTAATAAATATTACTGTATTGATAATTATTGATAAAAATTTGTTATCTAATTTATTTCTATAAATTTCAAAAAATTATATGATATAATGTATAAGTTATATACTTTAGTTATACTTTATAGTAAATATTCAAATTATTATTATTTATTTTAGTTATTTAAGATTATCTTTGAATAATTGATTTAAAATATGATAAATATTTGAGATTTAAATGAAAACAATAATTAATTTGCATTTAAATCTAATTTTGTTAATAATTTTGTTAAATAATATAATAAATGTCGTAATTTGTGAACAAATAGTGTTATAGTGTTATAGTGTTTGCATTATTGACGCAATCATTGACTGAATCAGTGTTTGTGTTGATCTCAAGTCATGTCAATCATCGCCGAAACGGACGACTCATTGAGTGTAGTGTTAAGTGAAGAGCACTTATTGTCCACATTTGAGCCATTCTTGAGATCGTTGGACACATCGGTTGAGTCGGTGATCGCCGCACAACAATCACTGGCCGACCAATTGATTCAATTACAACAACTCATACAACATATTGAACGCAATCCAGATGTGAGTCAAGTCATTGAAGACAAGACAACTCGTATCAAGACTTTGAAGCGAAGACTAACTCTTATCCATAGCATTGTCCAGAATTCACAGCAACGCATCCGAAGACTTATCAAACAATTACCTAATAATTAAAACATTCCGTTATCTTAACAATTGATCCATTTGTGGTGATAATGAGTGCCACTAAACGCAAATCAGACTCAAATGTGATGATTGAAACTGACGAAGACGTGTATTATTTGATCGCTAAAGAGTGTATGGATTCACTTATCGATTCAATTGAAGGCCAATTCAATAACAATACCATTACTGATGTTAATTGTGAAACCACTTCAATCGATGCTAACAATGATGAAGAACTTTGTAGCGAAATTTGGGACGACTTAGACTTTGATACCAATTGTCTTAATAATTATCAAATGATATCAAACCACTCATTGCCATCTAATGTTAATAAGATGTGTTGCACTTCATTTGATGCCAATTATCAATTTAAACAACAATATGAGTTACTCTCAGACCAATTGACGACCAAAGCAACAGCTAAGCCGCCTATAGACGCGACACGAGTGGCCACTCAATTGCTATTGGATTTGGACGCTATTAAGTATGGTTTTTACATTTCATATTATTTAATGACAATAACATAATAATAATAAAAACTTATTTTTTATAAATTTGTAAATCTTTTACTATATAAAAGTGATGCCATTATTGGATTAAAACACCGATTGAGTGGACCCGTTGTCAATAAATTCAAACATTAAGTTTTGTTTTTCATTTGTTTTTTGTTAAATTGTTTATTCAAGTTATTTATTCATTTGTAAAGTAATTTTATTATTAAATACAATTTAAATTCAAATACTACTACTGTTTTGATAATTTATAATAATTCTGTATTAAAATAAAATAAAATTACAACTAATTATTATTATAAATGATGTTATTTAATTATGCCAAATAAATTAATCATATATTTCGTTTACTAAATTGAATTGAGTATATATGTAATATTAGCTTAAATTGCATAAACAGTAAACTTGTAAATCTATCTTAAAAGTTTTTTATATATAAAATTAAAAAAAAATTGATTTCCTTTTATTTATAGTAACATCTGTTTAATTGTAAATATAAACTATAGTTTCATTGATTGATCAAGGTAATGTACAATAATAATAATAATTATACATATACATAATGCTAGACAATTGATATATATTGCACTTAATTTTAAATATTTTTATAATCTAATATTTGTTTAAAAACATATTTAACCATGTTCACTAATCATCTTAACAGTTAATCGCCCATAATATATATTTTGTATATATATTGAATTTTAAAGAATTTTAATATAAAATTATTTTAAATATATAAGTAATCAATAAAACAATATATTTTTATAATAATTAATAATAGTTTATGAGCACTTAATAATTTTGTTGTATGTGAAAATATGCTTAAAAATGAATAGTTAATAAAATATATTTTATTTGAATATTAAATTAGATCAAAAAGATATTTTTATTTTCATTATTTTATTTGTGTTACAGATATAACTTATGGATAATAAAAAATGAGTGAAAAAATATGTTGTGTTTGTGGTGATCGAGCAGTTGGTGAGTAATAATTGACTGAATATAATATTTTTAATTAATTATCACAAAATATTTATAAGAATATATAAAATATAAAGTTAATTACATTACTTAACATTTATTATTTATTTATAAATATAATTATTGTTAAATTTAGGGTTTAATTTTAGTGCACTTACTTGTGAGTCCTGTCGATCTTTCTTTAGACGCAATGCTCACAGAGTTCAGGTACTGTATGTTGTTATATAAATATAATATATTTATTTAAATATATATATAGTATTTTAGTATTTAAGTTAAGTATATATATATCAGGGTTAAACAGGATTTTGGATCTTAGGGGGGATACAGGGTGGGTAAAATGAAAAATCTTTGAGGTATAGGGTGGGCTGTACATTTTTATTGCATTTTAAACGACAATTTTATCAAAATTTCAAAATCCAGTGTTTCAAGAAAAAATTGCCAAAATTATCGAAAATACCCATGTAAATTTTAATAGGAGGAAATTCCGAGTAAAATATGAAAATATTTCCAAATAATTCCTTAAATTTTCAAAATATTTTATTGAATCAATAAAACCTTAATTTTAATTAAATTTATAAAAATAAAAAATAATCATGTTAAAATAATTAATAATAATTAATTAATAATAAAATTTATATAAATTATATTTCAAGCAATTTCGTTGTTATTTCGGTAATAAATGCGATGTTAATTGTGTTTCGCGAAAATTTTGTAAAAAATGCAGAATTGATAAATGTTTTGCAGTTGGGATGAGAAAAGTCTGTATTTTTATTTAATTAATAAACCCAACTATCAGTATATATATATATTCGTTAAATTATATATTAGGAATCAATATCAGTGGGAAATAAACGTAAAAAAATTGAAGAGAGTATCGACTCGACAACCAATGATCTATCAAATGATAAAATTATTGATGTATTTAATGTTAAAACATCTACCAATTCATTACCGAACTGTACTGACCAAAGGTCAGTTGGTATACCGAGTCTAATACGAAATCTGATATTTGAGTTGAATGAGTTAGAATTTAACAGATTTAAACAATTGTTTGGTTCAACAAATATATTGAGAGAACCGGTAGTTACAGCTAATTCAGAGATTACAACATTGATGACCGCATTGGATGTATTGAAAACGAGATGTGACTTAAAGTGTCGGCGTATTGTTAAAATGTCCGCAAATATCAGTGAATTTACAGAATTGTGTGTAAACGACAAAATAGCACTTTTAAAGCCCGCCTGTCCTGAGATTATATGCTTAATATCAGTTATTAACTATAACTTTGAGGGTCAGTACTGGAACTGCTATCTTGTAAGTAATGTTTATTATAATTTACAAATATATCAGATGACCAATTTGTTAATAATAATAATAAAACTTATTTTTTCCTAATAACTAGGATGACCACAATGCAATTATTTTGCCAATTAGTATATTTAAGTTAGTTAAGGGAAACCTGTATGATGCGCACCGGGCTTTTCTGAAATCTCTGTGTGAGGCCTACCAATTGGATGTCAATATTCTTGATTTGGTATATGTTTTATATCTTTATTGTAAACTATTATTTCTATCTATTGTTTTAATATATATATATATATATATACTCATTATATTAGTTAACAGCTATAATACTCTTCAATCCAAACCAACCAAATTTGAAACATAGAGATATTGTTAGGTATAAAATGAGTTTGAATTAAATAAAATAATTATATTTTCAATAAAAAAATAATTTCTGTATTTAATAGATTTCAAGAGAAAACATACATTTATTTACTTTTACGTTACTTAGAAATCAAACACAACTCCAAATCAATAGCCGAAAGTCGATTCTTGAAACTAATGAATATTATACAGGAGTTGTATGCAGTAAACCGTATTCACGTCAATAAGTTTGTTGAGGCAGAACCTAAAGATGCCGGTCCTCTCATTGAAGAAATATATGATCTTAAACCTGGCTATAATTTGGACAATCATTTATCACTATTAAACAATAATGTTGACTAAATGGCAATAATTTTATTAATTATATATATTTGTGAATTTTATGTTATAAACTATACTGTATATGTTTGTTCTAATATTGTACAATAATAATACTTTATATAGAGAATGTTGAAATTATGTATAATTTTTATAAAAAATGAAAAATTGGCGCTTTTATTGACAAAAATTTCGAGGGGGTTTATTTTTTTATTTGTGGCCCACTTTATTTTCAATTTTCGAAAAATATCTGGAAGTAAAATAGAAAAATATTAGTCCCAAGAGGGGGTAAAATGTTATTATATTGTACTCTTTATCCCATTGCTTAGCCCTTTTTAATTTAAAGTACCGGTAATATTATTTTTATAATAAATAAGGAGTAGAATATTAATAAAATTAAATTTTAAATAAAATTATTACCGATAAAGTTTTTATAAATTTTCTTTTGAATTTTCTTATTAATAACTGTCATTACAAACAATTATCTTTTTAAATATTTTATGAAAAGATGCTTATCAAGGCTGTAAAATAATTATACTGTATTATTATTATTAACTCAAATAAACATTGTGTTAGATTTAAAAAAAAATCATTTGATGTTTTGTTATAAAATATATTATATTTGTATATTTTATTTAATATATTGATAGATACTATATATTAAATAAACTGTTATAAAAATAGGTTTTTTCTATATATATGAACTGTATTTACTCTTAAAAAAAGTTATTTTATTGTAAATTTATTAATGTGATATAAATTAATTTGATAATTTTGTTATTGTAATCAGAAATTATCAATACATCTGTTATTGAAATTAATGATAAAATTTAAACATTTGGATTTATGGTGCAACGCATTAGTGAATAAGTTATAATAAAATTATTTTATTAAACAATATTGAAAATGAATGATAAAAAATGTTGTGTTTGTGGTGATCGAGCCGTCGGTAATACTGTTGTTATATTAGTTTAGTTTATTATTTTAAGGAAATATAAAATAATTATTTTATAATATTTTAGGAAATAATTTTAATGCACTCACGTGTGAATCGTGTCGTTCATTCTTCAGAAGAAATGCATTTAGAGTTGAGGTATAAAATCATTGAATCATTTAAATCATTTGATATTAATTTTTATAAACATAAGGAGTTTCACTGTTTTTTCGACAATAACTGTTCAATCAATTGGTTGACCCGAAAATTCTGCAAAACATGTCGTTTAAAAAAATGCTTTGCTGTCGGTATGAAAAAGGTATAACATTTATATTATTAATAAAGTATATGATTATATGATTATCATAATTATTATTTATATATTTATTAAAAATAACAATAAAAATCTTAATTTTTTTAAGGAATTGATTTTTGTTGAAAAGAAAAGTAAAAAAAGAAAGCGTTTAAATAAAAGTCAATTAAGTGTCGATTTGGACAACAATTGTCAGAATATTGTTGACACAACTGTATCTAATGAACGCCAGAAAGTATCAGATATACCGACACTTATTAGAGAACTTATATTTAGTTTCAATGAATTAGAAATGAATCGTTTCAGAGAGTTATTTAGTTCTGCGGTTATGTTAAGGGATCCGGTATTGAAAACAATATCCGAGACCAACACATATATGGATTCGTTTACAGTCCTACAGAAAAGGGCTGCTCTTAAGTGTAACCGAATTATCAAAATGTCTACAAATATATCGGAGTTTACAAACCTGTGTGAAGAAGACAAGATTGCTTTGTTGAAGACGGGCTGTCCTGAAGTCATATGTTTGCTAACTGTTGTTAATTTTGACTTCAATGACAATTATTGGACGGTTCCAGTGGTTAATATAAACTAACATATAATACATAATTATAATAATCAAAATAATTCAATTATCTAAAAAATATTTTAATTAGGACGACTACAGTTCAACAAGGATACCATTAAGTGTACTAAAGTATGGAAAGGGAGGACTATATGAGGAACACCTAAAATTCATGAACTCAGTAAAAGAAGAATATAATTGTGATCTTAATTTAATTGATTTGGTATTTTGATTAAATAAGTATTTATAAATTAGTTTTTGTAATAATTTTATATTTGAACAGATGATTGCAATATTATTGTTTAATCCAAATGTAGAAAATTTGAAACACAAAAATTTAGTTAAGTTAGTACTAAATTAAATTATTTCATTTTAATGTTAAATAATATTTTATAATTTATAGACTCCAACAGCAAACTTATATGTTTTTACTTCAGCGATATTTAGAGCTAAAACACAACTCCAAGTGTGAGTCTGAAACCCGATTCGTGAGACTTATGAATAATATACAGCACTTGTATGCCGTAAATCGTATTCATTTGGCGAACTATAGCGGAGCTGAGCCTAAAATTAAAGGAGGAATAGTAGAAGAAATTTACGATTAAAAGTTTAAAATTAATGAATTAAATTACAGTATTTTATAACTAATACTGAAATTTTAAACATTTTAAACATATTTATGAAAAATATAATGTTTTTGTTAATATTAAATATTATTTTAAAAATTATATACAGTATATGTACTACTATTATATATATAACAGTAAATAGAATTTTGTTATAAGTTTTGCTTTAATATACAGTATTTTGGAAACTTTTAAAATTTTAGATATTTTGTTAATTATTGATATATTATTATACATAGGAATCTCCAATTCTATCTGTAGGTATTTGAGGGTTAGTATCTCAAAAATGGTATTACTAAATGTCATCAAATTAAACTAAAATATAGGCTCATAAAAAATTATTAAATTATTATTAATATTATAGTTTTAAAATTATATAAAAATATGTAAAAACTTAGAATATAAAAACAATTGTGTCCATCAGTTTAACAGTTAAGTGGACTCAATTGGTCAGCTATTGATCCAACTTGTGTTTAACTCATAGACACATAAGTTAGTGATTGTAATGCATTGTATTTAATGTAAAATATAATTTATTGTAACTTTTTTTTACATATTTTTTATAATTTCAAAACTATTAATCATAATTTTATGAAAATTTTATAGTAAATTTTTGGGGAGTTTACACTATATAATAAATAAATTTGATGACGTAAGAAGTAATAAAATTTTTGATATATTAACCTTCAAACACTACTTATAGTATTGAAAATTATTGTATATAACATATTGTTATTATAAGTATTTATTCTAAAAAAGCGCCAAGCAAGTTAATTATATTATTGGTTGTATTATACAATTAAATAAATACAAGTAAATTTAATTGATTAATTTGAAGGACAAATATAATAATAAAATAATAAATTTTGATAATCAAATGTATACTAATAAATTATTATTTGTTTGGCTTTAAAATAACAAATTAAAAAGTCCAATTTAGTAAATCAATCATTAAAGTAAATCAATTTAAAAATAAATTATACTGTTTTTGTACAAATATAATAAATAAAAGTATTTTTCAATAGAGGAACTACTTCTCATTATTTCAATTTAAATGAATTATGAAAACATTACTAAATTTTGTGAAATTTGTGGCGATTACTCATTTGGTATGTTATAAATAAAATTATTATTAAAATATTATTATTAATTTTTACTTATTATTATAATTAAAAATAGGTCGAAATTTTACAGTATTTACATGTGACTCGTGTAAAGCATTTTTTAGACGATATGCTGATTGCACCAAGGTAATTTTAATAAAATTAGAACATTATTTATTTATTAAAACAGTATTTAAATATTTTCTAATTTATAGTTTAATGATAAATCATTGTCTTGTCTTTCTGATGGCAAATGTGTAATAACTAAATTAACACGAAATACATGTAAAAAGTGTAGATTAACTAAATGTTTTAATATTGGTATGAAAAAGGTGTGAAAATTATACATTAGATTTTAATATATTGCTATTAAAGTTGTTTATTAATATTAATTTTGTTTTTAAAAATAGGAGCTAATTAAAAGTGATGGAGAAAATCAATGTAGACGTAAATTAATCAAAGAAAATAAACGCAAAGAAAAGTTATTAATAGAAAGTGTTTTTAATGAAAATGTTTGGAAAATAAATGAATCAATAAATCATAAAACCCAAACCAATTTAGTTAACAATATAAGCAAAAATAATGTTTTAGATGAGATACTCGATAAAGCTATTAAAAATGATAATCAATTTATTGCCGAAATTATTAATATTGATAAAATTTTCAAAAATGATGCAAACAAATCCTATTTAAATTTGAAAAACATTTGTAAATTTATTTCTAATAACGTAATTCCTATAAATAGAAATATTTGTGATTATGAAATACTTAAACAATTAGAAATCAATAGGATATCGGAGTTGTTTAAAGCATCGCATGTTTTTAATCATAATTATGGCACAAATGTTATTAAAACAAATGATAAACGAGAACTAATTTATTGGACATCTCGAAGAAGTGAAGAAGAATTTAAAGAAATTATTAATTTCATGAAACAAATCGACAATTTCTGCTATTTGTGTGATAACGATAAGTTAACATTAATAGCTGATGGCTGTATTGAAATTAATCTGATCCGGTATTGGTGTTGCTATTATGATGCCATTTATGATAACTTTAAATTATTTATCGTATGTATAATAAGTAATCTGTAATTTTGTCGATTACATCAAAAATGTGTTTGAAATTATAGGATAACGAAAATACATTGATAATTGATTTCAAAATTATGGATTATAAAAAAATTAATTACAATCAAATGGTTAGAGAATATTTGAAAACGTTTTTGCCAGCAATAGACAATGACACTGTTATTTTATATATAGTATGGCTTATTTTACTGGATTTTTATTGTTTTTAATAATTATAAGTGTTTTTATATGACTTAACTGTTTTAATCTTTAGCTTAAAGCTATATTGATATTTGAACCAAATCGACAAAATCTTAAACATAAAGATAATGTTAGGTATAATTTAATAATTTAGTTTATTTTCTGATAGAACCATGAATTTTAATTTTTATTAATATTTTAATTAATTGATAGACTCGAACAACAACTATATATCTATTTATTACAACGATATCTACTATTGAAATATCGGTCACAATATGAATGCGAGACAAGACTTCAGATACTAATGAATGGTTTGACTGAACTGCGAGTGTTGTCTCAGTTGCAGAAAACCTATGGAATGGAAGAATATAAAGATTTTTACCATTCGGTCGGTCCTCTCGTTAAAGAAATATATGGTAATAGTTATGCAATTAAATAATGTAATGTTTCATATCATTTCATATTTAAAAATTTAATCAATATTTAACTTCAATAACATCCATTATACAGATTTAATAAAGTTTTTATATTTAAATATTATTATTATGTATTATAATTAGTTTAATAAATTAACTACAGTATTATTTAATTTCTTTAAAATATAAATTATTATTTTTTAATAGTTATATTATATAGTATCTCCTAAATTATAACTATTAAATTTGCAATTAAAATAAAACTAGACATCAATACTGTATATTTCGTGAAGTATTTCTCCACAATCGGTCACTTCTTGATATGTGTGTTCATTGACGCACTGAATATGACTTAAATATAAATGATGTAAAGGTTTAAATGTATTGATTAGTCGCATGAATTTAGCGCCCGATTCGGTATCAGATCGATACCGAAGCAATAAATAGCGTCGAAGTAAATACAAGTAAATATAGTGATGAAACCTAACCATTGAATCAAATTTATATAATTTATAATCTTTTTAAAGTATAATAAATTAATTTATACTTAATTATTTTGCGATGTCGTAACATTGGACGCTTTGGATTAAATAACAAAATTGCTGTCAACTATGTATAGAAAGAGAAAAAAATTATTAATTTTATGAAATAATTTTGAAATATTAATAATTACTAAATCAAGTATAACTTTATCGGAATCCCATTCTATAATAAACTTTTGATAGAAACTAACGGCCGCTTTATATAAATATAATTTTTCCTTTTGAATAGCTTTGAAGTTTACAATAACTGATTGATTTGGATTTTCCTATGTTATAAATAAAGATATTAATATTAGAGTATAAATTATTAATTAATTAAAAAATACAATCATATATAACATACTGCCGGTACAATCATTTGTTGATTTTCATTATTATAGCCAAATATAGCTCTCAGACAAGCGATTTCAATACAACCATACTTTATGAGCACAATCTGGTCGTCCAAATCGATTGTATTGAATAATGACAAACACTTAGACATTGGAATCAATTTATTTAATATTTGTTGCAAAAATAGGCCAAAAGCACAGATACTCTCATTATAGGATTGTGTCTCATATATGACGGATCCATAATTATCATTAAGTGGTTTAATGGCACTTATTAGCTCAGTTAGTCTATTGCCTTCCATTTCATTAAAATTATTATTATAATCAGTGATGGGTCTATCAATATAATTGACCATGTTACATTTTCCATAATACTTTCCAAATAATTTACACAATTGGTGTTCACAAATGTCATTTATATCATTATAGAAACATATCTCTAAATCTCTAATTTGTTTCTCAATATCATTACTGTTGATTGTATTGTTACACAAAATATTATCCATGAGTTGATCCATTGTTGGCTCATTCATAGCATTTAATTGTATCGATTCATTTGAATTACTAATTGATTGTTGATTATTATCATAAAAATGTATACATTGTTTGTTTTTTKCAATTTTCATTCGCCGTATTTCAAGTTGCTTATCATTTAATATCAATTCCTATCAATTTATTTAATTGTGAGTTATTTTTATAGATTTAATGTTAATTAAATGAATAATTAATTGACTAAACAGACCCTTTTCATACCAACGACATAACATTTTTCAAGTCTGCACTTTTGACAAMATTTTCTCGTAATTTCAGTTATTTGACATTTGCCATTAAATAAACACTTAAATTGCTTTAAAAATTAATTATATACTTGAGATCAAAATTATTAGTTAACTATAAAATTTTTAAACCTTATTTCCTGATCCATATCTTCTAAAAAACGCTTTACACGAAACACATGTTAATACATTAAAATTATATCCTAAATATAAATATATAAATAAATATTATATTTAAAATATTTTAATAATTTAAGTATAAAAATTTTGACATACCGTGAGCTCGATCACTACAAACTACACAGATATTAGTTGACATTTTTAAATAATTTAATTTTGATTTATCATTATTTTTACTTAATTATTACTTAAAATTTATAATATATTTATATAATTAACTTAATGTTTGACATTTTCAGTTGTGTAATGGAGAGTACTTGACTGCACCCGTAGATCAACCAATAGACCAATGGGTAAGCGCTCCGTTACTATGGCTAGGTGTAGCTCACAAATATATTTGCTGACCACTCGACACAAACAAAATGTTAATAAAACTAAAATAACTCTTATATGTAACTCAAATAAAACACATATTTGAGGACAAGAGTTCACAATAAACACATAATAATAATAACTTTTACACCCATATTAGGGTAACAGTCAACTGACCACTGAGTCATCCATTTGACATACCAGTGCTAAACGGTATATAAAAAAAATTTATAACTAATATAATTATATAACCTTTCATATAACTATAACAAAAAAAACTGCAAATAAAATCTTCGGTAATGTTGGATCAACTGCCGTGAATCCATTTCCCCATTACACGAAACCACAGTTCACTTCCCCTCCACCACAGGGAGGTCGCCCACGACCTCTTGTCGCGAACTGTATCACCAAAAACATCACATTAGCAATAACTATATTGGCTTTAAAAATACCAATACATTGCACTAATGGATTCACTTATAAATATCCCAATACTGTATATAAAAACACTTAATTGCGAAAAATTTTAAGCAATTAAACTAATTATAAACTTTAAATTTTATAAACAAATAATAGAAAACAACGGCACAAAACACAAAAAAAAATAATTTTCACTTTTTTTCACCGGCGGTGGTTCACTGCCGATGATCTGTTCGTCACATCATCGTATCTGTCAATACTGTCGGTTGTTGCGGTTGTTGTCCTGACTTAGGAAACGAGATGATTGGTTGCGGCGTTGATTGATTGTAAGCAACCATCGGGTAATTCGGTAACTGTCTATTCATTTGTTGGTTACAATCTTTCGCGAAATGTCCAACAGCTTCACAATTTTAACATCTGTTCCACAAATCCTTCTGACTCTTCAGAAGAGGACAATTCGTCTTCAGATGATTACCACTACAGTTGTAACACTTAATGTCTTGTTTAGTGAACTTCATATGATCTACTGATGGAAATTGATTTCTGTTGTCACCTTTATGCTTAAATTGGCCGTAACTTTGAGTTGTATTTGGTCGCCAATTTATTGTCTTTTCACGTCTCTGTAATGCACTAATGCATTCCTCGACGGTATTCATGTTTTCGATAGCTAATACAAAGCTAATATCATTCATATTTTTCTTGATTATGCCAACCATTGACCCTTGAGATACATTACCAACAATTTTGCCCAAACTTTGAACTCTTTGCGCAAAACTTGATGGTCTTTCATCTGGTCGTCGATAAGCGTCTGTCAACGCTGTGATATCATTAGCTTCTCCTAAATCGTATCTCTTTCGGAAAGCTCTTTCAAAACTATCCCAATTGTTGATCCAAATATTGCCGTAAACATTGGCGTGAAACCAGTCAAAAGCTGATCCTTTAAAACATTCGGCAACACCTCTGAGCTTTGACTCTTCATCCAATCCACGACTATCTGTAATGTGTTATAATGTGCTAACCATTGTTGTGCTACCACATCATCTCCAGAAAACTTCGTAATATTCTTCATATCTAACTTAGTTTTCTTCAACGACTCGAAGACATTTGTATTTCTGTCGATTACTTCTGCAAATATGTTTGAATCTGATCTTGAATTCGACAACAGATCTGATGAATAATTGTTTGTCTGTCCTATATGTCTGTCACCAACTGTATGACGATTAGCACTACCGGATTCAAGGTTTGACATTTTGGCCTTCATTGATGTAACTTCATCGAAAATTGTCACCATTATATCCTTCAATGCTTTAACATGTGGATCAACTACCAGATCGTCATCAATCGTCCCCACACTAGGTGTCTGAGATCTGACTGAATCCTTATTAGGATTTAATCGTAGCTTAAGTTTCAAGTCTTCAATCTCTTTCAGTTTATCACTTCTCTCTTGAAGTAGCTGTTGTTGAAGTGATGTCTTTTGCTGTACTAATAACGTATTTTGTTGATCAAAAGAGGTCTTCAGTTTATCTGTGTTTTCCTCTAAATCCTTCAAATCACGAATTGCTGATTCTCTGTCTTTTAAGGCTTCAGTTAACTCTAACTGTTGTTTAGCTAGTTTTTCGGTCAATTCCTTTATTTTTTCGTCCATATTAAGAGATAGCTGATCTTTGATCTCTTTAATTGGTGTAAAAGTTATCTGATCCTTGTCTATGTGTTTGTTTAGATCAGGTGTAGAAACTGTAGCTTTAATAGTATTACGGTTTTTGTATCTTAATTCTCGGTCTGTGAATAATCTTTTAATACTTTCATTCTCTCTACTCATTGAACTTAATCAATGACTTGTTTTAAGGATAAAAATATTGTTTGAACTTTTCTACCACTTTGTAACAGCAGTGGGAACTTAGCAGGGGGTCGAAACGCAACCTCCACTAGTTATGTAACTGCAGTGGGGCTAAACACAGGGGGACCGAAACGCAACCTCCACCAGTTAATGTAACGGAGAGTGGATTTGACTGCACCCGTAGATCAACCAATAGACCAATGGGTAAGCGCTCCGTTACTATAGCTAGGTGTAGCTCACAAATATATTTGCTGGACACGATTAACACGGGGGTGATAAACAATACAACGGGGGGGGGTTATAAACACACGGGGGGTAAACAGTACAAACTAATAGTCAAATAACAAATACGTGTTCGTATTCACAACAATCCGAACGGAACCGGAAGCTACTGTTCGAACGGCAATAACTGTAACAAACGTCGAACAGAATCGAACCACAATTACCGTCAGAATATCGATATCACAAAATAACATAAACTCTAAGCCAATACTCGGCTTATAGACATATACTGTAGAGACTGAAAACTGACCTGATTTTTCAGGTCAGGTCAGGTCAGGTAAAAGTTAGGGCTAAGGTCAGGTCAGGTACGGGTCCGAACACCAAAATTTTTTGGTCAGGTCAGGTCAGGTCCGAAAATTTTTTATTCACTATTTAAATGACAATTATTACAAAATATCAAAATCAAACACAAAATTTATTAAATTATTATTTATGAAATATTTGTATAAATAAAACATAAAATATTACAAAATATCATATTTTGATCTAATAAATAATGGCATATTAACTTTATTAGTATCTAAGTTAGATCTACTATCAGTTATCGTTAATCCCGAGTAATTAATTTAATTTAAACAAATTTGTTGTGTGTATAGTATGAATAAAATTGTTTTCTGATAAAATTATTTTCGGACCTACATAGTCAGGTCAGGTCAGGTCAGGTAAATTTGTACCCTATGTTAGGTCAGGTCCGAGTCCGAGATTTTAGGTATCAGATCAGGTACGGGTCAGGTACGGGTCAGGTACGGGTCCGAAACTTTTCGCTCTCTAATATACTGTGTATACCAACAAAATATGTATAACTTATATAACTTTAAATACAAAACTTTATTAATATTTATTAATTAAACTTATAAATGAATTATAATTGAGATCATTAACTATATTATTAATTAACTAAACAGATAATTAAATCATTAAATCAATTTAAACAAAACATATAATAATTAAATGCCCTAAGAGTGGGACTTAAAAATTACACCCAAAACATGTGTTGTTTTTGAAGGCCGACTATAGATACGACTTTCCTCTCTCGAGTACAACACTAGACTGAACATAAAGTAAAACAAAAACTAAACACTAAAACAAATACAAAAATATAACATATTAAGGTTAACATATAATTCTCAATATTGAATATTAAAGTACAAAATAGTTTTAAACTTATAATCGAAAGTCAGTATTATAATAAATTGAATAAATAATTAAACTATTAAATGATTGAAATGTTTTAACATTTCATTCCCCTATATTTGACTTTTGTCGCCCCTGACAAAACCGGCGATCAATGACCTCTCGGGTGAATACCGCGGCCTCTGGCCACACCCTGAGTGCGGGTCTGATCCCGAAAAAAAACACGACAAACACATCAGCGGGTGGTTCGGTCCACAAGAACGGAAGTCCCAACTCTTGATCCTCGAGTTGACGGGAAAACTCTTCCTGAAGGGTGCGACCAAAACGACCACTTAGTTGATCCCAAATCTGATCGACTAACCGCTGGTTCCACTCCTGATTAACATTGTTTTCGGCCATTCTATCAAACACTTCGGGTATAAATTTGCTGACCACTCGACACAAACAAAATGTTAATAAAACTAAAATAACTCTTATATGTAACTCAAATAAAACACATATTTGAGGACAAGAGTTCACAATAAACACATAATAATAATAACTTTTACACCCATATTAGGGTAACAGTCAACTGACCACTGAGTCATCCATTTGACATACCAGTGCTAAACGGTATATAAAAAAAATTTATAACTAATATAATTATATAACCTTTCATATAACTATAATTGAGATCATTAATTATATTATTAATTAACTAAACAGATAATTAAATCATTAAATCAATTTAAACAAAACATATAATAATTAAATGCCCTAAGAGTGGGACTTAAAAATTACACCCAAAACGTGTTGTTTTTGAAGGCCGACTATAGATACGACTTTCCTCTCTCGAGTACAACACTAGACTGAACATAAAGTAAAACAAAAACTAAACACTAAAACAAATACAAAAATATAACATATTAAGGTTAACATATAATTCTCAATATTGAATATTAAAGTACAAAATAGTTTTAAACTTATAATCGAAAGTCAATATTATAATAAATTGAATAAATAATTAAACTATTAAATGATTGAAATGTTTTAACATTTCAGTTGTGATCATAGGCCGAGAGCATTTGAGAAAATCCAATCATAGAGTTGAAATTTTTATTTAAAAAATAAATATTGTTATGGTAACTTATCTTATTAACTTATCTCATAATGATAAAAATGCCACTTAAAAAATCTAACATGTAACATGTAAAAAATATACTAAATGTTTTTAAAAAATTGTGTTAAAAAAGTGCAACGTGGAACTATTAAATATAATAAAATTTAATTATATTAATAAGAATTTAAAAATAGTTTAAATAATAATGGACTTTAAAAATAAAAAAAATTACAAAAATAAGGTAATATATAATTTATATCTTTGTATAAAAATAAATAATTGTATTTAAAAAATAAAACCTATTAGATTAATTGTAAATATTTATTTTTTATATTTTTCATTCATTTATTAAATTATAGAAAAAATATGTTATTATTTCATCAATCTTTGTAATTGCGATTTTGGTTAATGTTAATTATACTACTTCTGGACAAAATACTGACAATGAAAATAATGAAAAATTTTGTAAAATTTTGATTAATGAAATAAATAGTAATACTGCCGATACAGGTATTTAAAATATAAGATATATAAAATAATAAAAATTATAATACAGTGTAATAGCATTGATTTGGATGAATGGGATAATGATTTCGATTACGAGATAAACAATTCGATGACTGAATTCGATAAATATATTGCTAGAATTATTTTAATAGTTTATATAAAAAATGTTATTAGCGGTAAAAAAAATAATTTTTAGTAATATTTAAATTTATTTCCCGTAAATCATTAATTTTTATACTTGTCTATTAAACAGATGTAACACAAAAAATATAATTTTAGATTTAATGTAAACTTTAACATTATGTAGTTTGTCATATATATCGAATTCAATATATCAGTCAACGAATTGTTTATCTCGTAATCGATTTCATCAAAATCAATACTATTAATTTAAAATATACAATGAATTTTATATTTAAATAGCAAAATATAAAAATATAAAAAGATACAACTACAGATCATAAAGATAATTATGTTTATTTTGAACCAAGTAACCTTTTTTAATATTTTATTATTAAATATTAAAAGCAATTTAATAAGGTTTTTTAGCATTTAAGTATTTTTTCCTTATTAAAATTACCTTTCTATTAATATTTTATTTAAATTCTAGACAATATATTAATATTATAATTATTAATTTTTATAATTTTTATAATTTTTATAATTTTTATAATTTTTATAATTTTTATAATTTTTATAATTTTTATAATTTTTATAATTTTTATAATTTTTATAATTTTTATAATTTTTATAATTTTTATAATTTTTATAATTTTTATAATTTTTATAATTTTTATAATTTTTATAATTATAATTATTATAATTATTATAATTATTATAATTATTATAATAATTATTATAATTATTATAATAATTATTATAATTATAAATATCATAAATATTGTTTATATATTTTTTTGTTTATTATTTAGCACTTTGTATACTAAATGTTAGTATTTTGAATAAAATTTTATTTTAAAGTTAGATCTCAACAATATTTTTTTTCAAAATAAAATGTCATAATCTGACTCTAACACATTTAGAACTAATATGAGCCGATGAGTCTCAAATGCTCTCGGCCTATGGTTGTGATATAACTTTTATAAGTTATAATAAAGTAAATCAAAAACTTTACTGTATAATAGATATATTAAAAATTAATAATATATATCTTGAGGCCTCAGATTTCTAAATATTTCTATAAATTAATCCTTTAAGTAAACAAAGATAAGGTCAGCAAAATAAATTCAAGCGATTAAAGTATAACATGTGATGATATTGTATACATGAAATGAAAAAATGCATACAAAATATGTATAAATAAAAGCACATTTTTGATATAAATAAATTGTTATTATAATTATTTATATTAATTTAGTTATATGTTTATAAATATATTAAAAGTTATTGTTAATAAAGTGAATTAAAATCATTATACAATAGTATTTATAACAAACAGTTATTATTTGAATAAATTAGTGTTAAAATTATTGACAACAGTGACTGTTGTAAAAATACTTTTGGATAACAACAACAACAACACCATTGAAAACAACAACAACACCATTGAAAACAACAACAACACCATTGGAAACAACAACAACACCATTGAAAACAACAACAACACCATTGGAAACAACAACAACACCATTGAAAACAACAACAACACCATTGGAAACAACAACAACACCATTGAAAACAACAACAACACAATTGGAAACAACAACAACACAATTGGAAACAACAACAACAACACCATTGAAAACAACAACAACAACAACACGATTGGAAACAACATTTAATTAAAAAGTATGGATAAATCAAATGATAATAAATTGATGGCAATTATTAATAAATATGTTGATGAAAACATCAACTTTTCGATAACTAATCGAAAATTAAAATGTGACAAATGTTGTTATTATTTTGATAATATCACTCATTTAACCGCAAAACAAACAATTGATAGACACATAAAAAGTGCTAARCATTCAAATACTGAAGAGAACGTAAAAAAAGAAAATCAACAGAAAATTTGAATAAAATACTCAGTGAAAACAACGATAAAACGCCAACTAATTCAACATTATTTTTGTTTCGACTAACATTTGCATTCATGGCCGCAGATATACCACTGGAAAAGCTAAATTGTAAGGAATTACGAGATTTTTTGTTTGAATACACTAAATATAATATTCCCAGTCCGAATGCAATGAGATATAATTATGCTGAAAATGTCTATAAAAAAATTTTTAGTACAATTAAAGCAACTATTATAGACAATAAAGTATCTGTATATTTTGATGAAACTATTGATCGATATAATAGATCTATTATGAATGTTCTGGTTAGTGTTATTAACGGTAATTACAATAAACCTATTTTAATTTCAATGCAATATATTAATGACAAAACATCAGTTGGCGTAATAAATGGTCTCAAATCTGCTCTTAACAAAATATGGCCAAATACAGATGTATTTGAGAATGTGTATTTATGCGTTACTGATCAAGGTAGTGCTATGATAAAAGCAATAAAAAATAATAAAGCTATGCTTCCAAATGCTAAGCATGTCACATGTTTGGCACATGCTTTGAGCAGAATTTGCGAAAAAGTTAGAGAAAATCATTTATTAGTTGATACATTTGTATCTAAAATGAATAAGTATTTTAAAAATTCGCCCAAAAGAATTGAATTATTCAAGTCTAAATGTAACCTCAATTTACCACCAAAAAGTGTTATTACTCGTTGGAATAGTTGGATTAATACTTGTGTTTATTATAATAAAAACTTTGACGTAATTTGTGATTTTATTCAATCATTAGAATTGATTAAGAAATCAAATAAAATAATTAAAGAATTGCAAGAATTTATTATTAATCCTGAATTGAGAATTCAATTACAAAGTGTTTCGTCATTTGAACACATTTGTCATAACATTACTTATTTAGAAAAACAAGAATTGACAATTAAACAACAAATTGACGTTATTAATGGATTGGAGTCAAGATTATCAGATGATTATTTAAAAAAACTTCAAACTTCTCTTAAGAATAATCCTAATATTAATTTTTTTAGAGAAAATATATTAAATAATGAATATAAATTTGTTTCTTTAACTAATGTAGATTGTGAGCGGTCTTTTTCTATATTAAAAAATATTCATAGAAATAACCGTACATTTCTTGATAACAATTTAGAAATGTTTTTACTTGTAAATTATAACAGTTTTTTATTTTAATAAATTTTTTTTAAATCCGACATAATTTATTTGCTATACTTATTTTTAAAAATATTAGAAATTTGTTTTAGAAATCTGAGGCCCCAATATATATCATATATACTTTGTATACATTTGTAATAACTACTGTATATATCATTAAAAATAATTATAAAAGATAATTCATAAAATTAAATATTAATTTCTACATTAATAATATTATAATTTATAACATTGTTTCAACAATTTAAATTACAACATATAAATAGTTTGTAATTTAAAATAGCATAAAAGTGATTAAACAATTAATATTTACAGACAATGGTATAATTTAAACATTTGATAATGAAATTGTGTAACTGTCCTTGGTTATTGTAGTCAAGACAACATAATATTGTTTGAAATTTAATGTCAGTTTATACGATAGAAAATATAAGAAAACAAATTCTACAATAATTTATTATTATCTTATAAAATGTAATTTTTTGATAATTTTTTTATTTTATTTTTAAATTATGTACATTATTAATATAATACTGTAAATGCATTTAAACATATTTATAATTCAACAAAATTGCAAAAATTATTTAATAATCAAATATTAAATACTTCATTAAGAAGTTGACCGCAATCGACCACTTCTTCACATTTGTGTTCATTAACGCAACGAATATAACTAAAAAACAAATGATGCAAATCTTTGAATGTATTCATTAGTTTCAAAAATTTTGAGTCACATTCACTATCCGATCGATATCTCAGAAGAAGATATCTTTTCAACAAATATATGTAAATTTGTTGATTAAATCTAAAATTTCAAAATTGTAAAAAAATATATAAATTTCATAATATTAGAAATACATTACAAATTGACTCACTTTATTGTATTCCTGTGCTGTAATTTTGGACGATTTGGGTTAAATAATAGAATAGCTGTTACCTAAAAATACATTTAATTATCTAATAATAAATTTGTATGTTTTTGTTTGCAAATTAATGATATATTTTACCAAATCAAGTATAAGTTCATCTGAATCCCATATCCTCACAATTTTTTCATAAAATTTAATAAATGCTTTATATAAATATTGTTTATTATCATTAATTGTGTCGATCTTTACTATAACTGATTCATCAGGATTTTCCTATTATAAATTTGATATAAATTTGATATAATATAAATGATATATATCATAAAACAAAAAAAAACAAGTGTCTTACATCGGGCAAAACAATTTGTTTGGTATCATCATTGTAGCCAATTATAGACCGCAAACATGAAATTTCAATTGATCCATATTTAATCAATGCAATTTGATCGTTCAAATTAATTGAATTAAACAATTGCAAGCATTTAGAAATTACTCCCAATTTGATGATTACTTGCTCCAAGTGCTCGGAATAAGCGCATAGACTTTCCCGATATGTGTTTGTTTGCGATACTATCGGTCCAAAAGGTTTCTTAAAAGTTTTCATAGCATTCAAAAGTTCAGTTATCCGATTGCCTTCCAGTTCATTGAAATTATTATTATAATCAGTTAGAGGTCTATCAATACACACTTTAATTGTACATTTGCCGTAATACTGTCCATATATATGACAGAGTTGATGCCCATCAATATCACTGTTATCATCATTATTATCACATATAGAGTCATCTATTTCTGTATTATCATTTGAAAAATTTTCTAACATTTTTAATATAAAGTCATCCATGTTATCCCTGTCCAGTTTGATCACCTCTTGCTCTGGTAAGTCATTATAAGACAAATCATTATAATTATTATTTACAGGAATAACATCTTCAGTATTGCTATTATTGCTAAGTTTTTCCAATCGTTTAATTTTTCTTAATTTCTTTTCCTTTTCAGTTAAAATTAATTCCTTATAAATAAATAAATAATTTTTTAATTATTATTTTTATATATAGATATTTATAAAGTATTGAATACATACAGATCTCATGCCTACTTCAAAGCACTTATCGAGTCTACATTTTTGGCAAAACTTTCTCGTAATTACAGTGACTTCACAATTGCCACCAAAATTACATTCAAAATTTATCTAAGATTAGACATTAAATATAAAATGACAGCATTTTTATAAATAATTTTTTAACAAACCTCTGATTTTAATGCATTTCTTCTAAAAAATGCTTTACAAGAAACACATGATATGACATTAAAATTAAAGCCTATTTTATAGACAAACATATAATTTATATTTTAAAACATCTCAAAAATTAGATCTAAAACTCTATTGTATTTTACCAATTGCTCGGTCACCACAAATTCGACACAATTTACCGGTATTTGACATTTTAATAACTAATACTTTCACTTTAAATATATATATATATATTTATAATAGTAATGTAATTTTTAACTTAAAAACACAATTTGTAAATAAATGACAATTTGTTATATTTATTTGCCATTACTATTACTATTTTATTGAGTACTATTATAGCGATTGCGTGTTATTAATATTAAGTGACCTTGATTAAGTTATATGCTATAATATAATTACAATTATTGTAATTTATAAAACTCCTTTACTTCCTACCCATTGCTTAACACTAATTAAAGTATTATTATTATTAAATTGACAAATATTTTGTTGAGAATTAAGTAACAATTCCTAAACTGTATTACCGGTAATTAGATTTAAAGTTTTTAAACTGTAAAATAAATTATTTGTATTAAATAATTATTAATATTAATAGCATCAATGCTTTCCCAAAGTTTTTAGTATTGTAAAATGTACATGGAACATTTTTATATAAACAATGCAGTTAGTAAAACTTTATTATTATTAGAAATATCCATGTATTTGGCAACCCTACTTATTTATTTTGTTTTAAAAATCAATTTTTAAATTTGAATCATTTATTAAAAAATAATGGTAAAAGTGCAAAAAACTGATACAAATACTAAATATTCTAAAATACAAATATTAAAATCAATATACAGTTATTTTAATTTTGTTGATTTATAAATATGTTGACACAGTTTTTTGGTGAAATAGTTGTGCATAATTTTTTTTATATCTATATGTTCTATAATTGACTTACCTAGTTACTTACTTAGTTTATTTTATTATATTTTTAATTTTATATATTGCAGTAATATTGATCTGCTTTGAAATAAATTTGTAAAAATGTTAAAACCCTGAATACTTTTTAAATTATGGGCATATTTATGAAATTTTATTAAAAGTCTATATTTTAATAATGCGTTAACATATAATTTATTAATTTTAATTTTAATTATCATAAGTGTGAAACTTACTAAAGTAATATACAAATTGTATAAATTTTGAATTAAGTGCTATAAAAATATGAATGTTTTGTTTAATAAATAAATTTGAAATTTTTTTTACTAATACTCTTTTTATGGATTATAACGTTAAATCTGGCAATCATTGAATAACCAAATTCATAATTTAAGATTATGAGATATTGATTAATACTATAGTATCTAATAGTTAAATATTTTCTATGGTTATTAGTTTATCCAATACTAAAAACATTTAGGAATCGGGATATTAATAATAAATTTTCATAAATATCATAATAATCTAAATACTGGTATTTATTTACATAAATTATAATCTCAGTTAAAAATTATATTTTATAAGTTATTTAATATTAAGCAATTGTGTGGTCATATATTTCACTTAAAAGTGGTCCTAATATACAGGAAGGCGTTTGAATGCCATTTTGTCTCATAATACGACTGATCCGATTAATAATTGGCAGCAATTTAAACAAATTCATTAATTTTTTGTTTGCCTCACTCGGCGACCGATATTTCAATTGAAAATAACGTTGAAGTAAATAAATATATTTATTTTGTTGTAATCTAAATTTAATTAAAACTACATTTAATTAATATAACACTTTAAATTTTTTAATGACTTACTTAACAAAATGTTTATGCACTATATTTGGACGGTTTGGATTAAATAATAGAATTGCAGATAACTATTGACAAATTAAAAATAATATTAAAAATCAAAAATTTATTTAAACATTTAAAAAATAATACCAAATCCAATGTCACAGAATCGCTATTTATTTCAGGAATAATAATATTGAAAAATGTTTTATAGGCTTCATATGGAGTATTTACCAAATCTTTTATGTACTCTAGTGGTAATAATACAGATTGTGTCTCATCCTAAATAATTAAATTTAATTATGTTTTTATTAATACAGTGTCATAGCATTGATTTCGATGAATGAGATAATGATTTCGATTTAAGTGACAATGAATTCGATTACGAGATAAACAATTCGATGACTGATATATTGAATTCGACAGTAAAGTACGGTAAATGTCTTAATAAAGAAATTATTGTTAATTAAAAWTTTTTTAATATATGTTTTCATTAACTTTTGTACCGCTAATAACATATTTTTTATGTAAAAAAACTATTAATATAATACAATAAATATATTTATCGAATTCAATATATCAGTCATCGAATTGTTTATCTCGTAATCGAATCCATTGTCACTTAAATCGAAATCATTATCTCATTCATCGAAATCAATGCTATGACTCTATAATATAACATAATATATATATATAATATATTTGTAAATTATGAAATGTTAATATCATACAATATTAATAGTCCAATATTGATGTTCATAATTAAAAGTTTCTAGTGATCTAACACTAAGTATTTCAATAGCTCCATATTTGACCAAGCTGATTTTATCGGTCTCACATAATTGATTAAATGTTTGCAAATTATTTGTTAAACAAAAAAACGTTTGGACTCCTTGGGTATAAACATTAGTGATATACTCGGTATACATATTGATATCATTTATTACATAAACAACATTAGAATTGATTGTAAATCGTATAAAATTTGCCGCAAATAGCAGTTCATTGAGTTGTTTGCCTTCAATCTCATTCAAATTATTACTATAATCAGTGAGCGGTCGCAGCACAGGTAGACTAAAGACGTTCAATGTTTGACATATCAATGATTTTATATCAATATTTTCATTGACTAATGAGTTATCACTACTTTGAGAATCAGATTCTTTGTCATTACTGTAATCATTGGTCTTATCTGACTCTTCAGTGGATGTGTTGTCAGTCAAACAATCATCACTTTCATCGTTCAAATTGAAACTTAATTTGGATTTTAGTTTTTCATTAGTTTTATTTTTTTGCAATTTCTTTTGGTGTTCGGCTAATATTAAATCCTTAAATAAAATAACAATAATAAATACTAAACTATTTTTATAACTAATATAAAGTAAGGTATAATAAATACCGTTTTCATTCCCAAAGTAAAACATTTATTTAATCGACATTTAGGACAAAACTTTCGCGTCAATACATTAACGTTACAGTTATTACTAAAATTACATTTTAATTTCTATTTATAAAATATAAGTAATATAAATAAATAATAAACATATTTTGAAATTTATTAATACAAACATCTATTCGATGAGCATTTCTCCTAAAAAATGCTTTACACGAAACACAAGTTATGGCACCAAAATTATAATCTAATTTTAAAAACAAATTTAAATTAAATGTAATAATTATATTATTTACAAACTTACTAGATGCTTTATCTCCACAAACAACACACCATTTGTTAAATTTTCTATTATCCGGCATATTTGTCTAATTATAGCATTACATTTAATTTATACTTTTATTGATATAATGACTGATTTATTCAAAATCAATATATTTTCCAACATATTTGTATTATTATTCTTAGAATTTTTATATAAATATAAATAATAATAATAATATAATTATTTGCACATTAACACTAATTAATTAATACATTAATATAAATAATATTAAAAATGGAAATTGAACAATATAATTTATTGTATTATACAAGTAATATTGATTAGTTATTATATTTATAATATTTACATGATATTCAATATTTTTAAATCAAGTAAATATTGAATTAGAGTTTGCGTAAAACAATTAAAGTAACAATATATCTATAATGATATATTAAATTTAGTGTTGATTTTGATGTGTTTTATATTTTAGTTAATACACTGTTAGTGCAAACAAGTTCTCGTTACCTTCAAAAGTATTCATTCATATCTATTAATACTATAGTAATTTACAAAAGTTAAAATGCAATGTTTAGTAACTAATAACTACAGTATATTATTTTAAATTTAATAAACTAGTAGACCTTCATGTTTATTTACTATGTTTAATATTATTATAAGTATATTTTGATGAACAATTTTTAAAATCTTTATTCAAAACACAGTTTATAGTTATTAAAAAAATTTTGTTTGAATAAAATGTCTATAATTTAAAAAACAATATTAACAATTTTTGTACTTACATTAATAAAAACATTATTTCTCATAGATCATTATAATAATAAAAAATCAATACAAATTTAAATACTATTATAATTGTTATAATTATTCTTTATTTTTTAAAAATTTTATTATAAATTTAGTAATTTATTTATTTGCATATTAACTATAAATGTTTAATAGTTGTAAGCGTTGTCTTTAATTCTTATGTTTTTAATTTCAGTGAGAAGTTCTCCGCAATCTTTATGTTTGTCTTCCAATGAATTTTTAACAAACATTTTCTCCAAAGTTGTTAAAAATTTTAAACACTTTAAAAGTTTATCAAATTTCTCTTTTGCCATACATTCCGATTGAAATTTTAATTGTAAATATCGTAATAATAAATGCATGTAAACATATTGTTGTAATCTAGACAATAGTAAATAATATCATTAATTTTTAATCAATTATTATCTTAAGTAAAATAGTTGCTTACTTGACATATGATTTATTTTCTAATTTTGGTCGATTTGGATTAAATAATATTATTATCATCAACTAAATTAGATAAAATATCTAAATAATTATAAATAATATATTTATTATAAATTTATAAATAATAATTATACCAAAGTTTGTACAATATAATCATTGTCGCATTCAATGTACATATTATGATAAAAATTAGTATTGGCCTCAAATAAATATGGTTTAATATCTTTAAATATATTAAAGTTTACTTTTGTTTTCCATAGACTTTCCTGAAATATTAAAATAACTATTTAAAAATACATAACCATAATATACTTTATATTAAATTAACATACTATACAAACGTTAATTGATTGTTGTTTTAAGTCATATTCAGGTAAAGCAAACAATATTGCCATTTGTATTGTGCCATATGTTATGAGTTTCATTTGATCGGTTAGATTTGTTTTAGTAAATGAACTCAAATTTTTAATCATTTCTATAATTTTTCTCACTTCTTGATCCGTAGCGATATTGAATAAATTGATTACATCCACAAAATCGTTGGCCTCACCGCATACCTGAGCTGTCGGACGTTTGATTAAGTCTCGAGCGCTAATTAGTTCAGACATATATTTGCCTTCATTTTCATTAAAATTATTCAAATAATCAGTTATGGGTCGGACTATAGGCATAACCTCTAATTCAAATCTATTTTCGTAATCATATGAAATATCTTTTAAAAATCTATTTATTATAAAGTAATTATCAGTTTTTGCGATTTGTTTGTTTGGCAACTCTTGATTATCATTATTGGCCACAAAATGTTTGTCTAAAATGTCAACATCTAGTGAACTATTCTGTAATTTATTCATATCTTGTAAACCATTTTTAAACCTTTTAACTCTCATTTTTCTTCTTTCTTCTGAAAGTATCTTATCCTAAAAATTTGATGCAATTATTTAAATAATTATATTTTTATAATTAATTAATTAAACTAATTATTAGAAAAATTTAAGTACTTTTTTCATTCCGACGTCAAAACACTTTTTCAGACGACACGCGCGACAAAATTTGCGCGTAAAGGGTGTTATCACACACGGGGTGACTCTGAAAGGACAGTAATATATCTGACAAAAAAACAATTATTCAATTAATTTGTTTTAATTAAAAAAATTTATATAAAACAGAATATATACCACATTTAGTAATGCATTTCTTCGAAAAAATGCTTTACACGAATCACAAGTAAAAGCGTCAAAATTTTTGCCTATTTTTAAAAAAATAAATAAAATATAATATTTGTTGATTTGAATAAACTATAATATCGATATAATTAGTTGTTATAATAAACAATTTACCGTTTGCTTTATCACCACAGATAACACATTTTAATTTATTGACACTGTTTTCGTTTTCTGACTAAATATAAGTTAATGAAAATATATTGTAATTAGAAAATGTCAAAAAAAATAAAAACAAATTATTTACCATTTTTGAGAAATGTTGTAATTGAGTTATTAATAAAATTTGTATTATTTACACCGATTAATTTATAATATTTATATAATTTATTATTATAAAATATTGAATTTAATGGAGTAGAAATAAAATCAATATTATGATATGTTGCTAATATACCGGTACAGTACAGTACTGTTTAATATTAAAACGATGCTTAGTATATCAACTAAAATAAATATACCTGTATATAAATTTATATATATATTAAATATAAGTTATTATGTTATTGAAATAATATATATTTAAACGAAATTAAATTCAAATGTAATTTATTATTAAATATTCTTAATATTATTATATTTTGATTTGAAGTCAAGTTTGCATTCAAACACATAATTTCTTTGTTTTTTATATTAAGCCAAACCTATTGGGAGGTGTAATAAAAGCACTCATAGTCTTAGTTATACATTCATATGATTCATACATTATATGTGTTTCATAGTATTCATACTATTAGTACATTTGTATTGCAGAAAAGTTCCTTACAGTGTATTAATATTAATATATTAATTATTAATTTTTAGTTTAATTGCTAACAAATAAATAATTATTTATTAAGTCTTACATTATTTTTTTAAATATTAAAAATAAAAATTAACAGTAAATTAAAAAAAAAATTAAAAGTATAAGAGCATGCCATTTCAATTGTACAGTAATTAAATATAAGTGACATTATGATAAAAATCAATAATATATTCAATATATTTGACAATAATTTGTGTGTTTATTGAAAACAATGTTTTTTCACATAATTTTCGTAAATTCTTCTATAATTTCACCACAATTTTGTTATTATTCTTCAAAAACTTTTTACTAAACTTTTACTCAAAAATTGTTTTATCACTAAAATCAACATAATTTATATACTTTGTCTACTTATTGTATCGAAATTATTAGATTTAATTCAAGCAAATAAACACAAAATGATTATAATATTTTTAAATTAAAGACACAACTTTACAAAATTAATAATAATATAGTAAAAAAAATTAAATTGATTAAAGTCGATACAATATTTTTTAATTGTAATTATTAATACTGTATTTAAAATATTTAACTAAAAATCATTTAATGTATTTCTTAAATACATTACTTTTATAGTTATTTATATTTTAGTTTAAATAAATTATTGCAATATTTTCAACAATATATTGACAAAAGTCATATAAAGTATTTATTTGGTTTAGCAGATAACTTATCATTAATAAAAATATAATAAAATATAGTATTTACAAAACTATAAAATTCATTGACAATATATTGTGAAAATAATTATAATTTTCAAAAAAAAACTTTACCTAATTTTTTTCTATTGAAATAAATGCTAATATAATAGTAAATTTATTACAACAATAACTTAAAATAAAATAGTTTTTACCTGACTTTTATATTAAGAAAAAATAAATAAATTTTTATTTATAAATATTTTCTAAATGTTATTCAGATTAATTAACTATTATTTTAGGTCCGATTGTTTGACAAAATCTTCAAACAAAATAAAATAATGTATAATTATATTATAACTTTTTAGGCGTCATTAAAAATTTCTTAATAATCTCTACAATATTGTATACCTATGGTAACGATATGTCACGTCATTAGACTGTAATTATTTCAACATTATTACATTTGATAACATAAAAAATCAAAAATATAATTATTATGTTATTTATAAAAAAATAATAATAACTTATTACTAATAAATTTATTAATGTCTACTTATTATATACAGTATAATAACAATCCATTACATGATCTACAGTAAGTAAAGATGACTGATTATAATTCATTAATTTGTCAAATATGTGGCGATAAATCCAATGGTTAGTATAAATATTGTATGAATATTAACAAAATTACATTTAATATAAAAATACAAATTAGGTTATCATTTTGGAGCCATTAGTTGTGATTCTTGTAAATCATTTTTTAAACGCAACTTTTCTAAATATAAGGTATTTATATTTATTATGTAATATTAATACTTTATATGTAAAATTAGGAACATGTATGCATACAGTAGTACCAGTATAATAAAAACTTATTATTAACTTATTATTATTATTAAAAACTTTAGGATAAATACAAGTGTTATTTGGGTGGTAAATGTGTGGTTGAAATCAAAACCCGAACCAATTGTAAGAAATGTCGTTTAGATAAGTGTTTGGCCGCCGGTATGTCAACGGTATGTGTTTTATGTTATACTTTAATAAAAACAATTAATATTTATTTTATTTCTATAAATTAGATTCACTTCAATAGTGATGAGCAAAACAAACTCCGAAGAACTTTATTAAAATCACGTCAAAAGTCTAAACGATTGCCACAAGACTTGACAAATGATAAAACTTTAGACTTCAATGAATCCAAATTAGTTGACTTTGAAAATCAATTATATAATAGTTTAATGGACTCGAAAATTGATGACAACTTATTATTAATAGAGTCAACTAAACAACAATTGAATCAAATAAATGTTAATAATATGTCTAATAACCAGATATTCACACCAAACATATCACAACAATTATCAAAAGATTGTCTACAAGTTATTAATGTCTCAAATGATGTCATTGATTATGATTTTATAGATTCAATGACTGATTTTTCAACCAATTCATTATCACTTTCATCTACTGATGATATCACACAAAATCATACAATTGACGAACAAATGGATTCAATTGATATTTCAGATCAAAACAATAACGAAGGAATAATAATGTCAATTATGAGACCTATTACTGAATGTGTCCAACAATTTACAGAATTAGAGTCCAATAAATTAACTGAACTTTTGGATGCCATGAAATTAAATCAACGACAGATATCTACTATTGAAAAGGGATGTATTATTGATAATTTACAACAAGCTTTGCTTATAGTATTGGAAAGACATAACGATAATATCAATCATACCGTCCAAATGTCTAAATATTTGTCAGCTTTTAATACACTTTGTCTGAGCGATCAAATTGTTTTATTAAAGTACTCGTCCATTGAAATTGAAGTTCTCAGAAATATATTGTGTTTTAACTTTGAAAAAGAGTATTGGATTTTCAATAAAGTTAGTATTCATTAATACATTAAGTTATTATAATAGTTATACAATGTATATATATGTTAATTTATATACGATATTTACTATATACACGCATAAGTTAATATAACATACAAATAATTATATAATTAAATATGACCAGGGTGATATTCCCTATTGCATAACACTTAATGCATTTCAAAGAACCGACAGTAATCCTGAAATACCTGTAAACGTACGGCCCATCAATGATCACAAGGTTTTCCTACAAAACATGGGTCTCGACTGGGATTGTGATCCACTAATTATTGATTTGGTAGGTATTTCTAAATTTACAAATAATTATATTAATTATTTAATTAATCTAACTATTTCTATATTAACTATAGTTGACAGCAATTATACTGTTTGATCCAAACCGACCTAAACTAAAATTTAGACAAGTGGTGAAGTGAGTTTTAAAAAAAAATTATATAATCAAATTTTTAATAAATGAAATTTTTATTAGATTTCATCAAAACACTTACATTCATCTATTATCCAAATATTTACAAATCAAGTATCGGTCAGAGTTTTTGTCGCAAATAAAACTGTCGCGACTTTTAAATCATTTAAAACAATTGTATAATATTAATGAAAAAGTTGAAGCCTTTTATAAAAGCAAATATAAGGTTCAATATTTTCCTCCACTTATTTGTGAAGTACTTGATAGAGATTAATACTGTATTTATTTTACAAATTTACTTAAATAACTCATATATATATATTTATTTAATTACAAATCATCATTTAAACATATACGGTCATTTATTTTAAATTTTCATTAAATTATAAATAAATTTATAAATTTTAATTATATTTTATTGTGATATATTGTGATATATTATGTAATTATTGAATAACAATATTAATATCGGCACAAAACACTTGAGTAGCGCCCGAATCACAGATCAATTTCCAACGGGTCAGTCGTTCGCCCTTTTCATAGATAATAAATTAATTATCTGATCGTTTATTTTTAACAATAAATGACAACTTACTGCTGGAAGTGCTGAATCAACAGTAGTTTTGTAGTTCAATGTATTGTCTTCATTGGTTTTTAATGGACAGTTCAAAAAGCCAGGACAGGCCGCTTCTTCACTTATTGGATACCAATCACCTAATTGTGCCTTCATTTCAAGCCTACAGAAGTCAGCATTGGTTTCTATAAAAAATAAAAGTTAATTATTAATTGAAATTTAACTAAATTTATTAAATGTATACGTGTTGTGAAATCTGCCCGAACCGAGACCTGAGTGCTTCGTTTGAAAGCACAGGGCTCTGAACTACACGGTATTACTTCTATTGATTTGACATTATTTGCATTATCTGTTTTTTATAAAAATTAAATTATCATTTATTTATTATATATTGAAAATTTATTACCACAAGGTTTGTAGGATTTGTCGGTTAATTGGAGACAATATATTTGTGATATAATTGCAACCAATAGAATCAATAATTTCAATATAATCATTACTTTATAATTAACTATACAAAATTAAACAATTATTAGCAATTATGTATATTAGCATACACACAATTAAATTGAGTTAAATTGTTGTTAAAAAGTATTTTATATATTATATTTGTACTGTATTACTATATTAAAAATATCTGGCAAAATTTATAGTAAATTAGGATAAAAAAATTTATTGCTTTTATATCAGGTATTATATTTTTATTGTTATTATATAAATGCATTATTTTAATTATCGGTATTTTATGATTATTTGTTATTTGATAACTAATTTGAAGTTTTTGTTATTAATATCCTTAACAAATAATATTGAAAGATTTTATAATAAGTATTAATTTTATTAATTCAAAAATAATTAATTTAAAATAATTAATTTACATAAATATTATATAAATTTTTAAAATAGTTAAAAGTATTAATTTAAATACACATATAAAATATTATTCACTGTTACTAAATATAATAATAGAAATTGAAAAAATAGAATAATCTATAATAAAAATCTATTCATTTTTTAATATTCTGTGGTAATAAACATTTGATAAAATTATTTTATAATTGTTTTTTTTTGCTTTTAGTTTTTACTACTTTAATTCAATTTTATCTACAATATATAGCATATTTAAAACTATTTCATAGTATAATTGAAAATTTATATTCTATTTATTTTATAATATTTTAAAGTATAATACAACGAATTCACTAAATCAATCAAAATAACACAATTTTAATATTATATAAAAATTTAAAATCACTAAAATTACATCATTAAATAAATGATTGACATTTATCAGGAATGTCCAATCTCTACTACACGTGTAATATATTGGTAATACATATTATATTTATATAATAATTATACTAATTAAAAAATCTATTTATAAAAACTAAATATCATATATTTAAGTTATAAAATACTGTATTATAATATATGATACAAAAAATAATAAAAATTATAAAATGCATTACATATTGAATAGTTTCAAATTTAGAAATTTAAAAAATACTGTAATAAAAAAATAATATGTTAAAGAATATACTGTAAAGTACTATAACTATTAAGGTATAAAAAGATTTAAATCTAATTTTATTACAAAATAAGTTCACTCTATTAATTTAATAATTTTCATTTATTACATTAATTATTAATACATTAATTACTTATTAATAAAATGATAAATAATTTTTATGTTTGTTGTCATTAATGTTTTTGTGGTTCTGTATTCGTGGGTTTTTTATGTAAATATGATTTACGGCATACAAGAGCTGTATATTAATAAGTTTACGAATCGGTTTTCAGACTCACATTTGAAGTAACGTTTGAGCTCTAAATAGCTCTAAATAGCCATAAATAGCCATAAATTAAATAAATTGTTGTGTGTAGTATTGTTTAGTTCCAGAGGAATGTCTACTCAGACAATAAATGCCTAAATAGACCGGTCGGTACTTAGCGTGGGTCGGTATGAGACCTGTACTTCCCGTCTAATCGATACTAAACACTAGTAGATATGAGTCGTTATGAGGTACTAAGACACTAACTGCCTGTTTGACTGTTGGTACTGTATTTATACTGTACAGTCAAACAGGTAGTAGTTTTGAAAGGAAAGGCATTGATTGGTTAGTTTGAATGTATAGACGGTTTGATATGATAGTTGGTAATTGACCGGTCATTGTGGTGCCAGTGAATGGTAACAATGACTGGTATTTCCAGGAATATGTAGATAAGGAACTGTAAGTGACTAAAAATAGAGTATAAATGTACTAAAAATAGATATAGTAGTTCAATACAATGCAAATAAAATGATAAAATTAATGGTAAAAATATAGTCATATTTTAATCCTCAACAAAATAAATGTATATAAGTTATAAGTTTGCTGTTGATATCTACAGTATATAAAATATGATTAAATAATATTTATAAATAATATGTAACAATAATTTTATTACTGGACACTATACTTAGTGTATAATAATATCTTAATATCTGACTCGCGACTCGATTTTTTTTAATATCTTGTAAACCATATTTTAAATATAAAAATAGTAAAACTATAGACAATTTTATATTTAATAATTATATATTAAATATTTATAATATTTTCTTGTAAATATACAGGTTTAATTAAAAATATACATGGTCAATCTAATCGTGTTATTATTATACTGATGTTAAATGTAATTTTTTATAATTTAATATAATGTACAATTCACTAAAATTGTATATAATTTACAATATATTGTAATCTACAAAAGTATACAAAACTATTGATTTTATCAATTTATAAAACATTTGAAAATTAACATAACTTTATTAACATAACTCTATTAACATAACTGTAAATGTTATGACAAAACCTAAAAACGTAAATAAAAAGTTAATATCAATAGAAAACACATTAAATGCCGTATATTTGCTGTTTTTGTACAAAGTATTGAGATTTTGTATTAAATTGTTTCTAATAGATATTTCATGGGTTGTCATCATTGTATAAGATTTGTTAATTGATTTCAAAAAATCAATAACTGATGGCCTATTAGTTTGAAAGTAGTTTATTGTTAATATATACATAAAATTTATAATTAAAATTAATAAATATTCGCTTAGTCCAATATAGATATCACTATTGACGTATATTTCATTTTGTTTTTTATTTATGATAATATGTGTTAATCTGAGACAAGTGGTTGAAAATAGTTCACAAAACCATAGGAAAGGAAAGACACCAAAAATCTTATTAACAGTTTCTTTAAATTCACAGATTTTCAGCAATTTTTTATGCAATTCATCATAATTTGATTTGTTTTGTAAAGCAAATTGTAATAATTGTTTTTCAATTAGATAAATGCTAAATGAAATATAAATTAATAGTAAAGGTATGGCAAAAATCCAACCAAATATTGTCAAAATCCAAACATTTTCGGTAATATAACGCTTTAAACTAATGTTGAAAATTACAAATGAAATTATTGTATTAATAAACAAATGCATTGAAACAAATAAACACCAAATAAATGTAATAATTTTCAGACATTTATTTGCAATTTTTAAATCACTTTCTTTTAATTGTTGTGTAATATGAGTAATAATATTTATAATTTTAATTTGTCTAATTTCGAAATATATTAGACTTAATATTATAATTATAAGTTTTATTATAACTGATATTGCAAATAAAAACAGTTTTAAATTATCTATTTTTATTAAAATTTGAACACACCATTGACTTTCATATATTAAAAATGCATAAAATATCAATTTAAATAAATACTGAAAACATTTTTTAGGATAAAAATTATCTTTATTATTGATTGGAAATAAATCATAACCTTTGGTAAGAAATACATAATAAAAAGGATACATAATTGAAGTCATATTTAAAAATAAAATTTTACACCCAATCTACATATTAACACCTTTAATAAAATTACTAAATTTGTAATATTTAAGTATAAGTTGTTATTCTGATGCAATTCAAGATATTGATTGTGTTATAGTTAAAGCAAATAAATTTTCTTAATTGAAAATGTATTGATTTTAAATCACTTAAGTTAACTTTGGTTATAATTTTTTAATATAGTGTAATAAATAAAATCTAAATAGTTTACTTATTAAATTATACTTATTTTTTTCTAACAAATTTTTATTAAATAATGTAAACAATGTTATTTTTGACTAAATTGCTAATATAATAAAACACTTTTACATAACATACTAATTTAATACAAATAAAGTTAAGTTAAAATTTTATTTTATTCGTTTGTTTGTATTTTTATGTTAATTTTATAATGAAATATATTAACAAATAAATTGTGTTTACTATAGACTATAATGATAATACAAAAATATTACTTTATGAAAATCAATATTATTGTTCAAACTAAATAAAGTTGAAGAAATATAAAATAATATTCATGTAATCATAATTGGTAATTACAATTATTTGTTATTGACTTTAAGCCATACATTTCACTTAATAGTGGGCTAATGTCAAGGGTGGGCACCTCCTCGAGTAGGTATCTCAGGTGTGTGTGATGTGTTCGGTGAGCATATATCACACCATTCATTAATCGTATAAATTTAGTTTTTGCCATACATTCAGATCCGCCATATTTTACTTGAAGATACCGTTGTAGTAAATACATGTAAATCAATTGATGAAGTCTTTAAAAAATTATTATTATTTAAATTTTTCACTAGTTATATAAATAATGATATTACTGCTATTATTACCTAATTGCTTCTCTATGTTTAAGATCAGGCAGTGTTGGTTCAAACAATGCAATTGCCGAAAGCTTATCCATCAAAAATAATAAAATAATTATTTAAAATTAAAAAATTGGATTGAAATAAAAATTACCAATTCAAGTATAATTTCATCATTATCATACTCTTTAGACAATTCATGCAAAAATCGTTGTAATGGAAAATATAAATCATTTTTTGATTGTTTCAGTATCTTTAAGTCCATTAGTGCTGAATTGTTAGTGTCCTGAGATTATATTAATTAATATAAGTACTAAACTAATCAATAGTTTTTATATTTACCACAGGTATACTCCAGTGATCATTGTTACCATCATAACAGGCCACGGCATGCATGACCACTACTTTAACAGTGCCATATTTGAACAAGGTGATTTTATCACTTTCACACATACCTTTAAAAGCATTTAATTTTTTATAGACTTTTACAACATTTCTAAACTCTTCATCACATTTTTGCACCAAAATTAGTGCCGCATTTGTAAAGTCTGACACAACAGCAGTAGGGCTGGCCTGAGGTTTTCGTAACTCATTTGTAATATCAATTAATTCACTAAATCTAAAGCTTTCCGTTTCATTGAATGAGTTTGTATTAAACGGTCGAGCGATGGGAATGACAGCCATTTCTAATTCAAGAGTCTTCCGATACACTTCCTGTGAGATGTCATTCAAATCATTAATACTGTCATTTGAAAGACTGCTTTCAATTTCTCTAATCTGTGAATTGATTTTCTCATCACTTAAACTATGTTTGTCTAACAAATCAAATATGAAATCTATTTCAGTCGATTCAGATGATAATAATCCATCACTTATAATATCATTTGATAATTTCATTGTTGACGATGTATTAGATATCGATTTGGTCATTGATTCAATAATTTTATCATTTTTGTTATCACTATTAACAAGTTTTTGTTTATTTTTCAAAATTTTTTGTTTCCTCAACTCTTTTTCATTTTCATTTAATATCCATTCCTAACTCATAAATAAATTTAAAATAATTAATTATTATTAAATATAATTATTATTAAATATAATTATAATTAAATATAATTATAATTAATTATTATTATAATTAATTACAAATATTTTAAATACTTTTTTCATTCCGATTGCAAAACACTTTCTAAGTCTACATTTGCGACAAACAGTTCTCATCTCAACATTGATCTCACATTTCTCTCCATAATAACACTTCATTTTCTGTGTAAACATTTAATTAATATATTATTTATTTTGATTGTAATTATAATAATAATGATAATAAAGTTAATTACATCAATATTAGAGGCATTTCTTCTGAAAAACGCTTTACACGACTCACAAGAAATGGCACAAAAATTTTTGCCTATTATTTAACAAATATAGAGTCAAATATTATTTTATGTTTTAATTAATTAAATAGTTTTTTAAAAGTTTATACCCAAAGCTTTGTCACCGCAAACTCTACATAATTTAGGTGTTTCATCGCACATATTATTATTATTATTATTATTATTTTATCAAATGTATTAAAATTGTAAAATAATATATTATTTCAGTTAATTTGCCATTTAATAAACATATGATAACTATATATAAATTTATAATTATAAACAAATTATTTAATATAATAAACTATTTGTAATAAAAGTGGAATATTTATTTATATTTAGAAACACAAACTTATTAAATAATATTTTATTTATATTTAAGAAATAATAATAATAATAATAATAATAATACTAGTCGTCATCAAAATATATAACAACCAATAAATTCAATTCATATAATTTTGAGGAAAGATTTAAATCCAACCAAAACCTGACTTTTTTAGTTCATTTGATTGTAAATTCATTTATTGGTATTTCAAGGCTAACAACAACAACGACGATGTGGTTTAATAATAGTTTATATAATATATGTATAATTAGTTACATTTGATTAGATAAATGACTAACATTTATGAGGGACGTTCAATAGCTATCATATTATTAGTTAGAGTGTAATACTAATGAAAAAATAATTGCATTAAATTTGAAGTAATGTTCGGATTTTTAAAAAACAATTACATATTTAACTAGTTTAACAATAAGATAATTTATTGTTACCATTAAACGCGGAAATTACAAATTTTATTTTGAATATAACAATTTATATTTAACTAAATTATAAAATACTGTATCGTAATATATGATAAAACAATTAATAAAAATTATAAAATGAATAACATATTGAATAGTATAAGAAATTAAAAATTTAAGAAATACAGTAATTAACAAAACTTAACAATTTTCAAAAAGAGATATTTTTCTACATCTTAAAAGCAAATTGTTTGGTAAACTTATTGAGTGATTGATACAAAAATCTTTAAAATCTTTTTTGATATTTTCATTAAATATACATCGAAATGATTGATTTGGTTTTTTTCGGGCCACTCTCAGACACGACAATATCGATTTGATTGTCAGGCACTCACAAAACGAGACATTAATTTTAGACAATTGTGGGCAGTCTTTGATTAGATTACTAAATGTTTTGTCGTTGAGCTCAGGTTGAGTGGCAATCTTAAGACATGACAAATGTTTCAGTGATCTAATATTTAACAGAAACTTTAGGTTCATATCGTTGTCGAAGTTGACTAAAACTAATCCAAGTTTGCAAAGTGTTGGCAAAAATCTGACAATTGCTTCGATGGTATTAGTCTTCACTCTTGTGGACTCTAAATGAAATGATATCAGTTTTTTGCAACCCTTTAGATGACTTATCTCTTCAAATCCAACAATATTACAACCGTCATAATTATCAATAAAAAGTTTCAAATTTTCTAAATTTTTCAATTGTGAAATCCATTTAAAATAATTATTGATTTCATTTTGATTCAAACTACAGAAGATACTGACAGTAATTGATTGAAGTGATTGAAAATTATTTGCGATAAGATTCATATGAGTGTATGAAAACAAATCAAATATTTTAAGTTTTGTTAAATGTTGAGGTTTTTTATCGGCCAATAGTTGTATTGCAGTTTCATTGAATAGTATACCACTTGTATTAATAAACTCTATTTTAGGGTTTATATACTGAAAAGCTGTTCCACTATATGTTTCCACTTCTTGTTCATAATAACTGTCAGACAAAAATGTCTTCAATATAAATGTATTGAGTTTTTGTAAGTTTGCAAACAAGATATCGATGGCATCTTCAGTCATCAGCAAATGAAATGAATCCAATTGAAAGACTTGTAAATCGGGAAACTTTCGGCACATAAGACTAATTTCGCCGTCAGTGACAACCATTTGATTGTGACAGTGACTGTTAATTATTGACAATTGTCTTAAATTACTGTTACAGTTGACGGACACCGTTTCAATAATATAATCGGACGTATGTTTTCCAACCAAACATATATAAAGAGCTTTGAGTCCAATAAATTTTTTCATAATATTGCCGATCATATTATGAAATTTTGTACTAAAAATTGATTCATTAACTAAAATATTCAAACTTATGACACAACATTTGCGTGACATATGATTTAATGCATACGGTTTGCAATTATAATAACTTTTGATACGATATGGACACTCATAATCTTCAATCAGTAGAGTAGACTTTATAGCAAATACAGAGTCGACGATTTCATACCAATGCCGGCAAACTAATTGAGCCCTTAATTGTGATCTGAAGTCCAACTTATCTAATATAACGCTCAATACTTCATTTGGTAAGTCATTGATTGTCACACTTTGATTGTCCATATTTTTAGTCGATTCTACTTTGCATAGTCTCAACAAACTTTTAGAAGATAAATATGATATTAATTTAATTGAAAACATTAACATTAACACTAACATTGCTTATATTCAGTCAGTGAAGTAATGATATAAAGTATTAAAATATTATTAGTCGTATTGATTGATGTATCAATAGTTTATTTACCATTTATTAACTAATTTATATTTCAAAAAATATTAATTCTCAACTTATAATAAAATATATCTAAGTTTACTAAAAAACATTTAGAGATATAAGTTCTAATTTTTGGACAATTCCTTAACATTGAGATACTTTAAAAATTAATATACATATAAGTCCAGGGTTAAGCAAGGTTTTGGATTTTAGGGGGGGGTAGACCGGGGTGAAATTTACAAAATTCTCGAAAAATCTTGGCGGGGTATTGGGTTGGGTAAGATTTTTATTGCATTTTTAAACGGCAATTTTTTCAAAAATCCAAAATCAAGGGGGGAGGGTCAAGAGAAAATTCCCTAATATTCCCTTAAATTCCCGAATATTCCCATGTAAATTCGATAAAGCTCCCATAAGTTCCCGTATAAATTCCCAGGAAAATAGGTAAAATTTCCAAAAATATAAAAAAACTTAAAAATTAACAAAAACTTAAATTTTAACAAAAAATAAAATAATGTATTTAAGATTTAAAAATAGTTGATAAAAGCATTAATGATGCACTATGAGTTATTTTAATAATTTTCAACTTAAAATAATTTTTTAAATAATACTTAATGTTTATAGTTTTTAGTTATATTTTTATTTTTTAAATGTTATTTTTTTACAAATACTGACAGAATTCTAATTATTTAACTCAATGTTCGTTAAAGTTTTAGTTATATTAATTATAAAATGATAAATAATTGCTATGTTTGTTGTCATTGATGTCTTTGTGGTTCCGTATTCATGGGTTTTTTTTATCAATAATTTTATTTATGTCAATACTATTTACGGCATACAAGTGCTGTATATTATTAATAATTCTTACGAATCGGGTTTCAGACTCACACTTGAAGTTATGTTTGAGCTCTAAATAGCCATAAGTTAAATATAAGTTTGCTATTGATATCTATACAAAATAAGATTAAATAATATTTATAAATAATTTGTAGCAATAATTTTATTACTGGACACTATACTTATGTATTGATTGCTTGATTATCTTCAACTATTACAGTAGATATTTATTAATAAATTATTTAATAAAAATTATTAATACTATTATGTAATAGTTATTACATAATAGTATAATTTGCCAGTTATAATTTTAAAAGTTTTACATCAGATCTTTAATATAGTAATTATTATTATATTACTCATTATGTGCAAAATGAGACTAATGAGTCTCTAAGCCTCCCGACACATATTTTAGGACATCCAGTATTATAATTGTGGCATTTGATAGATAATTATTGTAAAAAAATTATACCATTGTCTTTCTTTATTTCGTAAACTTTTTATAAATTGAAAATTATTAATAATATATATATATATAATGACTGTCATCCAAATTAGTGATCCAATATATCTAAAATAAAGTTAGTTATTGTTAGTAAAAACATGATCATAAAGCAGAAAATTTTCATAAAAGTCAATTTATTTATTTTCGTACAACTCGTTGAATGCAATCATATTTTGTGAATACTTTTATGATATTATTTTTCAATATTTAATATATATTTTCTTAATTACTTTGTAAGACAGCAACTGGAAATGGCAAATAAAAAGTTAGGATATTTGAGTGTTTTTGTTACTTAATAATCAGTATTACTTTTAGATATAAATAATAATTTTTATTATAATAATCTTATTTTTTAATAATAGACATCAACACACATACAGTATTTTGAAACAGATTTCATGATTTATATTTCAATTATTCTGTATATATAAATAAACAAAAATATACTTTATATTTTAATAAGATTTGATACCAATGAACCTGTATGTACAGTAGTGTTAATCAAATTATATTTTGCAATCTGTAAATTATAGTATCATTAAACTTATATTAAACTTATAATAATTGTTTTTAATTGAATTCATCATATCTGTACATTTATATTTTTAAATTACTAAAATGACTTTAGTATATAATTTAGTTGTAATTAAAAGATACAAAAATAATGTATTTCTTAATATTTTAACAATATTTTATTTGTGTTTACAATATATAGAGAATTTATAATGTATACTATAATTATCACTTAACATACTTTATACATTTAAGTACCAAGGTCACATTATTTTCTGTATTTGTTATATGTTCACATTTTGCAGACATTTATTAGAATATACTCTAAAAATGTATATCATATAAAAACATTTTTAAATTATAAATAAAAATGAATTTTTGTTTACTATAGTGAAAGTTGAAAATTATTAAATTAATGGATAAATTATTAATTAACAAACAATGTGTGGTTTGTGGTGACCAGGCTTGCGGTAAATATATAAATCTATATTATTCTATAATATAATTTTTGAAATCAGATCTTATATTGATTTATATTATATATATAATTAAGGCCTAAATTACACGGTGTGGACATGTATTTCTTGTAAATCATTTTACCGACGAAATCATTTGAAACTATCGGTATATTATTTACTTTAGTATTAATATATTAGTATATTATTTTGAGATTTTTAAATTTAAGTAGATTTAAGTATGTTTTTATGTTTGTATAAATAGCTAAAAATGTATAGTCAAAAGTATTTTTATAGAATAGTCAATAAAATCATAGAATAGTTAAATAATAATTTAAATTTAATGTTAACTACTCTGTAGTTAGTTTGCAAAATTAGTACTCAAACCAATTTATGATATTTTTTTGCAAATTCAATTATCTTAGATAATAGATATTAATGAAATTTTGTTATAAAAATTAGACATTTACTTGTAATTATGGTAACAAATGTATTGTCGATATACTGACCCGAAAATATTGTAAGAAATGTCGACTTTCAAAGTGTCTGACAGTTGGTATGAGAACTGTAAGCATTATATTGAATGTTATTACTGTATATTTTATTATAATTATAATTAATATAATTATATTATTATTTTTTATTTAAATTTTTTGTAGATATATGACCGAAAAGAAATGTTCATATTATTAAAGAATGAATTAAAGAAATTGGATAATAATAGTCATATTGTCGACAAATATTGTGAAAATAATAACATAACAACTAACGAAACAATGAATTTTGATAATCAAAATTTGAAACATGATTTTAGTTATCAAAATAATTTTCAGAAAATAACAAATAATTCACTTATAACTCCATTTATAAAACCCATTTCTATCTTTAATAATAATAATTTAAATGAGATTGAGTGCCACAAATTAATTGAATTACTAAACGCATCAAATATTTTTAGAAATTATAAGCAAAAAAAATCAGTGAAAGTAAACCAAATCAAATCCATACCACAAGCTATGGCTAATAATTTTGAAGAATTAATGAAAAAATTAATTAAAATGTTCAAACAATTGGCATATTTTAAGGAGATGTCTAAACAGGATCAGTACTCTCTGGTAAAGTATGGCTCTATGGAAATGTGTGTCATTAGACAGATCATAGCATATGATATGAATTCCCAATACGTTAACTTAACTTCTGTAAGCAATTTTTATATACTTTAAATACATTACAATACATAAAATTAAATTTTTACTTTAATTATAAAATATGTATACAAAAATTAGGAAACAGGAATTACTAGTCATATAAAATTTGATTTATTAAATGAATTGTTTCCACAAATATCACAAGTTTATGGTCAGTATCTCATAGCATTCAACAGTAATTGGGATTCTGATCCAATAATTATGGATTTGGTAATAATTGTTTAATTGCATAATTTAATTATTTTTAAATAAAACATAATCATCTATTAATATATATAATAGATAACTACAATTGCTTTATTTAATCCAAACCGATCCGAAGTCAAACATCGAGATGTGGTGAAGTAATTAATTTTTAATGATATAATACAGTATAATACTCTATTACCGTATATTGACCCTGTATAAATTTTAAAAAGTAATTTATAATTATATTTAAGGTAATAGTTTATTTTCTAAAATCAATCATTATATGGTAATACGGTATACTAACTATTTTTGTAATACATTTTAAATACACTTTACTTATTATTATCTTTCAGATTACTAAATCAAATATATACACACCTATTATACCGATATTTATTAGTAAAGTGTGGATCTAAAAGTGAAGCCGAAAGTAAAGTCGCAAATTTAATGAATAGTTTTCAACAATTGAGACTTATATGTAAATTGCTCCTGGATGAATTTATGACTATTCCAAACAAGTTCAATTATGGACCACTTTTAAAATCTATATTTTTTGATAATCATATTCAATAGGTTATAATTTAAATAAATATATCTATATTATAATTAATGTTATTAATTTTTTAATTTAATATAATAGTATAGTATAAAAACTTATAAAAAATATTTATAAAATTAATATACACTAATAATAATTTTACAATTTTATATAAACCAAATATATTTTATTGAACATACATTACATTATATTTATAGTAAATTCAGTTTCATGTACACTATATTATTATTATTAAATTAGTAAAAATTTAAATAAGTATTAAAGTATACATTATATATTTATTGTTTTAAATTAACCAATATTTTATTAAATACTGTATTACAATATATAAATAGAATTTTAGTAAAAATGAAAATTATAATAAGTTATAAATTATAATAAATTATATATAAAGTACAAACAAATTAATATCATAATTTTAAATTATTTTAAATAATAAATTATCAATTAGTTTATTTGTAGGTGAATCAATTAAACAAAATAAAATTACCGGTATGCAAACTTATTATTTCAAACTTTAATATAAAGTTTTTTGTTGATATATCTGATGAAGATTTAAATTATTATTTTATTATAAATAATGCATATATCTTTAATATCTTTAATAATAAGTAATTTTGTTGTATATAAAATATACAATATGTAATTAATAATTAGATATCAATAATTCAATCAATTATGTGTGTGTGTGTTTTAAATTATATGTTAATATTAAGCATCATTCAATAGTATTAAATAATCAATATTAAGATATAATAGTTTAGATAAATTAATATTTATTATATAATAGTTTTCTAATTGTTGTTTTATTTTATTTAAATTTCAGTAATATATTAAATTAGTATAATTATAAAATAATATATTTTTACAGTAAAATAAAATATTATAATAATTATAATAATAATACATTATTTACAATTAAATAAGTTATTAATAATTCATTAATAAAAGTACTTATTTTTATTGATTTATTCTATTTTTCATTATCTAATATTAGATTGATTTTAGCCATAAGTATTTAAATTACCTTGGTAACCAGCAAGTATATTTTAATAAAGTACATTAATGTCATATGATATCTATATAGTGATTGAAACATTGAATTTTTGAATCACAAAAATAATATTTTTGTAGTTATAAGATTTAAATATTTATTTATTTAAATTAATAAAAATATGTCATCAAAACTCTTAGATAAATGTGTTGTTTGTGGTGACAAAGCGTGCGGTAAGTTTAATATTTATTGAAATTAATATTTTGTATATAATATATTAATATAAATTTATATAGTATTTAATTTACTTTTTATCTAATAATGAAATTTTGTAATTTTTTCTATTATTATAATTTATTTTTATATTATTATAAATCTTTATTATTAATTAAATCATTATATAGGAAACAATTATGCTGTTATGACATGTGTGTCATGTAAAACATTTTTTCGGAGATATGCCCTTAAAAATAATGTAATTCAAATTTATTACAATAATAATTTTTAAAAAATAATTTTACTCATTTTAATAACTAATGAGTTTTAACTTTTATGTTTCAATTAGACATTTAAATGTTATTTCAACGACAGCTGCAAAATAGATGTTATTAATAGACGTTTTTGTCAAAGATGTCGTTTAAACAAATGTTTTATGGTTGGCATGAAAAAGGTTTTTATTTATTAAATAATAACATTTATCAATAAAATAATTTACATTTAATATAATAAAAAAATTAGGATTTGATTCATTCAGACGAAGAAAAAAATCTTCGAAAATTAATTAATCAAAACAAGAAAAAAACTTTAATAAAACAAAAACAAATTTGTATTATTAATAACTATTCAAATGATAAAAAATCACTGAATTTATTTCAAATAACTCAAGAACTGATTGAGAAATCTAACGATGAGTTTGACATTCAATTTGAAACAAATATTATTGACAGATATTTATCTTATTCGCCAATCGGTGATCATAACAGTTTAAAAGAGCAAATTTTACAATATTATCAAAAATTTGACAATAATTGTTATGAATGCGTACCCATTGCCAAACCTTTTACTGATTATAGCTATCAGTTTACCGAAGCTGAGAGCAAAAAACTGACTGAATTGTTGAATGCATCACTGTTTATGAAAAATCATTTCACTGGTGGTACTATAATTGAAGCCAAAACTATTGGCGATTTTTATGTCCATTGGGTACCAAAAGTAGAGTCCGATTTGAAAAATCTGGTTTCAATGTCTAAATGTTTGACTGGTTTTGAAAATCTCTGCGATAACGATCGCATCTGTTTAATGAAATACGGCTCGTCTGAGATCAGTCACCTAAGAATGATTGAGTTTTTCAATTTCGTTGACAACTATTGGACTATACTTAACGTAATATATAATAAAGTTTATAAATTATTTGTTTTTTTAATTAATAACTATTAATTGATTTACAGAATAATAATTATTCTATTGTTGTAAAACTCGATACATTAAACAGTTTTAGACAATTTCCTATTGATTGGAAAAACGACTATTTTTTAAAATCAGTGTCCGATTGGGACCCGGATCCTATTATATTAGATTTGGTAATTATAACAATAATATACAATTAAATAAAATGAAAATTGATTTTATTTTAGTTAACAGCTATTATGTTGTTTAATCCAAATCGATCTAATCTTATGTATAGTCATGTTATAAAGTAAGACATAATTTTATAAATTGATAGCTTTTTTACTAAAGTTTATATTATTAATCAAATTACCATTTTTAGGCTTCAACAACGTGTTTATCTATATTTACTTCAACGATATCTTCTTATGAAATATCGGTGCAAAGATTTATCTAAATCTCGATTTATAAATCTAATGCAAATGTTAAGTAAATTGACTTTAATGTGCAAATTATTACGAGTTTGTCTTCGCAAAGATAAACCTAAATTACCGGATAAGCGATCTCTTTATCAAGAAATTTATGATTTAAAATAAAAAAAAATGAATTAACTATTTTTTAAATTTAAGCACTTAAATATGTGGATCTTTAAAATAACTTTATAATAATTTAAGTAATTATAATCTTCAGTTTTAAGTAATAATTTATACTTTAAAACATTGCTAATGCAAATAATTTTTATTAATAAAATATTTTTTGYTATATTGCATAAATCTTTATGATACATGTATATATAATGTATGTCTCATTTTGGCTCAATATAATTGCAGAAAATATTAACTAAATATGTATAGTTTTAAATTAAATTAGTAAAAAATAAATATATTAATAAAATAGAATCAAAATTTATTATTAAATGAATAAATATATTAAGATATAATTATTAAGATATGTATTTTATTTTTATGCATCTAAATTTTTGTTAATAAAAATATTGACATCTATTAACATGTATTATATGATATAAATAAATAATTAAAGTGTAAGTAAACTACTGTACACTTTTAAGAACAATGTTACTGTACATAAATTTACATTATTGTTTAGTTTTTATACAGTACTTTACAGTAATATTCATGTTATTAATTTACAATAATAAATAAATAGTCTCTTAATTATTATATTTATCATTAAATAATAAATTATAAAACTCGATGTATTAAATATGTTTTTCTCTAAGTTAACGGTACATTGCTTAGTACCGGTACATTGAACTGATATTATAAATACAGTAAATAATAAATAATAACTACATTTATAAATAATAGCAATACTCTACTAATTTATATAATTTTTTTATTTAACTATACACTGTGTATACTGTAGTAGCTTATCTACTGTAAATTTACACACTATTTTAATATCATACATGTATTACTATTAATAATATGATATTAGATTCTACAATATTGTACAGTATGTACAGTTAGTATACTGTAGTGTAGTATAAAGTCATATGATTTACTGTAAATAATTTCAAAGCTTGTAGTCATTGTAACAGTTGATACCAATTATATAATTTTTTTTACTATAAATGATAGATAATACTTATGGTTTCGGGTTAAGAATTAAAAACAAAAATCTAATCTGATATAAAGTTAAGTCAATTAATTTTGGTGTCTCTAAATATAGTATTTTCAATTAGTAACTATTTTTTAGACAATTTGCAATAAAAATGTCAAGAGATTATTGCCAATCAAAAGGTTAGATGTATAACAAATAACATAAGAAAAATCATTAATATTGTGGTCAACAATATCAGTAATTTTCATATACAGTATAAGTTGGTTTTTATTAAAATATAATACCAAACAATTAACAAAATACAGTATTATATTCATTGATATTGATATCTTAGTTGATATTTAAGTTGACTTCTATTTTGAACGTAAAGTATATAATCATAAGAATATCAATTTAAGACTCAAGACTTGACTAAATTCTTTAATCACTAAAAATATATTTTCATTTTGTCATAAATCGATAGAAACAAATTGTGATAATTTTTCATTATATTTAAAATCGATATAAAATAAATTAATATAAATTTAAGTTTTCAAAATAATTCTTACAGAATGTAAACTAATTTATAGAAAAGACATTTTGATTTCGGTTTGTTTCCTGTTTTTATATTTTGTAATAATAAATAACTTTAACTTCAACTCTAGTGTATTAGTAAAATATAAAAATGTTAAATAATATGTTTTATCTATACTGAATAATATGCTAAAATACAATTAAATATCTATATAAATTGATAAGGTTATACGATAATAAATTTTATGCTGTTCATTTATATACAAGTATTATTATAATTGTGTAAAAACATTTCATATTTATTTTTAAAAAAGCAAACAATGTTTAAGTTATAAGTTATAACGATAAATATAATAATCAATATTTATAATTTTAAATTCAAATAATGTCAACGAAAGTCATATTTAAAGTTTGCCTTATATGTGGCGATAAAGCAAATGGTAATCAAACAGTTATTTATAGATAATAATCAAATAAACAAAATTATTGAATGATTTATAAAATCAATTACAGGTTTTCATTTTGATGCCATTACTTGTGAATCGTGTAAATCATTTTTTAGAAGAACTGCACTCAAAGTTAAGGTATAAAACATAAAATTATAATTTTGTAATAATAAATAAAAATATATATAAATATATAAAGCATATTAACATTCAATATATTTGTATTAACTATAATAAGACTTTAAGATGTTATTTGGGATCCAAATGTACTATTGATGTAATGAACAGAACTTTCTGTAAGAAGTGTCGACTCGACAAGTGTTTTGAGGTCGGAATGAAAGTCGTTAGTATTCATGTCATATAATCAATGTTTTTAAATAACATAACATAACATAACATACAGAATATTCTGCATTTAATTTCATTAGAAATATATACATTCAAGAGAACAGAAAAAATCTAACAAACAAATTGATGAAACAGTTAATAACGACATCAATAATAGCGTAAATGTTTTCATTAATTCAATTGTCGACTTCAATACTGATTCATCACAAAAATGTTTAAACTCAAGCACTGACTTACCGGTAATCTATAAGTCGGAATCAAATGTATTATCAGATTTACTTGAAAATAGTGAATATAAAAATAATAAAATTTATAAAATCAATAAAATTGGGATCAACTCATCGATTGACGTTTGGCATTCAGATAATACTTTAAATACAAATAACAAATCAAAAAAGTCATTAATAACTAGTACTGACATGACATTGATGTCACTTCCCGTAATGATTACCGATTATAGCTCTGTCTTCAATGAAGTGGAGGACAATCGTCTACAAGAATTACAAAATGCAATCCAATGTCTAAGATATCCAAACATTGAAAGACAAAATCTAATGAACAAAATTTCCGATGCAAACCATAAATTTGAGTTAAACTGTGAAAATGAAATCAAAAAACTAATACAAATGTCTAAATGTTTGAACACATTTGTGACAATGTGTGCAAATGATCAGTTTATTTTGATCAAATATGCCACACTTGAAATTGCTATTATGAGGACTATTGCCTATTATGACTTCCACTCCCAGTATTGTAGAATTATATCAGTTTAGTATTGATTAAAATACTGTTCACATTTTTATTGTACTGTATTTTAAATTGCAAATTTTATATAAACTATATGATATATTATATTAAATTTTTTTTCATAGGAAGACAATGTGTCAAATATGATTTATTTGGATATATTTAATGGTCATAAAAGAAATACTTATAATTATCGCAAAAATATTTTTGAAAATATGTGTCGAGAATGGGATTCCGATCATATTATCATTGATTTGGTAATTAATTTTCTAACAAATAAATTGAATAATAAATATTTTTGTTTCTTAAATTAATAACATAATAGTTAACTGCTATTATATTATTCAATTCTGATCGACCAAATCTATTGCACGGGGATATAGTCAAGTAAGTGATATTGATTTAGTAAACATAGTTAGAAAACAGCCATAAAATTTTATTATCCCATTTTATTTCACACTTATTTCCAATTCCTATCCTAACAATTATATTATCCGTTTTTATTACTAATATTTTATTCATAGATTTCAACAACACATATACATGTATTTATTGCAACGATATCTACTATTGAAATATCAATCAGACATTTCTTCAAAAAACAAATTTCATAGACTTCTTAGTACTTTAAAAGATTTGAATGCTCTCAACGATAAAATAGTCATCAATTGTATGGAAGACTATAATAGACTATCGATTATGAATCAAATTTGAGAGACAGTAATGTATAATAATAATAATAATGTGCTAATAATTTTTGTTGTTAAATATGTTAAATTATAACATAAAACATTATATCAAATAAAAAGTAAAAACTTTATTAAACATTAAGATATTTTACATTACATATTAAATCAATTTTTAAATATCGTATAATTCAAGGCAAACATTAATGTGAAGTCCTATAGAGGGCGACATATGTTTGTATTGAAAAATACTGCAGAGTTTACAATAAATTACAGTTTAGTCAAACAGTATTGCGTTTTCAATATATGGTTAAAATTATTGCTATAGTCTATAGCCTATAGACTATAGTATTTCATAAGTTATGTATTATAGTATAGTATATGAATAAACAATAGAAATATTATTATTTACTTTTATAAAACCAATTGATTTGTTTTAAAAAAACAAATTTTTACGGTATGTTATGAATACATATATAAATAGCTAAGAGATGTGAGAAATCATTGAACGACTAATTATGTGTTGCATTGCATTCAATGACAAACAATACATAAATTTTGTGAAAATATTTGATACTTTGGTATAATATGACTCGTAATCTATATATAAAATTGACATTACATTTGGTATTATAATATACATGTATTTTATGTGATGTTAAATATAATACATATGATTGTGTCATCTGATGAGCCAATAGTGTCTGACTTTTCTACAGTATGTCTATTGAGTAGTGCTTTCATACATACAATCAGTCTATGCGTTGTTGTTGTTGTCATGAGATGTCTGTCTCAACAATAACACTATTATTACGATATTATTATTATTACTATTAATAATAATAATAATACTATTAGTGTTMAACTCTTTTGTTTAATCATAACAGACACTCATTGAACTGTAATTTAATAATAATGTGATTTAATTAATAATTTTATTGTAATTACGATTAATTTATTAATACCACTAATAATAATATAAATTGAATTTGTGTTTGTAATGCAAATCTGATGACTATTATTGACATTAAATATCATAAAAGTTAACACAAACTGCACAACCAATGACTCGATTATAATAATTATTAATTAGTGTATTAGTAATAGTAATGAAATTATAGTTTTTTAATATTATTTAATTAATTGTTGTTTTAAAGTAATTTCTATACAAATGAAAAACAACTAATGGTTTGTTTGTCAAAGTAATAGTAATTTTACGCTTATTTTGTTTTCATATGTTATGCTTTCAACAAATTGATTCAATTATAATGTTTTCCTAATTGTAATTAATATTATTATTATAATTATTATTTTTGTTATTATTATTATTTTTATCAAAATTGAATAGAGTTTAATATATATATATTATATATACATATATTTTTAAATAATTATAATTTAACAAAAAATATTTGTGTCAGTTTAAAAATATACGCAAAATTGAAATTATTTTTTTGGGATATATTTTTTTGTTAACCAATGAATAACTTAATTGAATATTAAATGATAAGTCAGTCAAACGTATTAAAAAATAAAATAAAAATAGATTTTTATTTTATAAATAAATGAAAAAATAGTTTTTAAGAAAATAAAAATTTTATTAATGAAATGTTTAATAACATCATATCTTATGATTCATAAGTAAAATAATTAACAAATCATTTTCATTAAAAGTTAATTAAAATTAATTGTTTTTATCATCTAATTTGTGGCCAAATAAACTTATTATTATCAACTCTAATGTTGAGATCAACTAAATGGTGATAATAAAGTATTTATCAATTGGTTGTGTTTGTGTTGGTTACCTAATTGACTGTTAAAACATAGTTTTGTTAACATTGTTTTAAATATTGGTTTTTGTGACCAATTTATTGGTTAATGATGTCAGAAGTAGATCCCGAAACACTTCTTGAGTGGCTGTCTATGGGCAGCGGTGATGAACGAGACATGCAGTTGATAGCACTGGAACAGCTGTGTATGTTGTTGTTGATGTCGGATAATGTCGACCGATGTTTTGAAAGGTATGTCCACTTAGAGATACTTTATGACTGTAATACTATATTAGTAATAATATTTGTGTCCAGTTGTCCTCCGCGCACATTTTTGCCGGCCTTATGTCGCATATTTCTGGACGAATGCGCTCCCGATAATGTCTTGGAGGTGACGGCTCGAGCCATCACTTATTATTTGGATGTATCGGCTGAATGCACCCGACGTATTGTGGCCGTTGACGGCACTATTAAAGCGATGTGCAATCGATTAGTTGTGGCCGACGTGAACTCCCGGACCAGCAAAGATCTGGCCGAACAATGTATCAAAGTTTTAGAGCTGATCTGTAGCCGTGAAGCAGGAGCTGTGTTTGAGGCCAGTGGCCTGAATTGTGTCCTCACATTTATTCGTGACAACGGTTCTCATGTACACAAAGATACACTTCATTCAGCAATGACAGTCGTGTCCCGACTGTGCGGCAAAATGGAGCCAAACGACCAGTCATTAAATACTTGTGTCGAATCGTTGTCTCAACTTCTCAAACATGAGGACAATCATGTGGCCGATGGAGCGCTCAAATGTTTTGCATCTCTTGCCGATCGATTTACCCGCCGTGGTATAGATCCGGCACCATTGGCTGCTTATGGACTTACAGATAATCTATTAATACGTTTACAAAGTATTGCTAATCCTGTATCTCATTTGCCAACGAGTTTGTCAATAACATCCCCAGCAATAGCTACGTCAACATCTGATACTAAAACTCCTACTTCTGTCTCAATTGTTATAAGTCTTCTCTCAACTTTATGTCGCGGTTCACCACAAATAACATATAATCTTTTAAGATCTCCATTGAGTGAAGCCATTAAATCTTCATTACAAGGTTTGCATAAGTTTTTTATTTAAATGAGTGCATTATATTCAATTGAAAACTAATTTTGTAATAATTTGGTTTTAGGTGACGAACGATGTATTTTGGATACAATGCGTTTGGTTGATCTGCTCGTTGTATTGCTTTTTGAAGGCCGAAGAGCATTACCAAAATCAGTGGCCACTTCTTCATTAAACACGTCTCGTTTACCATCATTTCGACGTTTAGATCGTCTCGACTCAGCCGGTGAACGAACACATAGACAGCTAATTGATTGTATTCGCTCTAAAGATACGGATGCACTGATTGATGCCATTGACTCGGGTGGAGTTGAAGTTAATTTTATGGATGATGTGGGACAGACACTATTGAATTGGGCGTCAGCTTTTGGCACTCAAGAAATGGTTGAGTTTTTATGCGACAGAGGCGCTGATGTAAATCGCGGACAACGAAGTTCATCACTTCATTACGCGGCCTGTTTTGGTCGACCTAATGTCGTTAAAGTACTTTTAAGACACGGAGCTAATCCTGATCTGAGAGATGAGGACGGAAAGACACCATTAGATAAAGCAAGGGAACGGACTGATGAGGGACATAGAGAAGTGGCTTCAATATTACAAACTCCGGGTGAATGGATGACATCAAACACTGTGTCAAGAAGTGAACCCAAGTCTAGTCCTAATGATGTAAAACAAGACGAAGTTGAAGACCCAACTCCTGGAATGTATGGCGACAATGAAATGTCACCGATATATCTACGAAGTTTGTTACCAGTATTTTGCAGTACTTTTCAAAATACTATGATTCGTACGGTTCGCAAGTCATCACTGAATTTGATCCGCAAAATGACTCATTATATACCAACTGATCAAATGGATTCGATAAATGAATCTGTTCCTAATCTACCGATTCAATTGGTCGAAGTCACTGCTAATGTATTGGACAATGAAGAAGACGATGACTGCTATTTTATTGTATTGCAAATGATTACAGATCTCATGACTAAAGGGCCGCAAATATTTTTGGATCACTTCGCCAGACTTGGAGTTATGAATAAAGTTCAAGCACTGGCCGGACAATCAGCACAGACATCCAATGAGGACGAGTATATTGATAAAAAAGATGGCGATGAAGACGATGCGTGCAATGAGGACGCGCGAGAATTGGTGGCCGGACGACCTTATCATTGGCGAGATTGGAATTGTGTTCGAGGACGAGATTGTCTGTATTTGTGGTCAGATTCTGCTGCACTTGAATTATCGAATGGTTCTAATGGTTGGTTTCGCTTTATTCTTGATGGAAAACTGGCTACAATGTACTCTTCGGGATCACCTGAAGGAGGAACTGATTCTAACGAAAATAGAGGAGAATTTCTCGAAAAGTTACAGAGAGCCAGAACTCAAGTTAAACCAGGAATGATGTCTCAAAGTTTTTTAAGTAGTTCCGGACCAACACGTCTGACAATTGGTAATTGGACTCTTCAGTGTCGACGTGACGGCGAAATAACAATCAGCAATTCAGACGGTGCCCAACAAACAACAAATCTCAGAGAAGATTTAGCCGGTTTTATATTTGAATCAAATCGCGGTACAAAACATTCATTCACAGCCGAGACCTCATTGGGTTCTGAATTTTCTGCGGGTTGGTTGGGTCGTAGAGGCAAACGATTGCGCTCTAAACTCGAAGCACTGAAAGCCAAAGTGCGAACCCAAGCAAAAGAAATTCATGAAACATATTTCAAGACCGCACAGTCCACTCCTCGATCAACTGTAGCCAAGTTAGGCAATATTGTGGCACAAATTGAAAGGATTGCCGATAAACTATATTCACGTAAACATAGTAACGATTGGAAAACCAATTTACAGTCGGCGCTCAAAGAATTGTCACTTTTATTGAAAGATGAAAAATGTGTTTCTGCTTATGAAATACATTCATCCGGTTTAGTTCAGGCACTGCTCAAACTGTTGGCCAAAACGCCGAATCAATTTTCGTGGACTAATAGCTCATCAGACAGAATATCTAGAGATAGAACAGATATTTTCAAGAATATTATCGGAAACGAAATCATTGCAACAGCTCTTATTAAAAAACTGGTCTCAGTTTTAGAATCTATAGAAAAATTACCTGTTTATCTGTATGACTCTCCTGGTTCTGGATATGGTCTGCAAATTCTCACCCGAAGATTACGATTTCGATTAGAGAAAGCTTCCGGAGAGACCACATTAATTGACCGCTCGGGTCGTTGTCTTAAAACTGAGCCGTTGACAACAGTATCACAATTGGAAAAATATTTGATTAAAATGGTTGCTAAACAATGGTATGACTTTGATAGGTCTTCCTTTGCTTTCGTCAAAAAGTTGAAACAATATAACACAAGAATTCGTTTCACTCACGAGAGAGACTTTGATACAAATGGTGTGATCTATTGGATTGGTACTAATGGCGGCACTGTTAGCGAATGGGTTAATCCCGCACACGTAGGACTTGTTGTGGTGACTTCATCTGAAGGCAAAAATCTGCCGTACGGTCGACTCGAAGATATTCTTAATCGTGACTCGTCTGCACTCAATTGTCACACTAATGATGACAAGAAAGCTTGGTTTGCAGTCGATTTGGGTATTATTTTGTTAATATTTAAAATTATTGTAAATCATGAATACTATTGAATTATTGATTAGGTTTGTGGTTAATTCCATCGGCGTATACTTTAAGACACGCTCGAGGCTATGGACGATCAGCTCTTAGAAATTGGTTGTTCCAAACTTCCAAAGATGGTGTCAATTGGATAACACTATACACTCATATCGATGATTGTTCTCTTAACGAACCCGGATCTACAGCTACTTGGAATCTAACGGTACCTTCTGATGAAAAACAAGGTTTGATTTATTAATTTTATAATTGAAAATATGATTAATTATATTAAAGATTTATTATTCAAATGAGTAGGTTATCGATACATTCGGGTACAACAAACCGGAAAGAATGCGTCGTCACAAACACATTATCTGTCACTCTCTGGCTTTGAGATATACGGAACAGTTGTTGGTGTTTGTGATGACTTAGGAAAGGCTGCCAAAGAAGCTGAAGCTAATCTTAGACGTCAGCGTCGTATAGTTAGGCAACAGCTCAGGCATATGGTTCCCAATGCTAAAGTTACGAGAGGTCCTGATTGGAAATGGCGAGATCAGGATGGAGCACCCACTAGTGAAGGTATGTTTTTTATATAAGACACTACCGCTAATACTTTAGATATGATAATATCTGTATAATAAAAAAGGGATAAATATATAAATGTAAATCTATTTATTGTAATACATAAACATATATTTTTATAACCAAATTATATAATTATATTAATAATGTTGTATTATAAAAGGTGTGATAACGAGTGAATTACATAACGGTTGGATAGACATACAATGGGATCACGGGGGCAGTAATTCATATAGAATGGGTGCTGAAGGCAAATATGACTTACGACTCGCTGATGGATATAATCCCGACTCAATTTTGGTCAAATCAAGTACAACTACAACATCGACAACCTCTCAACTTTCAACTTTAACTTCTGTGGCCATAACTAACACAACTGATTCAATAGCAGCCAAAGGTTCAGTGTCTACACTTAATTCAATGTTTCCGGGTATGTCGTGTGTTATTTTAGTTTAATTGCTATATTTTTGTTTATAATTTAAATTGTTTTTAGGCCGCAAGTCTAGTTCAACTTCAAGTCTTTTAGAGCCGTCATCATCAAGCAGTCGTATAACAGTGGCCTGTACTGAACAGGCCTCATCGGCCGACTCATTAATCGCTCGTAAATCCATGATTGCGGGCAGTCTTACCCGATCTGCTGGAGACTCATCACTTTGTGATCCAAAGAGTAATGAAAATGTTGTTTCAATAGGACTGTCGCCCACTCAAGAAGAGACAGAGGAGTCATTGGCAGAAAGTGATAGACCAGGTATGGGACGGGTTTAATAAATTTTGTTATTAACTTTTGTAATTACAATAACAGACACACCCACACCTACACATACTGATGATAGTCAAAGGCGTAGCTCATCCAGCTCTACCATCAAAACTGGTGATCACTCTATTCGCTCCAATAATAACACCAATAATATGTCAGTTTCAGTGCCAAATCTGACTCTTAATACTATTAATGTTAATGATTCAACTGTTGGACTATTGGACGCATTTGCATCGGCAGCGGCCGCACGGCGTCGCACTCAATTGAATACAAATTCAAACAATAACTCAAACAATGCCGCAAATAACGCAAATGCCGGCAATTCATTGCTTTCTCGTGGATCTAATAACGTTTGTAGTTTAGTTCGTATGGCACTCAGCTCTAACTTTCCCGGAAATCTTCCAGGTTTTGAATATTTAATTTTATAATTATTTTTAATTGTTTATTAATGTGCTATTAATTATTATATAGAAATATTAGCCGATTTATTGGAGGAAATGTCCATTAATTCGGATTCACCTAATAGTGCTGCCAATAATCTCTTACAAGGTTTGTAATTATTGACAAAAAACATATATTAACGATATTCACTATTTAAATATACCTTAATTATTACCTTAATATTGAATCTATAGGAGCTCTAAGCGCAGCTCAAAGTTACCCAAGTCTTTCCACTGCAACTTCAAACACCACATTAACATCCAGTCAATCAACTGCTAACTCAATGAGCGCCTCCACCACTACAGGTGCTAACAATTTGGTTAACTCATCGCAAGCGCACCATTCATTGAATCACAATCAGGGTCTCACAATGTCACTTACTTCGACCACATCATCTGAATCTGAACCAGATTTTCTTGAGAACTGTCACTCAACAACTTTGTTAGCAGATCTTGAAGATGAAGAGGAATTGCCTGAACCAGAGGATGAAAATGAAGACGATGGTAATGAAGACGATGATGACTATGAATCAGAAATGTTAGACGAAGAGTGTTATGATATGAGAGTAGGAAAGAGAAAGAATTGGGACGACGAGTATGTTTTAAAACGACAATTTAATGATCTCATACCTGCATTTGATCCAAGACCYGGAAGAACTAATGTCAACCAAACTACTGATTTGGAGATATCGTTACCCACATCTCAAGAGACAATTTTTAAAGTAATTAAATTAATTTGATATCAAATAAAATTATGGTTTAATTAATTACAAATTACCGTAATTTTTTAGACTGAGAAAGTGTCTCAACAGCCGCGACTATTTTTGACACTTCGTGGACCTAATCTATCAAATGCTGGCGAACTTGAGATGGATTTATTGAACCCCGAGTGGACACTATTTTCATCTGTTCAACATCTCATTCAACATTCTGATTGCAGTACAAAACAGGAAAAAACACGACGTGTTTGGGAACCGACTTATGTTATCATATATAGAGAATCCAAACCTAATGATGATATTAGTACTGCTTTTTCCACACAAATGTCTCAATTAAGAACTGTTTCGTCTTCTAATTCAAAAGTATGTTATATTATTCATTAATAATATGAATATTATGAATAACGGTAATTGTTTTGACGGTAATTATTAACTTTATATTTATTTTAGGAAACTTTAATGACAACACCTCTTTATAAGAGGCGTAGAGTATTGTCGACATCAGTTGATGTGTCAAATGGTGCCACAGTTGATGAAGTGCTACAACTGATGAGGATATTGTATTCAATGTTAAATGAATTAAAATCAGAACCAATGTCTTTATCTCAATTGTCACTAAATGAATCACAGATTTTGGTGAATATCGAAGAATTTATTAGCAAAAAGATTACAAATAAACTTCAACAACAAATTCATGATCCGTTGGTATTGGTATCCAATTGTACACCTGATTGGTGCCAATACTTGACAAACATATGTCCAATGCTTTTCCCATTTGAAGTCAGACAGACATACTTTTTATCGACAGCATTTGGTACTTCCAGATCTATTGTATGGCTTCAAAATCAAAGAGATAGCACTTTAGATAGAGTGAGAGGACCATCTCCGAGACGCGATGATCCACACGATTTCCGTGTCGGTCGACTTAAACATGAAAGGGTTAAAGTTCCCCGAGGGGATCGTCTACTTGATTGGGGAGTCCATGTTATGAACATTCACGCAGACAGAAAAGCCATATTAGAAGTGGAGTTTGTCGATGAAGAAGGCACTGGATTGGGACCAACTTTAGAATTTTATGCACTAATTGCAGCTGAACTTCAAAGACGTGATCTCGGCATTTGGTTATGCGATGATGAACTTATGACTGCTGTCAATGAGACACCAGTAGATAAGGGAGAGGGTATCAAACCTGTTGGATATTATATAAGTTTAAGTTATGGTTTATTTGCGGCTCCACTTCCAAACAATTCAAAACAAATGGACAATGCAGTCAAGTTGTTCCACTTTTTGGGCATTTTTATTGCCAAAGCACTTCAAGATAATCGTTTAGTAGATCTACCACTTTCTCAGCCTTTTCTTAAACTGATATCACGTGCCGGCGCTTCTATGAAATTGAACTCTAATAATACTTATCTTATAACTGGTATTTATTTTATTGCATGTAATTATTTTTATAAATATTATTAAATTTCAATTTGAAGGCAATACTGTTGAAGAAGATGATACTATAAGCTCATCAATTAGTCCCATATGTGATGACGATCTGCTTTTACTTGAAAGAGAAGAAATGGGAAGAGAAGCCAAACTTAAACGTGAAAAACATGAAATCAAGTCTAAGTCCTGGATCTATGGTATACTCGATATGAAAGATCTGAATCTCGTGAATCCAATTCAAGTAAATTAAAACATTAGTTGAGTTTATTTCTATATTTTTATGATAATTTTGTTTTTTATGTTAAAAAGGCTCGCTTTTTACAACAATTGAGTGAATTGGTTCAACAAAAACAACGCATACTATCAGATACAAGTCTGACGTGGGAAGACCGCAACAATCAGATCCGAAATCTTTGCATTCCTTTATCTCAAGCACAGCCACCCGTAAGACTCGAAGATYTGGGCCTTACATTCCAATATTATCCTCCATCGAGAGTATTTGGTTACTCAGCTGTTGATTTAAAACCAAATGGAGAACTCGAAGACGTGACTATTGACAATGTGGAGGAATATGTTGAGCTAATGATGGACTTTATACTTCATACGGGAATTAAGAAACAAATGGATGCTTTTCGAGGTTTGTTTATTTTATATTATAAATAAATAAAAAATTTAGCAATTAATCAATGATTTTATAACAGATGGTGTTAACCGAGTCTTTCCCATTGAGCGCTTGAGTTTATTTTCACCGGAAGAGATCAGACTTATGCTTTGCGGTGAACAGACACCTAATTGGACGCGAGAAGACATTATTAAATTTACTGAACCTAAACTCGGATATACAAGAGAGAGGTTTGCAATAAATTACTAAATTGTAACCATTTTATTGAATTTTATTTTTAATTTTAGTCCCGGTTTTCTGAGATTTGTGAACGTTTTAGTCGATATGAAAGGCGATGAAAGGAAATCATTCTTGCAGTTTGCCACCGGATGCTCATCACTACCACCGGGAGGGTTGGCTAATCTTCACCCCAGATTGACTATTGTCCGAAAAGTTGATGCCAGGCATGTCTTAATAGTTATATAAATTAAAAATAGATATTAAATAATTTATTGGTTTTGTGTTTTATAGTGAATATTCCTACCCATCAGTCAACACTTGTGCCCATTACCTAAAATTACCGGAATATCCAAATGAAGAGATAATGCGGGAAAAGCTTTTGACCGCAACTAAAGAGAAAGGCTTTCATCTTAACTAAAGTCACCACAACTCAAGTCTCGACATAAAATCAATTCATTTTTTGCGGTTTTAAAATTATATTATTAGTCTATATTTTAATCAATTAAATATTACAATATTCTAAATACTACAGTATATTAGTCTAAAACAAATATTATGGAATATATTATATATATTACTGTTTTTTCTCATTTTGTCTTTAAATTGAGACAAAACAGTATTAAGTTGAGTGTGATATTGAATTCAAATATTATATTTAAGTTCTTAAAACAAATTTATGATTTATGATTTCATTTATAATTTTGTGATCAAATTTGTTTTTTTCAAATTAAATTTATTTTAATCGATGGATTCAATTGGAAAGTGCCTTCAATTGATTAAAATAAAAAAGTCAATTATTGAATATATAAAAGCTTATGATAAGAGAGTATTTGTAATTTAAATGAGATCTTTGTTATTATAATTTTTATTTTTAAATTTTATGTTATATTCATTTATGTTTTTGTGATAAACTTTATTTTGATTACAATTTATTACAGTAGATAAATGTTGTTATTATTGTAGTTTTAAGGATACTTTGGCAATAGTAAAAATATTATTATTATTATGACTAACATTGTTGTTTTATCATAATTATCAAATATAAAATAAATAAAAACTCTTAGTCGACTTAATAACATTAAAATTATAAACTATTTTTCATTACTATACATATATATATATATAAGTTTTAAAATTGTATATTTATTCTATAATAAAATACATATAATAGTTAAATGTGTTATTATATTATTTAATGAAAAAGTAAACTGTTTATGGTTAAGCAACTATTATATAATAACATTGTAAGTAATACTGCTATTTAAACACAATTTTAATTTTTTAAAATTAATTTATTGTTACAATTACAAACTTGCATTGTATTAATATATATTTTTATAACAATGCTAAATATTAAATGTTTAAATAGAAGTTTAAACAACAATTAATTTATATTGTAGTGGGTTTTTGTTAAATTGTGATATATTAATGAGCATTTTAATAGTCAAATTAAGTAATAAAATATAAATTATAAATTGGAATAATTGAAATTTTTATTAGTAAGTTTGTTGAATATTTAAATTTTACTTAAAAATAAGCTTAAATTACATTTTCAATAATGAGATTCAATATATTAAAAGACAATATATTTATAGTAATTTTTAAAATTTAAAAAAGTTGTGTTAAATGCTGTGCCAAATGTGAAATATCTTTTAATAATATCACTGAAAACTTCTCTCTAAAAGTTTTTGTTTCTCTAAGAACTTGTCATAACTGTTGAATTAAATAAAAATTACAATTAATAAAAAACTGAATAATGATCAGTATATCCATAAAATAGATAAATTTCATTTTTCTAGCTTTAATTCCAATTTAATTTAATTTAGATTCAAATGATAATACAGTATACTATAAGTTAGTATAGATATATCATTTTAATATAAAAATTAAATAATTAATTAATAGATTACTTTTGACGAATTTGTTAGACTTTCTTATTAACTATTAATAGATATTTGAACTGTCATTTTATTTATGTAAAAAATGGTAATTTTAAATCCTGTTTTATGGATCTACTGATTATCGTAAAACATTTTGGACAGACATGTAGTCGTCCTCTTGCATAGCCTTCTGCTTATGTATTGTCCGTTTGCAGCGTTTCCTCGACTCTAATGAACTGCTGACTGGTTTTGACAGATGAGTCGTCTCAAGACTTATTGAAGAAATTGTTGAAAAGTTAAGACAATTGATATAAAATTAATGGCAATTATATGTTAATTAATACCTATTAATTGATTTATTGGATTTATCTAAAGCGCTGTCAGATATGGAAGCGATGGTATGTTTTTGAGATCTTAATGATAAATACTGATTATCAGTATTAGTATTGAATGTATTGATATCACAGACTGACAATCTATCGCAAAGACTTTGTGATGAGTTATTCTTTCGAGACTTTAGTCCTGAAATGACTGTATTGTCGTCTTCATTGGTCGATAAAAATGATTCCGTGGATGAAGAATGAGATGATGTTTGAAACCATTGTCTACCACTAGATCTGGTCGACAGACAGTTATCACTGACGGCATAACTTCCAACTGAAAGACTACTTTGCAGTCGTTGTTTTGATTTCGATTTAAGACGTTTTTTGTGCAATTTTTTCACTTTAGTTGTCAAATATGTTGTCCTTTTAATTGATTTTTTATTTTTGTTTTTGTTTTCTTCGTATTCAGACGAAGATGTACTGTTGGGTGATATGATGACCGCCGGCCACGAAGGGTTGCGTCTAATTTTTGGTGTTCTCAATGTATCAGTCTTTCTCATACTATCCATATTAAACTCTTCTAATGAATGGGTCGGTGATAGGATCAACTTCTTCTGTCGTTTTGTGTCTCGGTTATCATTAAATCCTGAAAATAACGAGACGGGTCTCGACTGCATCTCTATTGATATATATTTTTTATTTTCTTTTGATTCCTTAGTTATAAAATAATAAAAGAGTTCATTAAAAATATTAATACAATTATTACAATATATTGTATATTCATTAAAATAATTTTAAAACTTAACAAACTTTTGCTATGAATTCAATTCCGCAGTCAATTCCCTCATCATCTAGTATTTGGTTATATATGTCGAGTCGTTCATCAGATTCTGCGGGAGATATCTTGATTTGTGGACAAATGACATCCGGTTTATTACTTGTCGGTGACTTTGTTTTGTTTTTAGATTCCTTTACAGGAAATGTAAAGACAGGTATCGACAGAAAGTTGCCATAACTCGGCTGAAAGTCTGAATTATGCTTAAAGTCGAGTTGTGGTACATCTGGTATTACTATTGTAGTCAACTCTGCATTGACACCTCCTATCTCTTCTGGGAAAGGACTCGAAGAATTACATCTATAGAAACATTTGTTATCAAATTTTGTTAATTAATTAAACAATATTTTTTCATTAAATACCTGGAAATGCCTGGACTCGAAAAAGAGGAATAACCCGAAGTGCTTAAATTAGACTCCGATATAGTCCTATCACTGGCGGCATTGATTACCATTGGATTCAAATAATTGATTGTTTTTTTGCATGGATTGGGTGTAGTATTAGTATCTCCGGCGACTTCTGTATTAATTTGAATTCTGGGAATCATTTCCAACGAAAACTTTCTGCCTTTAGTCGACTCAATTGTTTTCTTAATCATTGGCGAACAACAAGACTGTGAGCTCGGACTGGGAGATCGTTTACCATCAGTCATGGCTTTGGGTGACGGTTCAGATAACCGACGCACAGTCTGTACCGGAACCATGAGTTCACACATACCATTGCTATCATATGAAGACCTATTAATTAGTGAAGGATGAGGACTACAATTGACATCACTATCATAGTAGTGCTCTATTGATGCGTTGGTTACAGTGATGGCCGGCGGGAAAAATCGGTTTGGAGTACTGGCACCACTACTGGTTGATGAAGTAGTCGATCCTAACTTATCCTATATTTAATAAATTAATTAATTAATGTTTTATATAAATTAAAATATTTTAATACATGTCTCATCATATATCCTGATGATGACGGCTGAGGACTTTCTCTATCATACAAATGATGTGACAATTGAGACGACTGTTGAATACTTTGTATATCATTGAGAAGTATTTCCGTTTCGCTCTCCTGTTTCATAACCGGAGAGTTATGTAAAAAACTGAGACTATCTGAAGATGAATCATCCGGTAGTGTATTATTTCTTGATGTAACTCTTTATAAATAACATATAAATAAAAACAATAATTTTTAGATTTATAGATATTAAAGACATATACAGTATATAAACACATTTATTTATTGTCTACTTTTCACTCATACCTGGAGTACTGATCTTCTTGTGATGCTTCAGATATGGCACTGAATTGTCGCATCAAATTAACAGGTGATCTTCTGCCGGGCGATGAGGTCGGACTTTTGGCTGAACTAATGAAACTCGACTCACCGTCGGAAAGGGAGACATCGGACTGACTCTGGTCTATGTTTTGTTGCATTAATCGATGTAATCTAAGATGTCTATTGTTTTGAATGAACTCATCGAGACTTAACCGACGATTTTTTGCAGAATTTGATGTACTGACGAGTGATTGGAGTATACGAGTGGTATTGAGTTCATGTTTTTCTTCAGACACGTCATCTTTTGCCGACGACGCGTGTCTTATGAAACTCGGTATTGGATTATAAATACCACTTTCGGCGTCACTTAACTGATCACAAGCACCGGCTTCGGGATCGGAAAAGTGATTCATATTAGAGTGACGTCTCTTATATTTCTTAAAACGTGTCATTAATGTTGATCTCGACCGATGAATTGGACTTAAATTAATTGGACTTACGTTGACATTAACTCCAACATTGGATTGAAGACTATATCGAGGAATACTAACTAATTGTTTACAATAATAAAAGCATTCGTTAATATTTATTAATATTTTCTATTATATACTAAAATTTGTATCTGTATTATAAAATATGGCTAAAATATATATATTATTATAAATTAATGAAATAATGTTTATTCAATCATATTTGAAACAATTTATAAATTATATAATAATACAAAAGACTTGAAGACTTACAGTTGGATTTGCTTTTTTCAATCTCTTCAGCAAAAAATGCTTCAATTCTTTCGGCAAACTTTTTCTTAATGCAGTAAACAATGGAAAGCAATGCCAGGACTGTCCCGACACACATCAGACCCAACCAGAAGGGCTCTTCCATCATCTTTTTGCTCAATGGTTTGTATTGTATTTTAAATGCAAATCTATCGCAATAAGTGCCTAAAACAGACAAAAATATTAATTCCCATTTAATTATATATACTATACTATATATTATACAGATTATAATATAAAAATGTATAATATAGTAAATTATGTAAATATTAGATTAATTTAACAAATACTTTATTTAATAAATTTTGAAATACATAAAGAAAATATGAATTTTTAAACATTTTTCAGAAAGTCTAATAAAATAGATTAAATGAAACACTGGTATCATATCATTCAAATTTTTTAAAAAGACGAGACTAGACTAACATTATAAAAATCTCATGAATTATTTATTTCAAACATAAGTATATTGTATTAACTCGTTAAACATTAAAAGTCAAAAATATATATTTTAAGTTGTGTTATGTGTTATTTGTTTTTATTAATAATTTCATATCTTAAATAATTTAAACATTAAGTTTGATGTCTCACAGGTAAACATTAAAGTATTTGGTATCTATAGGACTAAACCTTTATTATATAATATTTACAATGAGATTAAATCGAAATACATTTCAAATTATCTAATTCACAATTTCTTCAAATATTATATAATAGATTTACAGATTATTTTATTTATTAATATTCCAAAATACACATAAAATAAAATAATATTATTTTTTATAATTATAAGCTGTAAAAATAAAAATTCAATATAGATATAATTAAATGTTTTACAATTTAAACAAAAAATAATATATAATTGAAGTCTAAACTACAAAATAATTAAATTATTTAATTTGCTGTAACGTAAAAATTAATTAAAAATAGTTAATAAAATAGTTTTTAATTAAATTAAAAAAATAACATCGTTATAATATAATTTATTGTAGCATATCTTGTAAATAATTATTTATTTATGTAATACAATATAAGATTCTTAGTTTTATAATATGAATACAATATATTTTCTTTGTTAGAAAACATAAATAATAAAATACATTTGTTATTAATAATAATATGTTTGTTCATTTGGCAATTGTTAGAGTAAATTAATTTATTGGACCATTGAATCCATAACTAACAATGAATTAGATGTTTAGTTATATAACAGATATGAGTAAAATAATTTTTGTTGAAAATTTTTTAGAAATTTTCAAAATACAGTTCTAATTATTAATTTAAAGATTATAATTTTACATATAATCTAGTTTTAACTAAATAAAATATTAACCTATTTATTATTGAATTTAATTTTTAAAAAGTAGTTTAATAATTTTATTAAAAATAATATTTAATAAATTTATAACTGAAATTTCATAACAGTGACCAATTGGAAATACCATTTTATAAAAATAATAATATATAAATCTCTTGAGAGAAATTTTATACGAAACTTTCTCATATTTTCTCATCACATATCAAAATGAAAGCCTGTCTAACGTTTTATGTGAGTTACAAATCAAATGAAAATTTATTTCAAATACAAACAGTTGTATTTATCACACAATTCTAGTCTTATTTATATTATTCATAACATATTTTTATGTAAGATATTTTATATATTAATGTTATTTTATGGTTAACCATTTATATGATAATGACTTATATTATATAATATTATACATAAAAAAAGTTGTATTAACTTTCAAGAATTATATTCAAAAATATATACAGAATATTAAATAATTTACAAAAAATAATTGGATTCTTAACATCAAAATCTTTATAAATTACATTCTTCTCTAATCAACTAAATTCAGTGTTTTTTCTTGAGTCTCTCTCTCTCTCTCTCTCTCTCTCTCTTTCTTTCTTTCTTTCTCTCTCTCCTAATGATTACACATTTTCTTTCATAGTAATAAATACACATAAGTTATTACACAAAATAGAAATGTTAAATAAATAATTATAGAAATACTAAATTATTAATTTTATAGATAATTAGAATTTCAAGTAATGAATAAATTTTAATTAAACTAATTATATCAAACAATAATTATTAAAATTATGATAAAAGTTGTATTAAATGATTTAACAACAAACATATTATTACATTTATATCTCTAATTAAGAAATACATTTTCGGCTAATAATATGTAAATTTGTTAATAAACTACAATAAATAAAATGTGTGTAAAGTATAAATACTTTATATTTGAAAATACTTTATATTTAGAAAGATTTCTCTAAAACTTAGCAATGATTTAATTAACGAATAGATTTAAATACAATATTTTTGCCAAAAATAGCAAATATTAACTTTCTATAAGTTTATTACATTTCAAATAACTGCCGACTATTTTATGGGTCAATCAATTGTCTCAAATCCCTATATAATGTATAGCATTTACCATACCTTTTATGCCTTGATATGCCTGTGCTTACGACTACAACAATTAAAATAAATTGTATTAAAAATTATTTATAATTAAAAAATTTCTAATTAAATAAAATGATTCTTTTTAAATTATAATAAGTTTTAATTGATTTGTGAGCTTAAAAAAAGTAAATGCTGTAAAACTTTTGGCAAATGTTTTACATATATTTTGTACACTTATAAAATCATTGATAAAAAACCAATCAAATTAAGCATAAAGTTTGCTTATTAATGTTAATTTGTTTTTTTTTATGTATTACACAAATGAATGTTAGCTAATAATCATGAAATATAGCTAAAAAAATAAAAAATAGTTTAATCAAATATTACGATAAAATAAGATAAATTAAAGGAATGGGATCTCATAATACATACATACCTTCATACCATGGATAGCATTTGCATTGTGTTTGTCCATTAATTAGAGAACAGGATCCTCGGTCTCCACACGGATTACTTTTACTACAAACACTGATTGTATTCTCACAATGACTTCCTATATAACCTATTATATAATAACACACAAAAACATTAGCAATATTAACAATTTTCTTGTATATTATATATAATTAATGTAATAACAGTTAATAAACAATATAATATATTGAATATACAATTTAGTATTTATAATCATTTACAGTATTTACTATTAATTATATAATTAATATTAATTAAAATCTATAAATACTATAAATATTTTATTTTATTCAAATAAATGTACCATAAAATTGATATAAAATTTATTTTAAACTCACTATTATTACAATCTAATTAAATAGTAATCATCTAACTTATGATAGTTATGTCCTGACAACTACAAAACTACAAAATAAATACATTATAATCAAAATAAGTAAATTATACTACAATATAATTATCATATAAAGGATAAAAAATACTTTAATTTTATTATTATTAAATTAGTTTTTCTATTTGTAATCTAATTTTTAAGTATATCTATAGCTAATTTGTATATCTAATTCGTTTATTATTAGAATTTATGTGATTTTGTAAATAATTAAATATTACAAAATAACACAATATATATTATATTTTCATCGTATATTTCAATATATATTTTGGTATATACTTACTATATATAAAAATTATATAAAATTTATCAATCAATACAGTATTTCAATGCATTAAAAAATATAAAAATATAATAATTATTATATATACTGTATTTATTATATTATACTGCAAATATTAATATATGAATTCTAATATAAAAACTTATTTATTGTAATACAAATATCTAACGATATTTATTTGGCTTATTTTGTATGTAATGCAAATAATTTAAAAATTGTTTGGCATTTATTTTCTACAGATATGTGGTTTAAATTTTTGGGCTTTAATATAATTGTCACATAAATTTTACTATTGTTCAGTCATACAATATGTTTAATAAACATGAAAATATAAGTCATTTACTATAAAATTTTGATATAAAAATGGTGTGTTTACGTGTGTAGATATATTATATCATTGTAAATGTATGTGTGGGTTTAAGTCACATTATATTTTATATTAAATGATATTATTAAAAAAAACTATTTTGTTATTTGATATAACATTTGAAATAGTTTAGTTTATTGGATAAAATATTTTATATATCAAATATTTAAAAATTTTGAGCAATTATTTTTTATATTATCTTTTATAGTATTATAGCACTGTATATAAATTTACAATATGGCATACCAATCATTGTTAACATTGCATTTTAGACAAATATTTAGTAGTGACATAAAATGTTAATCATATACAACAAAAATTTTTAAAAATGTTTTGTATTTTTCTAAAAATATGTTATAATGTTTTGACTGTTTTGATGGTCTGAATTAAACGGTATAAATGAAATGACATACCAGAGTCACAATGACATACATAACCATCTGAAGAGTCTTTATTAAGTTCACAGATTCCGTGATTACCACATGGCTTGCGATCGCATGGAGTCAAGTGACAGAATATTCCGGTCCATAAGTCACTGCATTTACAATAGCTTTCATTGCGTTCATTGACAATACAGTAACCGTTATTAATACATGGCTTATATTCACAAGTATTTAGTGGTAGCTTTTGAGTCAAATGTATTGATTGATTAAAAAATAATAGATCTGGAAAATAATTATTTAATAAAAAAATATTAAATTAAACTAAATAGTAAAATGCTAATAATATTAAATATTTGTTTTGTTTTTTAAAAGTTTAAAGTTTACAATAGGTAAATAGTTAACATCGTTTAATTTTATTATTTAAACAATAAAACTATTAAACATATAATAAAATCATATTATGTGAAATCGTAACCAAATAGCAAATTATTTTTAGTCAAATATTTTGTTGTTTAAAATTTAAACATTTAATTTAAAAGACTTCTAAACTCCTTATTTTATTGTTTGTCTCAACAGCAGAAAAAATATTATTAAGATATACTGTAATAAACATATATCAATAAAGATGTGTGTGTGTGTGTGTGTGTGTGTGTGTGTGTGTGTGTGTGTGTGTGTGTGTGTGTGTGTGTGTGTGTGTGTGTGTGTGTGTGTGTGTGTGTAATAAATGTTATAAAAGGAGAAAATATTATGATATCATAGCATTTCTATGTTTCCTATTCTTTAATTTTGTGGCTTTTTTCGCTGTTATATATATTATACTAAAATTTTATTAAATTCAACAAAAATAGTACTATTTTTAATAAACGTAATAATAAACTGTATTATATGCAGTAATAAAGGCTAAATTCTCATAAGATTTAGACATAAAATATATAATTTCAAAGTTAAATTATTATAATAAAATATTAAATAGTTTATAAGTTGAATAAATGAAATTGATATATACTGTAAACTACTGTATCTATAGCTACTGTATGTTAACATTTGGAAAGTGTGTTAAATGAAAGTAAAAAGGAGTGAAACAAATAGTGAGAAATTTATAAAATAATAGAGAAATTTTTATAATGTTTCTAAAAGAAATTTCTATCTATGGGATCCCCATGGTTAATTTTGTTATCTAAATATTTGTTATCTTGTAATACATTGTTTTTACAAGCAATTAAATATTATTAGTAGTATTTTAATTATTAATTAAAGTAAAAAATTAATTTATTTAATTATATTAAAATGTATAATATATAATAAAATTAATAAAATTTTACAAAACTAATTATTATAAAATAATTATAATTATAATAATTTTTTATATAGGTATCCCATTTTGTATAATGATGTATTACATAATATAATATATAGAATGTTATCTAACGTTATATATTACATATGTATTATGTCTCATTAATATAGTATGATATTACTGTACAATAGCTATAAATATGGGGATCCCATAGTATAACTTTAAAGTTAAATACAAATTTATTCCTGAGAAATTTTATAGAAACTTTCTTATGGAAATTTATTAGAAACTTTCTATTTGCCCATCTCTAGAAACAAACCTTTTTTGATTTTATAGTAAAACATGAAAGAGTTTCGCTGTATTTTGTTTGCGGGTCTAATATGTAAAACATTAAACTTTGATTTAATGACTTTGGTTTCAGTCGAGCGCAACGTTGAGAATGTCTTAAACGGTTCACTCGATTCACTACAAACCGACCAAATCGTTGGGTTGGCTGGTGTTAGACGTATGTCACCAAACGGATCGATTACATGAAGTATGAGCTGATCTGTGGTTAACTCGCAGTGGACGCCGTCATTGATCTTCATATATGTAAGTCGAGGCAGACGTAGCTCTATTTGATGGCTGATCTCAGTTTTAAGATACATGTAATAGTCATTTGGACACTCGTGAGGATAGTTAAAATTTGTCACTTTTCCCAACTGATTCAATGGCAACCAAATCAATGACAAAACCTTTGTTTTTCTGTCCACAAAACTATAACTAAATCTAAATCCTCTCTTTGATTGCAATGAATTGAGTGAAGAAGAAGTTGTATAATGTATTTTAAGACTATTATCGTATGATATAAATTGTTGGCCTATTATTGAATAAATATTTTTTTAAAAAGTCTTGAAAAATCAACACAAACTTAATACCTATGAGAATATTCCTGGCATTGAGTGAACCACACAATTGTATAGTCTTTGTTTGTCCCAAATTTATACTCAAATTAATGTCATATTTGCAAAATTCTTCGCCCAAATCAGTCAAATCAAAGTCAACTACAGTTAGTAAAACCTATAGAAATAGAAACATTAAAAAATATATTTAAAAATTTTAAAAAATATTTTGTTTAATACTTTTAATAACATTCTGAATAATATTTTATGATTTCCAGAAAATGAACACTAATTTGACGATTAAAATAGTTTTTATGTAAAGTTAAAGTTACAACTTATGAATTGTGATTCACTAAATTTCACTAAATTTCATTTAATGCTAATTATTGAATAAATATCTAATTAATGTTTAACTTTCAATGAATAAAAATATTATATGAATAATGCATTAATGTATAGTATTTATTATATTCACAAATTTCTCAGTAATTGTTTTTTGAATATAAATATTTTATTGCGTGAAATATTGCCTAATAAAAAAATCAGTAAACAGCAAAAATAATCAAACTACAGTACATTTGTACATTAATATTATCATATGATTTATAATATTGTCAAACATTATTAAATTATAGTAAAAGTATTAAAATAAAATTAAAAATTTTATTAAAAATTTTGTGTTTTAATGAAACTTACTTTTTTGTTGCTTTTAGCAATAATATTTACGGTACAATTGAGTTGAGGTATATTTAATATTGGATAACCAGGACTATCAATATAGTAATCGGTTTGTTGTTTAACATCCTTTTCATGGATAACAGTCTCATTGATATCACACCAATTGAGAGCAAATGCTTTCCAATGAAGTTTGAATCCGTGTCCGCGATTGGAAAAGTCTGACTTAAAAGTTATGGAAATGCTATTTGACATCGAAATGAATGTCTCATTGAATAACTCATTGCGATCTGTGATTTGGCCACAAATTTGTCTCCACTTTTGATTGGAGTCACCTATTGTTAAATAATCGTAAAGACAATCCTTTTGCCACTCGATGTCAATGGTGTCAAACCATACTATTATAGCAGCATTTGTTAAGTTTAGCAATACATTTGTCGTATAAAACATATCATTGAAATAATAATTGGGATAATTTGATGAATATAGTGTACCCTCCAGTGAATTATATTCAGTCGTGTTTTCGGTTATTTTTAATTCTGAAAGTTTAACAAATACTAACAGTTAATTAGTTAATTATTAAAATATTTAAATTTAAATACCAAAAGTAAACTATTTAAATAAATTGTCTACTCTATAATTAATAATATTGTCTAATAATATGAAACTTTATATTGCTAAAATAATCTTAATAATTTTATTACATTAAAAAGAATAATAATATTTATATAATATACTGAACTGAAGCTTACTATAGTTGAAATAATTTATAAATTATTATTATAGTTTTTATTGTCTGTTAAATAATATTTTATTCATTAATCATTATATTAATAGTAAAAATATCAATTCTCCTTATATGTAAAATTACTATACTTTAATATTAAATAATCATTCACATTAATCTATATTAATGGTGATATCTTTATTATATACACAAAAACATTTTTATTAAACATAATAAACATAAAAAAAATAAATATTTAACTATTGAAAATTTAAATAAAATTATGGAAAAAATAGTGCTAACAAGTATAGTACATATCTATAATGAATAGTGCAAATTGTTAATATTACTTTTAATATTATTTTTAATATTACTTTTAATAATATTTTTAAAATATATTTTTCTATAATTTGCATTCAAATGTCATACCAAATGCATGTTTGACGCACACATAACCGGCCGCACTGTTACAACCAATGCTCTTATAATGCAATTTATTGGTGCCGTACTTGTCTATGACAACAGCAACACAAGTATTGGACTCATTGTCCACTTCGTTAATGTTGTGACCAACCCATGAGTCTACTTCTTCACGAATAATATTGTCATTATTTAACCAAAAGGTACGGTTGGCTCGCAATAAATCTGCACCTCTTTCTGTATATGAATTGTCTTTTCAATTAAAAATATCGTATTAATAATATATCATTTTACTTATCAATTGAATAAATTTTAAATTAATTATTATATTCAAATAAATTCGATGTAATATATGGAGGTTCTACAAAAATTGAGTGGGGGTTAAAACATATTAAGAGGGGCGCAAAATGGGTGTAAAATTGTTTATTTATTTATTTTGATTGTAAATATAAATATAGATATAAATTATTAGTTGCATTTACCCAGTCTTGTGAAGCAAATCTAAATAATAATAGTAATAAATTAACTTTTAATAAATCCATTTAACACTACACCAAAAATATATAGTACTTCGTATGAATTTACTCTTAAACACTAAACGCTATTGAAATGAGAATATTAATTGAAATATTTTTTTAATTTTCAAAAACAATGTCCTTTTCATTAGTCTAATTAAAATGTAAATAAATGGATTAAATTAATATCAAATTAATATTACATTCACAACATTTTAATATATTATGTATAAACAAATACTGTAACAAAAAAATAGTGTTAAGTGTTAAATAATATAATTTATCATAAAAATAAAATTAGCCTATATCAAAATTCTAATTTATTAAACCAATTTATCATACATTTGTTATCTAGTATTTTATGTGTCTAACTATAGCACAAATTATATATAAAAAATAATAGATTACTTAATAAAAATATTTGGTACAATTCAATTTTGTAAACAGTATTAACAATTATGTTAGTAACACAATATATATATATATAGTATATTCTGTATAATAAAATATATTAAATTAAAGTTTATTATTAAATTTTAAACAAAAACTCATTTTTAGAAAACTACAGTATGTTTTGTAACACTAAATTTTATTATAAAATGTTAATACAATAACACTTTTATGTTTATATAGAGAGCATTCATCAATTAAGTAAAACAATTTTTAAAATTGAATTATCTTTGAACTAACTATATAACTATAAAAATAAGTATTTATTAAAATTTATTAAAACTCTTAACGTACATAATATTTAAAATAATATATTGTTATTTATATATTAAAATTAATGTAAATTTGTTAAACTTAGACCAAAAATTTTAGTAAATGTAATTTAATTAAATTAATTAATTATTTTTATAAATAACTATAACTTAAATAAAAATTCAAAAGATTGTAAAATTGTAGTAAATCTATGACTTACTTATTAAAAGATTTATAAGAGATTTATCATCAGTAATACTATTGATGTTTATAAGCTGTGACTTAATGTCGTGACAAATACGATGAGCGGTTGGCCACGAAACAGATGGATATGAAGTTATGAGATAACATTTGCCATTTGAATGTCGAAACAGTTGATTATCACATAAAGTTGTCTCTAATTCATGTCTTTTATCAATGAGTCTGAGCTCAGCCCGAAATCCTCGCTGAGTATGTGAGCCGTCGGTAAACATATGAATCGTCAGATTACTATCACTTAACACACGAAGTAATTTGATTTTTTCAGTCCAATCCCCGCAATACTTATGTACAGTCATAGAGTCTTCAATTGTTATGTAGTCATATAAACAACTATTTATTAAACAATTAAAAGTTTATTTATTTAAATATTTATTATCATATAAGATATGTAAATATAATCATAAAATTTTTAATATAATAAAAATAAAATAATTTAATGTGTTTTTATAATAGAATTATATTAGTTGTAAACTAACTACATTTAATTGATTAATTATACTATTATACACTAGTATAAATTATATTGTATTATATCATACAAATGTATTTGTATTTTAAAATATAGTATGTTTAAAAAAAATTATATAACATTAAATGTTCAATTAATTTAAAAATTTAGTGCTATTTTAGTGTAAATAATATTTACTAAATATCACTCGTTTAAGCAAAACATTATACATTGTACTACAGTATATATTATAGTACTGTAAATATAAATATAACACCGGTATAATATCAAATATATTATACTGTATTAATGTAAATATTTGTCAATAATATTTTTATTTTATACCGTTTATGGATTTACTGAATAATGTTTTTCCATATAAATTTTATAGATTAGTAAATGAAAATAATTTATTATAACTTTTAACATTTAGACTTTTGAAAAACATTTGCTAATATATTAAACAACATTGAAATGTAAAAATAGGCAAAATATATATTAATAATAAATGCATACCTTTTTCCTCCGTCTTCTATTAGGAAATCAGTAAACAGTACTTCAATGGCACTGTTAGTCATTGCTGACACTCTAACAGTACAATTGAGATTATTTGGATACAGAAAGGGATAGTTAGGTGAGCTTATGACTTCCCACGGGTAGTACGATGTCAACACTATGTCCTTATTGCATAACGGCTCACGTATTGATTCAGTTAAACTTAATTTATCTAATTTATCATCATCTATGGTACAAATAGCATAGTATATGTAAATAAAGAAAAATGTAATTGAATTATAAATTATTCAAAAATTCATTTATATATAAAGTAATACAAATAACTTTCAAATGAAAATTATTTAATCTATTTTAATATAATTTATATAAATATCTCATAAACTAAACATAATTATATTTGTTTTTTGCTTTACAGTAATCAAATAATCAATTAATTTACAAAATTCTGTAAAATTTTAGTCAGAAATTGTACTAAAAAAGTAAACACAAAACTAAAACAATATAATTTTCTACACAATAACTACACTAAACAACATAACTATAATTTATTGATTATCATAATACCGTATGTCTTAACTATTATTATTTATATGTTTTTCAAAACAATTTAATCATTAGATTAATATTAATGATTTGTTTGCTAAAAATGATTTGACCATTTATTTTATATGATTGATATGTACAGTATATTATTGAATAAACAAATAATGTACTCTACTATACATATAATTATTGTAATTTCTTAAATATTATATTTTAATTAAATAAATTGCAATTAAGTTTATTGTTCAAAAAATAATTTAAAATAATTTACTTTTGTAAGTTAAATTATGTACAAAAATTAATTTTAAATAATTAATAGCAATATATATATAGTGATAGTTATGTCTTATAATACCTTTTAGTTTAGGTATTTGACAGATGAAAGGATTGCGAACATCACATGATATGTCATTCCAATAGAAAGAGTGTGTGTTTTGCATCCCTTTATTTGTTCGCATAAAGAATTGATTCCGTATTTCAATACAATTTTGTTGAGAAAATCCGTCATCACTGGGTTGTGCACCGTATGTCTCCCGACCTGTACTGTCCACTGGCCAACCGGGAAACCAATCTATCAATTTTGTAATAAATAGTCTCAAATTTAACATTTATTAATCATCTATTTAAACGTTTTTTTTAAAGCAAATTATAGATAAATATTTTATCTGATAATTCAATATATTATTCATAATAAATAGATAACAATAATTATATTAATTAATTAATTTAGTTAAAAATGTTTAGCAAATTTATTTCATGAACCTTGAATTAATACGTGAACAACAGTTTAATGACAACACRCCCTTTATTGATAGCTTTATATTTTACTTAAATTATTATAAAAATATATAGTTATTCATCACTTTTTTATATGAATTAAACGACACTTGAATTTTATATTTATTTATAAAAACATTAAAAATATCTGATAAAATGTAGTTTTATTATTTATTTCTAAATAGTATAGTATTGTCCATCATTATTGTTAACAAAATAATGCGTTATAAACATAAATTATAAATTAAATAATTTTCTGATAAATTTAATTTCTCAAAATATAATTTTTCTAAATTATTGTTTAATTTCTCATTAAAATATTGATTATGATTATTAATAATTATAATAAATATTATTAAAGTATATATTAATTATCAAATAAATAATAAAAATAAAAGTGTTATTACCATATTAGTTAGTTTTAATACAAAATAAAGAGTAAAATTTAATTAACAAAAATTATATTTAATTATTTAATTTATTATTAAATTATACAGTAATTATGCTAAACAATAATAAAAGACATACAGTAGTTTATTAATATCTTTAATTTATATATTTTATATACATGATAATTTTACAGCTAATTTTTAAATCTTATTTTAGTTGAGTTTTACACAGTATGTATTGGATCAGTAATTTATAATTTACAATAGCTATAGATATGGTGATCCCATAGTATACTAATAAACTAAAATTTTATAGTTTATTATTGAGAAATTTCTATTTGCACATTTCTAATGATAATATAATAAAATAGTTAATAATATTAATTATATTTGTATCACACATTATGTAACTGAGAGTTGTCCTCTCGACCCATAGATTGTATAAAATATTTTGTAGAAATAGTCACAAAATATCTTACAAATTAAAACTATTTTAATTAAATATTAATTACATAATTGTTTAGCATATTATTTTTACTAATCATTAATATCTATAATATAATAAATATGTTTTTGTATATATTAATTTTATTAAACATGTAGTTTTAATTATAAAAAATTTGTTATTTTAAAAAACTGCATTTTAATCTTTAGATATTAAACAAATAACTAATTTAAATAAATTTATGATAATTATACTTTTTTATGAAAAATTTAAATGAAATTATCTAAATTATTGAGCTTTTGTTTATTACTACTTAATACGTAACTAATTAATTCTTCTATTTTGTGATATTTTATATTTATATGAAATTTATAATTAAAAAAAATCTGAAATAAACATTTTCTGATATTTTAAAGAATCATTTATAAAATTATTTATATTAAAAAATCATTTTAATTTTAATATATAAATTTATATATACTACTGTATATAGAGTACAAAATGTTTATATGTTTGCATAATGTTTTAAAATAAGTATCACCAATTTCAAAAAATTTTATTAAATATATACAATATGAAACATATCTCATAAATAACATTAGTATTCATTTTATGTATTTACATAAAAACTTATAAATTTCAAATGTTTTGTAAATATATAATAAATTTCCAAATAATGTAAATTAACAAAATAAAATTTAATTAAATTAAAATATCTTTATACGTTTATTGCATAATTAAAATAAATATATAACTGCATAATTAGAATATAACATTTATTTTAATAAATTTTTAATTATTTTTAAAAATATATTATATTTCTAGCATTTTAATTCTTTTTACAAACATATGATAACAAAAATAAGTTAACGATATTTAATTAATATGTAAATATTGTGCCAATTTGTGTGTTTTTTATTATGTTTTAATAAACTTTTTAAAACAACATCTACTAATTAATCTATTATTTTATTAATAATATAAAAATATTGAATAACTATTTTATTACATAAAAATTTATAAATTTTTATAGTTAATTTAAATTTTACATTTAAAGAATATCTTAGACTTTTTTAGATAATTTAAATTAAAAAATATATTTAGAAAATTTGTCAATTTGTCAAAATTTGTAACAACAACCAAAAAATGTAAATTACATAAAGTTTATACATAATTAATTAATTTGTGAAAATAAAATATATATGATAAATAATAATTTAAATATATTGAAATAATTTAATAGTAATAATCTAAAGATATCTTTTATTTATATATAATATTTTATTCTTACGAAATCATAATTATAATTTTAAAACATAAGAAAAAATTATTAAACGTTGATATTGTTAATTAAATGGTATATTTTACCTATCATATAGTAAAAGTATCCTAAAATTGTTAAATAATTTTTAAAATTAACAGCTTTGTTTTAATAAAAACATAATGTTAAAGTTATTATTAAAATATGTAAGATTTTTGTATATAATTATTATATAAATAGATTTTTTAAATAACTTACTTGTATATTGAAAATCATTTCCGTCAACCCATTGATAGTTATTTTCAAACAACGTATCGGTGCCTCCGATCCAAAATGCATAATCACTTTCAATGTTTAAGTTTGATGTGCTGTAATGTAAAAGCAATAATAATAATAATTTTTATATATAATATTTAAAAAAACACATAAGAAAAGTATTTAGATTTAAATGCTCCAAAAAATTCATAAATTTACTAATACTATATAAAAATTATTTTTCAAATGCATTGAATAATATATAATAAAAATTACATTTCAAAATAATTTATGGATTTTATACATATTTTGTAGTCTATAAAAACTCACGCAATGATCACAACTTTGAATTAAAACTCAATTCAAGCATTTATTTGCATTAAGACATATGATTAGTCAAAAACTTTGTTTCAAACTGTTATAAAGCATATGACTATTAAAAATTCAAAAATGTTAAAAATATTAGAAAATTAAATAATAATCTTCTGGAATATTAAAATATATTTTTTATTTTAATCTATTTTATTAAATATTAATCAATAATTTTTAACATTTAAAAACATTTTATATTAAAATTAATGAACTATTATTAAAACATTAAAAATTGTTTTTTAATTAAAAAATTTTATAATTATTAATTATATTAACAAAGACTATTGTTCGCTAATTATGTTATATAATAATTAAACATTTTAAGCAATGTAAATAAAAACATAAAATCTATTAATTTAATTAAAATTAATTTTATTTTATATGCCTTGTATTTATATATTAAAATATTGTAACATAAGATTAAATAAGTTGTGAGCTTTTGTCTGATATATTTTATGGATATATCTCATGAGTATTGTCTGCTTTCTTATATATCAAAAGAGTTTACCTATTTTTGCTGTTAATTAGATTTCAAGCCAATGGTGTGCATAAAATCAATTATATTTAAAACACTAGTTTATTATAAAATGTGAATAAATGCATGTAATAAATATTATGACAAAAAATTTTATTTGATAAATAATTTTAACTATTATTATAATAAATTGCAAAAAATGATAATTTAGTAAATATGATGACAATGTATGACATCCACCCATTGCCAGGTCTTCATATAAGTGATGGTATCCATAGAGATCACTCTCCAACACAAAGATAAACATAAATTTTATTAAACTTAACGTTAATCTAATATTAAATACAAGGCCTGCAATTCATGTCTAAATAAATTAAAGTCTAATCGCTAGATATTATGTTAGCAATTGATGCATTTGATATATAAAAATGTGTTTTTAAAACATAATTAATAAAATATTAAATAATTACCTGTTATTGTTAAAGTTTTGATGGATTTGCTGATCAATAAGATAGTCATCTAAAAGTTTTTGTAATTGATTTGATGTAATCGATACAAGACTGCCATTCAGATCAAGTTGTTTGCATACTTCCTGTGCTTCAAACCATGTCTTCTTATTGTAAAATACTTTATAGCAATAGTCACTTGTGTTTAGCCATCYCATTGATGTTTGGCACCAGATTTTAGGGCTTTCCAATTGTCTTTCATATGTTAGACAAAAGCCCAGTGAAGTGTTGTTAAGCAATGACCAGTCAGTGATGTGTTGATTATAATTATAGGCATAAATCTTGACAATAACTGATGTGTTGGCAGATGTAATAATTGGAGGAATAGTTAAGAGATCAGTTTGACTCCAATTTCCACACAAATTATAGATCACTTGTTTGTCAACCAATAGTTCAATGAAGTGTTGTTTACAAGATTTTGCTCCTATTTTTGGCAAATACTCTGATGTTATTAGTTTTGTCACATTCATTGTAATCACACCGTTATTGTTATTATTATCACTTTGTGTCACAATTTGCACAAAACACATATCACTTGTTTTTGAATAACTCGATAAATAATAATTTGTTGAACAATACTGTTGTCGGCTATTGTTTGCTATAAGAGTTACATTTTGACACATCCTTACAAACTCTATCTTTAATATATAGCCATATATATTGACAACACTAAAAATAAAAGCAATTATTATGCTGTTAATAATATGTTTAATAATTTTATAAATTTTGTTGAATATATATACAGATATACAGTATATTTATATTTATTGAAATTAAAGTAATTTTTTRTGTATAATATATACAGTATATTTCACATAAAAATTACTTTAGTTTCAATAAATATAAATATACTGTACATGCTGTATATATAAATTATATATATATATACCTGTATATACTATTTATTATACTATTACAGTGTATATATAAATTTGGATAAAAAATAAAAACAAGGTTTTAAGACATTTGCATATTTCTCACACTATAATAGGTTAAATAATATACACTGAAATGCTTAAAAATTATATTAAATTTTTTTATAAAATAAAATACATATAATAATACTATTATTTATACACCTTACTTTGCATTAATTTTAACATAATTTATATTTATATTCATTTTGGCTATAATGATATTTTTTTGTTAATGAAGAAACTTCACAGAAAGTTTCAAAAATATAATTTTTACACTAAATGATGAAATTGACTTATATTTTATTTACACTTATAAACAAACTTTTATAAAGTGTTTTACAATTTGCATAATTTGTTGTTAATCGTTATCAATCACTATGTTTACGATCTTTCATAAAACATGTCACATAGTATTGAAATTTTTTACATTTTAATATTAAACAAAAACAATATTACTATAATTTTGATTTTATAAATAAGTATTTTAATTTAAATGTTTAATTGCATCATATATTGAAATATTGATACATTTATTGAAAATATATTATTAACATTTTATTTTTATGCCAATCAATGAGTGACTGAGAGATTACTTTTACTCTATAATAGTTTATAAAAATATAATCGAAAAAGAGTTTATTTTTATTAAAGTTTTCAAATTGTAAAATAAAAACTAAATCCCAGAAAATATGTTATAACAAAAATTGAAAAATGATTTAGTTTTTACAATTTATAAATATTATTTCTAACGTTAAAAACTTATATTTAACACTAGAATTTTATTTGACTACAAATTTCAAATATACCAAAATATATTGTATTATATATTCATATCAACTGTATATTAATATCATGAAGTTATATGCATTAATAATGTAGAGTATTTATAATCACATCAAGCAAAAGTGTGACCAACATTACATATTTGTAGTAATATTACTATTAGTATTAGTAATAGTATTATTAGTAGAGAATATTATTATATGGAAATGTAATGAAATGATAATATGAATAATATTCGTTAATACAGTAATAATTAATAATAAGGAAATCAAATGAAATGCAAAATATGTTAAATAACTCAAACGATAGAGTAAAATATTATACCATATAAATTATCTAAGCTATAATCAATTGTTTATATTTTATTATTGTATATAATAAGTATTGTTTAGTATAATGTTTTCCGAAATCAATAATTTGATAAATTATATATTAAATTAGAGTTGAAATATAGTGACACATCATTTTATGTCAGTCAATAAAAACGATAGTAATAATAAAAAATAATAATAATGCTAAATACAGATATATTATTGTTATAATATAGATAATAAAAAATATTATAATATAAAAAATGTCAATATAGTAAAAATTCTGTTTGATTCTCATGAAAAATAATTATTACATTAATATTAATGTGTTATTTATTATATTTTACTATTAAATGTGAAAAATAAATATAAAAGTTATAATGTAAAAACTATTAAATATTTTCATTATTTAAATCAATGACATTTATTGGTCTAATTGTTAGAATAATTACTATTAAAATTAATGTATTATATTTATATGAATTGCACTAATAAGCAAATATACAGTAGTAATATTTAAACAAACAATATTTTTAAGATATGTATATTTATCACATTATGTATATATGAATGTTTTATTTAAAATATCTTCAACTCAATTTATTATCGTTAATATTTTTTAAAATTAATATTTTAAAAATTATAATATTATAGTATATCATAAAATAACATTAAAAATATATAATAAACTATAGTTGTATCGTAAATATTGAAAGTATTATGATTGTGAATATATAACGTTAAACGAATTGACCAAAAATATTGAAATATCATTGAATGTATTAATGCAAATACCGTTAAAAAGTCAAACACGAGTGTCACTCACAGATATTCAAAAATATAAGATTTATTTTTTTATTCAAATATACAGTACTATACAATACATAATCTGAGACACAAATGAAAMATTGATTTCAAAGCGCCTCAATTGACTGAATTTGATTTTGGAAATATCTTTAATTATATTAAAGATTAAATATTGATAAAATTGCTTTATAGATATAAAATATTTGTTAACAAAATATATTATTTGGTCTGTTTAAAATAAAAAATTATAATTGTAAAAATTAATATATTTTTTCAATTTCTATGAACAAAATTGCGTAAAATTAATGACAAAATTTTATGTATAATAATAAACATGTGTCAAAGATATTTACAATTTTGTATAACTAGTTTATAATAAATGCTTATGTTATGAATAGTAAAAACACATATATTTATACAAACAACTAAACGATTGTTTAATACAATATAATAAATGATAGAAAGATAAATAATAATACAAGAAATCTAATAGATTTTTATATACCTTTTTTCTATGTATTATCTCTTTATCTATATATTTACTGCATTTTTTAGTTTTTTTCTTTTTAATATAATGTGTATAACAAAAACACTATGAAAAATATTTATTACTATAAACATGAATAATCAATATATCATTGAGTTTATAGATAACAACAAACAGAGTTAAATGAATAATGAAAACTCAAGTTATAAATCCCAGATTACAAACTATCTCTCAGTTTGTCTGTCTATCTGTCTGTCCCTCTATTTCCTCTATTTTCTTGTATTGGATGTATTAAACATAAACAAACAAAAAGAAACACTCAATATTAATTTAATAGATAAATCATTGAATTAAGCTTATGATAATAAAATCTGTTTTTTTTGTTCACATAATATACATGAATAGAAATTTTTTATTTGCTAATTTAGTAATGTGTAAATTGTGTTACTATGTAAGTATTATATTTACATTTAGTTTGTTAACAATATAATAGCAATAAAAAACTATACCTGAAACGATTATCAATGAGAAACTCAATATTTAATGAATTGTTTATTGAAAATATTTGCTTTTGATAATCAATTAAAGTGACATCACTTGTTAACTGTGGACACAGTTTCAACATATGACTGCCATTGGATGACAACACAGGACTGAATGACAAATAGTTGTTGCAATGGTCTAAATAATCATCACTTTCTTGAGGTATAATCAAATCGACAATTGTTACTAAAATACGATTATTCACTGGAGCTATGATATTGTAATTACAAAATATACTGTTATTTGTAACAAAGTTGACAACGATATCGCTTTCATGGTATGTCTCGTTACATATATTGTTGACTAACACTTGTGCGGTATATATCCGATCAATCATTAACATCACAACACAAACTTCAAACAAAATAGCACTCATTTTGTATAAATTAAATATTTTTATTATTATATCACAAATTGTTTTTATTATAATAACTATAAACATTGCATAATTAAATTATATAATGATAATAATAAATTCATTTCATAAAAATATAAAATATATTTTTTTAACAAAAATAAATTTTTATAAAGATGAATATTATGTTATATTATTTAAAGATAAGTTAATATATATTTTTAAAATTGTAAATTTAACAATTATTATTAGAATAATATTATTGTAAAAATAATGGCTCAATAAAATTTAAGTTTATAATAAAGAAAGTTATTATAAATTTTTTGAATTAACATTTTTTAAAAGTAACTGTGTTTTAAAATACTTTAAAAAAAAGTTTGCATAAAACTATTGATAACAAATAACATAATATTTTAAGATACATTTAACTTTTATATGCACCTTATAAATGTTTGCACATTTACATAATAATAATAATAATAATAAACATTTTATTTTGAAAACTATCACTTTAAAAGACACTTCACCTCAAATGCACAGCAATTGTTGGAAAAATTAAGGCATGATTTAAGTCAAGTGAAACAATGTGTTATACATTGTTATATATAAACTCTCATAGAAATCATAGTATTGATGATATGGTTTGCAAGAAAAGTGCAGTTTTTATACATTTATACAATACATTTGGATTTTTGATACAAACTAAACAATATTACGGAGCAAAACACTGTTTTACTTGATATGACTCAAACATATAGTATATCCAAACTCTCATAAACTCACTGTTTCTGACTCTCGCTCTGAAAGCACGAGTCGTTTATTTTAGAGATAATGTTATTTTGAAATATAAGGTAAACTGTTAAGAGAAGTGAAGTGAAGTGAAGTGTATGCGCCTAACGGTAACATACATTCCTACCATTCATTCCCACAGTTTTGTACACTAAATATTGATCAATAGTTTACTTTTATACATATTTTACAAATTAATGTATTTTATCAAATATTGTACTATTATAGCACACAATACCTATTGTAAACATGTTTGTATGATATCAAATTATTATTTTTTATAAACTTTTATTATCTATTTTAACTATATTATAATTATATAATTGATTTTCTAAATTGACAATTAAAATTATTAATTAAAATTATTAGATAAAAATATTAAATAAAATTATTAGATAAAAATATTAAATAATTATAGATAAATTTTGTATACAAATAGTAGTCAATATTACATAATATACACCTACTGTATTTAATTGTTAAATTCTTAAAAAAAAATTAATTTTAAATTCAGAATTTAATATTAAACAAATAATTTTTCTAAATTTAAATTTAAATTGAATTCATTATAATGCATGAATATATAATAATTGATAAATTCAATATTAACACATTTCTAATCATATTAAAATTTATCTACTTTACTAAAAATATATTATTAATTAAATTGATTCAAAAGTATATAAAATAATAAATACATATTCACTTCGACGAAAACGCTATATAAACTATATATTAAACTTTTACTAAATTGATTCAAAAATATAGCTAACTTGAATAATTCAGATATTTTAATATTACAAATTGTAATTTACAATACTACTTATAAATTATAAGTTATAATTGAAAGGCGACTATTAAAAATACTATATAATGTTAAAGTATCTGTAAACTTATTTATTAACTTATTAAGTATATTTTTGAATAAATTTAGTTAAAGTTTAATACATAACAATAGATTAAATAGTGTTTTTATCGTAGTGTTTCAGTAAAATATTAACTATTTGTTGATTATCTTTCTAAACTTTGATACATTTTTACTTTACTATTTTCTAATGAGAGCTTTATTTCTATCAGTTTTTAAACATTTTAAATTTTAATATAATTTACTGAAAATTTTTAAGCTATCATACATTATCTACTCATGTATTCACTGTTAATAATACTTTTTATTATATTATTTTTAATTGTATAGTAATAAAAAATTATAATTTGCTTAAATTGAAGAAATGGCAAACAAAGAGTCGACTGGTATGTGTTATCCAATGTCTGTTACGGCATCTTATGATGACTTGATTCGTGGCATAAATGCCGTCATCGATACAAAAGATACAGAGAATGGTATGTCTTGAGAGACCATAAATTTACATTAAAATTATCTTTTTTTTTATTAGTCATTCGAGAATTACTCGAAAAGTGGAATTCATGTCAATTCGAAAATCTTCGGCTTAAAGAAAAATTGTCTGAATTTCAGAAGAATAATAAGGCTTTGGAGTCAAAGATAGACTCTTTGCGTAAATCGTTAGCAAACAAAATAATTGCAGATAATTCTGAAAAAAATAAAAATGTTAAACTTTTAGACACAATTACTGAAGAAATATCAGGTCAAACATCTGAAATGTCATCTGAAACGACATCGACTTCTTCATCAAACAAGTCATCGCCAGTCAAACGAAATCGTAGTTTTAGTGATCCGACACCGAAACCGAATAATGACACCAAAAGTGAAGAAAAAGATAAACAAAAACGAATGACAACTTTCGCGTCACTAAAATCAGTAAAAGTCAAAGTATTTAACATAATTCAGTCGACACCAAAACTGCGCTCTTCTGGCAATTTATTATCGGAACCGATATCTCAAAACCAACGAATTGGTGTTTTGCTTCAACAGGTTTATGAAGACCGCAAACATAAGTTTGTAACAAAAACAGCAATATTTTACAAGAAATGTGGTGTTTGTAATAAAAAGATAGACCTGTTATCCAAATGTTATGCGTGCGATATGTGTTTCGGTTTATGTCATGGAGAATGCAAAGACAAACTACCGGTGCCGTGCATACCATTCAAGAAACACAAAAATTCAGTCGGAGATCGGTTTGGTCTTATGATTGAAGATTTTGCTCCAGAATGTCCACAATTTAGACCCAGAGTGCCGGCAATTATAGTACATATCTGTAGAGAAGTAGAGAAGCGCGGATTGACTGTCGAAGGTATCTATCGAAGAAATGCTTCCAATGAAGACAATGTATTAGAATTGAAAAAAAGATTAGTAAAACCTAAAGAAGGAGCCGTTTCATTAGATCAATACAATATACATGTATTGACTAATGTATTGAAAAGATTTTTAATGGAAATGTCTGAACCATTGATAACACATGTATTGTGGAGAGATTTTTCACGAGTGTGTGGTATGATTCAACTTTTTTTTCAGTATTAACTAATAAATTGATTTGTAATTATCTAATTGTAAATTATATCTATTTGTTAATTGAATAGATCCGGACAATTCAAATGAATTTTGTGATTTGATTATATCGATTATGGATGAAATGCCGGTCTCTAACTGTGATAGTCTTGCTTTTCTTATGATTCATTTGAAAAAAATAATAAAACATTCGGATGTAAATAATATGACTGAAAAGGATATAATAAAATTGTTTAGTCCATCAATAGTCGGATATTCATCGGATAACCCAAATGTTAGAGAGGAGTTCGAGAGTCAGAAACGAATAATGACGGCATTACTTAATGTTGATGACTATATTTACCACCAGTTCCTCATCGAAGTTGAAAAATGTATTGTATTAAATAATTTTGATAGTATTGAATAGTATAAATTAATTATATTATTAAACAATTGTATAGCTTATAAATTGGAAATGGAGTCACCGACCAGCATCCGACGTCAAACAGGCCGAAGACGTACAAATATAAGTATAACTACCGGTCCATTGCCTAAAAATGCCAACTCATTATATCCAATGTTTTAATTTTATTTATTTTTTATTTGTTTTAATCTTTTGCCAATGTTTTTGCAATTAATAATATCTTTTATAGTTAATTTTTAATAATGCTTTTATGTAAATGAAAAAAATGTTTTCACAATGATCTTTAAATACATAATAAATCTTTAAGAAAAATTTAATAAAACAATTACAAAAAAATAGTTTAACTATTTTGTTCAAATTAAAGTAAACCCAATATTTAAGGTATGCATTCAAATATAAAATAAATGATTTAATAACTTAAATAACTTTAAAATATTTATGGATATTAATATATTAATATCAATCTTTTTATAGTTAATATAATTATCACAGGTATATATAAATATATTTATTTTATTTATTAAAACCTAAAAAACTAAAATATGCAAATATATTACAAATAAAAATATATTTTGATAATTAAATTAAATAATAAATGATTATTCAGTTTTGTTGTGATAAATGTTACGCATATTAGATGAAGACATACTGTTCACTATCAATGATGTGCTGATAGATGTCTTTCCGGACAATGTATTGAACTGTTCCCTCATATAAGCGGAAAATTCTTTGAAACGCTTGAGAAGTTCACGGCTAACGGCAGTCACTATTTTGGTAGTCAAACAAAGAGCTGCTGTTGTGGCGAATACACAGTTCTGAAAGAGTACGATATAAAAGTTGCCCAACCATTCAACGCGTCCAAAGTTACCCAATAAATCAAAATTAGTTATACCGACACTTCGGGCTAACAATGGTAAGGCTGAGCTTAACACTAACACTACGGCACAGTTGCCAATCACTTGCGTAAATAGTGTGTCATTTAGTTTGGGTCTCAATCCGCCAATAACTGGTATGCGGTATAAACCGACTACCGATGCACACCATAAATATAATATAAGAACAATCTCAACACCTGCACCAATGGCACCTATTTTGGAAAGAGAGGCTATGCCTAAAACAAATGGGTGTTGTGTTGTTGAGAGCGGTAATGTTTTTATGCCGACCAACAATTCAAGAGTATTTTGAACGACATTTAGTGCGGCCACTGCTGTCAGACACATGAGTGCCAACATTGCTAAAGGATAGCCTAAATTTCTTCGCAACCAACCGACTCTCAACTTCTTCTCTAATTCTTTACGAAATGATTCCAATTGTGATAAATTCAGTTGCATATCGTTCAATGTCTTCAATTGATTTATTTGATTACCATTATTGTGATCATAAGCATTGTTTCTATAGCTAACTCCGTTGGGATAATATTCTCCGTTTGTATTGTTAAATACAGTCAACGATGGCATTGACTTTGATTTTGAGGGTGATTTGGGTTTCAGTTCTGATGATTTGTGACTTTCAATTTTGCGTCTTAAACACAATTCTTCAAGTTTTGTTTCTTCATATTCTTCTTGAGTATTTCGCAAAACATGTGGTTTAGTTATGACTTCTCCTAACACAGTAAATAGGTTAACGATTCCCAAAGGTGTGCAAACCAATAGCAATACGACACCGAAGAATGAGATACATGAGTACAGAAATGGCAAGTAATGCCATAAAGTAAACAATTGACTGATACCCATGTCTTCATAACCCATGAGAGCGCACATCAAATAAGTCATTCCCAACACAAGCACTGATAACAGCACTAACAGTATAAATGTTTCATAAACTCTGGCCATAATTCCCTTTCGCGAACCACTAAAGCCTTCACTTTCAGTGAAGAAATAGGCAAATGGCAACAGAATGAAGAGTGATATGTTTGAAAACACGAAGACATAAGACCAGAGACTGTGGATCAACGAGTCGTTGAGCCATTGAATGTAATAGCTGTCCGGATAAAGAATTATCACTTCATTGGTCACTATAGAGAATGGCAACAGAAGTGCTGTTCCGATAGAGACGGCCATAGAGATGGTGCACATCCAGAGGGATATACGATATACCAGTCCATCCTCTTCGTCAATAAATAGCTTTTATATAAATAATAAGTTATAAAAAAATAAGAAACAAAATGAGATCAAAGTTGACTAACCTCTTCACGACGTCGTCGATACTTTGCAATGATAGCGTATGAAGAAGTATAGAGTATAAGGAAGAGTATGAAGACTATGAGGTGCTCTCGGATTACATTATGAAAGGCCTGTTCCCTCGGATCCACTTCAAACACCTCTTCGTCCTCTTTGACGATATACATGTCGCCAGTGATTATCACAACACACTTATAGTCATTACATCAAAACATGTGTCACTAAATTGAGTGACAATTGAATTTGGATTCAATTCAATTCAATTGTTGTTATCAATCGATGGTATCATTTGGTGGTCAATCACCACAACATATAAACAAATGGATGTATTGTTTATAATATTGTTGTTTACGTTCAATAAAAACATAACAAAAACACTGAATTCGAGTCAATAAACAGTCAATCACTGTATGACACGTATTGTACACACATTTACAGTACAGCTGTCAACACAAATGTCACGTAATTTATGTACAAAACCAATGATATGGTCGACAATGTGTTGGCTTTTTGAATGAATCGATGATATCATCACTTGATTTGTTGGACAAACATTGGATCAGTTGATCACAACAACAACAATACTGTCACCAATTGCGGTAAGTTATCCATTACTTGGATGTAATGTCACATAAATTAACTATCAATTGCTGCCAATTATCTGACGGATCAACTGATCTCATGTGATAATCGGTGGCCAAAACATACTATTTGTGTTATGAATGTCTGTATATCACTAATACCTTTGATCTTTGTCTTAATTTGTGTGTCTTTACCACTCGGAACTCGATGTCTACCATRACAAACAAAAACAGAAACCTGATAGCAGTTAAACACTTAATCCTTAAGACAATGATAAGTGACATCCAATTAGCCATCTTTGCCAATGTGTTAGGCGTCGCACTCTTCCTTCTGGTGGTTCTCTATCACTACGTGTCTGTTAATAGTGGCAAATGATGACCAAAAAAACAGACAAATGACGACATTTACCACCACTACTGTCGCCAAAGATTGTCATCAAAATTGCAGACATTGTTTAGTTTTTAAAAAATAGTATTTATTTCATTTAATGATATTATATTTGGTTTAAATATTTGGTTTCATAATAAAGACAATTAACATGTGATAACACATTTCAAATGTTTATCTATTTTTATTATAATCACTTAATTGACAAAATTTTATTTTATTTWATGATAATACTATTAACTTTAATGATCTTCAGTTAGATTTATAATTATCAATTCAGTATATTTGTGGTAAAAATTAATAAATTTTATTATCAAAAGGTTTTTAGGTTTCAAAAATGTTTTTTTTACAATTCATTGCTTTTGTTAATAAAGGTTTTTAAGTGATATGATTAGTGATATTATTATTTTTTAATATATGTAACGATCTTTGAATAGTTTATTAACTACTGATGTKGTGTTAATTGATTTTAAGCTTTTAAATGGGTACACACTTTAGTTTTATATAAACAGTATAAATATAATATACACATTTTGATTTGTATATTAAATGTTTTATAAATTATAATTACCKATATACTGTATATATATATGAATTTTCTATCAGTCAATAAATTATATAAAGTATATTTTTGTTAATTTTTAAAATGTATATATAATTTGTCCATAAAATAGATGATTACTTAGATTTATAATTTTATCTAATAGTATAAATATTTAAGAGTTAAATTAAGTTGTTTTTGTTGCCATATATTGATAGGTTATAATTATATAGTATTACTTAATTTACTTGAAGTGTAGAACTTTTATCGCAAATTTAAAATGTATTTACTATTTGATATTTATTCAGTATTTTTTATAGTTGACTGTTGTATAAATTGTTGACAATCTATTGAATACTCTTAAATTGCAGTGCAATATAAGATACATTATATGGTCGGACCTGATATAAATCAGTTGTGTTGAGAGCGCCTGTAGTCCTCAATTGCCTTATGTTTCCAGGAATTTATCAGTTTGTGTATCACTAGTTGAGAATTACTGTCCAAATAATTGAATTGCTTTTTACAGTAAAAATTATTTTCTCACTCATCGCTAATAATTACTTTTAGACATTTCGGCTGTAATTCACGTTTTTGCTGAGTTTTATCCGATAATTAATATATATATATATATATATTGCTTTAAGTTTTCTAAAGTAGTAAAAAAATAATAGTTTAACACAAAAATGATATAATTTATACTTATCTGATTTATATTTTATTTATTTTATATATTTTTATTTATTAAAAATACTAATTAATAAATTGATTGATTGTTTAGATAATTTTTTGGTAGACTTTAAAAATCGAAATTTCCATTAAATAGATTTATAGCACTGATATTTGATTTTGATTGAACTGTGATATGACATATAAAAACATATATTTCATTGATTTTTAAAACAGTTTAGTAAATAAATATTTTTGTTGAGAAAAATATGGCCAAAACATATCATTTAGCTGAAGATATTGTTTATAATGTTTGCCTAAATAATTGGGTTTTTGTGTATGAAATAAATTGATTTGTGAATAATTCAAAGCACACACACATCTATAAAATGTCTGTTTGTGTCTGCAGTGGATTTATACCGTAAATACAAAAATATGATTTATTGCTAATGAAATAAATATATATTTGTCAGACATAGTAGTATATATTGAGTATCCTTGAAAATAAAGATGAAAATGATTTTTGCTTATGATTTTCTCTTAAAGCTTTCGCTTATCTCCGGGGTGTCCAACAAAATCTCTTATCAATTTCTCTATCTTTTAAAGCATATAATAAAATATATAAATAAAAGTTTATATATTATATGTATTCCTGTTAAACAAAATTGTAATATTTAAAAATCAATGAATTAAAAATAAAAACCAATTATTGTAGTTATTTTAAGTTAAGCTTAACAATCATCCAAACTATTTGATAGATTGAAAACATGAATACATTATATATTAACAATAAATATATAACTTATTTTTAAGTATAAATACATTATCACAATGTAATTAAGTATTTCGATAATATAGTTAAATGCAATTTATTGAGGAGTTGTATAGCATTTGTAAAGAAATAGAGAAAAAAAGGTTTGTTAGACATTAGAGGCCCAGTGTTTGTGTTTAAAGAATAGTATCCAACAGGTGTTGCCCGAGAACTACAATAATGTATGTACTCATGTGCTGACCCCACCATTTGCCTCAATTCAAGTGTATGTTCCCTAAGCCAATGTATTACCTGACCGGTCCCTTACAAGAATATTTTGCCACAATTACTGATTTACCGATTGATTGCTTTTTTTGTGTTGATTTTTCTCTGCACTTTAGTAATGTGTACACAAGTATATACAGTATATTCAGTATATTCAGTATATCTGCATTGGCTTTACTATTGTATTTAGTCCTTAAACTWTTATAATGACTTTTAGAAATTTTTTTATATTTGTAATTAACGTTATTCACAACCCATACTATGGCTTCAAGTTTATAGCATTTTGTTGCCTCACTTTCCTAAAAGTCAATAATTTAGTGAACGCTATGAGGGATTGTTTGTACCATTTTTTTCGAAACATAATAGAGATTTAAAATTTATTACTACTAAAAAACACACATTTCGTTTACTTTTACATTAAAAATGGCACCAAAAATAAACTATTATTGACTTATATAGGACTGACCACCAAATGAGTGATCATACTGTTAGAACTTTACACACAAAAATTGTTTTTGTATAATATTTCACAAAAGTATGAAACATAGTTTGCTAACCAATTCACTAATAATGACACCAATAATTGTATTATAATTATTATAATAACGATAGGATGTGTAAGTAATGATGGCTTAAAATTGTAATAAATGACTGACTGGTCCTCACATCGATTGTTTGCAATCATCTCTTTTGCCACTTTTGAAACCCTCTTAGCTATAGTTAATGGTATTCTTTAGATAAGAGAGGGAGAGAAGGACTCAAATGCAAACTTATTGTTAGTTTTGTTATTTATATGATTCATACCATTAATTATTGACTATTGACTTGATATACAAGTTTCAAATTTTAAGCACAACTCATAATTTTTATGTAATTTTTCGTTTGCTTATATCCTGTCTTTAATAATGTACTATATTTTAATATAATGTTATTTGATTTGACTTTTTATATTTTTCATTTAAATACCTGTTTTCATACAGAAATTTTTTAGTTAACTTTTTTTATAAATTGAAAGTAAAAGTAAAATATAATTTTTTAAATAGATATCTTATCTTAAAATACTCATCTTTTATATTTGATGCCTTATATGTGATTCAATTTTATTTATTACAAACTAATTCAATTTGAATGTATCACTTTTTAAATGTCATGAAATGATTAGCTTTTAACGAAATTATAAATAAATTAAAATTAAAGTTCAATATATTTGATGTCAAATTATATAGTTTTAATGATTCAATGAGACCCAGACCTACATTTATATAGTATTACTTGAGGGCATTTACTAAAATCAGGACATATCATATTGATAAGGTCTATTCAAATGTATCATCAATTTAATGGCAATGTTTCAGTGCTAATGTGTACATAAAGTTATAATTGTCACCGATTAGGACAACTCACGAAATGATAGTTAGAAATAAGCGAAAGCATTGCATCCATGATATGAATTGATATGATTTGTAGTGCTTTCCAACCAAATACCCAACTAATCACTTGTCCCGAAGCTATTACTGGTTATTATATTAGTTTTGTTGCCAAAAGAATAACCGATCAAAAAGCAAATCCAAAATTGCATATTCAATAGATATACCACGGGATAGGGATCTCTAATACTGTACAGTCAATAGGCATACACATCATGCAGTCCAGTCCATGGGCACAGTATAACAATTGTATGGTTTAGTCGACCCAACAGTCCTTGATTTGACAACAGATGTACACAATGTGTGTGTCCCTAATGAATGTGTGATTGTATTGCATTTGGAAACATAACTTACAATTTGATTGATTTGCAAAATCCTACTCAAATACCTCACCCAACCATACATTTTAAGTATTATATGTGAATATAAATATTCAAAGTTTTCCCGGTTTTAATCAAATATTTATTTTAAGTAAAAAAAATAATAATTATATTATTAACATATAATTCTAATTATTAAAGTACTTTTTATGTTTAGTAAATATAAAATTTAGTGAAAACTATAATTTTCTGGTTTCTATAATTCATAATTAAAATTGCCAATAAAATTATTGTACGTAACATATTTTAAAATTATTAATTAATCATCTATTAAAGTATTGCTACACTAAAGTAATGTTTTTCAATTTATTCAATTATTTATAAATAAACTCAAATTTTGGTAAATTCTGTATAAACAAAGTTTTTTT